GACAGGTCAAGTATAGAAAGAGCGCCCACAGAAAAAAAAGAAAAGAAAAAAAAAAAACCTCTGATGCTTTTTTTTCTTTAAAAATACATTTCTAAAGCAGCTGGTGTACTTGTAACAGTGTCATAATCCTGTGTTTCCTTTTTGTCACACAATATCCACTATTCATGGTAATTAAGAGACATATGCATTGCAATTCAATTAAAAGCCTAAGCCTAATCAAATACCTTTGGTCAGAACAGTAAATGAAGCACCATCCTCTGCAAGTTAGCACTAATCTCGTCATGAGTGCAGTCACGTCTGCTTTAGAGGCCTTTTAGCCTCAGCTATCACTGCTATCACTTGTGACAACAGACTGGGTTTTCTGTGCCATCCTTCCCCTTCCTAAAGTGGGCTCAGTGACATGAAAACTGTTGCGGCTAGGCTGACCTGATGGAAAATTGAGCAGCTGTGATAAAGCTGCAGAGAGAAACGTGAAGGTCAGAGACACTGAGGGGAGAACGCTCAGAGCTCAGACCCTTACAAACTGTAAGAAATTTCTTCAGAATTTCTATCAAACCCGACAAACTTTCCAACTTTTGATCCAATGTCAACAAGTTAGTGACATTCATCTTACAGCTTGATAATGGTTACAAGCTTCATATCCAGTTGTATCGAGATCCAGGGGAAACAACTGTAATGTTTGGACAAGGAGATTCCCTGTGTGTCCCAGTCTGAGTGTCATATTTGGTTTGGCTGTCTGTGCCGCACGTGCACCTCAGCTGACCCAGTAATAGGACTCACACAGTAAAAGATGAGGGAGCAGAATCTCAAGTTACAGGCCAAAGAACAAGGTCATTTCACGCTGTTATACAACCTAGTATCTCAACAGACTCACAGCCAAATATAGTCCACTGAGAAGATAAATAAATAAGTTCTTCACATTTTAGAGCCACATCACACTTGAAAATAAAACACTTACTTCTATAGGACAATACAATCAAATAGAACTTAAGGAGTTAGATCCCCTACAAAAGAAGCAATCTACCCCATAACCTGTCAGTCAAAATGATCAACCAAACTAAAGTAAATAGGATGGAAATTAAAGGTGCTCTATCTGGTATTCATCTCTATTAAGTGAAACAGACTTTGCAGAGATGGAATATAATATTCTATATATTTTGTGTAATTCATTCCTCAAGTTTGTCCACAGCTCTATAGGGATTGCCGGAGGAGGCAGGATTTATGACCTATACTGCAGCCCATCACCAGAGGGTGCTGTTCTCATGGTGGCATCACCTGGCAAGGAGGCAGACGGCATCCATTCTATTCACAGTCTATGGTACTGACAGTCAATTTTTGGAAGTAGAAACTCAACAAACTGTGGATCAAACTTATCAAGCATCGCAGGAACCTCTTGTCCGAGAAGGCCACCATTGCTTCGCCAATGGTAGGGGTGAGCAAGGGAGCTTCTCAGTCTAGAATATGGCCAATAGAAAGTGTTGAATATCCCAGTTTTTACACTCATTACCTGTAGGAGGCCCTTAGCTTACCTTAACTTAGCATAATGACCAGAAACAAATGAAAAAAGCCAGTTTTGGTAACCCTCTCCTAAGTTTGATATCAAGGTTCAGCCTGCTAGTTCCCAAATAACATATTAAAACTTGTCCAGTTCCAACAAAAGCTTGTGATTTGCTGTTTTATATTATTAAATAAGATGTTATGTGTTATTTAGTGATCTCGGGTGTAATGGTTAGCTGTGGTATTGTTCCAGGCTCAGAGTCACAGAAACTGTGATTTTAATTTAGCAGAAAGACATAAATTAGTCTCAGACTGACTGATTTCTTTTACTCTGTGTTCCTCCTGGCATGGTCTTGGTTGGTTAGGTTGGGACTAAATAACTTTATACATGTCCGCTAAGAAACGGAACTTAAATATTGACAACTTATTCCAACATGAAACCATGACCTTTTGTTCATCTTAAACAAATATCTTTGATGGTTTAAAGGTGCAGCATGGTGTTTAGAGTCACAAATCAGAACAAACCTGGTAGAAATGATGAGGAGTGTGAACAGGGGAGTGTTTTAGTCAAGAGTCTAACTGCTATTCTTCAAAGTCATTGCCTCATTTAATGATTCCTTTCATGCTTTACTTTAGGATTTTACTATCTTGGGTTCCAGTTGCTTGTTTCCTGTGTGCTACTTCTGGTAGATCATAAGTTACAGTTGAACAGCCGAAAGAACAAACAGAAAGTGTAAATGTTTAAATAATATTGTTTTTGGATTTACAATAGATCTTAAATATCAGCCCTAAAAGTGCTGAGTCATCTCTCAGAGGGCTGCGTCATCTAATGGTTATCATCTATACCGATATAATGTGACAGCCCTTACTGCAACACAAAAGGTCTGGCAAATTACCGTTACCAATGCTGACACAAACTCACAGACCCTCCATGTAAATATCACAGCCCACTCCTAAATCCACAAACATATTAACCAAAGCCATAGCACAAAGAGGCTCAACTTTCCATTCACACAAATAAGCACTTCTTGCTGCGTGTGTCTGACCAGGTCACTGACCACGAAAATACCAGTTTTCACATGATATGAATGAACCGTTAGCTAAGAATATTAGATTAACCAAATGTACAGGACAACCACAGAAGAAGAAATCTGCAGGAGGAAGGGGCTACACGTGAAAATACCAACATAGAAGAGAGTAGTGAGGCCCTCTGAGCTATATCTAAACAATTGAAAAGAGCTTTAAAATGTGTATTTACATATTTGACCCTGTAACACTTGTGCAAAACAAAAAACAAACAAACAAACAAACAAATAAACAAACAAACAAACAAAAAATGGTTCCAGCCCTTTCCTGTCAATTGGAAAAAGAACACTGAGGTCTTATTTAAAAGAGCGCAGTCCAGACTTTCCTTCTTAAGAAAACTTTGACATAAGCAGGAAGCTTCTGTATGTCTTTCATCAAGGTATCTTGGCATGTGTCCTCTGGGGGGGAAATATCTGAGCTGATGATAAAAACAGGATCATTAAGCTGATCAAAAAGGCTGGGTTGGTGATTGGCATTACCCCAGACTCTCTTGAGGTAACCCTCAAGAAGACAACTAGGCAGTCCTCGTCTTAAAAGGTCATCCTCTGCACAGTCTTTTTATTGAACTCAGGAGCTCTGTCAGTGATCGGCTGGTGATGATGGCTCAGAAAGTTGGATCAATTGATGCTGCTCTCAGATTTTTAATGAACACTCTCACTAAAACTGAGACCCCAATCTGCAAATGATGCATCAAATTCATTTTATTTTCTTGTTGTGTATTATAAATGTACTGTCTACCCGTGTTGTTTGCATGGGTAGATTAAGTGGCAATTGAGTTTTCCCACTGAGGACCAATAAAGTTTTCTAACTGAATACTCCTCTGCTAGGTTTAGGGAAAGCTGCATGAGTGTTGTAAAGACTGCCATTAAAGTTCATGTGAGGAGGAAATACTTTATCTCTCTCTCTCTCTCTCTCTCTCTCTCTCTCTCTCTTCTGTGTGTACATGACCACTACTTAAGGTTGTTTTCATATTTGGAAAGAAAACACAGAATTTTCTGCAACATTTAGCTTATGAAAGCAGTTTTGGAAAAAAATAAAAAATAAAAAAATAAAAACTTTACAAAACTATCAAGTCAGTGCCCTACAGGACAGGCCGAAGTGACCTGAAGCTTTTCCTTTTACAGAGTTGATTTATTTACTTGGACTTTCTTTCTGTGCTGTTTTGCTCCCTGGTCCTCAAAGCTACATTTCTCCTCCCCCTCTGTCAAACCCCATCCTGCAGTTTACAAGCCCCCCTTTCCGAGACCTCCACCCCCATCCTCCAGCAACAAAGATAGTGGAATTTTACAAAGGTCACACAAGTAAGCAAGGGGTGAGCAAAAACAGGAGATGGTGATGGAAGACCAGGGGAACACTTTGGTTTGTGTTTCCGATAAGAGGGAGGCCCCACACACCTCTACTTTTAGGAAAATTACCCAGGAAGAACCACACACACACACACACACGCACACACACACACACACACACACACACACACACACACACACACACACACACACACACACACACACACACACACACTGATTTATTTAATCCTAACAGGTGTATTTTTGATCATTCATGTCCCTGTTTGAAACTAAACAATTAACATCTCTGACCTTACATCTAGTACCAAGACAAAATAGGACAGACAGAATGTCCCTGTTGGCCCAAGAGCATAGGTTAAACCTACAGAACGATGTTAAAGCACTTCCTGTATTTTGGCAAACATTTGCAAGTTTTGATCTGGTTGGTTAAAACTGTCCCAGAAGCTCAAGAGCTTCCCTCAATTGTACTGAGTTTCAGATTTAAAACTAGCCTGTTGAAATAAGACAAGAAGACAAGTAATCAGGTTGATTCATTTATTAGTAAATCTTGGATTATTTTGAAGTTAGAAATGGTCCAATTATAAAACTTTAATAAACATTCGCCACCAGCTGTGATTATCAATGTAAATATGGTGTGAATGGGTGAATATAACATGTAATATAAAAGGTTTTTGAGTAGTCAGAAGACTAGACTGTATGAATATAGTCGGTTTACTGTCATCCCACTCAGTTTGTTTCAAACATAACTGCTTTCACATCTAATTTTAACCTCAAAACTTCAAACTTCTTGAAAGACATTAAGCTCATTCAGAACATCATGTTCAAGGTTTTTAAGAAATTTGACCCATTGAGAATGAATGGCTGAGATTATTAAAAACATCATCATTTCAAGCTTTTTTTTCTTTAAACTTACGCATACATCATTCACACGCTCACAGTGGAATTTGATTCCATCAACGTCAGGGTTTTTTTTAACTATGATTCAACACTCACTGTCAACTAAATGCACTGTAAACCAGCACAGCCCACTCAATTAGTCTCATGAAAAGCTTTCATCTTCTGAACACAGGCCTGAAGAAAGGGGATAGACCCCTCCATCAGATATGAAGGGCTATAGGTTGTGGTCCTTGGTTCTAAACTGGTGGGTTAGGGCTTAAAAGTGGGTCACGGGGGCCAGCTCCAGTGAGACATGTGCCTAAGATGTGGAGCAGCCGCACCTTTGTTTTGAGGAACATGTGCTTCCTATGACACAGTGCACTTAAAGTAGTAGTGTGTATTATTCACACGTTAGTTGTTAGTTCAGAAATCTAGGGCAAAATTGTCATCAAGAGAATGGCCATGGATTCTGAGGATTTAAACAAGAAGTTTATATTAAAGTGGGGCAAACAAACTGGTGACCCCATTGCCATGAAATACTCCAGTGTAGTCCTGCTCCAGTACCAGCGTTGAGTACAAAACATCTTGTCAAAAGAACATGAAAAACTCGCTAAACTAGGTGCTGCTTACATAGAAATGCACAAAGCGGTAAATGATAAACTTGTCGTAGTTGTGTGCATAACTCACTGTTTTTTCTCTGTTCACTTTAGATTCAGATTTATACTTTCCCACTGAACTCATGCAACTTGATGAATGTTTTCATTTAATTAAAGCAGTGTAATGTCTAGCTTGATGAGCAGGAACCTGATGAGCCACAAGGCTTTCTTTATTCTGACAGACAGGTCTGCTACAGTAGATACACACCTCAAGATCAACACAGACGCATATTTCATAGCACATTTTAATAAGACTATGTGAACAGTGGTTGGCCTGTTCATGTTAGAGATACCTGGCTAATGAGACTTAGTTGCATGAAGTGTTGTATGAAGTACTAAACAAATATACTTGAGTTGAATTATGGTTACCTTACCAGAGAATGACTCAAGTCAAAATGATAGTCTCCCATGAGAACTCTACTCGAGTCAAAGTCTTAAAGTATATCACATTCTCTCTACTTAAGTATCAAAAGTACTCAGGTTAATATTCTCCAAGTAAAAGTAAAAAGTCAAATTACAAATAAATGTATTTTTATTTTTTGCGAAAGTCACTTATGCCCAAATAAGCACAAATTTTTAATAACTGGACACACACAGAGGGGCACACACACACACACACACACACACACACACACACACACACACACACACACACACACACACTGCAGACATGCCTTGGATTAAGTGATGGACAATGATCAAGCACAATGCAAATCAACATTAGGGAAAAAAGAAAAAAAAAATTTCTCCCTACCTGCTGTGATAGTAATGAAGTAAAAATAGTAGTAGTGAAGATGCTTCTGTGAAATTAAGTGGAGTGAAAGTATACTTTTATGGTAGAAATGTAACCAAGTAAAAGTGAAATTCGTAGGCACAAAAAGAAACTCCAGTTAAGTACAGATACAGTACTTCAAAATTATACTCAAGTACTGTATCTAAGTATTGCCGCTTACTTACTTTACAACTCTGGTTTCATGTTAAGTCCAACCTCTATGCAGGGCAATCCCTGCCCAAGAAGGTAAATGTGAATGATACCCGGAAATGGGCACTCGCTGTGATGGAGATCCTAGGAGCTCTGTCATCCCAAGTCCAGTGCTGTACAACTTTTCATGTGACCTAAATAAATGTTTTATCTGAGAACTGAAGATTTCTCTGGTTGTCCTTGAGCAGTCAACTAAAGAACAGATTCTTACAAACTATTGCTGCATGTTGGCTGTTCCGTCACTGGAAGGTTCCATAGCAAAATCTCTAAACGACCACATGGAGTAGCAACAGGCAGATCCAACGAGAACTGTGGATTCGCATCAATCGCCTGTGTTATATTTGCAGTTTGTACTCACTGAGCTGTCAAAGAATACTTTTATGTACAAACATCAGATGGTTACTCCAGAGATTGAGAAATTGAGCTAATGCATGAGTGTTAAAACTGCTGTTCCTGGAGTGTCCCCTTGATAAACTTGCATCCAGAGCAGCTCTTCTTGGTAGCAAAAAATAAACCCATTTACAGCCTGGTACAAAAAACAACCCTTACCAAAAAGAAGTATGTTGAAGTGTACTTCAAGTATACCGTTTTTAAACTAAGCATGCTTACAGTTAAAAAGTTAATGTTAAGTATACTTGGCTTGTACTAAGAATTATACTAAAAATCTAAATATATTTAACCTATACTTTTCAAAAACTTTTGATCAAGATATACTCCAGTATGTATTTGTACCTTACGTTTAAGTATACCTGACTTGAACTACTTTTCTTTTAAATAGTATACTTTATAAGAGTATACTATAGTATACTAAGCGTATACTTTTATATACTACTATAGAAATACTGGCATACCAAAAAAAAAATTTTAAGATTTCAGAGTGGGCACACAGATGGCTGAGTGGGTTGAGACATGCACCATGTAAGCCAGGTCCGCCGCGCCGACATGGCGTTCCCAAGCACAATTTGGTATTTTGGTGAGCAGCACAGCCCGGCGTAAGTATCTCCCCTCCCTAACTCAGCTCCTCCCAGCGGCGTAAGTCGCAGCGAGGGAGGAGAGAGGGCATGGAGTGGATTTAACACAGCCGAGACCTGTATTGACCAATAACATCAGCTCCTCTCCTCGCCTTTAAATCAGCCATCGGCGAGGCATATTACTATTTTCGTGAAATAGTCAAAGAGATCAAGGTATGACTGAAGACAGTAATGCCACACAATGGCAACAGAAGGCAGCTCCTCAACAAGTGTCGCTGTAAACGCTGCAGAGGGCATCCTTCACACTGTCTCATATGAGCACAGATGGATTCGATGTGTGTAAGTTTGGACCCACTAGTAAGACAAACACCCTTTCCACAAATAAAGACACTCACATAAAGTTGCATATATTCAAACCTCACATGACAAAGGTGGGTTGTGCGCAGCGATCACAACATAAACTCCAAAAATAGCATTAAAATCGGAACCATCTGTGCATAATGACGCATCGCGCTCCGTGGCCTGGCTCTTTCTTTCCTAGATTTTGGCATATAAAATAAATTTGGCTCACAAAACTGAATATTATAATATTTGTATGAAGGCTTAAAGTAAAAAACTCATCTGATCACCGAAACAAATCATCTGTTTAGCCGCTGCAGCAGCAGCTGCAGCAGGACGGGGAGAGGACACAGAGACGTGTCCAGGTCGAGCTGTACGAGAAATAAGAGGAAGAGGAAGAAAAAAAAAAGGAGGGAGACCAATCTTGTTAACTTCATCATGTGTGTCTATATACTAGATATTTAATTGCCACCCTCCGCCACGATGAGTACACGATGAAGGTAAAATAAAATGGGTCATGTTGAGTCCTGCTGTTGAAGGCTCAAATTGAAACCTGTCCAAATAGGAGGGCGTTAGCATTCAGACAGCAAACAATGGAAATCCATGTAAGCTGAGGAACTGCAGGTGTAATATTAACTCTGGGTAAAACCAGTCTGACAGCCACACCAGAAAGACCAAGAACATACAGGTAACAGTGAAAGCTGGTTTTTAATCTCCTGTGTGATGAATGAAGAAACAATGCTCTGATTATGTATTCAAGGTCTGAATGACCCCCTACTGTTACATTCACATGTCCACAGCAGTCATAGGAAGTGGCAGGGTGGCAGACAGCAGGGAAAAACTGCCCTTCAGCTATGACCCTCTAGTTCAAGATCCTGTCTTGGACAAATATTTCCACTGCACTAAAGCACTGTGCTGTTCTTGTGAAGACAGCAGCGTTTGTTTCTCAGAAGAATTGCATCACTTATTTACTAAATATACTCTACTGGCACTCTTTGTATGGTAAGTTGGTATCAGTTCCCTGTTATATACACAGACAAGGTCAACTTTTCCATGTAACTGACAGAGAAAAGCTTCTTAGCATTTTTTGAGATATGGTACGAACAAAGACCAAGAAAAATAAGGACATCCCAAGACAGCCTTGTGTTCCTCCAGGGTGATACATACAATCACACAGTATGATTTCTATTTCAGCCCGGGTTTGATATAAAGTGAATAGGAAAATGGTGAAAGCCTGCATATTTAGACAACACACAAATGAAATTAAATCCCAGTACAGTATGAATACACTTCAGTTTGATGTTTGTTACCAAGATGTGAGTTTAACTGTCATGCTGATATGCTGTCACTAAATTTTTCTATGCGCCAAGTGTTCATGTTTTCCCCCTTTTCTTTACAATCATCCAAAGATAATTCTTTGTCTCCAAAACCAATTGTAGTACTACAGACATAAAGAATACCATAAAATGTGTAGTTTCAAAGGAGCAATAACACAAAACACAAATATCACACAAAGTAAAATGAAGCCACTACAGCAGTCAATACGGAGAAAAAGCACAGTCTTATATAACTTTATAAAGTGTGCATTTAAGAGGTACAATATGGGTTGATGTCCTGCAGGGAACACGTTATGCAACCTGATGCACAACGAAACAAATCCAACCATTTCCACCGCCGGGAAACAGTTCTGTGGAAAATTCCAGGGTCCAGTATGTTCTCAATTAAGGCGGTCTCTACTCCACCATGAAACACAAGAACCAGCAGAATGACTCAGCACTCTTTCTGCACACTGTGCCAATGACTTATATATCGAGGAAATTTCATTCGTATCCATTTTTTTTAGGAAGTTTATATAACTTCCTGAAATGTATTCCAGTTTTTTTGATAATCCACTCAGACTGCACCTTCCTAAATCACTTTACCAGTGTGTTCAGTCAAGAAGAGTAAAAATACTTTGGCACTAGATAAATGGACAGTGTTATTGAGGTGGAAACTTTGGAAATGTTGTAAGTGCATTTTTGCCTTTATTTCTTTTAAAGTGGTCAAAAAGAGGAACTTTCTTCCATGGAGGTCTGAAATAAACAGAAACATCCGGTAAACTAACAAACCACAATCTGTTTAATCACAGCAGGGACTTCCTGGGTGATGCTCCTTGGTTGTTAGCACAGCTTCAGCATCCGGGTTCATGTACCGCGTCACCACAAAGGACATTTGCGTAACACTCACCACAGTTGTGTTGAGACAGCTTCAAGTTGACATTCATCAAGACACAGAGTCATAAACATTTCAGCCTGCTTTGACCCGCTTCAGCTTTACATAACCGTGAGAGATGTTTCCTTTGTATCACTTTGATTACACAAACTCCTTACTGTACAAGATGTAACCTGATGCCTCCTTTTTGAATTTCAACATTCAGGTTTCTGATGAAACTCTTTAAGAAGTGACAAAGTGTCCTGAAAAACACAACTGTGGTATGTGGTTATATAACCATTGAGAGCATTAAACTGTCAGCATTAGCCAATCATTTTTCTCTTTGATAACTAGAGGGCATTAAAGCTACAGTGTGTATTTACTAGCAGTATTTGCTAGAGAAGCCTTGAGAGAGTGTAATAACCCATAAACTGATCATTCTTTTTGTTTTCCACAGCTTCGAATGACGAATGATGGATATAAAAAGTCTACACACCCTTGTTCAACTGCCAGGTTTTTGTTATGTAAAAAAATTAAATCAAGATAAATGATTTCACAACTTTTTCCACCTTTAATGTGACCTATAACCTGTACAACACAACTGAAAAACAAACAGAAATCTTTCAGGGAGGTGAAGTAAAAATAAACAAGTAAGATCATCAGGTTGAATTTGAGTCAGCAAACATCTGTCACCGATTAAAGTGCCTCTGATCAACCCCAAATAAAGTTCAGCTGTTCTAGTAGGCTATTCCTGACATTTTTGTAGCCACATCTTCCAGCACAAGCCATGGTCCGCAGAGAGCTTCATCAGAGGGATCTCATTATTCAAAGATATCAGTCAGGTGAGGGCTACAAAAGAATTTCCAAGGAATTAAATATACCATGGAACACAGTGAAGACCGTCATCATCAAGTGAAGAAAATATGGCACAACGGTGATATTGCCAAGAACAGGATGTCTGTCCAAAATTGATGATAAGACAAGAAGAAAACTGGTCAGGAAGGCTACCAAGAGGCCGACAGCAACACTGAAGGAGCTGCAGGAATTTCTGGAAAGTACTGGCTGTGTAGAACATGTGACAACAATCTCCCACTGTCTTCATATGTCTGGGCTATGGGGTAGGGTGGCAAGATGGAAGCCTTATCTTACAAAGAAAAACATCAAAGCCCAGCTTCAAAAAAAGACAAAACGACATCTGAAATCTCCCAAACGCATGTGGGGAAATGAGTTATGGTCTGATGAAACCAACGTTGAACTTTTTGGGCATCATTGCAAAAGGTATATTTGGCGCAAAAACAACACTGCTCATCACCAAAAGAACACCATACCCACAGTGAAGCATGGTCGTGGCAGCATCATGCTTTGGGGCTGTTTTTCTTCAGCTGGAACGGGTGCCTTAGTCAGGGTGGAGGGAATTATGAACAGTTCCAAATACCAGTCAGTGTTGACACAAAACCTTCGGCCTTCTGCTAGAAAGCTGAAGATGAAGAGGAACTTCTTTTAGCACGACAATGACCCAAAGCACACATCTAAATCAACAAAAGAATGGCTTCACTGGAATAAGGTTGAGACTTTGGAATGGCCCAGCCAGAGCCCAGACCGGAATCCCATCGAACATTTGTGGGGTGATCTGAAGAGGGCTGTGCACAGGAGATGCCCTCGCAATCTGTCAGATTTGGAGCGGTTTGGCAAAGAAGAGTGGGCAAATATTTCTACATCAAGATGTGCCACGCTGATAGACTCCTACCCAAAAAGACTGAGTGCTGTAATAAAAGCCAAAGGTGCTGCAACAAAGTATTAGTTTAAGGGTGTGCATATTTATGCAACCATGTTATTTTAACTTTTCAATTTTTTATTTTTCCCCTTTAAGGTTTCAGTTTGTTTTTCAATGGCATTCTACAGGTTATAGGTCACATTAAAGGTGGAAAAAGTTGTGAAATTATTTATCTTGCTGTCATTTTCTTACATCACGAAAACCTGGCAGTTGAGCAGGGGTGTGTAGACTTTTTATATCCACTGTATATATATTTTTATTTAGGATTTATTTGGGGCTGTTTATGTCTTTTATTGATAGATGGAGGATGGTAGATAGAGCACAAAATGAGTAAGAAAGCAAGGAATGACATGGAGGGCAGACGCCACGGGGGAACTCAAACCTAGGGTCTGCCTAGACTGCTAGGCTATTTGCACCCCAGTCCTTTTATATCTACATAACAAGTGGGTCCCCTTTTACAGACACTGCCATCTTGCACTGCCATGTCTCTGCCGCACAGAACAGACACATTAGTAACACAGGCGTCTTTATGTATCAGGGTCTTTTTGTCCATGAAGGCCACCACTGCTTTTGGAACTTCACCAATCAGAGAAGTGAGCAAGAGAGCATTTCAATGTAGGATGTGAATTTTCCATTCCATCACTCTTTGCCTTAAATTGTTTGTCTGTTTGCTTGAACTACATGTTTTAAAAATTGTGTAGAATAGGTGACCACAGTATCTTATAGTATGGCCTTAATCACAATTCAATGAGAAAATTCTTCATACCAAGTCATTTTGCTGAGACAATGAGCCATTATCATTAATTTCTGTGATTGTTATTATTTTTATTTTTATTATTTTTTTATTTTGTTATTATAATGTTATTTTTCAGTGATTGCATAATGGCCTTCTTAAAGACACAGCAAACCTGGGGTACATGGTGCACGATTTCTTGGAACTCCTATTCGGAAATTTACCAGCAAGCTTGCCAGTGGTCTTGTATGGGAAACAGTGATCTAGAGGAACTCCACTGAGACTAAAATATGATATGTTAGACAAAATAGGGTGCATCAGAGTTTAAATGGTAGCATTGTAAAGGTGATTTGTGGAGGGTCCAATTTCAGTCTACTCTCCTGGGAAAAAAGCACTGCAGACCAGCACAGCCCATTCAATTAGGACATTAGTCTCATGAGAAGCTTTCATTACTTAACACAGACCTGAAGAAAAGGAAAAGCCTTCTTTGCCAGAGGATGAATGATCACCATACCTGAAGAAGGATGGGGGTATATTCATTAGAATGAATACTTCAGGACATTAAAAATAGCCCAACAGAAGCATCTGCTCACTGTCTGCATCCTCCTGACTAAATGCTTCCAACATGTTATTGAAGGAGGCCTAAACCATCAATGGGAAAGGAGGTCATCTACTGACAGAAAAATGAATTGCAACTTATTTATTGTCTCAACACTAAAGTACAAAATGTTCTCAAAACTGAAGCCACGCAAATCTAGTCTCTTTTCAGTATTTTCAACATGCACTTTGGACACATTAGAATACCCCTCTTACAAAATAGGGTAACTCAAAGATAAGTCCATCTGTTTTAATGGAAAAAAAAGAAAAAAAAGTAAGCAGAAACACCTCCTATTTCCACTTATTTCATCAGTTATTTTCAAGAACAGTATGTAATTTTTGAGCTGCACACATGCACAATAATAAGATGGGCTCTCACATAGGATTTTCTTTGAGCCCCTCTTTTTTTCCGCTTTTGTCTTTTTTTGCACGGTGCTGGGGATTTTCCATCAGTTGTGTTAGTCCTGTGACAATGACAATTACAAGTAAACAGCGACATCTTCTGGCCAATATATGAAATTACAAGCAGACGGACCCGAAAGCCTCATGGCCATTTGTTGCCATTATGAATGTATTGTTAACATTATGCCGTCTTTGAGAAGGGCTTTTACTGCACTTATATCATGTTAACTCTGAAATCATCCGATTATTAATAGGTATTCAAAGATCAACCACGTTTGCTTAGCTTATGTTTGGCCTTACATCCGGAATCTCATGACCATTAACAACCAATTGAAATATCCATAAGCAGCCGTCCTCACTCACACATTCATGACATAGAAAACACGGTTGAGTTAAAAGTTTATTTTTAATGCCTGTTTGAGTAACCGTTTTTAAAAATTCCTTGGATACATTTAACTCTTTATAAAACTTTTGTCATAAATTGACTTCAAAGTTATCACACATCTTAACATATTTAGCGAGACAGAGGCTACATCTATTTTTATCGCATTTTATTGGTACTGAATGCCCTCAACCTTTGACACCGACCGTGTGATTTAGTCAACAGGCTATATACAAACGGGTAGTGAGCAAAGTCAGTGAAATGTAAGCTGAGCCAGGCCTAAAGAATATCATCGCTGCTGCTGACTAGCAGGATAGATGCTGACCCACAGACACGTCTGCTGCCAAACCCCGCCTGTAAACACCACTGGACGTTTTCCATAGACTTATAGCCTACCAGGCTAGGAGTGCTAGTACATCTCTATGGCATCCCTTGGACCTGACCTGCTCGGAGGGGCCCGCGGGGTAAGTACCTCAGTAAAATATTTTCTAATTTATGAGGCCAAAATCATAAGGGCTTGTAGGTGGGTAATCTGTTTGATGGACAGATAGACTGAGCTCTGCAGAGGACCATTTGTTAAACTTTGACATACTGGTTGTTGCCTACCTGCAAGGTGTAAGGTGAGCATTTGATACTAGGGAATGCAGCAGTGAAGTGTTTGCAAGGAATGTTGAGTTGAAAAGGCTTTTATGTGATGAAAATAACACTGTTCTTTAATTCAAATTTCCAGGGATTTACAAGGAGTACATAGCATAAGGAATTCCCTGTGACTATTTCATGTCACCTTTTAAAAGTGACCATGGCTGATGAACTCTCATCAAGGATGTCTGACAGGGGAGATTTATTATGGAAACATCAAGAAAGGCATTGTGTCATTCCGTCTTCCTCTGATGGGCATATCACGATTGAAACAAATACTGTGAAGACTGTCACATCAGTCGGCAATATTTGTGAAGGTGTGAACTCATTTTCAGAGAGCAATGACACTGGGATCCTGTATCTGAATCCTCAAACACCAAAATGGTCTCTGGTGGAGAGGTTTGCTGAGCTTTCCCCTGAAGAGGAATTAAGACCTAACAATGACCAAGACTACAGCAAACAATGCACTAAATCTGCTGAAAACACTGAAGTACATGTGTCCAATGAAAAGCTGTTAGATGCCGAACAAAAGAGGAGGAAGAACTGCACCAAATACCTCAAAAGCAATAGGAAACCAAAGGATGCCGCAACCACTCAGAGGGTTTCTAAACTTAAAGAACGAAATGAGAATAATTCACCATGTCAAAATGGGAATAAGACCAAAAAGAAGATTATCATTAAACGTCCTATTAAGAAACCTAAAAAGTCTGAAGAAGGCAAAATCCCTAAACTGTTACTTGCAATGAAAAAACGTGGTGGTGAAGTTGACACAGACCAGCGTCCCTTCAAGTGCACACACTGCCACTGGGCGTTTAAGAAGCTATGCAACCTACAGAGTCACTTACAGACACACACTGGCCTCAAGCCGCATGTGTGTGACATATGTGGCAAGGCCTACTCACATCAAGGCACGCTGCAGCAACACAAGCGTCTACACACAGGTGAAAGACCATATCACTGCCCCTTCTGTGTCAAGACCTACATCTGGTCCTCAGATTACCGCAAGCATATACGCACTCACACTGGTGAAAAGCCCTACGTCTGTGACACCTGTGGGAAGGATTTCATTCGCTCCTCTGACCTGCGAAAGCATGAGCGGAACATGCATACCAACGACAAGCCCTTCCCATGCAAGCACTGTGACAAGACCTTCAATAAACCCCTCTCCTTACAGCGGCATGAGCGTAAGCACCTTGGTGAGAGGCCCTTCTCCTGCCCTGACTGTGGTAAGACCTTTGCCTTGGCCAGCCGGATGGTAGAGCACCAAAAGGTCCACACTGGAGTGCGACCGTTTGTCTGCTCTGTGTGCTCCAAGTGTTTTACAAAGTCCTCCAACTTGGTTGAACATGAGGCCATTCACAGCGGAGAACGACCTCATAAATGTACGGAGTGTGGCGTGGCATTTGCCATGGCCTCCCGCCTCGTCCGTCACCAGTTTATCCACAGCAAAGACAAACCACACAGCTGTACAGGCTGCAGCAAAAACTTCTGCCACTTAGCTACACTGAAGCTTCACCAGGAGCAAACCTGTGCTGGGAGGATCTTTGTCTGTGTTGAATGCAACAAATCCTTCCAATGTGCAACAAAGCTTACACAGCATATGCTGGACCACAAGAACTTAAGTGTCTGAGTCTGTGTAATGACACTTAACCTGATAATCCATTACTGAGCTGGATCTTGTCACACAAATTTTTAAGTTAACTACTCTTACAATGGTGTGACTATTTCAAATATGCAGCTCCAGATACTTAAGATCCATTCAAGGTCAAAGGGCACGAGTTTATTTATAAAAAGGTATGTATTCACTATTTATATATATGTGCCTTGCAAGTTTTGAGACTTGTTGCATGAACTTCATTTTGCTTCGTAGTATTTGGTACCCATGAAAATATTGTAGGATATGAGTTACCGCACACATGGCACTGGCACTGGGTCTGGCAGCTTAATAGTGTAATGCCTAAGCGCATACAGGAGTACTAAGATTACAAATACAGTTTGTACGACATTGCAACATTGCGTCGTGGAAATGTTGTTGAGATTATACTGATAAATTTCCACTGATGATTTATATGCATGTCTGGCTTGTTTTGTATCTTAGTACTATGGGGGTACATGCTGACCCACTCCAATTAGGAAAGGCACTGAGCATTGCATTTCAAAAGGCTCATCATTTCCTCGCCTTGAAATCGTGGATGCACAGAGATTTAAAATGCCTAACTATAGCACCATTGACACTAGATCACACACACATGCATGACATTTTTAGAAAGTAGTGCTTATCATGCATCCTGATGCCCCAACACATAAAGGGGCTGCTTAATGCACCCAACTCATCAATACTTTTCATACACACAATTTAACACCAAAATCAAAGCTTACTATTCTCAGGTGTAGTTTGTTTCTATTGTTCAGTGAGTTTTGATGCACTTTTTCTTGATGCACAGGCAGGAAAGCCTCCAATGTTTTGACATGTTTGAGAGCCAGTTATTACTATCGAGGAACCTACGGCTGTATATAAGGAAGTGACTGTTGACACACAGTTTTTTTGATTGAATTTTTTTAAACTGCTGCTTTTTTTTTCTTGTGGAGACAGAGGTTTACCAGTTTTTAGCTTGGGGGTGGCATTGCCATGTTTTCATCCTGATAAGGTTGCCTTGGTTGCTCTCTTGTCGCCTAGGTAGGGATGCTCGAGAAGCTCCTGCTGACTAAATTGGATCTCTGTTTACACAATGAATGTCATGCTGTAGAACCAGCCATTGTGACCATAGCAAAACAAAAATTTCATGGAAAATGCTCACTGGTAATGCCTATTTTCTCTTATAGCCTGTGATTTCCAGATGCAAGGGTTTAGCACTGTGGCATTAACTCTTATATCAAACGACCACACCCACTTCTTATGGCAGGGGCACATTTTTGATCATTAACAGACCAGAGTTTAAACTCTTCAGGGAAGCTATCGTACTTATCAGTCATTGCTTTTTGCAAGTGAAGGTATCTGTGTGGAACATAAGCACAGATTTTTGACTTCATGGTGCCTTATATGGATTTAGTGCTTCACAGCATAGCTATTTTGATGTTGGATGTTATGTTTTGCTCGAGGTTTAGATTCTGTATACAAGTGTAATTCTCTTCACAGACAAAGTAGATTCACTAAATTATTGATGGAAATAATTTAGAAAATTAGGATGTCTTTTAAATGGTGCAGAGGTAAACCTGGAAGGAATGACTTTTCAGGTGAGTCTGCAGGTAAACTACAAAAGCACCGGGCATTTGTTTGGCTGAACAAGTTCTAAGTCAAAATTACAATTTTTCATTCTTAAAATGATTTTTTTAAAGTCCATAACCATTTGATAACCCCTACAAATTATCCTGCAACCTCAATGAGGTCGGCACCCCAAGGTCAATAATCACTGCTTTACTGTGATTATACCACATCACCAACCCGAATATGTTATAAACTTAGCTCTAGTGGATTAAAGGAAAAAAATATTGCTCACAAATTAAGTGAAGAATGCTATAAAGATCGTATGCACATGTATCACAATGACAGTTAATTTAAATGAACTGCATTTTTTTTCCTTCTGCAATGATCTCTGTTTTTATAAAGGACACATTAAGTTTCTATGACAATAAAGTTTGATTGATGACTTGTTGGCCTGGATCTGTGTCACGGAGGGAATTTTAAAGATGCTATTTAAAACCATCTCTCCATTACAATTAATAAAGATGAGTTTATCAGGAAGTCAGCAGTGACTCCCCTCCTGCCTGTCAGTGTGTGCAGGATTCCAGACCAACACATCCCACCCACACTTGGCAACTGCAGACTAATGGTAAAAGGAGACGCCACCTGCCGTGTTGCCACTTACGCTTGTAAATCAAGTACGACCTACCCCTTGGTACCTCTTTCCTGGCAAGATGCATTGAAACTGGTGACTGACTTTGACTTTGCTGTTATCAAAATTAAAATGAAAATCAAAAAATCAAAATAAATGCAAGCTATGAAGAAGGCAGAAGCATTTAATGAGGAATTACTGGTATATAACATTACACTGATGAACTGGTAATTAATATATATCTTGTGCTGGTACAAAGGTACAAAACATCAATCTTAAGGGTAATACATTAAGCAAAATGTTGTATGATATAAAAATATCTTCATTACATTCAAACATGTTTTATATACATTTGAAGGAGCATGTTTAAGCATTGTCATCTCTTTGACATGTGTAATAATAAAACTACTAATAAAGACCTTTCCCAGATGAAAGGCACTGTGAATACTATCAGCACATAAACAGTTTGATCCTTTAAGTGTCTGCTGGCGTGATGTGTACGGCTGCTTGGCTGGCTGAGGTATTTCCTTTCTCTCCCCCTCCCAGGATGTGGTATCACCCATTTTGAAACTCAGCAACATGAGAACCTTGTAATTAATTAGACTTATCTCGTTTGTCCAATTTTACCTGCAACAAACAGCAAACTTTGCTCACCTAGCTTCAAAGATGGCTTCTAAGTGGCTAATACTGTATATTCGAGCAGCAGTGAGTGCCGTTTTAGTTTGCGTTGCATTTATCTTGAGTGTAGTCTTTCTGCAGTTTCCTGAAATGCTCACAGGAGCAGTCCAAAGCATTCCCCTGCTAAACTAAAGCCACAAAACAAATCTTACACGTTAATTTTATTGGGATCAATTAATATATCCCTTTCCAGAGATATCCTGCATCCATGGGTAATTTCCCTTCTGTCAACTTAGGTAAGCAATGCTCAGCAGTTTCTGTAACTTATGTCACTGCGATTTGAGTTCCCTGTGCTGGTACATCGAAGTATTTCTATATCTAAACTGCAACATGATGGTGGCAAGCTGTTCGTTTGAAAGGGCATTCCTAAAAAAGAAATGTAGTAGCAGGGGGGGCAGATGGGCTCTTATTGGTGGTAAGGTAGGTAGTAACATATCCCAGCTTTGGTTTTAGTGGTGTCAGTCATCCTATAAACACACAAGACTTAACATCAATATTAAATGAACAAGCAGTAATATATCTTCTATATGTAATCATTTGATACTTACATTCACCTTCATTCACCGTCATTCACCTGTGACACAGGCACGTGATTTGCTCCCCAACTGCTGGCCTGTGAAGAAGATATACAGATATTTATAGAAAACGATCATATTTGCGTCGTTCAATCTGGGGGAAATGTCACGACTGAAAGCAAGTGCTTTAAATTTCATTACGGACGAAACTGCTGGCTGCATTTCATGACTGTGCTTTAGCCAGAATATGAAACTGGACACGTTGGTCAGCAACTGTGTTAATGGCGGAGACATGGCTCCTCTTGGGGTCAGTTACCTCAGATATCCACCATCATAAAAGAGGAATGTGGAATTTAGCAACATTTTTATGATTTGAAATCTCAACACTATAAAAACAATTTCAACATAAATAAAAATACGAAATCAATGTAAATATTTACCTGCTTTCCTCGAAAAGGGATTAATCCCTGCAGAGGTAGACTGGGGTTGGAACATGCCAGGAGGGGCAGAGGCAGGTGGAGGAGGGGGAGCAAAGCCAGCACTGGGTGGCAGCATCTGAGAAAACATACAAATACATCAGGGTGTGTTCATTATCAACAAATGTAAAAGTCAATTATGACTGATTGTTTGATTTATTTGACTCTTACTGTCTGAGCTGCACCTCCAGGCTCTGTGCTCTCATTAGGGACATCTTTGGGCTTTGATTTGAACCACCCGCTAAACCAGCCCCCCTTTGAGCTCTGAATGAAACAGAGAAAAAGAGGCACAGATCAAATGCAGTTCAGCAAGTATGATGTGTGCAGTTTAGCTCCCCTCACCTGTTTTGGAGCCTCACTGGTCACCTCAGAGGTCTCTAAATGCTGTGGGATACTCTGTTGGCTCTGCCCCAGCTGACTGGTGGTGACTTGTGGTATCTGACCCCCCATCTTCAAAGGGGCGCGCACAAAGACATACAATGGAAACATGTTCTATACATTTAAAACATGATTAAATCAGCTTTGTAAAACCCAAATATGATTGTTGTCATCTCATAATAATGAAACTACTCACTGTGCTTTCTCCCAATGAAGACCCTGAAAAGCAATGAAATGAAAATATCACGCATTAGCACATTCAGCACCATTTAAAGAAAGAGAGGATGAAATGACTGCTGTGAAACACTCTGGATTCCCACCCTCTGCTGATGATGGCAGATTATTCTGAGAACAATGTGGCAAAGCAGTTTTGACTTCAGCACTATCTGTGTTATGATAACTGAAGTCCTGGCCCGCAGCCACTGCAAGCACTTGGGGGGTATAAACCTCTGTTACTGGCATGGGATGATTGGCAGGTGGCCTAGACAGAGCAACAGGGAGAGAGGACGGTGACATAACAAGGACCACGAGGACTGGGTTTTATGTAAGGTAGAAGCTCTTTGACAGAAGTAAAGACAGCATGTTGTTGTACCAGTACTGGGCTCCCTGTGAGTCCCATGAGGAGGCTGTCATTTCCTCAGGGTTCCCTTCATCTTGATGCCAGGGGTTTACTTGATCCTCAGAATCTCTGCGATAAAGGAGTTCCAGGACTGGACTCTGAATGTCATGCAAGTCTGATTCTGTAATAAAACCAAAGTGAAAGTAAAACTGTCAAGTACTTCCAGGAGTATTTATTTGCCACAGTGTACATATTTGAACTCATGAGATGATGAAAAGTACCTGAGCAGGCTCTGCTATCCTCATGGGCTACAGCCTTTCCCTCAGGCTGGTATGTGTCTGTACAGTCATAAGTTCCTGTCTAAGCAGAAATAAATAAACACCTCAGTTATAATGATTTGGTGTCTGCTGAAAGGTCTTTCAGGGGCTCTAAGAAGCAACAGTCGTCATGCGAACACGCTCACTTTTCTGAGATGAGGTGTGGCTCTTCATCTTCAGGGGGCATGCTAACAGTAACTTATAACTGCAAACATTAAATTCAGTAGACATTGATGCGAATGTCAAAAGTTTTGTAAATATTTAGTCAGAGATGTTACAATATCATTTAGCAGACACTTTTATCCAAAGTGAAGTACATCCAAGAACAAGAAAAACACGAGAAATGAACAAGACCAGTAAGAGCAACAAAGTGCTTCAAGTCCATTTGGACACAGGTACTGCCACAAGTGTTAAAGGCAATATACAAAGTGTAGAAAGAATTTTTTTTTTTATTATTAGATAAGAAACATCAACAATAAAGCAACCGATCATCAACCTACAACCTTTTATCATTCAAATTCAACTTTATGTATATGGCACTTTTCGTACAAGAACGCAATTTAAAGTGCCTCACAGAGGCTAAAAACAACAATAAAACCCAACCCTCCCACCCACACATACGCACACGAGCACGCACAGAGCAAGCGTTTAAGAGATATTGCTAAAGTGACATGGCTTGACACCGAGACATTTGTGTGAGGAAAGCTACCTTTGGGAAACACTGGAGATAAAAAAGATAAAAATGGTAAAAAGAAAGAATAAAACTTGATGGACTAAGGCAAGAAGATAATATAAAAACTAACAAATAAGTAAGAGCTCTTTACCATGTAGAAGGGGTAAAAGAAGTAAAAACATCATTGAAGGGAATTAAGAAATCACCATCAATGATATTGTTTTCACCACAATAATGATCAAAGTACAGAGAGCTGGACACAAAATCCCAGAAGAAGAGGGGGACAGTGAAAGTCACCTATAGCTGGAAGACTCGTTCTACCAACATTGGACGATTGTCTAGCTAAGTGTGTATACAGATGAATATACACATATATATATATATATATATATATATATATATATATATATATATATATATATATTGACCACCTCTAGCAGCAGTACCAATTATGGATTCTTAACAAGGCTTTTACTACACTGAGAAACCCAGTCAAGCTGCATAAATGTTACGACAGAAAACCAAATGAAACTGTCACCTTTGCTGTGGCTACTATTTTCACATTAACGCAGCATTTAAAGTAAAATGACGAAATTAGCAGGAAACCTAACAGAAATGAAGCACACAGGAGCAGGAATAGTGAATAAGCTAGTACACAGGTATTAAGACATTTTCCTCACCCCCTGTCATGTAGGGGAGACCGGGTCACGCTTTTTACCCTCTTGTATATTTCTTGGAATCAATACATCATATATAAACCAGACCAAAGTCTCAGGTATAAATTTTGTATTCATGTCATTTTTATATCTTGAGTCAGTGCAGAGTTATCAGCAATCAAATAGGGGGTGTGAACATGTGAGATGTTGCCCCACCATCGGATAAGTTGTCTCACTACATGAGGTAAGATGTCACAGTAGATTTTGCAGCTAATAAAACAAGGACAAAATAATTGTTGTTCTCAATTTTTTTTTTTAAGTGTGAGTGAACATCAAATTCAGGCACAGAAAATGTTTTTCATTGAGCAAGAAAAAGTCATTGAACATAGCCATTGAACAAATATTAACATAAAATATGTAACATGCTCTGGTGCTCTGGAGTTTGGAGAGCTGTCTGACTTTGTATTTCGGCTGGGGTGAATGTTTTGCAGTACCGAGCCAAGGTATAGTAGTTGACATTAAAGTCCTTTATTGTACTCCAGATTGATTTATTAGCTCAGGTCATCTGTCTGACTGCCCTCAGCATCACGTTAGGTACTGCACTGCTACGTTCTGTTTTTCTTTTGGAATTCCTGACCATGTCTTTTCACATTCTCCTCTCCTTTAAACCACTCTCTTCTCTGTAAAAATAAAGTCAAAAATTCAATATGAAAACTGCTGAAAAGCAGACTCTCTATGTCAATTTGAATCCCTTTTAAACATGTAACAACTAACCCAAAATGACTGAAACATGTTGCCCCAAACTACCATGTTTGCTAATTCTAGCTCTAGCTTAAAGTTGGTTTAAAATAGAACAATGACTGAGGTATGACAGGATGCCTTAATCTCTCCTCCAACAAGTCCACATGTATCACAGCAAGGATTTTTATCTGGAAGAAGCTTATTTTAAAATATATAAAGTTATTTTTTTTCTTTGGGTTGTGCGAAATGTTTAATTGGTGCTCATCTCAGCTCACAATGTGCTCTTCTCTTCTCAGACAGGACAAGACCCCTGACCATATAAAGGAAAAAAACTGGTATTCCTCTTTTTAGTTGCGCCCTCTGGTGGCAAAGATAATTGCAATGTGACAACTTACCCATGTGACAACAAGCCCCGGTCTCCCCTAATACTTTGCCAAGAAAACTGTTTTCCTTTCTCGATATTCATAATACCTGCACCATATTTACCTGCATTTATTTAGAAAATTGTGGCATGATCTGTCCTTATCCTTGCACTCCACAGAATCAACTGGTGTTTTTAAAAAGCTGTTAAAACATATCTATATGAATAGGTATTTGGCTAATTATCTTAAATGCACTGTATTGTATGGAGCTTAGCTCCTGGAAATCTGTGTTTTACATAATTGCACTTACCTGTGACTCGATGTATTATCTGTGAAAACCACTTTGTAATACCTTCTTCAATGAGCTGGGCAATATCAATAAATTTTGTTTTTCTAATCACCATTATCATTTTGTATTTAAAACAGTAGTTTAAGTCCATGATACAAAAGTTTACAAAAATCTTACCAGTGACTTGACTTGGGAGTTGATTGAATGCAATGAAATGTACTTTATGATCTTGTCTTTAAGACTGATCGTTCAAATATAAGCTGCACTGCTACACCAGTCTGGTCTGAAACTACCACATTCAGTTTCTTTCATCCACAGGTCTGAAGCTATTTACCCACTCCAGTAAATAGCGCTCTGAGTCTTCTGTGATACAGTTGTTTGGGGACATGTTTCTGATTAGTTGCACCTGTAGATGCTCCTGAGAGGTAACTCAAACTTGAAATATTTCTGTAATATTTTAACACTGCTTGACACAAAGTACATATTATTTCTGACTTGTCAACTGAGCCATCTGGAAGTTTTCTCAAGTGAAATGTGTCATTCAAAATGTGGCAGGGGTGTCATTAATTTCCATTATGGCAGCAGCAGGAGGCAGAGGGACCTGCAGCTGCTAATCTTTGGTGTGTCAAAAGGAACAAAATAGCATGCAATTAAAAAAAAGGACCGCATTAATTGCAGGCCTAAATTGCATTGAGATTAACATGTCTATGCTGACAACCCCTACTTCCTACATACCAGACAACTCAATCCAAGCACCAAAAAAGCCAGGTTTACAAATGCTAACTTTGCTGAGGATGTAACCAAAAAGGTGAATAATCATCTTTTACCCAAGTATTTCTCAAATATTTAAAAATAAAAGTCCTTGATTGGCTTGTTTTATAAACATACCTGTAAGCTGTGAAGCCTAGCACGAAGATATTTCAGCCAGTTGGGTTCTTGTTCTTCTCCACTGACTCCAGCTTCACCAAACTGACCTTCAGAGTGTCTCAGCCTGTCTGACAGCTGCACAAAAAAGGAGAGTATATTTGTGCAAAACTGATACCCAGTGTTTTGGGTTAAACATTATTTGTACATGGTAAGTACTGGATTATGTGTGAATACCTTAATAACCTCTCCAGTCAGCACAAAGAAAGGCTCCTTCTGTCTAAGGATTGACTGACCCACCACCTCACAGTAATGAAAGGCCTGAGATGACAGCCCACAGTCCAGCAGTCGACAGGCATACAGGAACTTATACACCTGAGCACAGAGCAAACACACTCATGATGTGACTGTTTTTATCCTGTTTGCTAGGCTATGACTTCAGAATGGCACTACTGTTGAAATCAAGAGTTGAAACTTGAGGTAAAAGGGAGATACCTGAAAGGTTGGTATAAAAAAGCTTTTGCCCCCTAGTGTCTGGCAGTACTCATACAGCTCTGTGCACTGGATGGCTGAGTTCATTGCAAAGTGTTGAAAGGGCAGCCTAAAAGAGGGGAGATTCAGACATTCAAATACAAAAATGACAATTCAGCTTAGTCACAAATAATCGAGCTATTTAAGAGGAGATCTTTGCAGGAAAAGCCAAGAGCTGGGACCTGATTGGCTGAACACCAAAGTCAAACAATAATAAGATGGCAGAGAAAGAAAGAACACATTGAGAATTTCAAGGTGCTGGTCTGATAAGAGAGCTTAGCTAATGGTAGTCGTGACTCTGATTTGGGTTACCCTATTTCCTTTTCCGAACATCAGGATCAGATCGAGCAATAAAGTTATGACTGATTTAAAGTAGGCCTACCTCCCTAAAAAAGCTAAAAAAGTAACAAGGTCAAATAAAAGTGAAAAATGGCATTCATTTCACTGAGCAAATACACACAAATACCTTTAAGGACATTTGACCAAGAAAACAGTGGGACAACTCAAATGATTGGGTATATTTTGAAATTTGAAGAGTGGACGCCACCGTCTTTAAGGTCTTTTTTAACCATTATAGAGTTTGGACAGGTTTTTTTCCCAAACAGATTCTTCGGTGAAACTGCGGCATCAGACAAATGTCCATAGAAATCCTTAAATCTCGGTGTAAACTTTCACAGATGCTGCTAGTTATTATCTTGTTTTTTTCAGTAGAAATTTCTTGACTGGTTAAAGGAGCAATCTTCATTGAAGGCTCTACCTGGACCAGAAAAGGACCTCCAATTAGAAGATAAATGGTTTATATAGACTAAATTATATCCTTTTTGCTTTGTGTTGTCATTCTCAACATTTTCTCCCAAGGTGAATGATTCCCTTACAAAATTATGGAGAAACGTTAAACTGATGAATAACGTCAAGAGAAAACTCACCTGTGGCTGCTGCCTAGAAGAACTAGTCTCTCTGCCTTGTGTGGGAACACCCCAAAGGGAACACCTGCTGTCAGGTAGCACATGTGGGCAGCATGCATCAGGCCTTTGGAAGCTGCACAAGGAGGAGCAAAACATAACATTCATCTCATCTTTCGGTGAAATAGTGACATTATAAGGCATCTGTCAGTCCTTGCATCATTACCGAGAGTGTCTCCCATCATCATGATGGCTCTCTGTTGGACAGCGGGGTCTCCTGTCTCATTGGAAAGCATTACAGCCAGATGTGGCTTCCAGTCTCCCCATTTTTCATCTGCATAGCACTGAAGACACATCATCACAATCATATCAAGCAGACTGACATTTCAGAGTACTTTAACTGTAATAGTGAGGATTAGGGTGCATGACAAGTTAATGTTTTTGGTGTTTCACCATGGCTACAGCCGGAGTTCTCCCAGACAGCAGCTGGAACATAGTCTGGAGGGGATCACTTGCTGTTAGTTGTCCAGTAAACCTGCAAAAAGGAAAATTTGTGTCATTGCACATCATCTTTAAGGCTTTAGAACATGCACATTTGATGAAATACTGCATTTAAACAGACAGCAGCCCATTCATAAGGCCTTACTGCTGCAGCTGCATTTTATAGAAGTGATGCACCAGCTGATGGCTCAAATTCTGCCTCTCTTGTCAATCACAAATCAAAATGAGCTTGTCAAACTATCACCCCTCCCTCATACATTCTTTCAGGGACATATGCTACAGTGGAATTTACTGCTGATGCCAAAATAGCCTTGAAAAAGGGATTGGATTACGTGATAAATAGTTTCCAGAAACTTCAGTTTAGTAATATCCTTCTAATATTTCTCTTTAACAAAGACTGAGCCCTCCCTTAGCAGAAAAAATACGACTGTGAATGATGCAGAGTTTTAATTGGGCTCACTGTATGTTCAGCTAGATTATTTACAGCAGAGTGTTAACAGTCTCTTATGTGCTAGCACTTCACTTTGTGAGTTATTAATAACTCAAAAGCCAAGACAAATTTTGAAAAACAAGGACAGATGTAAAGGGCTGTTGTCGTTACACAGAAATAATTAAGAACTGCTTTATTAATATGAGTCTCCACTTTCAAACAACAAACAAGCACATGCTAAGAATACAACTGAGAAAATGTACACTTGTCTGCTGGCTCATGCAAAGACTGATGACTTTTTACATGTTAATGAGTAAATACTTCTCATGTCTAACTGCTCCAAGTTTTAATGACTATAAAATCCTGATTAAGGGCAATAATTTGTGACACGGCGCTGCCAGGAAACCACAGGAAAGAGATGTTTAATTATGTTCTGCACCAAATGCCACACAAGACATACGTCCAAGCATATACGAGCCTATCCTTCACTTCAAACTGCAGCCAATTTAATTGACTTGAGTGCCCTCACTTGATTTCACATGCAGTAACGAACCTGTTGGTGGGATTAAGTGCCATCTAGTGGTATGGCTGCAGATTGCAACCAATTTATAGGCTTTCAAGCGTATGTTTCAAAAGTCAGTCTTTATGGTTGTTCCTCTGGAAATGAATGCCAAAATCACAGTTCAGTGGCTGAGTATAAACACTGATTTTTCTATCTTTAGAGGGCCACCTTTTGCATATCTAAACTGTGGCTGTGTAAAGGATATGTGACCACACATACAAAGACACATTTCAGTGAAGTTGAGCCAACAGAGCATGTAAAATAAAATCCTTCTGACCCAAACTGGTTTGTAAAACTTCCTGTCAACAAAGTCTCAGTGCCTGCCCTGTTATGACACTGTTGTAGGAGCACAGAAATAATTGGCATGTGATAAAAACTCAAGTGCAAAAGGCTAGGGATATTCTCCAGATAAGAGTGACACACATATGTTATGTTAGACCATGTTTTGCCTATGACAGTTTGGTCTATGAAAGGATTCCTGTTCTGTACTGATTTTGTATTTTATTTTTTTTGGAGCTATAATGTCTGATGACTTGATCATCTCTCACCTGTTAAGCACAGTGGTGTAAGACCTGTTGTCCATTTTGCTGGCCAGAAAAAGTGCATGACCCCACAGGCCGCTGCTCATAGCTGACTCCAAGGCCTCCTGGGAAACACAGAGGAAGGTTTAAGGAATTTATTCTCAGACCCCCTCGTAATATGGGAACACAGAAACTATTAGTTGTTGCCAGTTGTTTATTTCTATAAATAACTGCCTCAGTAAAAGTGTCTCTACATAGAGATTGCTGGAGTTATGACCCTGGGTTTTGTATTTTGTTTTTGTAGTTGTGCTGTGCAGCTTTCCCCTGCAGTGTGTGGGTGGTATTGTGATTATGTCTGTGTCTGTGGGTGATGCTAATGCAGGCACAGCATTCGATGGGCCAGCCTGGACAAAAGTGGTGCTCCTAACTGGGTGGAGATGGTTTTTATCTCTTCCAGCCTTCCGATTGGGAGACAACCGATTTCACCCCTGAGCCACAGCCACCCCTTCAGATATTCAATGAGATATTTGATCTCCCACCACCCTCTGATCTCTGGACTCAGTCTGTCACTCTGTTCTTGAATCGATCACTGATCTATCGCTGGACATTCCCCTGATTCTCATCCTTGTTTTCTATTAAACAAAGCTGGTTGGTCTTCTCTGGCACAGAGGCTTGATGAGCACATGTATATTATCTATAGATCCCTCATTAGACCATAACCTCCATATATTGTATCTATTCTGAGCCCTCAGTCAAACTCGTTCTACTAACTATCAGATACTTCAAATAGCACATGTTTTCTCTGAACTTGGAAAATCTATTTTTAGTTTCTGCGCCCCAAATATGTGGACTTATTCTCAGCGGACTGCAAAGATGGATCCTCTTGTTTCTCTTGGACTATTCAAGTGAATTATCTTAAACCACTTAAACTTTGTGTACAATTGTTGTCAATAAGACAGATATTTGGATTAGAACTTACACAAACACACCAGAAAAATTTTGAGAATTTTGCAGTGTAATTTAAATGTGAGGATGGATCAAACCAAATAAGCAGCAAAAAAAATAGACAAATGTAGAAACCTTCTTCCTCCCAGCCAGCAGCAGCTTGGTGTAGTTTTGCAGTGCTTTTACAGATGTCTCAGAGCTTGAGCTGCTCAGGTTCCCAGTGAGCAGATCATCTCCTTTTCTGAGTGGCTCTTCTGCTGTTGAGCCTTCACTGAAGTCAATGAGTGTTGGAGCATCTTTCTCCCAGCTTCCATCCGAATTTGAGCCCTGCATCAGCAGCTCTGCAATATCTGAGCCAACTATTTGCTAAAACAAGAAAAAAGAGAGTGATAACTGAATCCAAAAAGCCATGAGAACAATTAAAATGTTCATGGCAACACTTGTCTCACTTACTCCATTCTGTCTGCAGAGCAATATGAGTAGATTCCACAGGAGAGCAGCAGATCTCTTATCATGGAGTTTGTCATCTCTCATGCAGTCACCTGCCCTCTGGTGGGCGAACTCTATGGCATCTACTTTGTGCAAATCTTCCCTTTATAAACAAAAATAAACTTTAAATCTATTTAAACATTGAATCCAGGTGTGATTCTCGGATGAGAGCTTTAGGGGTGCTTGAGCACCCAGAGTGCTAGCTGGCCAGGCGAAAAAAAGTTTCGCTATTGTACACACAAATAACTAAACAAGCCTCTAAAACATAAAAAAAATTCTTCTGACAACAAATAGTGAAGAAATACCTCACTAAGGGCCCTGGGAAGTTTCTCATCTCCTGTTGCTCCACTGTCTCGCTCAGTACCACCTGTTTAAAGACAAACAAAAATCCTCACCCTCAGTGTTAAAAGAAAAAAAACACTGTACCTGCAGCCTAATAATGAAATCTTGTATTGCAGTGTTAAACATGCTGTTGGAAAACTTGCCTCCATACTGTGGATTTCCACCTGACTGATGCTCTCCTGTGTGGACAGGCCTGGACTGACACGTATCAGCTGTCCTGCAGGCCCAAAGCTTACTACAGCATGAGGGATGGAAAACTTGAGCGGAGCTGACATCTGATGCACTGAGAAGAAATGAAGAAAGAATCAGAGTGGACCTGAGAGGAAAAAAAACAAAACAGATTTACATACAGACTTACCGGCATCAGATGCAAAGACAGATTCACTGTGTTCAGCTCCATTAATGTACTGACTAAGTTCATAGCTGCTGGAGGACATCCCTGAGTTTTTAGAGCTTTCTAACGTCCCTGGATAATAAGACAAATCCTCTTCATTGTCTCTGGATGGATTATCCTCATAATCTTTGGAGTAATGCTGGGAGTTGTCCCTCCCATGGTCATACCTGTAAGTAAATAATAAACAATATAAAACATCCTCTAAGAAATACAACAGGTCTATGTGTCCACTTAGTTTTTCTTCTACTGCTGCTTTATTCTACTTTGATTCTGTCAATCCTCAAGTCATGAAACTTGAGCTTTTATAACAACATAAGCTGTGAAAACTTTTTTTTAAAGTTAAAACCTTTTGATACTTTTGTAGTTTCATTTGGAACAGCAACAAGAAGAATCAGTTTGTGAAGAGGAAGACTTTTTTCACGCTTTACATATCAAAAGGTGTTCAGTCTGACCCAACACAAAAGCTACACATGTGAACACAGAAAGTTTAGTTTTCCCCCTGGCTTACAGTTAACTTTTTCTTGCAGCACCCTGTAAAAATTAAGGTGAGCAAACAAACTTCATCCTGCCATTTTCAGGACAATTTTTCCTCAATTTTCCATCAGATGACTCAGAGGAGCTCATGTTTAGAGTTTGTTTACAAAGTCATATCAGAAGCTGCACTTACTTGAACTTGTCTGAAACACAACAACATACAGTTCCTGCAGGTCAATAAAACAATAAAACTGATAACCATTCTTATCCTGAGTGTAAAGCACGTGTTGTCATAAATACACACATACTCTCCCTACCATCCATAATGCTTTCTTACCACTGCTGTCAGTATTAATCTCTCATTTGTTTTGTCTTATGCTGTATCTGAATGTTTCTGCATGTGTCAACACTTAGTCTTTATGATTTGTGTTTCTCATAAGGAGGGCCACTCAGCAAGTCTTTCAGGGTTGTTTAGGCTTGCCCTGCACATTTCTTGTCACTGAAATTAGTGGTTAGTTAATGCTCAACTGATCTCTTAAAAATCCACTCAGATGAAAATCCTGTCGTTCTTGTTGTCTACATGTTCATATGGCATTTTTCTGATGCTACAGGACATGTGATGAGAAAAATAAGTGCAAAATTTCATTTCTGAGTATTTCTGCATTCAAATCGCTGTGAATCTCTGGCAGACCCAAACGGCAGGCTCAGATACAGTGAGATTTTCAATGTCACAATTCCAAGCTCTGCCCCTGGAGCCCCACTATGCAGGTCACACTCGGAAAAGTACAGAGGACATTCGTGGAACAAGTGTGTGCATTAGCAGATTGGGGGGATGATAAAAGTTAATATCATAATTAGCTTTTTTACAAGCATTGCAAAGACATTAGGAGCTGAGAGCTGAATAGCTCCTATGTTACCTGCCACCTTACTACACTGGTAATGTTAGGCACCAAGCTAGCATGAAGAGGAGTGTGCAGATCAGCACTGTTTCCGCCCAGGACTCAGAGGTGAATTGCTAATGAGCTACTGGAGCTCTGCAGAAGAAAAGCCCTTGAAAATGACACAAAACTTCATAATCACATTTTAAAGACCACTGAGAACACTTTAAATAGTAAAAGAAAGAAAAAAAAACGATCGGAGTGGGACTTGCAGTCAATTTTATCCCAACTCTCATCATTAAGCTGTCATTGTTGTCTTGCTCTTTCATGCTATATCAATGACTACGAAAGTCATTAGGCAGGTGAGTGAGTGAGTGAGTGAGTGAGTGAGTGAGTGAGTGAGTGAGTGAGTGAGTGAGTGAGTGAGTGAGTGAGTGAGTGAGTGAGTGAGTGAGTGAGTGAGTGAGTGAGTGAGTGAGTGAGTGAGTGAGTGACTAAAGCCAATGAGTAAACTCAGCAGCTTATAGTTTTGAGCGTAAACAAACAGGTAAGAGGAGAGTTGATGACTCTGTTCACACTAAACTGTTTGTCTCTTTTACACTCTTCACTGCCTGCCTTAGCTGTGTGTGTACTCTATTTGTACTGTATTGTGTGTAGACATGCTTTTTCTTATAGAGACACTCACTAACACTGGAGACTGCACCGCCTGCTTACACACTACCCCACCCAGCCCCCATATGTAAACAAGGGTATGCTTTCAGTAAGATATTTCATGTTTGATATCAGCTGATAATTGGGGAAATACTCGACATGAACAAATACCTTTTTTTCACAACCTTAGTGTCTACTTTATCAACCTTTTTTCTATGCAGCAGTACAGCATTTAAGGATGCTTATAGCAACAACTCTTTAAAAAAACTGACCACTGAGTAAAAATGTGGCTTTGTTATATCTACTTCAGAAAGCTTTATGTTGTGTTCCTACAATCCAGCCTCACTCCACCGTTCTGATGGCATCAGGACTGTCCTGATTTCCACGTTGAAAGCCATTCAAATCAACACAAAGGTTTCAAGCAACACAAACTAGAGGTTTTACCAGAATTTAAGGCTAGATTGGATTACCTGATCCAATTCTCAATCTGCATCTGCAATTTCTACCCTTTGAACATCCTGAATAATAGAATTTATCCTGTCTGATAGCTTTAATCCAATCACATTACTTTTGAACAGCCTGAACCCCCTCTCGATCAAAGTTGACCACTGCTAATCTAGATCCCGCGAGTCACATTTGACACATTACAGGAGTTATTAAAAACCAATCACGTCCTCAAACTCTGAATGCTTTCAAATAATAGATTTTTTTTTTGTTCATGAATCTACTGTTGGTTTTTCTCTTCTTGTGACTGTAAGCAGTTATAACTTTAAAACACTTTTACTCTGAAATAACTCTCTAAATACTGGTCACATATTATTCTTGTAGTATGTGACCTTACAGTAGGAATGTATAAATTACTTTTTTCAGTCCTCCATCCATCTCTATGCTGGGTTTGATGTCATTACTGTTTGAAAAGAACAAGAAATTCACTTCTGTCAGTCACCTGTAGTCCTCAGGGTTGGAGCTCCCTGAATGCTCTGGCCTATAGGGTCTGTCATGGTACTGCTGTGTTATCCACTGGTCATGGGTGCCCCACTGACCTGCATTTGCATGATCTGAGTGATACAAAAGCACATTATAACATTATTTTGTTTAGCTGTGGGCAAGGTATAGAGAGAAGTCCATTTCTAACTGCACATTCCTTCTTTTGAGGGTTTTTTTGTCACTGTACCTTGTCTCGCATACTGGCCTCTGTAGTAGTCGTGGTCATAATACCCATAGTGGTCATAGGGGTCTCTGTAATCCCAATGACTGTACCCATGCCTGGAAAGAAGAATAAATAATTCCTTTGATCATTTATTTACCCCTCTTTTTTAAAGATAATATTTTTTTTGATAAGAATAAATTGGTAAGACAGTCATTTTCTCATGAGAGTTAAGTCATAAAACGAGTAAAATCATGTTCAAAGTCATTCATTTAGTCAACAATTAGCCTCATACTGCCATTTTGAAGGGGGACACACCACATCTCAGCTTTTTGCTCAGTCTTTAAGAGTCTTGATTCTTATAAAATTGTGGTTCTGATGTTTTAAAACTTCAAGAACAATTTAACCAGACGCTCCATGTTCCTCATTTGGGTAAAGACAGCTAGCTGCTCACCATTAACCAAAACTATCCTGTTATCACTTTTTATTTCAACATTATGGCTTCGTTTTTCTTTAAAAAAAAATTAAAAAAAAGAAATTCTTACAACTTTATTGTGGAAAAAATGATTATATATGATTATCTTCACAACTTTACCCCCATATAGAAATTTCTCTAAATCCTCAATAAATCTAATTCTGAGAGACTTTTTTTTTTTTAATGTGACCCTAAATCTCTGTCATTGTAGTAAATCACCAACAACTACCTTTATCCCTTCTCATGATGTGGATGTGACACTGAACCCAAAACCCCTAGAGCTGTGTGTTTCGGTCAACCGATTACGGTTTATCGCTGACTGATGCCAATACCAATTATGAGAGAGGGTAGGTCCGCTAACAGCCATGATGCAATAAAAGGAAGCCATGTCCATTAATCCATGCACCTTACACCTGATATTCAGGTTTACTGACTCAGTAACATGTTTTTTTTTATATCGACTTCTAATTCCTTGCACCAAATGCTCCTCAGTGTTTGTCATATTTCAAATTAAAGGTCTGAAGTTTTGACTGATGGTCTGACAAAAGATGCAACTTGAGGTTGTCACTTTGGGTTTGAGAAAACTCTGATGAGCATTTTTTTTACCTTCATTTTGACATTTTTAAAAAAAAATCATCAGCTGGTTATTCAATAGCTTTTAAATGCAGTGCTCTGTACAACATAGCTTTTGCACCAACAAGCTGTCTTGAAAATCACTTTTTCAAAGCCTAGTACTTGTTACATTTAGTTTTCTCTTTTCATGTATGCACGTTAATCATCAAAAACTGGTTCCTGATATTCTTTTGCCACCACTGTTGCACAGCTCACACGAAAAAAAAAATCATTGATGGAAACACCACAATCATTTAACATAAAACTTTAAAAATGGTCTAAGAGAGTTGTATGTGCAATACTGTCAGCATACACACCTGGACTGAGGTCTTTGGTTTTCCACATGTCCATACCCATAGTGATACTGCTGACTGTTGTAAGGATGCTGTTCTGGTCTGGCAGGAGGACTGGTGTAATAACTCCTGTAGGGAGCATCAGAAGGAGCCCTGTGTCTGTCCCTGTCTCTGGGGTCCGGTGGTGGGTAGCCCTGGTGCCCATCCTGCTGAGAGTACCTGTAGTAGTCCTCTCTGTCTTTGGTTCTTTGGGGGTGACGACCCGAGTCTTGTCTGGGATGACCTCTATGATCCATGATGACCCCCTTCAAATACTGAAAAGGTGGCGATTAAAATTCTGAGAGGCAAAAACAGAGCTCACAAATAGCAGACACAGTCAAAGGGCATACAGAAGTGCCACATCATTTTTCAGGAAACTCAGAACATGTGCTGATAAGAAACCAGTGAGATAACAAGAGGATAAAGTTCGCAAAAACTGACCCATAAACATGACCAAAAACAATGGAGTTGCTGCACAGAAGCAGTGCTAAAAAATAGCTTAAATTTCCCTCCTAAAAGAAAGAGAGATAAAAAAAAAAACACTAACTCATACAGTAAAATCTTAGAGTCATACCGTCTAAGTTATAACTGTGTGTAATCCTTCATTTCCGTTATGTTAGCTCAGTGTATTCCAGCCTGTGTGTTCTCTGTCAGCTGAGGGTAAACAGTGGAGCACGCCCGGAGGAGTTTGACAGCTGCTGTCCCGTAAGACCGCAAAACATGAAATCACGTTCATCCTCAGCCTGGTCTGGAGAAACCAAATACCGTTTGTCTTTTCTGTGTCATTCTGCCTTGAATAACCGAGTCCTTGGATTGAAGTTCACATACAGGAAAAGTACAACTCAAAAGTGTAGACCTGCCACGTTGCCGATAGGAAGATGCCGAAAAGGAGCGTCACGTTCGGTAGCAGTCAGTTGAGCAGTTAAGCTGGTCTCCGGTCAGTTCTTGTGATGTTTCTGGGAATATGTGCTCCGTGGAACTGATTCCTAGTCAGCAATAAAAAGTAGTGGAAGAAGTAAAGTTTTCAAAAGGGCGTGTGTTATTTTCCCACTAGAGACGCTGTTGCTCCCAGGAAGGCAGATTACAACCCAGCCAAAACTTTTTTTTTTACAGTCTGTTGTCTGACTGCACTGTTTCCTGCATTTCAGATCTTTTGACCAAAACACCTATAGTTGCCCTGCACATATTGTCGCGTCTCACGTCGTGTATTCATTTTTTTAAAGTAGTTATATGTGATTTTTTTTTTAATCTTACCTTTTATTTTATTGCAATATTTATTTTTGTCTCAAGCCAGTGCAAGACATTTTGTGACAACATGTGTACAAACTTCTTAAAAAGATCTGAAGCATTCAGAGGGTCATTCAGTTAAAGGTCTTTATTCAGTTGTATTTAAAAATACACCTTTGCCTAACAACCATTGAGGCCTTCATCAGGGCGCTATAAGAAGGCCTTAATGTCAGGTTTTGACTGTATAGCCCTGAAAAGATAAGCACTTTGTTACCTCTGACAAAAAAAAAAACACTTGATAAATTAATTTTAACCCCTTACTTGCTTTACTTTCACTTACCCTATCACACATATTATTCATCCATGTACAGCTACTATTGCACTAGTCCTAAAATATTGATATGTTTTGTTCCTATTTAGTCACAGGAAATTAAGGGAACTCTTATCCTTGTTTGGTGCCAAACCTCTCTTCTTTGGTTGCTCATTTGTCCAATAGTTCCTCCTTTTACACACACAATTATGTGACACAATATCCTTTATTGAAATTCCAATGACCATTGTAAGTGGGTAAGTGTCTGATCAGATGACTGGTAGCACACTACCAAAAAAGTTTTTTTTTTTTTGTTTGTTTTTTAATAATCAAATATAACACATTGAAATGTGAATAGAAATTATTATCAGCATGATGGTGTGAAAAAATGAAAAAGATATCAGCACCCTTAGCTTAATTTGGATTCAGAGACTAGAGAGCTGTTGACAAAGATTTCTTTGTACTATCTTTTTAAGATTAAAAGTCATGAAAGAGAAAATATTACAGCTAAATAGTCCATGCATTTAGTCTGTAGCTCAGAGAAACGACGAGGGGTGGTCAGAGTGGGTCAGCTTTTGGTTTTAACAATATTTTTGGCGGGATTAAATGTAGAAAATGTGCATTTATTGGCAGTATTGGACTACTACACTTCCCTGTGAAACCCATCCTCCAGATCTCAATAATAACCTTGCTGCAGCCACAGTGTGTCGCTGTCTTCAAAATGACAAGCTGGAAGTGAAATGTGCAAGTCCATGTGACCAGTGGGACCGGTTTATGCAAATGAGCTGAGGGGTGAAGAGGGTTTTACTACAGGAAGGTTGGAGTGACGGGTCAGAACAACAGAAGGAAAAGAGCATCAGAGGCGCACAGTCTTCGCTCTGGATATTACTGAACACAAAACCGCTCGGATGTGCAATATGACTTTTGAAGAAACCGGTGGAGATACTTCTTCAGAAAGGCAAGTTTATGAATATTATAATTTGGCTTTTAATCGCCTTAATGTTAGGCTACTGTTTTCCTTTTCTTTTTTTTGTTTTACGTTAAACAGCAGACACCGCGTTTAAGATGCGTGACAATGGAACTATTGCAAATGCCAAACCCTGGACTAATCGATTTCTTTATATTGGTGTCAAACCCGTGTGCAAAGTCATACTTAATGCTCATATTGTTGCCTATTAGTTTGCACACGTTGCATTGTATATCGGTCTTGCAACGTTACATCATTTGCTTTCAACAATGCAGCTTTTTTTACGTGAGCACGAGAAATACCAGTCAGCTTTCATGATGGCATTGTTTTGGTTGTTTTGCTGGATGAGGTTTCAACAAATGTGCTTCATTTTTCACCTCTTAGGATGGAATCGGTGGCGAAAGCTCTAGAGGAGGTCCTGAGCTCTGCATTGCCTCAAGGTTGCATCACAGTTGGTGTGTATGAGGCAGCAAAGTCTCTAAATGCGTAAGTTGATACTTATCCACTGTACCATGAGTTAGCTCCACTAATCCAACAGTAAACAAGAGCTATTTTTCTAAAAAGTTATTCTTGCTGTTTCCAACAGGGACCCAGACAATGTAGTGTTGTGCCTGCTGGCCACAGATGATGAAGAGGATGTTGCTCTACAGATTCACTTCACTTTGATTCAGGCTTTCTGCTGTGAGAACGACATCAACATCCTGCGAGTGAGCAATATGAGGCGTTTGTCGGAAATACTGGGAGGAGGGAAACCTGGAGGAGAGCCCATGGATTTACACTGTGTTCTAGTTACGGTATGTCTAATTAGTCATGACTGCTTATGCTTGCACTGTCGTGCATTGCTCACTTCCCCGCAGACTGTCAGGGGAGTTGTTTTGCCCACATTGAAGGAGTTTATCATGAAGGCCATTGTGTATACTTGCAAGAGACTTTTGCAAAGACTTATGTAATGTAACAGTTCAGGCTTGTTTGCACTTTTCAGAGAGCAGTAGATAGTAACAGCTTTGTCCCTTTTCTCTCTCCAGAGTCCTCAGTCGTCCCCGTGGAAGGACCCTGCCCTGAGCAAAGTGAACAGATTCTGCAGGGATAGCCGCTGTCTGGATCAGTGGGTGCCGGTGATCAACCTGCCCGACCGATGAAACTGCTTGGAATATTAATGTTTTGTGTGCATATGGAAAAAAAGTTATTGCACAAGGCGTGTGTTCATGTCTGTGTTGGACTTCTCGGGAAAGTGCCCCTGAGAGCGAAGGAGATGGGAGGGGCAGAAAAAAAAAGAACACAAGGAAGCTCCAACATTTTACCAGGTCAGGGTGAACTCGTGGCCCAAAGGAGGAGTGACTCAGCAGTCTGAGTTCCAGGATTTCCAGCGTAAGACTGCCTTTCTCTGCCAAGAAAGAAGCTTTTACAGGAAACTGAATCATGTGAGCAGACAGGCAGTGAGCACGAGTACAGGACTTGGGGGGGGCACACAGAGAGCCTACAGATGACAAGATTCCAAGAACTGGACCTCACTGGAACGGGCCAGTCAGTGCTCTCAGCTTGAAAAATTCCTCATGAAATTAGACCAAATCTGTGCATTTCTGTACCAGCACATTTATTTAATAGTATTTAAGACTTGTCACTTTGATAGCTCAAAAGGGATTATTCTTTTCACAGTTTATTATTAATATTATTATTGTTTAAAAGGACAGGTCGGTTCAGACTTGTCCATTAACTGATGTTTTTATGTGTTCTTAATTTAATGACTTATATTTATTGTGCATAGTTCATGGAATTCTGCCTTGTTAAGTTGAATGAAATAAAAAAAAGACAAGGAACAGCTCCTAGAGTTATTTCGTGTTGATCATTTCCAGGCACATGTTGCAAGGAAGTCACACTGTATCCTTATGAAAGAGTTGATGCTTCTTGACGCAGCATGTTGCCCCACAGGGGTTGGATTACGTCCTGGCATGTTCCTGTTAAAAGTTTTTCCTCTACACATTTCTCATGCACCTTGCATCCCCAGCTTTGAATGCATTACAAAGTATTTGTTTGTGAGCAGTTGTGATTCAGATTTCCAAAAATCTGCAAAAAAAACTTTGTTAGTCAGGGCTTTAACAGTCACCTGTTATGGGATAAATCTACTGGTGGCATGCAATTCCTTGAAAACAGCTTTACTCCTGCATGGGAACTCTGGCAGAGTTTGACCTTTTGCACATTTTTAGGATCTAGTTACACTGAAGGGAGGAGAGCCCCCATTGTAGTGTAAATCTGAAGTGGCTCATCATGACAGCTCATTCTTCCCTGTCTTAGCGTGTGCGTAATCTGAACTAAATTTACTGCTGAGTGCATTAAAAATAGCACACAGGCAAGTTGAGGGGAAAATGAGCTAAGACCTTTTCCAGACTGTGCAGAAAAAGAGAAACCCAGAAGTTATTGGTGCTTGCACAGAGTGAGGAGGGACAAAGCTTTTTTACACAGAGGGTCACAAGACAATGGTTGCATGAGTCAGGGCTATTCAGGCCTCCATTGCTAGAGCTGTACAGCACTTTAGCTTCATGTCTAAAAATAGCCCAATGAATAGAGGCGTCCCCCTCTCCTGAACACTGACGATAATAGAACTTGTAATTAACAGGCAGCGTACATGGAGAGGCTGACCTGCTGCAGAAGTGTCAGTTATATTAAGAGGACAACAATCCTCCTGTAGGGTGGTGAAGGCAAAAGAGGAGGGGGGGGAAAGGGAGTTCAGAGAATGAAAGGATGGCTGGGTTTTGAGGTCGTTTTAAACCGACTGACCCTAAAGGGGTACAGTTTGCAAATGTGATTAAATCTGCATAGAGGCGAAACTTGTTGATCTGCCCTCCACTAGTTTAATGGTAAAACCCTTCAGTTTGTGGCAGGACACTTTTAAAAATTTCTCTTTCACTTAAGATTTTCTCTTTCTTTTGGAGACTCAGAATCAAGAGCAGACTCTGCTTCCTGGTGCAAAAAGTAAATATCCAGGAACTGATTTTTCCTTAGGAAGCAGAACAATTATACCAGAAATACCAGAGCTGCATGAGAGGAAGAAAAACACCAAAGAACCAGTTTGATCAATCAAAGATAAAACTACTTTGTTGTCCTCCAGTAAACCCTTGTCACACAGGGAGGGGTCACCAAAAGTAGGTGAGATTTTGCAGATACTGGATCACTGGCTTATCCTGAAGCTTCTCCTCCGCACTGACAGGTAATACAATCATGTCTACAAAGCCCCGACTATCCATCATCTGACTGAAGCTGATGGTTACATGAATGTGGGCCAATGAATATGGTGTGACCTGGTTGTGGTTGTAACCTCACACCTGAGGAGGCCGACAAAGAGGAGAAAGGGCTGCTCCAAAGAGCAGAGATCATTGCATAACAGGCTGGTCACTAGCTTGGGGGTACAGATGAACTTAAACTGAGAAATTAGAACAAACAAGAATGTTTATGTCCTCCTGACCAGATACTGGAGACATTCGTCTTTTTGTTTTGAACATGGTGACCTGCGATTCCAGAAAAGGAACGAAAACTTGTTAACAACAGGTCTAGTCATTGGCTAATTCCCCTTGATCTCAAATTAGGTCCAACTTGTTCTTAATGGAAATGTCTTTTGGAGTTTGCTGAACTACACATGTATCTGCAGATGCTTGACTATAATACTGGGTGTGATAGCTAAATATTTGTGATTGAGTGACCACAATGTATTCCATTATAACTACCTGGATAAATGCACGCTATTCAACTGGCAAGGAGAGTATCAGGTTTTCCCCGTGTGAAGCCCCTCTGAGGAAGTTTTGATGTGTTTTTCATAGTGAACCCTGCAGAAAAAGCACGACCTGAAATGTCTTTGTTGACCTTATTCAGTTTATGTAACCTCATGTTTGTGTTTTTGAAAAAACTAAATCTCACCTGCTGTGTTTTAACAGTAAAACAAACCACTAAACTGAGATCTTTTTTGACTAAAACTGTGAGTAGTTTGTTTTGGCAGTAGGTATTTCACTTCCTTAAATGGCATTGTCCCAGAGGCAGGAAAGACACTCTTTTGAAGGCTTGTAAAGACGCTTCAGTCTGATCCATATCCAGCTAGAAACTCCAGACAGGAACTTCAAATATACATAAGGAAATCTGGCCAGTTTTTAGAGTCAGATTCTAGTTGGAAAGGCTCTCTTGCTCACCTTTTCTGTCAGTGAAGTAATGGCAGTCCTTGAAAGCAAGAAGCTCCTGTGATGCAGGAGACGCATGAGTCTCAAACTTGACACGTTTTTACTGCGAACTGCTGTCAACACAAACTTCAACCTTAAAAAACCTTATGTTTTTCCTCCTCTTTTTCCAACCACTGCAATTCATACTGCCAAGCAATAAATACAAAAATGGATATCCAGTATTAGGGGAGAGTGGGGTAAGATGAGCCATTTTTCATATTTCAGATCAGTACATCAAGACAATTATAGTTATGTCTCTAACTAGTGTACCTGCATATATTTCAAGATGTTGTGCATCCCTGCAAACCAACAGAATGAGTATAAACATAACTGTCTTGATAATATAGCATGCCAAAAAAAGTGGTCTCCTATGGTCAACTTACCCCATGTATGGGGTAAGGAGGCACAAGCTCCAATGCTGTTTTGGGATTCACAATAAATCCCGAACACCAGTTTTAAAAGTGTCAAATCAACTCACACACCTGTCGGTAGCTGACTAGTAGTCTCTTTGACAATTCTCCATTTGATGATGCAACAGCACAAAGGACTGCTGTTGAATGGCAGTATGAACATATGCTTATTTTTTAGCTCCACAGTACAAAACCCAATTCCATTGAAGTTGGGAAATTGTGATAAACATGAATAAAAACAGAATACAATGATTAACAAATCATTTTCAACCTATTTTCAATTGAATACACTACAAAGACAACATATTTAATGTTCAAAGTCATAAACTTTATATGTTTTTGCAAATAATAATTAACTCAGAATTTCATGGCTGCAACACGTGCCAAAGTAGTTGGGACAGGGTCATGTTTACCACTGTGTTACATCACCTTTCCTCTTAACAACACTCAATAAACATTTGGGAACTGGGGAGACTAAATGTTGAGGCTTTGAAGGTGGAATTCTTTCCCATTCTTGCTTGATGTACTGCTTCAGTTGTTCAACAGTCCAGGGTCTCCCTTGTCGTATTTTGAGCTTCATAATGCGCCACACATTTTCAATGGAAGACAGGTCTGGACTGCAGGCAGGCCAGTCGAGTATCCACACTCTTTTACTAAGAAGCCACGCTGTTGTAACACGTGCAGAATGTGGCTTGGCATTGTCTTGCTGAAATAAGCAGGGGCATCCATGAAAAAGACGTTGCTTGGATAGCAGTATATGTTGCTCCAAAACCTGTATGTACCTTTCAGCATTAATGTTGCCTTCACAGATGTGTAAGTTACCCATGCCTTGTGCACTAATGCACCCCCATATCATCACAGATGCTGGCTTTTGAACTTTGCATCGATAACAGTCCGGATGGCTCTTTTCCTCTTGGCCCGGAGGACATGACGTCCACTATTTCCAAAAACAATTTGAAGTGTGGACTCAGAACACTTTTCCACTTTGCATCAGTCCATCTTAGATGAGCTTGGGTCCAGAGAAGCCGGCGGCATTTCTGGATGTTGTTGATAAATGGCTTTCACTTTGTATAGTAGAGTTTTAACTTGCACTTACAGATGTAGCAACGAACTGTATTTACTGACAGTGGTTTTTTGATACAGTGCCGCCTGAGGGATCAAAGGTCACGGGCATTCAATGTTGGTTTCCAGCCGTGCCACTTACATGCAGTGATTTCTCCAGATTCTCTGAACCTTTTGATGATATTATGGACCGTAGATGTTGAAATCCCTAAATTCCTTGCAACTGTACTTTGAGAAACATTGTTCTTAAACTGTTTGACTATTTGCTCATGCAGTTTTTCACAAAGTGGTGAACCTCGCCCCATCCTTGCTTGTGAATGACTGAGAGTTTTTGGGGAAGCTGCTTTTATACCCAATCATGGCACCCACCTGTTCCCAATTAGCCTGCTCACCTGTGGGATGTTCCAAATAGGTGTTTGATGAGTATTCCTCAAATTTCTCAGTATTTTAGCCACCTTTCCTAACTTCTTTGTTACGTGCTCCTGCCATCAGATTCTAAAGTTAATGATTATTTGCAAAAAAATAAATAAAGTTTATCAGTTTGAACATTAAATATCTTGTCTTTGTAGTGTATTCAATTAAATATGGGTTGAAAAGGATTTGCAAATCATTGTATTCTGTTTTTATTTACGTTTATCACAATTTCCCAACTTCAATGGAATTGGGTTATATAATTCAGTATTTCTGTATCTATTTGAACAAATATATATATATATACACATGTACTGTATGCATTTATGTTGGCACGCATTCATGTACTGTTTGCATGTTTGTTTGCACGTCTACATGCAGGTATGTATTTATGAATGTATTTATTAAACCAAAGTTTGGAAAGAGAGGTTGTATGCATTTTAAAACTTTACATTTACTGCTGACAGATAAAGGTAGAGTACGTACTTTCAGTCTCTTGTAACAAAAATAACAAGCTTATATTTGTTGTTTCTAGTCAAGGAAAAAAAAATCAAACACTCAGTTTTAATTTGGAAATGCTTTTTTTCCCCCCTCAGAACACAAGTTCATGGTTCAGGTTTGACTAAGTTAATTCTGAAAGAATATTGAATAAGCAAAAGTTTGGGTTCATGGACATACAGTAGCTTCTTCACTATCTGTCTACTCATAATTGAACATGAGCCATCTAGAAACAGAACATCAAACATGGAGTTATCAGGCCAAGGAAAAAAACACTCCCTCTCGTAAAGGCTTTCTTTATTCACAGTTTTAGTAAACAACAGCACTTAAGTGACGTAAAGTAGTCAAAAGGTTGAAGCTCCTTCACTTCATTGTTAAGGCCCTGGCTGGTAAAGTAGTTGCTAATGTTTTGCACAAGCACCGACACACAAATAGCATAAAGTTTCAGCTACACAGTAAAAGAAATATACTTAGAAATTCACATAAAGCTTTAAAGCTCCTGAAAATAAGGAATGCTTCAAATCCAGGAAAATAACAGTCATATCATGTCAACAGCAAATAAAACAGAAACAAGTAGAAAAAAATGATAAAGGAGAATGGGATACATTCAATTCAACAGTGACTTAAAATATGTAAAATGGAAAGAGATGGCACCAAGTGGTTGTAACTCTTATTTTCATCAGCACTGATGCCTCATTTGAATATTTCTATGTACAAATAAAGGGAAATGTTGAGGGTCCCTCTCATTAGAGTGATCACAAAAGTTCATCTTTATCTATACCAGTACCTCTTCAAATAACAGCAAACATTCAGACAACCAGTTTTGCAATTTTAATACTGAAAAATATGTTGATTGTTAAGTGTTAATTTTATTTCACTCATCTTATACAATCAGAAGTTTGTCATTTAATGAGAATGCAACAAGCTATAAAAAAATTTAAAAGAACAAAAACAAGGGTCAAACACGGACTTTAAAATCCCAAATAGGGTCTCAGTGACATCACCGATTAGTTCTTGAAAAGGCGCAATGAAGCCCAAAGGCAGTGCCAAGGGTTATTGGAAATGCTGATTTGACAGCAAAGAGGTGGAGTTGAGGCCACAGCTTCTCTGGCTGGGAAACAACTACAACGTGGCTAACTAATCTGAAACCTCCCTCAATATGGCTGATAATGCATAACTCCTAGTCGGCAAAATAGGACTTGTGTCTAAAGATATGACTTATGATGAAGATGACAAAATAAGTAATGACTGCTTCATCCACAGGGGGTACCAAAATGGACACAGAGCAAAAGTTCCTCACCGGGGCTGTAAATCTGTTTTTTTAAATGGGGATCCTTGGCATTCAAACACTTTGGGAACTGCAGACCTTAAAAGTTATGAGAGGGTTTCATTTTCCATCACGAGAGGTTGCTGCTTGGGGTTAGAATTTTCCCAATTCTGGTTAGACTAACACAGCAATGGAGCTTTACAGCTGTATTTCCTAACACAAAAAAGTCATTTTGGAAAGATTTCAACAAATCTGCTCTGAAAAAGTCACAAGTCATGAGAAAGTATCAAAAGAACTTCAGCCAAAATGTTTGCACTGCTGAGCTGCGAGATAGACAAAAAGGAAAGGGACAGTTTCAACATCATATCTGCATTAGTGGCAATGGACATAACTTTTTATTTATGCCTGATAAACAAGACAAATATTTTCAGCAGGCCTCATGAATCTTCAATGTGAAAGCCAAAGGCCTGAATCTGATTGGTCCAGTGAGGACAATTTTTAAAAGAATGTGGAAAAATAGAGAATAAGCAACCCTGCCATCTAAGTTTGAGGTGTTTCCCATCAACATTTCAGAGAGACAAAAGTAACCACTGAATCTTTTCACAAACGTTTAATCATTGTTATCTGAGCTGGAACTTGGATCCAGAGCCCCAGCTTCAGTTTTCTGCCCTGTCTTTGGTGTCAACTGTTTTCTATGGCCTAGTAATACATTCATTCAACTACAGTAAGTATTTGGAAAGATTAGGGGCTTAACTGGTCTTATGATAAGTTTTAGGTCAAATATTTCCTCTGTAGAAATAAAAACGAGTATGTTTGCTCCCCTACAGAACAGTGCAAGGCTTCTTGTCCTTGAAAGGGTTTTCTGAAGCAGGGACACCCATGAGCAGCGGGTCATACTTGGCATGTTCTCCACAGTAACGCATCAGGTCTGATGATGCCTTAGACACCTGCAGAGAAATCAGTCCACACTGTGATCCACCTGGACAAGCATGTAATAAAACAAGGATACTCAGAGTGGTTTCATGACTACATATTAAAGGCACCTTTATCCTCTCAATGCTGGCCTCTATCCTCAGCTGCTGCACTGTCCGCCTGGCCAGAGCGATGCTGCTGGAGCTCTGCATTTTTGATGACATTGCAGTCCTTGAACAGCTGTGCTTACCTGAAATATAGAAAAATGACATGAAGTGTCTGCATTAGAAAAGAGGAGGTGCAGTTGGTCTTTGCAAAAAGAAAACAAAAAACAAACAACAGTCATTCAAAGACTTTTGTGATAAGATGTAACTTTGGGTTAGAAGAGGCACAGAGTCATACCGTTGTGTCTACCAATACCTTTATGCAAAGTCAACAAAATAATTTTTGAAATTGCTCAAAGGTTTTTGCATTTCATCCCTTTTAAGATATTTATGGTACCAGCTCTTGTAAAGCTCATTCGGTGGTTTATAATGTTGTTTATTTATTGGTCAAGTAGTTTTGCTCCATGTTTTATATTGACAGAAGAGATTGTAGGCACCAGAAGTTAGAACTGTGTTGTTCTGTAAGTGAAATTATGATGATCTCGCAGGATTTTTCTTGTGAACTAGGCCACCTGCTTTGTGGACTGTAGCCCTTGTGAATGGGGGATATAATCACTGAGCTAAACCAAAACCATGAAGAACCTGGTTGTCAATAGAAGGCGCAGTATGATTGGGCACCAGCAGCCACAACAATCACCAAGTTTTGACTTCTAAAGAAACTGAACTTTGATATAATAAAAGGTGCTTGATTAAAAGTCTGGGCTGCAGATGGGTATGTCTGAATCAAATTTCCCATTTCAGGTGAAGGTTCTGGGAATCATTATGTTAATAGAATCCAACTCCTATGAATGTCTTTTCTAAAGCCAAATAGGTCTCAAATCTCTGAGAAATAGCAATTTCTGAAAATGCATGTGAGAAAAACAGTGCTACAAAGGTGCGGCATTGATCTTTAAGTTTATGAATGAGCAGCTTACACACACAGTGTTGCAGGAATTATAAATGTGACACAACCAAGGCGGTTCTGCACAAACAACAGGTGTCTACAGCTTCAAAACTTCCCAGCAGTGACAGTTGACCTAATCTGGAACTGGCTCATTGTGCGTAAAAACTGTGGCCCAACCTAACTGACTCCTCTTTCACAATTTCCACTTCCAGGACACAATGGTTTGCTCTTACCGCCACATTACGTCACTCCCTGAACAACTGAAGAGGAAAGGCTGCACAGTCTCAGCTTGTTTAGAGAACGAACATAATTCTTTAGAATAATCGGAAAGAAGGAACAGCTTTTAATAAAGGAAGTAAAATAAGGACAGTACATGTGTTGTTAAACAACGTATCAGGATTTCTTTGTTGTATTCAACAACTGCGCTGCAAAAAAACGTGCAGCTCTCACTCCTTCAACAAAGTAACTCTGTGGGATTGACAAAAATAATCTCTGACATGTGGTCTGCTTCATGTTTGCTCTGTGCTTTGGTGCAGGATCTAACAGAGGAGGGGGGACGCTGAATCGGAAGAGAGATGAAACATGGAGTACAGATTTGTCTGTAGTCAAATCTGTACTGGGGGACAAGACCATGCATCTCTTTAATCCCCCTCGCCCACTCCTTTCCGCTTCCTCCACAGGAAGCAGTATCCCCAGTTACCCTCCAAAGTACAAAAGATAAAATATGGGGCGGAGTTTCTAAAAATAAATGTTACACACTAACACCAGCACCCTAGGAAAACTGGAGGAGATGCTGCAAATGGTCTGGACCACTTTTCCCAAACACAGTTGTGGTTTTTGTAGTTTTTAAGCCCTCAGCTGCACCAGTCAAGCATAAGTGGACACAGGAAAAGGGACAGATGCATCAGAGAGAGGGTGGTCCTCAATTTTAATGTCTGCAGGGACGTTTTGTGATGCCAGCGGCTCCCTCAGATCTCTGTGTTTGAAAAGGGGCCTTGAATCATCATAGACTGTAACAGACATGAACAAGGCAAAGTGTTTTCTGTTTTGCCGCTCTATTGTTGCAACTGAGATTGTTGCACTTTTGTTTGTTTTGGGGGTCTTAAGCAGGGTTTCACTTCATTATAGCTGTTGGCAGTTTCTACATGTTGTTAACTGTGTTCCTGCACCATTTAGTATTGCACTATAGAATGAAACAAAAGTTAACTACTACAATGCAAACTCACACTTGTGCATTCATGAGACACCTATCATACTTTAACTGGAAGATGAAAGTTGCATGCTGTATTTTGGCCTAGTGCAATTACAGCCTATCAAAACAGATTTCAGAAACGCAAATCTAAATGTTCATGTGGTGACTTTGAAACACAGACGAGTACAAAGCTGATCCACAGGAAAAAGAGCTGCCGCAGCATATTCCAGTGTTGAGCCGGGGACAGCCGAGACTCTTTCCTTCAGCCCACAGGTGCCAGATGTGGTACTAGCAGCTGCAGCAGTGGGTCTAGCAGAGGTGAACGAGTTTAGAGTGCACACTTCATCATCAGGACTGGTTTATCCCCCTGCTGTGGTTCAGTATGGGCACACACAGAGTCTGCTGTGCTACTCTTCTCAGGGAGCTGTCTGATCCAGTGAGGTCCCGCTCCTCAAATGTGCTGATTTTAAAGTAAACCTCTGTTTCTGAGCCATGGTGTGGCCAGTTTTACAGTAACCCAACTGCTCTTGAGGAATTATAACATTCTCACTGACTATATTTATTTTAATGGGCCTCGTCAGTATGAATCTTTATTATTAGACAATCTCGGTTTATAGATGTACTCTTTCAAATGATTCTTGCCTGTGCTTTGAAAGAGTAACTCCCTGTACTGCCCAAAATATCTTTGGAATTTGGGAAGGTTTGCTTTTGCTTGTTCTTCATTTTTTCATTTCAACCCTCAAAAGCTTCCTAAAGGTCTTGCAAGTCCCGCCAGGGTCCATATAAAATCAATGGCAAGACAAAATGTGCCAAAGTCAAAAAATCAAAGCTGCAAAACTAGTCTGGTGAGAATTATGATTATTTTAATTATTTTTTCAGTCTGTTTATTGTTGATTGGGAGTATATTAAAAACAGAGGAAGTTGGCTTTCAGCCAACTCTAGCACAGGGCCATGAAACTATGACACTTATCACTGTGACATAGTTTTCCTTACAGTATAAAAAATTCTGATGGATTTCAGCCTGTAATGAGCATTTCATGGACACAGGCAGGCAGGCATACAGGCAACTGGAGCCAAATAAAAATAGCCAAAATAAGTGAAGCCATCACCGAAAAAAACACAGCGCCAACCAGCTCAGAGCAGGGCAGAGACATTGCAAACAAGAAAAGCTGCTCAACTTCAGGTGCTCAAGAGAAGCCTGGTGGTTTTTGAGCTTTGTACAGCCTAACCAAGCGGCATGCTCTGTAGACAGTCCTGGAGAAGGGCAATACCTAAAGCCTTCCACATCACTTGAAACTTGTTATGTCACTTCTGCATGTGCTGAAGTGATCTATGCAGAATATTCCCTGAAATGATAAAACCATTTCTCTACTATTTTAGTCTTATTAGGCAGAAAATTATGAAATCTTGGAATTTGTCTTTCAGACTTGATGAACTTATAAACCTTCTGTTGCTCTCACCAGTGGCATTAGTAATAATACTCCTACACTTGGTAAGATACATCCACTTGTGTTGATGTGTCTCTTTCACTGATGCAAGGCTGTCATATTTTTGATCCTCTTGCTCCTACAGTGATGCAGGTATCCTACTAGAACAGACTTGAGTCACAGGTATACCTGATGAGATTAAGATGAAAAAAAGGATACCACTGTCATGTCTGTATGCTGTAGGGAACACTTACTGCTGGTTTAAATGCAGAAATTAGGCCCTGGTGATTTGGCGAGAAAAAAAAAAAAAAAAAAAGATCACGATATATTTTGTCATATAGTCCGATCTCAATTATTATCACGATTTTTTAAACTGCCAGTTTTAAAGCATCTGTACTAAAAACTAAAAAAACTAGAGATTAGTTCAACATTTTATTAACATACAAAGTAAATAACAAAGCAAATTGAATAAGAGACACTTAGAAAAATCTAAAAAACATTTTAACTCAACAGTACAACAAAATGTAGATAAATACAGAGTAATACAGAGAATTAGAATTAGGTATGCAAGACTCAAATTAAACAAATCGCCCCCTCAGGGATAATGAATATGCTTTCAATTGTAAACATTAGGTGAAGTAAACGTAGATGATACGCAAACCTGCCAATATTTGGGTTATGAAATCCAGGAGTTGTTTGCGGTGCATGCTGGGCAGTTTTAGGGTGACCTCGTATGTTGGATATGAGCTAATTATGAGAGTATTTGTAATTAAATTGCTCATCCAAATTAGTATAATTGAAGCTGCACACTTTTTTGTTTTGTTTTAACAATAACAAATGGTAATAAAAAAATAATAGGTACCATATGCCTTGAACTTATTTAGTCCACTAATATTAGTGTTAAAGTCCTCATATGTTTTACATGCTCTCCCGTATGAGGCTCTCTGAACATCTGTGCATGAAATACAGCACTTTTTTATCTGAGGGTGCCCTGAATGCATCACTCTCGCATATCTCGCGTTTGTTTTCCTTTCATCGAAGTGTTCATTTTGCAACAAACATTGCTTAAATAAAGTTTACAGCTAAACTGACCTGAATCATCCCAAACTGTAAAGTAAAAGTATCAATCCAGTGTCTGTGAGGCTCAGCAGAAACACAGGACTATCTCCGGTTGTCTGGAAACCGGGAAACTTTAGACAAATATAATGATCTGATTCATGAATGTATGCAGACCATGCTACGAGAAATTCCCGGGAGAAATGACAATACGGGGGGTGGACGAGAGAAAGGTCTGAAATACGGGAGAGTCCCGGGAAAAACAGGAGTGTTGGCAGGTTTGGATATGATTGATTGTTGCTTTGGTCTGGTGGCTGCACCGCTAGTTGTGGCTAAACGGCTAATGCTACTCGTACCGTCAGCAGTGACAGGCTGTACAGACTCCGCTCACATTTTCATGCTTCCCGCATAATCACTCGGGAAGTACTTCTTCAAATGATTACACAGATTTGTTATGTTGCCGGTTTATCGGCTTAATTGCTCGACGTCACTTTGGAGAGACATTGAATAACTTCTCAACAATAACATCTTCAGAGGATGACTCAAAGTCACGGCTGACATCTCTTTTGCTGCCCTCAGCTCTGTGTTAAACTACATGTTAGGTCATTCAGTTTATTTCTCCTGTTTACTTCTCAGGTAACTTACAGAAGTGAGCCGGAAAAGCTCAACTCTGATTGGCTGTTGTGACGCACATTCCCGCCATGTTTGATCGAGTAAATATGCTCACAGCTGATCACCGTGATGGAACTGAAATTTATTGCGAACATCGATCACGATCATATAATCGCCCAGTCCTAGCAGAAATCATACAAAGAGGACACATTAGTTCTTAACTCAAAATCCAACTGTGCATACAGCTTATGCGCTTATACTCTGACACAGTAACTGTATGCAGATAAAGCAAAATTAGGTATGCCAAGTGCACACAGTGTTTCAACATTATTACTCCAATAAAGACAGCCTCAGTGAGGGTCTATCCTCAGCTCAACTTCAGTACATGAGGGAACATTTTTTCCAGATGTGTGGAGACTGTCTGGAGATTATACAAGAGGGGGATGACCTGCTGTTGCAGACTTGTTCTAGAAAGGAAGCTGCTAGTAAGACTATGAAACTGGATTCACCTCAGTCCAGTCTGGACTTCAAAACAAACTAAAAAAGAGCTGCCACCCCCTCCCTTCCACACACACACACACACACACACACACACACACACACACACACACACACACACACACACACACACACACACACACACACCCTGTGCATCATTAGCTATGATTGAGATCTTCAAGAGAATTGGGCTCTCATTTCAGCGGAAAAAGGATGTACTCACAGCTCTTATTTGCAACTCCAAGTGCATGTCTTCCCCAGAGTTTCATCACTGTTACGTGCTTTGTGAATTAGATCTTATCAGATCTTACCCTTGAATTGCAGCTATGACTAATTATCTTAACTGTAAGACTTAAAAATAGGAAAATTATTGTCCAGTTACATTCAAAGGTTAGCATCTCACATGCTCTACAGTTTTTGATTTATTTCTTTACTGTTTTGAAAGTAAAATTCTCCACTAAAGCATGTTAGATTGAATTATCCTGCAACAAACAGTGAAGCTTAAAGCAGAAGAGCATTTACTGTATATGCAATACCTGAAGCTGCACAACAAAATGTTAAAAATGTACACTACAGGCCAAAATTTTGGAAGCAAGGCCATTACAGGCCGAACAGTCGGGAGTAACTTCAAGTTTTTGTTCACAATGCTTTTTTTTAAAATCCAGCATTAGTTTTATGTATTTACTCCATGATCAGATGTTGCTTTCATGGAAATTTACCATTTTACTCCATTTACCTTTAGATATACATTGGTGTTAACATACCATTGCTAAATATATGCCAGGAAAAGATAATAAGGGCTTAGATTTAGGGTTGAAAACATTTGCAAGAGTCACAACTTCAGTGCAAAAGCAAAAAAAACTAATCACAATTGGATTATTCACTTCAACTTTTTGGCTTTTCAGAGTCTGCATACACAAATCCTAATAAATCTCAACTGTGTTCAAACTACCGCAAAAATGGCTAGAAAGAAGCAACTGAGTAGAGAAACTAGAGTACAGATTTGTACATTGAGGAAAGAAGGGTACACAGAAAGAGAAATTGCAAAACTCCTAAAAGGTGTCTAACAAAGGAGTCCACTACACTCTGTAGAGACTAGAGGACCTGGAAGTTATGATGATAGAAAAAGACCTGGACGAAAGAGAGTTACTACAAAAGCAGAGGATAAACATAGCATTGTCACCAGTAAGAGAGATCGGCGAAAGACAGCACCACAAATAAGGGAGGAAATCAACATGACAAGGTCAAAACCCATATCTCTGACAACTGTGAAGTGACGTTTGAGAAAGGCTGGTCTGTAGGGTTGTGTATCTGCAAAAAAACACTACTTCATCCACAGAACAAGAAAAAGAGATATGAGTGTGAAAAAGCTCACAAAATTTTGACCTATGATGACTAGAAACAAGTTTGCACTGTTTGGTTCAAAACGCAGCGTCAATGTCCGCAGACTAACCGGTTAACGTCTGAAAGCGCCATGTTTTACAGCCACAATTCAGCATGGAGGTGGTAGTTCCATGGTATGGGGATGATTTGCAGGTGATGGAGTAGAAGATTTGTTTGACGTATAGGGTATCGTGAAGAAGGAACAGTACCACTCCATCCTCCAGCACCATGCTGCTCCATCTGGACTCAGACTTGTGGCTCATAAGTTTGTTTTGCAGCAAGACAATGACCCTAAGCGCTCTGCCAAGCTCTGTCAGGGTTACCTAGACAAAAAAGAAGAGGGATGTGTTCTTGAAAAGATGGTTTGGCCCCCTCAGTCTCCAGACCATTCTCCAATTGAGCTTGTGCGGGATGAACTGGATCGATCGGTCAGAAAAACGCGTCCCACAAATCAGCAGTCTCTTTTTTAATGAACTTAAGAAAGCTTGGAATACAATCCCTGGAACATACCTTAAAAAACTTGTGGAACGAATGCCTGGTATATGCCAAGCTGTTGTTAAAGCCAGAGGAGGTTACTTTAAAGAAAGTCTAAAGTCTAAAAGTCTAAGCAACAATAACTCAAATACCTAATAATTATAGTCAAAATGTCTTCTGATAAGTTACTCTTTACACAATAGTCATGTTTATCGTGTTGCAAACTATATATGAAACTATGATCTTTTTTGTACAAATCTGATCTTGCTTCCAAACTTTTGGCCTGTAGCGTACCTATTGCAGTAAAATCTGACTTAGACCTCATGCAAACACATGCATGAGTAAAAAGAGACCTCCATCCAGTAAAGCATATACAAACATGCAGGGAAAATTGTCACTGATGTGTCACTGGGTGTGTAATTCTTTGTAAGTGCACTGAGCCTTTCAAATCCTTCAAGCCAAAAGAATGTTTGCAATGCCTTCAGCTGTGGCGTGCCTGTCTGCATCCAGCATGTGAACTAATGTGAGTTGAATGTAAACATGTGGCACACTGTAAGCACTGATGAAAGTATTTTTGAAGTCTCGGAGCAGAGAGTTTTCTTTGATGTGGCTGTGGGGCTTTACACAGGTGGGCTGCCACGGTGCCAACAGGGAGGTTCTACAGATTTTATGACAGCAAGTTTTGCCCTACGGTAACTACACCCGCTGCTTAGATCTGATGCCTGAACAAACACATTCATAACTTGCTTACAAATGATTGAAATTCACCACATCAAAGCACTTCTTGTATTAATGTTCAAGAAAATACGACAATACGTACCCTGTTCACACATGCATCTCTGTGACATTTTCAGGTGTTAACATCAAAAAGTTTTTCAGTAGAAATAATTAAGAGTATTTCAGCATTTTCATAAAGAAAATGCGTTAACAGGTGACAAAATCTCAAAAGAGTTGCCTGTTAGGGTGCCTTCACACCTGTAGTGATTAGACTTTGTTCTGATTCAGATAATAAAATGGCATATACGTAGTTGCATTTTGCTTTTTTGTGTTCACACAGCAATATTATAAAGTTGGCAAAAGGAAACACCAATGTAGGCTTGTGCATATGTTTGAGCTTTCTGCGCAGAACAACAATTGACATGCTGTAAGTTGTACGTCAGCTTGGAGTGGCAGGAAGGTCAATGCCACATTTGTTTATTTATTTGTTTATTTAGCACAGATTAAAAACAGTGCAAGGAGGGAACGAAGCTGATGGGCTTATACAGAGTTCCACTCCCGTCAGGTCAGAGAAAACATAAGGTGCGGACAACTAAGTACACAGACTGGAACACAGACAAATCAGTAAACAGTGATAAAGAAAATAAAGTATTTATAAAAAGGAAAGAGATATGATCATAACAGATAATGATGTATTTAAGACATGATCAGATGAGATTTTACATTAGCTGTTGGGTAGATGAGTGTACTTGAATGATTGTTGAATGTTGGACACCACTCATCAAACGACACAGGTTTACAAACTTGTAAGTCAGCACATGAACAAGAGGGATTTTCACCGCTCTGCTGAGCTATGTTGCCCGAAGGCCAAGAAACCCTGACAGCAGTTATGTGAAGGTACAAGCCCAGCTGAGCACACGTGGAAGTTCAAGATTAGACAAGGACAAATTCCTCGATTAATCGATTTTAAATCATAGTCAAATTATTTGATAATGATGTTAAAAAAATTAAAATCGTCAAACCAATTTTCCTAATAATTTCATGGCTAAAAGGGGCAAGAGCAAGTCAGTCGTGTGGAATTGCTCTTCATCACAATTTGGATGAAGATCAAACAACTCCCTGCTGCAAAGTCTGTCTGAAGGCGATATCAACCTGTCCACACGGAAACGATTTCAGGATTAAACGCAAAAGTTGTTTTGTAACATCGGTGTCTCATCCACACAAAAATGGCATTTTGGATGACTGTAAACTGTACTTTTTGAAAAATGGGTACAAGAGTGCATAAATCTGTAAATGACCACCATTTCATGTCTGTGTGGATGCCTGTCTGCACCTCTTGATAGGATTGTGTCACACGCAGCACAGTAACTCTTTTATGGCAGCTGCGCAAGTCCGGCCACACAACCTTTATATACATGCTCTATTCTCTTCTTCTGTCTTTTGCCACTTACTGGCTTTTCAGTGGTTTTGTTTTGAGAGCTGATAGAAAAACTTATTTTTAAGGTGAAGTTTGGTGAAGTTGTCACTGAATAAAAAATCAAAATAGAAAATCAAGTTTTCAGAGGAAAAAATAGGGATTTTATTTTTGGCCAAAATCGTCCCGCCCTGGTTGCTAGACCTAGCTCTTCTGCTGATGTTGAATTGAATGGAAACGGTGGGTAACATTAACCTATCACTATCTTCATGCTAACTATCAGCTGTTATTGGTCAGTAGTAGCGTTGATGCACTTATTACTACCTGCCAACTAACAGTGTGGTGAGTCGAGCAATTTTTGGTTCTGGTTGCCAACTGAAAACTCCAGTTTTAGCTGGCATAAATAGATTTTTGTAGTTGTAGTAAATTGCCAGGCTACAGGGCAATGGCTTATATTTGTTGAAAGTTAGTGTAAGTCCGCTTTTTAAAAATGGCATCCACTTTTTTGTCAACACAGAACCAGTGAGTGAGGTCCATGAGACTGTGTCCATGTTTAATACAGTCTGTAATTGAGCTCCAACAGGTTCTTTAAACAATACTCACATTTTGTCTATTGAACAGCTATGCAAAATTGTGCTCTGGATATTAACTTCAATGACACATTTCAAAGCACAAGAGTCTAATTAGGGAACAAAGAGTGATGTTTCAGCACAGACGTGAACAATGTGAACATATAAATGCATCAAACTGTCTTCTATTACCATGAATCATATTCTATTTATCTCCTCATTCACTCTCTTTGTACTCAGATTCACCATGTAGTGAGGAACAGGACAAACAAACCAAGGTACATTTTGCTCACAGATTACAGAGGTGTTAGTCAGTGTCTGATAAACAGAAGTGAGAGACAGCTCGGCAGACAAAATGATTACTTATCAGCTGTCCGGTTCCAAAAATGTTGGGCCATAGGACGCTGAGCAGCTCCATTATCTGTCCGTTACATTGCTAAACTGCCTGGCAACAACACCGTCAGCCTCCAACAGCCCACTCCTGCAGCAGGATCTGTGGCTGCATCAACAATAAGCCCTGAGGCTTAGGGCACATTTGAGAGGCGTGGTGACAATGCAGACAGGCTATCAGTATTGTGCCACACTGACAATTGCTGTTTGGCATTGTGTGGAGCAGAGGCACAGGGACAGGAGTCCAGGGCTTTTACAAGTTTAACTGCGCCCTCATGAGCGCTAATCTCAGACAGCCAGATGCTATCTGGGAGCCAGACTGTCCAGCCAGGCGTGCAGGGGAAAAGAGACAGAGAGGCCTCCCAAAGAGAAAAACACAACACACAGTGTTGCTTTCTGGTGGAGACAATCTGTGACTAACGTTATAGGACTCCAATCTGAGCAGGAATATCATCAATCACAGGCTTTGAAAGTGACAGATTAAAAAACGTCACCACTGCTTCACAAAATCACTTGAAGATCTGTCTGTGTGAGTGAGCTGACATGAAAAGAAAGGTGTTGGTGTTGTAGCTGCAGACTTAAAAAGGACACAGAGGCTTCACATGGCTGAGTCAGAGGTTGAGAGCTTTGTTTGTACATTTTTCACCTGCTAGTTGCAGTGGCATGCAACACCTTCGCCCAGGGTGAGGTCAGCCATGGGACAACAGATTCTCAGTCCGGTTTCTGTCATCCTGCTTTTTCTCCCACCTGGGCCCCATGTGCAGAAAAACAGGTTCCTCTCTCTCTGTGTGTGTGTGTGTGTGTGTGTGTGTGTGTGTGTGTGTGTGTGTGTGTGTGTGTGTGTGTGTGTGTGTGTGTGTGTGTGTCCAGTCTCACAACCTGTAGACAGTCACAGACAGTTCAAAAAGTTCAAAGCAATGACTAACTTGCCTCTGATTCCCTGAGAAATAAGTTCATCTACAACACTTCATACACACCCTGCAGAGAGGTGTAGTGAATAACATTCATGGATTAGAGCTCTCTTTGAAGTGCTGGTGACTTTTCTTTCATGTGCTTGCAATTGAATGCAAGAAAAGCAAAAAAAAAGGCTAAAAAAACGCCCTGAAACCAGGTGCTTCTCTTCTCTACTTCACATCATCATGTATGTGCGCAGTTTCCTCCCTCCTCTGCTTTGATTGTTTTCCAAAAAAACGAAGATTTAGCTTTCAGAGATATTGCCTTTGATTTGACAGACGGAGAGGAAAAATGAAAAGCTGACACAAAGGAAACACTCCAGCATGTCTGGAGCTAAATCTGGAGGGCCAGATGTATTGTGCCAGCAGCTGCTTCTATTACAGAAATGCTGTCATACAGATGAGTGTGGGAGGAGGTTATCATGCAGACCTGTTGCACGCTCCACACTCTCTTTGAGCAAGTGTAATAAAGAGAGCTGCAGCTGTGTTGCAAGACCTTTTATTTTGTAATCATTTCTATGTATTTATACTTTTAAATCTACAGTGAGCTTTTTTTTTTAAAATTTGGAAACAAAATTGAATTTATATCAGAGCTTTTTTATGCTATACAAAAGTAAACAAGACCATCAGCAGCAACAAGACTTATGGTCCCAATGCCTGAAACTGGTGTTAGGGGGTAGGAGCCACTAAAGAGAAAAGAGCCCAACACTTGCGCATGTACCGGACAATGTGAGCAAAAAGAGCTTTCTCTACAGGGGGGCGCCAACGTTGATACAAACAGAAAGTTCTTCACAGGGCTTTAAAATGAAGTTGACCCTTAAATCAGGCCCCAGGGCAAATGCGCCAAGGCACTATTGTTATACTGTGGATTTTTTTCTTATTCCTCTTCCAGACAAATTTCAATTCGCTACTAGTCCTACAGCTTGAAGATTGTACAATATATACAATAATATACAATAAATCAAAACATGTGGTTTGATCTGGATTGGTGTGCTTTTACTTTTCTCAATTGGATATGATTTTTTCACAACGTCAGTTCCAAAAAGCTGCAGAAAAATATTTCATTGAAGTCAAAGGGACAAGCAAAAAAAAAGCAAAAAAAAAACTTTGCATCAACATCTGCTGCGTTGTGGTCTGTCTGCACCCCGATTCATCTTTTTTGTTGTTGTTGTTGTATGAATAAAAATTTTAAAAAGGAATCTTTGTTGTAGTTGTACTCCTTGTATATAATTACACAATCCTGCTAGTATTATTTATTTGAAATCTCAGAACAATCCTATCAAAATGTACACACCCTGCAGTAGCGCCCATGGCCTTTTCTACATTTCACAGAGGGAATTTTCGAGTATTTTATGCCACATCTTTATAATAATGTGACTTTGTGGTCAGCTTGGACCCTTTTCAGGATGCAAGGTTTGCATTTTGACCTTTAACATCTTGGCGTCTTGGTGCTTAATGGCTGGAGGTATAAATCTAAAACTGATTCTAACAACTAAATAAACAAATGAATAGTGATTTGACACTAGTCTGATCAGTCATGTCAAGTTACCTTGCTTTCATTTATGAAGCTAATGAAAAAATATGTGCACAAAATAAGGAAAAATGTACAAAAGTAATACCTAACAATATTACAAGCAAAATTTTAATGAGCAGAAATGCACACATATTTATATTTTGTGCTTACAAAATGCCAGTTTTATGTTGTGTCTATGCTTTGGTGCAGGGCTGTAGCTCTGGTTAAAAGCTACTGCTGTTATGCTTTACAACCCAGATGTAAACAAGCAATGAAGGCATATGGCATCTCATCACGTGGCAAATTGGGTGTAGCAAATTAGCATCTGCTTAACATCAATCATAACAGATGATTGCATTGGATATCTGCTCCCAGTTAATTCCCAGTCTAATCTCATGTTTATTGTATCTGTCCCTAACAAATAAAGGCTACATACATGAAGGCTTAGTGTAGTTTAACTGGCAAAAAACTACTGGACCAGAAATCATAACCAGCACCTACTTGTTCACCTACAAAGATCTCTAAAGGCTAAGGGTGGTGGTGCTAGCTGACCTACCATAAGCAAAGCTCTATTTATCAGTTCATTGCAGACCCTATGATCCTAAATCAAAAATTTAAATTCCCATTTCAACAATTAGAAATGTTGTCATATTACAACTTCACTGGCTGCAATGATGGCTTTTTAAGTGCCTTGTAAGGTTTGTTGTGTTAAAACCTCAGGACATTTTTTTTCTCAGTTAGGTAATTTTAGCATGTTTTTCAAGCATGTTCAATTGTGCAATCATCCCCTGAAGAGGTCAAAAGTCATACAATCTGTTGGCTTGTAGCAGTTGTGTGTGTGCGCGCACGCTTCTTTTTTATATAATAATGTAATAACTATCATTATAATACTAAAGTAAGGGACAGAACAATATTTCCTGTATCATATTTATTAAACTGGTATGCATTGTACAATCTCAAATGACACCTCCTTACTAATTGCTTTTCATTCTTCCTTCCTGAGCCTAGCATGCAGGACTTTGTAACTTTGAGGACTGTGGCGTAACCCCTGTTTTTTTCCCACTGTACTATCATTAATTACATATTGGAAACACCTTTTAACCCTTCTGTCATCACGACAAATTTCCCAAAGACAAGCGTCTGTCTGGGCTCCAGTGGAACGTCGCACACGGCTCCAAGAAGGAGCCCTCGGGGCACAGCTGAGAGTAACAGTTAATGAGCCCTTAGTCAGCCCTGTCTGCTCCCTGATCCGACGCTGTGGAAGCCGTCACGCCGCCTGTCTTTGCCTTATCTTGCTGTACACAGTCACTCAAGACAATAGTACTATACAAACTGGCACCACAAAACACAGAGCCAGAAAAGTGCTTTTGTAGTTTGCTGCCTCGTAAAAAGTTGCCTAATTTTTGGGATAGCAGCACATTGTGAATGAGTGTGATACATTGTGTGCATCTGTGCCTTTGAATGGATGTTGTGCAAGGTTGGCCTGGCTGCTATTTCCTACTGAGTGGGAGACATCAAAGCTATGAGATTTTTATTCCTTCAATATCTCTGCACAAAACCATCAGGCTGTCTCCACCCTATCATGGGAGAAAAACTCCCACCACCAACAACAACAAAAAAAAACATGCTCTCAGCAGTCCACTGCATTTGCTGAAATCCCCCGAGGAGGGAAAAGTGAGCAGGAGGAAAAAAAATGAGCCCACTCTCTCCCACCAATACTTCCTGGAGCCTGAGGCAGTCCTAGATCTGCCTGAGTCTCCCCGACAACTGAGCTTTGTCTAGACAGAAACCAATGCTCTACTCACAGGATAGGAATTCAGTAAACCCACAGCCCCTCATTCTCACACCACCTTTAGCCTGCCATTCTCACAAGGCACCAAACAACCAACTCACAGCTCCTATTGTAACAGTAATCCAGCATTTACTCTCCGGATAAATGCACCCTATCCTCCATTCATGGAAATAACTGAAACTGGTGCATTTTGCAAAACAAGGTGCACACTGTGCATTAAAATCAGCTTTCCCTGTCTAACTATGTGGGAATGTAATGCAAGTGTTATGAATAGTTTCATTAGTAATTGATTTTCCCCACAAAATATCAGTAAAAAGTCACCCTGCTGGTTTAGTGAAACTTGGTGCACCTGGTAATCAGCAGTGCTGGGAGGCTCTCGGGAGCGGGCTGTTGCTCAGTTCAGGGGGGTTGTTTGTGTGTGAGGGTCAACATCATCAGTTGGTTCACTCTCTTTGTGTGAATTTAAAGAAAAAAAAGAAAAGTTTGTTTGAGTGCCTTTTGTTTGTGTGTGGGGGGAAAATCTAAAATATTTTTATTCCACTTATTCCTCACTTGAAACGACTCTCACCAATTCTTATTTTGGGTCAGTTTTTAGTTAATAGACTTAGTGGGTGGCAGTTTGGAGACATAAACCCCTGCCACCTTTTAGAAACCCAAGACCCATTTTGTTTTGTTCATGCAGTTTTTGTTAGTCTTTTTTGGAGGGGAAACGTAAGACAAGCTGCAGGAAATTCCTCTCATTCCATCTTCAACTGCAATGCACACTAATCACGTTCTGCTTGCTTTCCATTAGTAGTAACATGAGATGCAAACACTGCTGTGTGGAGGGCGTGGAGAACTGAATGACATGTCAATCTGAGAGGCCAGCACACTGTTTTACACGCTCCGTTGCGTGAAGATAAACACCGGCAGTTTCTCCTCCACAGCTTCACTCTTACTCATAAGGGTGACGTTTCCAAGCCATGCGTCCAAGGTTACCAACACCTAGTCCTCTCACCTTTTCCCCACTTCCCCACACTCACATGCCTGACTCATAGACACAACCACCCACACTCTCATCATTTATATGCATGCTACTGTTTCTCTGTCCACTTTGTTTTACTGATTCTGTCTCAAAGAACGGTTTTCTCATTATGGTGCAGACTGCTGGGTGTAAAAGTTTCCAGCAACTTCTAAGGCTTACATATCAGAATAAATAATCTGGCACCATTTTCACAACAATGCAAAGCTGCAGAACAGTACATTGCTTTTCATGTAGGTCTGTATCAACAATATAACACATATGGGAGTCACAAGTTTATTATTCCCAGATTTATCCCCTTAACTCAGAAATCCTGCAACTCTTGCTCTGAAGTTGGATTTTGTTATTTTATTTAGCAAGAAACATTCAGATTTCTGTGAGTAAAATGTATCATGTAAAAGGTCCAAATCGTGTTTGATCTGCTTGATTTTACAAACCCTAAAGATCACCTCTTATAAGTTTTGGAAACTCTTCAATCATTTCTTAAATTGGAGGGGTGTTGTCATCAGGTGCAGACCCAAAGTATCTCTGACCAGTATGACTTTTAGTCAAAAAAATGTCGTACAGGGTAGGCTCACAAAATCCAATTGTTACAGCTCCCATATCATGGTATTCTTTGCAGTTTACAACATGTGCTAGTCATCTTTGAAAAACATGGCAAGCACCCCCAAAAGAACCCATACACATATGACCCAGAACAGGAAAAGGCAACAGTTTAAGGGTTGAAGCTGCAGTTACAACAGATTATAGATGTTTATGTTTTATGTATAAACATATAAGCGTATGTGGCTCTGACCTTTGACATCTAGACTCTGCAGCACCGGAACAAACCACAACAGTGTAGGACAAAGTGGAAGTGCTTGAAGAGAGTGAGTTAATTTGCGTGCATAGCTATGCAAATTATTGTAGTTGTTGCATCACTGCTGAAACAAACACACACTATCTTTCAAGAGCAATGTCTTCTCAGTAGTTCCTGGAAATAATGATTCCATATTCTCAGGATTGCTGGGCTGGATGAATACAAAAGTTTAAACGACCAGTACATGCAAGGAAATTTGTCATTCATAATACCCATATTTATTCATTTTACCCATTATTTTTTTCTTACTAGTTGTTCGGCTAGTCATTAAAACAACGCAGAGGTCTGTATTTTGAATTCAAGCTGATATAGCCTGTTGTTCCTGCAGGCCACCATCTCCGCTTAATGGTGGTGTTGGTGAGAAGTGGAAGAACAGCTGTTACTTGTGCAGAGTTGCAACCTAGAGGCAATGAGAACACCTGTAACAAATGCAAACTAGACACCAAACACTGATAGACAGATAAGGTTGAATATTTGCAAAATTTCCCTGAAACAACAGAAGAAAATCTTGACATGCTCTTGATTCATGGTTCAAACTGGGACTGCAAAGTTGTCCTATTTTAAACTTAAATCTGTCATTCATTGAAGAATGCATTTAGCTAAGTCAAAAGAAATCGAAGCAATAACTTCAGATTGATGTAACGTGTGGTTTATTTTTGCAAGCTGCATGGGTTGTACATGTAATCATCTTGCAATCTGCTCACAAGCTTGTAGAAACTTCTACTTAATACCTTCACATAGGTTTTAACATGCCGGATAAAAGATGACTAGAAGACTGCACTGATGGGCTCTGTATGTAAATGTATCCCAACTCAAAGCTGTTTATATATGGATTAGATAAGTGCAAAAGAAAAAAAAAAGTCAGACATCCAGACTAACTCAAACTGACTGAAAGAAATAATACTGTAGCTCACTGTAGTAAAAAGTTGTAAAATAAGTCATTTGAAGCATGCAAACACTAAGAAACTGAATAAAGAAGAAATGACATGAAATAGTTCTTGAAATCAAAGAAGATGATCTAATCAGCACATGGCCTGCACTGAAGGTGGTGATAGATAAAAGCAAGGCTTCTTCCCCACTGCCACCTGACTGCTTATCATGACGAACAAAAGGCGAGAGAGAGAGAGAGAAAGAGAAAGAGAGAGACAGAAAAAGGGGAGGGTTGGGAAAAACAACACAGCCTCCTGACCTCAGTAACAGGAATGACACTCCCACCCCCTCTTTCTCTTCTCCTTCCTGTGAACTTTGGAGCACCCCAGAGCTGAGTGAGCACTAAACTGCACATAATGAGCAGAGGAGGGGAGGCAGAGAGGAGGGCTGTGGACGTAAGAGACACTGAGGTGGACACTGTGTCCTTTTAGGGAGGCACCATAAGTGGCTGCAGATATTGTCTAATGTCTAAAGACTCCCTGTCTGGAAACCACCTGATTGTGAGCCTGAAGTCTTGACGCATTAGTAATCCGCCCTTTGGCCTGCACGTTATTTGCATACACAGTGAGTTGAAAGATTCAGAGCAATGAAACAGGTATGATAAACTGGGAAAGAATCCCAACCATCCACCTCACCCAGTGCTGCACGAGGGTCAATATAAAGTGCACATTTGCACAGTGAGAGCACAGGAAAGTTTTATCTGTTCTATGGCTAAAAGTTATCACCTGGTTGAGAATGAAAATCACAAAATGCATGAAAGTTACACTTGTGTGTCATCTTTTTCACGTTAAAGTTTTCAGAACACTTTTTTTACACACAGAGTAAATTTAAGTTGATTATATAACAGCTGTCATTACATTACAAAAGTGTTTATGACAATGGTTTTCAGTAAGTGACAAGTCAGGGCTGCAGCAAGCTAGTGTAGCAAACAGACTCTCCTACTTAGTAGCCACAATCTTTTACATGTACAGCATGTAGTTTAGCTTTGTCCGGCTGGAATCTGCAGGATCTTTCCTGAAAAAGGCATTTTTAGGATGGCAGTATATGTGCACCTGTATCCTCCAGCATTAATGGTCCCTTCCTAGATGTGTAATCTACCCCTGCTATGGGCACTTGAGCATCCAGCATGACATCATCATGGATGCATGGGTTTTAACCTGTGCACTAAATACAAACCAGGTGGTCCCTCTCCTCCTGACAGCCAGACATTACATCCATGATTTCCAAAAAGGATGTCAAATTTTGTTTAATTAGACTACATGTAGAGCTGGGCGATAAAACTGCGTAGTAGCAGGCTGCAGCTTCACGCAACCATAGCACTTTAACACGTGAAGCCAACAGCACTGTTGGGGAGAAAAAAAGAAAATGAGTGCTACCCCCGGCAGAAATGCAGATGAAGGCTCAACAGATGATGACATTGTCGACAACACTGGCATGAAAACATCGGTGGTATGGAGTAGGGCTGGGCAATGTTGTTCTGATGTTCAGAAATTAAATTTATTGCCTTAGTGTGGCTTAAACTGGGCAAAGTCTGACTGAAATCGCACAAAATGAAATTCTAAAGGTGGGACAGACATACCTGGATAATGCTGCCTGAGACCGATTTCCCATATATGGTTTAATCAGACTGAAACTGCTTTTTTTGTTCTGAGTATGCACCGGGGTTTGCAAGTTGTGCTTTGATGTGGAAATTAAATATGTTGCTAGAAAGCCATGTGGTAAACAAAAGCCCAACAGATGAAAGAACATAAAAACTAAACTTTCCAAACATGGGAACAGATCTTTTTTGGACATCCAAATGCACATTGTCGGCAAAGAAAGCCCAGCAATGCCTCTACTTCCTCCGCAGACTAAAGAGAGTGCACAACACAGCTTTTTCTGTGTTTTGTTGTCCCTTTCTTGAAACATGTTGTGGGAAAATGAGCATAATATTTTCTTGAAACACAATTTCTTAGTTTCATATGTTGTCTTGGCATTTTTTTCAGTAAAATAAAAGGGTTGAGCTGATTTGCAAGCCACCAAAATCTGTTCATAAAAAAAAAATTCCTCAGCATCCCCACTATTTTTGAATTGAGGTTGTTTAAGTTCGCACTGACTTACTGCTCTCACCAACACCACAAATATCTCTGAATTGAACCAAACAACCAAATACATGGTTGTGCAAAGGCAACAAAAGTACTTGGAAATAAAGGGAACTATTTGTCTCCTGGGTAAAAGTCCTGGGTTAAACTATGACTGCACAACCCAATCATGGCAGAGTGGAATAAGCCAATCACAGCACAGTAGGGTGGGATCAAGCAGTACTGACACTCATTTGTAAGCGCAGCTTCACAGAGTCTCAGAGTCTTGTGGTTAACCACCAAATAGTTCAAAAATACTCATCTCCTCTCCAAACAACTAAAACATTAATATGCTGCCTATTTGCTCAATCAATTCCTCAAAACAGTTACAGCTGCTGACTTCTGTTGTACGTAAGGGAAGGGAAAGAACTTAATTTTAATGACAGTGAAAAAGAAGAGACTTCATATAACACATGTTCTGCTTAAGGTCAGGATACCGTAGTCAGACAGTCAACGATTTCAGCACAAGACATTGTGGTCAAGCTCCGCCAGAGGAGAAAGCAGGGATGGGAAATCAGACCTACTTGTGAGACTAGTGTGTATTTTCAGTCTAGACAGGGAGTGACGTTACGGTGCAAAAGACAAGTGTGTATGCCTTCTCCAGAACACTCACTAGTGAACAGAGGCACATGATCACAGCTCATGCATGCAAGATGCTTGGTCAGAGATGAGAGCCAACACGTGTAGTTGATAGCTGCTGGCATGGGAAAGAGAAACAAATTTTAATAGTTAGCAAAGACAGAATGCTTCAAGATGTATTAATATTAAAATCCAAAAGCCTGCATGCATAAACAAACAAAATCCAGCTGTGGGATTTCCTGAAGGAATTCATTATTATTATTTTCTCAAGTGCCACGTGTTTGAACATGCTGTGTCATTGTCTGGGAAAGATGAAACTCTGCAGTTTTTTCTCATGACAAAGCAACCAGATCAGACAATAAAACAGTAACAGTTTTTTACTGCACACTATCGTGCTGCAGTAAATCACTTACATTTGTAAGAATATTGACGTACGTCATTGTGAAGTCACAGAGACTAAACAACTCAGGAGTGCAACGAAAACCTGCTTTTTCTCCAAAATAAGGGACCCTTTTTCCCAAACCAGATCTCTGTTACCTCACTGTACAATGACCTACATTATATCATGTTTGAACTGGTCTGGTGCAGGGAGCTCAGATGATGACTGAGCCTTTTCCAGTCATGCATATAGGAGTACTATAATGCTGTTTTCATTGAGAGTACCGGCTAGGATCTCACAGGGAAAGTATGTGTGCACCAGTCGAAGCGGTTTGTTTTCAGAACAGTGTAACTCCAATGGAACGCGGCTGCAATCCTGAGCAGCATACCACCCCGCTTCACCCCTAATGAACATCAATCAAAGGCACATTCTTTAAGCGGGATGGACCACCAAGTGTAAACTTGAAGGCAAAAGCTGTTAAAGCAACTTATTTCTAGTCTGGAAATATTTCCTTTGCCACTGTCTGCTGGAGGAAAGTGTCTGATAGAAAAAAATCAAAAGGAGGAAGGAGCGGCTTGTGGAAAAGAATCCCAGGCATGTAACCAGTGGCTGGGCAGATTTCCTGGGCAGGGTGACATCCCGGCTGCTGCTCGGTCTTTCTCTCTTGACTGCCAGACCGTTATGTTTGTTAAGTGGAAGCCGACATTCCCTGGACAGCTCCTGTAGAAAAGACCAGGAAAGAATTCTAGTCTGGACAGCATGTGGCACAGGAGCGTCTCAAAGAGGATGCAGGAACACACAGACTGATAAAGCAAGCTGTGTGCACTGTTTAGTGTCAGCACCCTGCAGTCATGATAGGAGGGGTTTTACAGCAGTCATACTGTTGCTGTGCAGAAACACTTTCTCTCCAAATATGTCAGCATGTGTAACATAAAAATAAACCCAGACGACAGCTTAAGTCTACAGACGTGCTAATGACTCTGCAAGCTATCAGCTATGGTAGAGCTTAAGCTGAAGGAAGCATCCTCAGTTTTTAAAGTACATGTTCATAGACAGAGGAATATAGATATATGGATATGGATATGTTACATTTCTGCAAGTCACATGACGTGAAGGACAGGGGTCATGGACAGGGCTAAAAGATGGAGTGGAGTTATGCTTCCCCACAGCCACCCACTAATTTTGCCAAAAGTAGGCAAACCAAAGTAAAAGGCCTCAAACAGAGGTAGAATCGGTAGGGAGAAAACATTAAGTACAAAAAATCTCCTTACAGATCAAAACCTCACAAAAACTCTAAAATTGATGTTGGCTCTTTGGTGTCACACCCCTAACGGCGCAAAAGAACCTCCTTTTATAGACTACCCAGGCTGACGAGCACCAGCTGAGTGCAATAAGGACAGGTGAGCTGAGTGACAAGCTCGTTAGGTGTGCTGGAGGTCACAGACTTCCTCCATCTGTAACAGATATCAGACACAAACATCACACTAAGCATCGATCATCAATGCTGGTTTGATTGACTGAGTTAAAAAGAGTTGCTTTTAAGCTATTATTCTAACAGCATAAAAAGAAAGTCAGTCACTCTGAGTGGCTAATTTTGGCTTCACGCCAAATGACTTTCTGAACAATTTTAAAGTCAGATAAATTCCCACAGTGGGTTATGGTTTTGTGAACGGTTGTAGTTAAACTCAGTAAAATATGAGACTCAGTTTGGGGGGTTGTAAAATAAAGTCACTTTATACAATTTTCTGCCAGTGACTCCCAAACTCCAAAGGGTTGCATGGAGGTATGACTGGGGGTTTTAAATACAGTTTGCCTGGTTTGCAAAGCATAGCCAACTTTTTGACAGGACTACACCAAGTCAACATAAGGCTGGCGATGGATTCATACCAAACAATAAGCAAGTTCTCTTCCATTAGCTGACATCTGCTTAAGCCAGGCGACCCACCCAAGTGGAATTTGCATGTTGCATTCATAACTGCTTTGCAAAAATGAGTTGCCTTTCCATAAATTTTAGCAATTTTGAGGATGCAAATCAATAAGATTTCCCAGACAATGTTTCAAGGAGATTCTAAGGATGCGGTTATTTGTTAGCAGTGGAAGTGTCTGATAGTGTTCGGTGTACAGTGAGGGGTTGAGAGAACCTAAAAATATTTTCATCTGCAGAAAGAAATTCGGACCATTGATCCAAACCTTTCATCTTGGTGTGCATATAATGCCTGTAACTAATTTCATGTCAACCCACTAGATACTTGATTAGCTAAAAATAGCGCCATATTATATTGGTGCATTATATTTATAACTCTTGTGTAAATAGTAGATAACTTGTAGAGACATATTATGTGAGACAACAGACAATTGAATTTCCCTTCGGGGATAAATAAAGTTCTTCTTCTTTTTCATCGTCAACGTCATTGTGGTACAACTGACAATCAAAGCATCAACACATTTAGTACCTTCCGATATATCTTAAGTACAAGGAAAATGTAACCAAATGTAATCTTTTTTTTTTTCGTAATATCAGTCAGGATCAAAGTGCTACACCAACCAGTTGTTGTTGCCATCCCTGGTGATGTGACACCACTACAGCTAAAAACAATACGTGTTACTCTCCTTGCTCTCCCCTCCACAGGCAGATGTGAAGTCAGCACCTGGCAAGCTGTTGTGTGAAAATCACAGCCATAGAAATGGGATCTGTACTGACCTAGTTGTTGAGTGGGCTGATGATATGTCACAAGGCGGCAACAAGTAGGGGGATATGGTAGGTACACACATGAAATTACTAATGGGGTGGACTTTCTGTTGTGTTCCCACAAAGCTTCTCTCAGTGCTCCTGTGCTAATAAACCACATTCATATTACTGTCTTTATTTTAAATCTAAAGCACGTGGTTTATGTAAGGAGTGTTATTTCAGATGAGAAAGGAAAAAGCAGAAGTCAGTCTTCAGAGGAGCCTCAGCTGCAGACTAGTGAAACTTTCTGTGCCCTGTGGCAAAGACTTGATGAGGCCGTTTGTCCAACTTCAAAGGTAACATGTGTCTTCATTACAGCTGTGAAGATAGGTCAGCTAATCTCAAGAGGGAATCTGCAAGTATCCAGGGCACTCTGGGGCCACCCAGAGCACACCAATCCTGGTTTGGATTCCCAGAATCCGAGGTGCATGTAGAAATATCACATTAATCTTCAAAGTCGAAGGTTTATTTGAACAAGCATCACAGACCACACTGCAGTTCCTTAGAAGAGAAGGAAGCTGCCAAGTATATCACAGGGAGGGAAAATCCTCTAATATATTCAGTTTATACTGATACAAATCCAACAGGTTTCCTCCTCTGTGGAAAAGTCAGTAAGGAACATGGAGTGAGAGGGAAGCATCCTGCTATACTTCTACTGATACCAGCTGTTTCAGTCCATTTTAACACTGCAAATAGAGCCTGCATCTGCAAAACACTAAAACAGCAGAGTTCAAAATCAGGGCTGGTTTGCTGGTCATGTATGCAAGCATCAAATGAGTATCAACCACATCACTTCCTGCACAGGGAAGAGACAATCCAGCCCCTGTCTGTAGCTAACCACCATGAGTAGGAGTGCGAATTGGAGGGAAGTGGGAGCAATGGGATGTGGAGGAAATGGGTGAGGTGGGGTGGGGTGGGGGAACTGAGCATAGTGCAAGGCAGGAAAATGCCCATATATGAGCAGATACTTACGAAGCAGGATAGAATCCTTGCCCAAAGAGGCCTGGGATCCTCCTCAGGTGCAACAATAATGCAGTAAAAGTAAACACACCCTGACACTCAAAAGCTCGAGTTACACAAAGCCCCAACTTCCATTCAATCTAACACAACAGCAAGCAGCCTATTTGAACTTCATTCTTATGTAATAATCATTGAAATACAATGTTTCAGACAGGATTTGATTCACAGAGTCAATGAACAGTGGTGTGAGTGTTGGATCCATTATCAAATAGCAGGTTTCTGTCTGTTTAGCAGCTGTACAGGAAAAGCTGATGTTCTGCAGGCAATTAATCACACCTGCACACAGCCAAGAAAAGAGCCTTTATAAAACCCCTGCACATCAACTGGATCACTCTCAGGTTGAAGTGATGCTCATGCAATGAAACACATCCTGCATATCCTCTCTCAAAGCTGTCCCTGGGATGGTTTATCCAAACCATTCATTTTCTTCATTCAAATTCCACTTCTTTTTTTTTCTTGTTTGTTTGTTTTCGAATCTGTTCCTGCCATCACAATCATAAGGTCACACTTTATATTATCCCATTTAAACAGTCATGCCAGTGAGAGATATTTTTGCTCCCCTATGAGTTTGCAACCCTGCTTAGTCTCCCACATGTTCCTCATACATACATGCACAGATTACCACATGCACATGATGTTAATTAAGACATGCACAGTATGCACAGCTGTTAACGCAGCCAGAGTTCTTCACAAATGAAATCCAGACAAAGCCGCATGAAGAAGATATGCAAGGACTTAAACTACATTGTTGGAGTTTCTGTAAGAGACTGATGACTCTCTCATTCAAAGTTCCCTAAACAAACACAAAGGACTATGGATTATACATCAAAGTTTGACCAACTTTGGCTTCACGGACCACTGTAGAGGGTTCAAGACAGAGTTGAATTTGTATGGCAAACATGCTATCTGTGGAAAATAAGCTGCCTAATACTGCCATCATCTGGAGGAAAAGCAGTAGCACAGGACACAGCCGAGTCACAGCAGTTCAAACAGCATCACTAGATGACAAATATATATGCAGATTTTGACAAACACACTTATATTTGAGCTACATGTATTGTAGCTCATCAAATAAAGATGTTGTGACAGAATACTTCAGCAAACAATGCTTTTATGCCAAAACACAAAAAACGACAGTCAGTGTTTCTAGCAACTCTTTTAAGCCCTGCAGATTTTTATGGGAGTCAATTGTAACCTCTACATCCAGGATTTTGGTTCAGTAGGTTTTTACAGAATAGCATACTGCTTCGTTTATGCCTTATAGACATAACACAGTCTCAATACACTGCCTGGCCAAAAAAAAGTCACCACCAAAAGAAGGGTCAAACACGCTAATATTTCATTTGACCACCTTTAGCTTTGCTTACAACACATATTCTCTGTGGCATTGTTTGGTTACGCTTCTGCAATGTCAAAAGATTCATTTCCATCCAGTGTTGCATTCATTTTTCACCAAGATCTTATTAATGATGGGAGAGTCTGACCACTGCGCAAAGCCTTCTCCAGCACACCCCAAAGTTTCTCAGTGGGGTTAAGGTCTGGAGTCTGTGGTGGCCAATCCTTGTGAAAATGATGTCTCATGTTCCCTGAACCACTCTTTCACATTTTTGTCCATTAGGGAAGAAAAAATCCATTGATGGTCAAATATACTGGTAATTCAGTATATTCAGGTAGTCAGCTGACCTTGTTCTTTGGGCATATAATGTTGCTGAACCTGGACCTGACCAACTGCAGCATCCCCAGATCATAGCACTGCCCCCACAGGCTTGTACAGTAGGCACTAGGCATGATGGGGGCATCACTTCAACTGCCTCTCTTCTTACCCTGATGCGCCCATGGACTCATCAGACCACATACCTAGCAAACTGAAGCCTTTTTTTCCAGTTAGCCTTACTGATTAGTGGTTTTCCTAAGGCTACACAGCTGTTCAGTCCCAATCCCTTGAGTTCCCTTCGCATTGTGCATGTGGAAATGCTCTTACATTCACTATTAAACATTCCCCACTACCCTTCCAGTTTTTAATAATGCGTTGGACAGTTCTTAACACAGTTTTAATAGTTTCTGCAATGTCCTTAGATGTTTTCTCTGCTTGATGCATGCCGATGATTTGACCCTTCTTCAACAGACTAACACCTTTACCACAACCACAGGATGTCTTTCCACATGGTTGTTTAAGAAATGAGAAGTTACTCATTTCATCAGCTGGGGTTGAAAAACTCGTTGCCATCTGAAAGATAAGCGCCATGCAGTAATTATCCAATAAGAGGCTCGTACTAATTTGTTTGGCCAAATCCAGGTGGCAACTTTCACTTTGGCCAAACAGGGTATAAATACATTAATCCACTACAAAGCTCATCCTAAGACACAAAAATCATCCAAAAATTAACCTGCTGGTGTAGCCTGGGCTCTCATAGGTTCTTATGGTTTCCTATGGTGTTGGATTAAATTGTTTTTCTGGATCATTTCAGTTGTGTTCATATGATGATTGTGTTTAATTGATAGTGTTTTACCTTTCCTTGAGGGAACCTTTCCAAAAGGATCAATAAAAGTTTGATCTAATTTAATTTAATCTTTTCCTTTTGATGTTTGGGTTAAATTGCTGTTGATTGGTTCTTGTGCTTTGTTTTTTATGTTTCTGCCTGTATGAAAGCATGTTGAAAACCTTTTTTATGATGATATAAAAATAAAAGTTATTAAAATAATGATTGCATTAACTCTCTAAAAATCTGACATAAATCAATTTCTATTATACCTCTCCTGCATGGGTCCCAACTTACAACTCAACAATTTAGCAGTATCTTTATCCTGTTAAATTGCTTATTAGTATAATTTGTCACACCCACATATTTCACGTAACTCACATCAAAGTTGGTATTTACTCTTTTTAAATAACGTGTTACCATATTTACATTTTTAAATTACTCTTCTCACACGAATGAAAAAAAACCCTGTTACTTTTTGATTCATGTTTATTTCAGTACAGAGGTACTGAAGCTCAAGACCTGCCAGCCTTCACAAGACCTGTAAGCTCAGTTTTCACCACTAGGGGACAGCACCCTACAGGCAGGCTAAAAGGTCACTGAGGATATGAAAAAAACTTCTGAGGACGCTGTCTGATTAATAATAAAGAGACTGTTGAAGCAATGTTTGTAAGCTGATCCCTCTCTCAATTACAGTTAAGACCAGGGACTCTGGTGGCAACTGGAGACTTAAATGAGAGGGCGTCCACTGAAGACAATGACCTGTGTTGGAGAAACGTCAACAAGCTTACAGTGGGGTCGCAATGTGTTTGAGCAGCATCAATCTGTGGACACAAGTGAAAACATGTTTTTTTTAAATCCAGTTATACCCCCCCCCCCCCCCCCGACCTCTTAAAAACCTTCTTCGGTGACTAAGAAAACTATGAAACCAGTCAGATGGCCAGTCATTTGCTCTAAAACCTCCCTGTCTCTGTGTGAGTTGTGTTAGAAAAAAAAACAAAATAATAATAATAATAATAATAATAAATAAAAATTGAAGTCTCTTCTGTACAAATTAAGTCTGTGTTTTACATTTTCACTGTGAGGTTATAGAGGATAATCAATGTTGTGGAGAGATCCTGCAGCCATTTTGACCTCTCAGGGAGGGAAGATACTGTATCTTTTGTGAATAAAAATGATTTTCACCCCTATTTCTATGAAGCATGGTGTTTCACAGAAAACTATCAGCAGAACATCTGTTGATCTGTTTAACCAACACTCAGAAGTCTGTTTGATGTTGACACCAGTTTTGTTCGTGCTGTGTCACAGTTGCTTAGAAACCTCAAACTTCCTCATCTGTTTCATAATTTACCGTACCATCAGGAGAAGTTCAGGTCAGGTGACAGTTTTTTTTATTTTTGTTTTATTTTAGGATTACGATAATTCAGCCTAACTGGAGGTCAGCACCTTATAATAAAGGTAATGACATCACTTCAAAGCTTTACAGAATAAGTATTTACAACACTGTGCAGCCCACACTTATGCACAGACTCACCAGCTGTGGTTTCATCAGGCCAATAGCAAGTCTTGTCAGGTAATACAGGAGGAATTGCCTCACTAGTTTATGTCCTACATCCTCCCTGTAAAGTGATTTTCTGAAGAAACACCCTGGTTCTGCACCAGGCAAGCCAAAGCAGGTACATTATGTTACTTCACTAAAATGATGAATGAGGGCTGACCAATGTAACAAGACTAGTTTGATTCTGTTTTTTGTTTGTGTTTTGGGCCTTTTGTCTTATTCAATGGAACAGCTAAAAAAGACAATAAATATGGAGGGGGGGGGGGAGAATTCTGCAGCATTAACAAGCATTGGCTACAGTTAACAATCCAACATTTGCATGGCAACACATTTTGTTAGATCTCATTTTAAACACGAAGTTATGAGCTCATGAGTCATTTTTTGAGTCATCCTGTTTCAAAGATTACAACTAAAAGATTGTAATAGGTAGCCTCTGTGAATGTACTGTGAAAACAAGTGCAGATAATCTACTTTTAATTTCATGCTGCTAAAATACCCCACTGCAAATAAAAGTCCTTGTTCAAATGCATTATCATTTAAATTAAGGCTAAGATCCTATTTAAAAAAAACTTTTTGGTGCTACGTGATACTAAATTTGATCAAATGTTTGGGGTCAGTGTGGACTAAAAATAAGCCAGGGATGATGATTTTCTTTAGATGCACAACATACAAAGGCTTTAACCCAAAAATAAGCAGAGGAAATTAGTCTCTAAAGTAGATAAATAATCGTGGTAGGCCAGTGGCATAGAGGTCTAAGTGTGCCCCATGCACAGAGGCAGTAGTCCTTGTCACAGCAGTCACTGGTTACTCTCCTAGCCACAACGCTTTGCTGCATATCTTACTACACTCTGTATTTCTCTTTGGCCATCCTGTCTAATAAAAAATCTTGATCTTAATATTAAGCAAAATAATTGTGATTTTCACTTTGGCTATGTTTGTGCAGCTTCAAGAAGTGGAACTAAGAGGTGTCCAATTACTGTCAGTGCACAAACACCCTACAAACCAATTAGTGCAGACGTCACCGAGATAAAACATTCGATTAGAGAACAGCACAAAGAGGAAATAATCCAATTTAATGACTGTGTCTTCATAAGAGATTCATTCCCCTGATGCGTAACAGATGCTCCAGGGAGACATGGTGGAGTCGGTTCATGTAATTGTGTCAGTGGAGCTGTGTATAATGTGGGACCACAAAGAGCACAGGTCTATAAATAAACCATAGCAGCATCATCAGCATCAGAATACTTGATTTATCCCCAATATTAGAAATAAAGCTATACAGAAAGCCCAGAGTGTATTAGAAATAAGCTCTGTACAAAACTATTTTGTAGTGTAGGATATTGCGCACAGTGAAGTTTAATAAACAATGTTATTATCAGTATTGCACTCTAGGATTATTGACGATTTTACCATCTTAAAAACAGATTACACTGTTGAAAGTAATTATATGTAGTGGAGAAGTTTACAGCTTGAGGATAAATCCAGGCAGGGACAGTCAGAGTGTGTGACACACTCAGAGGGAGGAGTTATAAAGTTTGATGGTCACACGTAAGAATGACTTTCTGTGATGCTCTGTGGTGCATTTAGTGTTACTGTCATTTCTCAAAACAGAACCACTGAAAATGATGTAGTGCATATGCCAAGCCAGTAAGTGGCAAAAGACAGAAGAAGAGTACAGAGCATATGTAGAAAAGTTGTTTAGGCCAGACATGCATAGCCGCCATGAAAGAGAGCTGTGTGTGACATAATCATTTCGAGAGGTGCAGATAGGCATCCACATGGAGATGAAATGGTGGTCGTTTCCAAATTAATGCTCTCTCTGATCCATTTTTAAAAAGTACCATTTACAGTCATTCAAAATGCTGTTTCAGTGTGGATGAAACGCTGATACAACAAAAAAACGTTTGTGTTTACTGCATCCCTCAAAAAATGCTAAAAAATGAAAGTAAGTATAGTCTTGTACTGCACTAGCAGGCTGCTGTTAAAAATATAGTTAATGTTATTGCTGACATACAGTACAGGCCAAAAGTTTGGACACACCTTTTCATTCAATGCATTTTCTTTGTTTTCATTACTATTTAAATTGTAGATTCTCAAAACTATGAATGAACACATGTGGAATCATGTGCTTAAGAAAAAAGTGTGAAATAACTGAAAACATGTTTTATATTTTAGATTTCTCAAAGTAGCCACCTTTTGCTTTTTTGATAGCGCTGCAAACTTAAGCTGTTCTCTCAATGAGCTTCATGAGGTAGTCACCTGAAATGGTTTTTACTTCACAGGAGTGCCTGAAGTAACCCTGACAAGGAACTTCTGTCATCAAGAGCAAAAGGTGGCTATTTTAAAGAAACTAGAATATAAAACATGTTTTTGGTTATTTCACCCTTTTTTTATAAGTACAAAATTCTACATGTGTTCATTCATAGTTTTAATGCCTTCAGTAATGATCTACAATGTAAATAGTCATATAAAAAAAAAAGAAAAGACATTGAATGAGAAGGTGTGTCCAAACTTTTGGCCTGTACTGTACATTCAAATAATCATTTGAGAAAAACAAAAACGACAACTGCTTTTTGCTTTACTGGCACAAGCTTCCATCCAATCGATATAGCAATGGCTTTTTGCATAAAATACACATTCAGACCCATTTCATGTGCAGTAATCATACCTTAACTCTGATTTACTGAAGAGCCACATGTGAGTCTCTGTACTGTGGGTCTCAAACTGAGTGCCACAGCTGATAAGAGCTGTGGAGGTCTAGCTTCATCTTATGTCATGCTCCTGTCAGGCTTCCATGGCAGCACACAGCTATCTGACATCAACTACTTATAATCTATTATCCTCTGCTTGCTGAAAACAAATTGTAGCAGCCAAAGCCATTCTATACATTGACTAAAAAACAACAGAGCAATTCATGAAGTTATACTTGATTTAAAAATGAATAGTAGATATTCTGTTTTTAATGCAACAACAGAGTTCATTTCTGTCTGCAATATATGGATAAAGAGATTTACATTAAACACCTGTTGCATACATGAGTGATTAACTGTATTAGCTTTCTATTTAGTGACAATTCCTGCAATTCAGCATTGGACATTAAAACTGGACAGCTGTCAGCCCTTTTGTTGGATTATTTTAAGGGTTTGGTCATACTTTTATTGAGATAACCAGACTGTGTACAGTCAGAAAAACCCACCTATTAAAGTAAGAGCAGTTCCTCCTATTCAGCAGCTTTTGAATGAAGTCATGCAAGTATCGACTGCTTAGTCATTGCCTGTTTGCTATCAGGATGTAACATGTTTTTAGATCCTGTTAACGATAAAAAAAAATTAAATCATGGTATTTTAATGAGTGTTCAAAGCACCCATGTGGTTTGAAAAGTAGTGGCAGAGTCTGTGAAGAAAAGCAGACTAACTCAAAAGGTCTTTATCCTCTGTTGATAAGCAGCTAATGCTGTGAGGCCTCGTGTCTGACTCATGCACTTACACACTCAGACTGTTCGAGACTTTCGTCACTGTGAAAATCTCAGGTGAGGAGGCTGAGGAAGCTGTGACGTGTGTTGAAACATATTTCACATGTGGCTGTGGACTAACAGGGCTGGAGGCTGGGCTGTGTTGACTGGATCATTCTCTGAAGCTCTTTGTGAGCAGAGCAGTGACGCACACACCAGCTCCAAGGAGGCCGGCGTGGAATTTGAGTCCAGGGATAGAGAGGAGGGGAGAAAGAGGGAGGGGGCGACACTCTCACAAGATTAAACCACGCTATGGTCTGAATGTGGTGTAACCAGGCAACGCAGCCAAACCCACGTCAGCACCACAGACCCACTCAGGTGGAGTCACATGCAGCTGACCAAAGCCATTTAACTGATAGGGTAAAAGTAGGCAAAACTAAAAAGAGACCAACAAATATTCAATGTCTTTTTGTAGTTCAGCATAATTTGCAGTCACTGGTTAACATTCTTGTCAAAGGTACTAGGGCCAGCACCCAAAACATGATCAAGAAACAGCGTATGTCTATGTATTTTATCTAAGGTAAAGAAGAGATAAGAGATGTTCAAATAACATGAAACACTGTTCAACTTTCATTCAGTATTTGCTCGACACATTATCATAATAGCCATATAGTGAGAAAAACTTTGAGGAATTTCTCCTGAGAAACTTGTGATGCTCACCAGTCTAAACATGACAAAAGGGTGTCGCTCACCATTCGTTAATAGCCAATATTTGTGTGCAGAAAAATTATGTTTTATCCATGTCCATGTATTAAAGAAGGTGTATTGATGAGGTTTATTTGATCCATGCACCCATCCAAAACCTCCAAAATAAATTATCCATTCAGTTGGTGAAACAAAAGAACTGCAGAACTATTTAATCTATAATCCTATTATCTGACTTTGTATGTACTTTAAATCAGTTTACTAATTATTTCTAATCCTAACCTCACCCAAGGTAATGTAATGTCTGATTCTGCATAGATGAGATGCAAACAATGTTGGCCCCTGTAGACCAGGGAAGGAGCTTCTTTAGTCGAGTTAACAATGAAATGCTTGTTGACAGTCTGCTGCAGAGCTTAGGGTTAAACAAGCCAATATTTTTGTAATATGTAAACCTGACATGCCCATCATATGTTGTGTATAAGCTGTAGTACAGCTACCCACCACTATCCTATGGCAGTAGCTTCTGTTAATGTTGACAATCAAGTTTCAAGACCAATATTCTGCATTTGGTTGATTATTTGTATCAGCCTTTTATTCTGCAGATGGCCAATGAACTAAATAAGTAAAAAGTCTACACTGTGAATCTGCTGCTGCTATGGCTTACTGGTTAGTCCTTTTTTAACACCTGTACAGTGACAGGACAGTCCATCTATCATCATAGGCCATGCAGTTACATCTGTCCATGAATACAAGTACACCTACTGTTATTTTCTGTTTATTTGTCTGTTTGCAGTTTCAAAAAATCTCATTATGCTTTGTTTTAACGCACAATAACACCTAGTAGGACCATTGTTGTTGCAGAGATTGTCAACAGTAAAAATGTTTTAACAGAGTGCTGTTGACCCCCTCTTGAGACACCTCCACAGGGGTGTTAGGTATTAAAATTGACCATAGAACACAGCCAGTCCTTGCGCTGATAATCTAGTTTGCTTTTGTTGGTAACAAAGAAGCAGTATTATTGATCAGTCTAATCGATCAGTAGATAAAGCTCCCCATAATAGCTCTCGATATGTTTACAACATAGGCCTAAAAACTTAACCCGACTCAGATAATTATGAAGTCTTACCAAAACTATCAATTTGCATTTTTAGAGAAACAGTTGTGTATAAAATAAGGTAGCACAATGGGGGAAAAAAACAGTTCAGAAAACATTTCTCTCAGACTCAGATCATTTGCAAATAGGCAATATGAGGAGAAAGTTGTTTCCCCCCGTTATTCCTTCATATGCTTTCCTTTGAAAGCTGACACAAATATGACCGCGTAGCCTAGAAACACATCACATGCACCTACTTGTCCCAGTTTACACAAACTGGGTGTCAAAATTCAATTGTGGTGGTAAACTTTCGTTTAAAGTTTTTCGGTTGCCTCCCTCTGACAGACAGATACACCAGTCATGTTGTGTTACAGTTGCTGGCAGACAATTCATGTAATCTCTGGGTTAACACTCACCTGGCCTCTCTGATACGACTGAGTTTCTTTTTCCACACAGTCGAGCAATGAAAAAAAACTCTGATGTGGGTCCTTTAATCTAAAAAATACACGCCAGCTGTGTTGAATTAACGGTTTCAGACGCAGAGAATAAAACGTGAGCCCTGCTGATCTCACCGACAGTGACAGAAGAAGCGGAGACAAACATCTGCTGCTGGCGGATAGTAAGCTTCAGGGCTGGGACTTACTTCTCTGCTGTGTGGAGGAGACGACAGCGCCCTCTGTCGGTAGGTGAAATCACACCACCTTATACTTTCAGGCGTCTGGAGGACGTTAAATGTTTATCAAACTCTTCAGAAATGTATATTTCGTTGCATTTTCACGACTCATCTTTATAAGAAATAAGATCGCGATGGCAGGATTGGCTTTTAAAAAGTGCAATTTCCACCCCTTGATGTGGCTCGACCTGTATACCTGCATCATTACATTCAAAGATCAAGGGGACATGATGAAAACTGTGAAACTTTTTATTGCTATGGATGAAATGTTCACTTTTTTTATGTGTCAGTATTTTATGATCAACAAAACAGACATGCAGTGCATAAAAAATAAATGTACTGTAATTATCCTGGAGTGTGTATCAGTGTTTTAGTGCCCACAGTTAATGTAAGATGTCAACAATTTTATGTGGTTCAATCTTTATTTTGTAATTTTAGTGGTAATAACTCACAAAGCTAGATTTAATGGTTCATGAAATTGCTACAAGAAGTCAAATACATTCCATACCCCCAAATGCCACAATTACTAGAGTCACTAGGTTTTAATTTCTATTAGAGCTCATATGAAGAGTTTTTTGACATTTATGAAATAGACTTAAATTCCTATTGATGCATTTCATGACATCTAAAAGCAAACAGCGTTTTTGAGTTCAATCTCCCCCTCTGATCTGTCCTTGAGTGTTACAGCGGTTACTGTTTATGTCCTTATCATATACATTATAAAGTTATACAGATCAAAGTTAAGCCATCACTGAAAGTGTAAGTGCATCGGCCATGCATGTATTATTTTTTCATTAAACAAATAAAAAGAAAAAAACAATAACACTAAAGTCAAATAAAATACAAAACTTGAAAATCACTTAAGGTCTGGTAGTTACTCTTCAGCTACCTTCCCTGCCATCCTGTATGTCTCTGTTGGCCCCTGCTCGCCACATGATAGCCAGGTCTCTTGGCTCGCTGGTGTCTTCAGCATATCTGCCAACAGAAAAAACAATCTTAAATGCTAAATGATATGTGGACCTGCACATATACCAAAAAAGGTGGTACCAAAAACAACAGTGGTGGGCGGCTCCTCTCTCTTCACTGTTGGACTGAGAGATTAAGAAGATCTTTTGTGCCACATCCATCAGACTTATTCCTCTATAAACTAAAGATGAGATGAGACTCCTGACAAACTTATTTTGATTTCCCTTTGGGAATCAATAAAGTTCTTATACTGTGTTGTATAAAACAGATTTATACTCTTTCTGACCACTGAAAGTGCTTCAACACAACTCATCACAGTCAGCCATTGTACCACATTCATACATTGATGACAGAGGATTTAATAAAAGGGCATACAACGCTCACTATATCACCAGGAGCAGTCCGGGTTTCAGTAGTGTGCCCAAAAGCACTCCATCACTTGACTGTTGGAGATGGGATCAAACTGCAAACCTTCTGTTTGGCCACAGCTCTGTCTCCCATAGACAACTGACTCTAGTTGTGAAATATTGTTGGTATGTCTGACGAGTTATTTAATGGATTAGATTTTCGATATAAAGGCTATGTGTTACACACCTGTTTGCTGAAAGTCTCCTGACTTGTTTCTGTTCTTGTGGGAGGGGGCATACAGGAAGATGATGGAAAAAACATACAGGTTCCACATGCTGTAGACCCCTGTGAAAAAAGCACTGTGGACCTGTAGAGTGTAGTCTCCCCAGCGCCAGTGACCATCACTCACCTGGTGAAATACAAACTTTATTAGGATAAAAATGATCACAAAGCATGTGGGTAAGACTGTCAGTGTTGATCAGTGGAGGGGTGATACATACTTGGTTTAAGATGAAGAAGATGACAGTCATGGCTGCACATGCTAAAGTTACCAGCATTAAAAACTTGAACCTGAAGATTATACCCTGCAAAAAAAAAACAGCAACAGTTGAGACAGTCTAGATTGAACTCTCTGTTACATTGTTGAGTGAGACACAACATAAATCTACCATGAGAAAAACATAGCATCATAAACAAATAACAGCGGTGAGGGGAAAAGCTACCTTTGCAATCTTTGGGTTCAGTGAAAAACTTTTATTCTGTCATCTTGAGCTGTCTTAGGTTGAGCTCTTCATAAAAAAATTCTAAGTGCTGACTATTACGTAAAATGTTCAAATATAGCTGAAATCTTAGGATCAAAGTTGAAAAAACAAGTTTTTATTTACATCATCGAATGAGTATTGTAAAATGTTCAGAATACAGCCATATGGCTAAGATTTCAGTTCAAGAGCTGTATTCTAAGTAAGTGAGAATGGGGAAAGGTGAATTTGTGCAAGAAAGTTGTGGGAAGTATGAGTGCAAGGTTCACAGAATATGGTGTTTTACTGCCCCCTGCTGGTCATTTAGCAGTACTAGCATACAAGGAGCGTTTGTTTTCTTAATCCCCTGCTCTTATACTCTTCTATATTTATGTGTTTCAGGAAATAAATCAAACATATCCAACCGTGTAACGCAGTCTTCTCGCTCTTGGCATTGTGGGCAGTTGCTTAATTTTTCCACCCATGTTCCTGAACACACAATGCACCATGCCACACAGGGAGACAAAATAAAGACAAACAGAAATCCCTGCAACAATAATGAAAGTTTTCCAAGAGAACAGTCAAGGAAAGAGCCTGGATCAATATTCAAGTATGTTCTCATAAATCAGAACATAATGAGTAAAAATAAAAGGATACTGCCACCCTTGACCCAACTTCTGAGGCCCAAACACTGTAGAAAGGATTGGTCAGATGAACCCCCCTTCAAAACACATACAGTACATTAACATTTAAAAAGAGATATAGCAATGAATTCATAGCTATCTCATTACAGCAGTCATGCCATTACCTTTCACTCAGGTCAAATATGAGGAGGATAGACGAGCCAAACACCACCAGCCCAACCTGCCACCAGTACGTTGAGAACTGATTCCTCTGACTTTGGTCCTGCAGAGTATAAAGGATAGTATAAGTGGAATGAAAGTATTTGAGGTGTACATTTGAGAACAACTGACATTTGCAGACCATGAGGTGTTCACCACAGAAGATTATCCAGAAACAGAAGAGAGTGGAGTAAAAGACACCCTGCCGAACATCTTCAAACAGCAGCATCCATGTCCACTCAAAGCCCAGAGAAAGCCACTCCACAGGCACGTTCAGGAACGTCATGGAGATGCCGAGAGCAAAAATCACCCTGCACAGCATAATAACACACGAGCATCTCTTTACATTTGTTTAAAAAAACAGAACAAAACAAAAAACAGGTGACTTTCTGCTGTGGGGCAAGTATTGACCTGATTCAGGGCACTTAAGCATGTAACACAAAGCACTAGTCATTTCACCTGCTGTACAAAAAAAGCAAACCTCGAGCTCTGATACTACTTCAAAGTATGAAAGAAGGTTCATCTGGGGCTTTAGGTTCACTGAATGACTTTTAAGATCTGGGTTGCATTTACAACTACCTTTTAAAAACAGTGTTCAACCAGCAAAAACATCCTAAGCCTGTACAAATGTAGGGATTGACAGAGACCCATAGTGTTTAATGTAAAGGACAACAAAAATAATTCAACCACAATACAGTTTGACCTGAAAGTCAGTGCAAGATTCAGCATAGTCCATTTCAGTTCAGGAAGGGAACTCCCTATAAACTGCATTTATTTTTTCAATGGCTTTTTCCAAACATTGACAGTCCATGACACATTACTCACATGCTTTTACTGCACTTTTCATGGTGGTAGAGTTGTCTTGAATTCATAACTGTCTCCTTGACATAACAGTAAGGCTGAGTAACAGACCAGGGGGGGGGGGGGGGGTCCTGTCCTGTCATTATTATTAAATAATAGACTGTTTGTAACAATGAAAAATACCACAGTGTTATTACAGCTTTCTTGGTGAGTCCGATCTTTTTTTTTAGATAGATAGATAGATAGATAGATAGATAGATAGACTAATGTCTCTAGGGACGTAATGAAAGTTAGTATCATAATTAGCTGTCTTATGAGCATTTCCATCTGCTAATGCACACAGTTGTTCCACAATCATCTTGTCTATTTTTCCGAGTCTGGCCTGCATAGCGGTGTTCCGGGGGCGGAGCTTGGATTTGCTGTGTAGGAAATCTCACTGTCTGAACCTGCCTTTTGGGTCTGCCATAAGTTCACAGTGATTTGAATGCAAAAATACTTTGAAATACAATTCTGTATTTACTTTTCCCATGATATGCCCTGTAGCATCAGAAAAATGCCATATGAACATGTAGACAACAAGAAAAACATGATTATCAGTTAAAGCCTATTTCTTTGCCAGTTTAAAACTTCTCACAGCACCTTTAAAGTAAAGTATCTCTACCTTTAAAGTATTTCTAATGAGTGACACAAAAAGAATGTGAATAGAAACACACTGGATTTGATAAAAATATTACACTCTTAGCCATTATCCTCCGCTCACTCATACTTTTCTAAGAGGACTGGAGGTCTTGCCATAAGGCTGATCCTGTGCCAGTACCAAACTGTGGCCACAAATGTCCAGGGACTGAACACGGTCCTCATGCTGATCCACACTTTGGTGAAGCCTCCATTCTGGTGAATGCCCTAAAGAGCAAAGACATTTATGTTTAAATATAGAGACTTCAAATTTTCATTCGATCAACATAGATGTTGACTTAACAGAGGTTAAACTCACCACTACATGGATGTCCTTTATATCTCCAATGCCAACATTAATTGTGTCATTCACTGGCAGACGGAGGTTAATGAGAAAGTATTTATGCGCCACACTTCCCAGTTCCATGAATGGTATGGGGTCACACTGATAAAAGCGGCCTTCATTTTCATAAGTCTGCAAAAGTATGAACTCAGACGGGTTACTATTCAAGTAAAACCTTCAGAAATGATGTATTAGCATTTATGGATTGATTCACTCTGGTCTGTCAACAGAAAATGAACCACTACTACCTTTTACGAGTAACTATCAGCTCTGAAAATATGTATATTTTATAGATAATTGAATTGAATAATGGTCAAAATTTACTTCAGGTTAATCAGTCATGAAAATTATTTTTTTGTTAAAACCCAATACAGAAGACAAAAGGAAAGGGTTGCTACCTGGACTCAACAAAGAGTTAGTCTGAGGTGCTCTTTGGAATGGGATTCACGAAGTCATTGAAGCAAAAAGAGAAAAAACTCCAAGGCACTCTCTCAATAATATAAAATGCCTTTATTTTAACAGCATGGTCATGTAGACCTTAATAGCAAACCTAGACGTGTTTCAGCATCAAGCCTTTATCAGGGAGAGAAGAAAAGAAGAAAAGCCAATGCAGATTTACCTTGGGGACTTCAAAGGTGCACCTGAGTGGCCTTTGCTCCACTGAGTGAAACTTTGTAGTCCACTTAGATTTCAAATGATCCCTGTAGGCCAGGCCAGCATCAATAGTGATGACGACATCATCCTCTGTGACAAAAACATTTGTGTAGTCCACATCAAGAATTAATAAAAATAAAATAAAATACATCTTTCACCAATTCTATCAGAACTTGTGACAAAAAATGCATTTCTTACCAATCTGGTTGATCATTTTGAAGGCAATATCAACCTGCAGAAAAGCCAGCATGTACTGAAACCAGGGGCTCATCTCCCTGTCGGGGAGAGGGATATGCACAGCAAACACAATATCGTTGGCATCCAGTAATTTTGCAAGAGGCGCATCAAAGCTGTGGATCTGCTGGCACCGGTTTGTCCCCCATGGCATCTGCGAGCTGCGTGTCCTGTGGCGGTCAATGCATTTAGTGGCAAGGTAGTGGATGGCACTGGTGGGGGTAGGAGCTATGACAGAGGGGAATAGTCTGTCAAAAATGAGCTGTTTGACCTGTAACTTTCTTACTACACAAAATATAATTTGAAGTTATTTAGCTGCTTTGGTTCTTAACAAGCACAAAAGATTTAAGCTACACTTTCTTGAAATAAAACTTGTTTACAATACATGAACAAAATATTACTACTTACCAATAAATGCTCCAACCATAATTGAAAGTACCTGGAAAAGGAGGATAAAGAAGCCAAAAATGATCAATTTCTTTGTGCTCATGTTCTCTATAATTGCTCCTGCCATTTTTTGAGAGAAATCTTTTATGAAGTGAAGCCAAAGATGAAAAGCATAAGATCCCAGCAGGCTAAGTACTCAATTGCGGCAACGTGGTCCCTCTGCGCACTCACATCTAACTACCAGAGGGCAGAAGGCAACGTAACAGAGTGAGTGCAGAGGGATGTAATCTTCCTGGATGGACTCAGAAAAACACAATGCAAACAAACAAAATAAAGTAAAAGAAAGGATAAAAGCAAAGACAAAACATTTGTCTATAAAACATGATTCCTTTATTGCTTAAAGAAGACACTGTTTTGTAGCATAGGCAAGTGAATGTTTGTCACAAGAAAATTACGTCTTTACACTAAGGATTGACCACAGTCACAATGCAAATGTTTGATACTGCACCCAAAGGAGAGGGGGGAATAACAAATTCTGCCTGGATATCAAAGTATCTTACAAAGTAATTGGTTAATTATCTGTAACATTGCTTACACTGACCTGGAGTCAGCAAGGACAATCACAGCAGCACCTACACCTTTTAAAAACACTAAATCTGTTTAGGCTGTTTGTCTTTGGTTCCGGGAGAAAAAATATTCTGTTTCTGAAAGGTGTGGCTAATTAGCAATACTGTGTGTGGTTTTAGATAGAAAGAGAACAACGGTAAGCAAAAGCTAAATTTAAACAAAGTGTTCATGTATTTCTCTATTTAACAAAAATATTTTAATATTCACAACCCCTAAAAAGATCCTGTGTGACCACAAAAGAGGAGAAATCATCCGCTCTGAAATTTTCCTAAAGCTGTTATCCTAGACCACCAAAAGTGTTTGAGAGCATCATGCAGTATGTGAGCTATCCTGTGCAGTACCTGAAGAGGCAAACACTTGTTATCCCACCAACATTGACTGAAAGATCCCAGACAATGTCTGCCCTCTGTGTGTCCACAACACTTCCTGAAATCTACATAATTACTCACAACATAATATCAAAACATTAACTGAAGCAACTGGAAAAAAGGGGTCAAACAGATTAATCAAAAACTTCATTACCAGCCTCTCAATTCAAATAACAAACAGTTCTGAAACCAGAACCTGTGGCAATCCCTCTTCATCTTTCTATCCACTGTCCATTCCAATGTGTATTATCCATGTTACACTAAGCAGTCTAACATCTCATGTCTCTGCCAATGACAGTACAAGGAGATTTGTGCGCAGGTTTAAAGATGCAGTCTGGGGATCAAATGTCATCTTCTTCGTCTTCGTCCTGAGAGGAGCCAGCCTGCTGGGCGGTGCTGGCAGATGCTGCTGCCATCTGTGCCTGTTGGGCAGCCTGCTGCATCTGTAGCCACTCCTGCTGGGCGAGCTCTGCCTGCTGCTGCCGTGCCTGCACAAAAAAAAAGAAAGTTTTCACATTTGATTAGAATGATTTTGTCTGGTGTTCAATAGAGCAGTGCAAATGAATACTGTAGTGTTTTTTTTTTCTTACTTAAAATGAGTATACGCATTAACCTTGAAATAATAACAATAAAACTTGCAGTACAAACTGTTCAGCAGGATAAGAACAGGAATATGACGCATGATGTGGTACAATTTAAGTTTGACATGCAAAAGCACTCTTGTCAGTGGGAGTTTGGTTGCTCAAGTCACAACTGAACATGATTAAGTTTTTGTGGCATACTGGTGAGCAGCTGCAGGGGTCACAGTCCTATATAGTAAGAATTCACTCCAACAGCATGGAGAACTTAAAGCTGGGGTCTGTACTTTAATTTTGCAACCAAAGCATCCAGTATTATTTTCTTTAAATGAAATGGTTGGATGGCTCAAGTGTGTTTCAACCTGCCTACAAGCACAAACTCTTCCTGGACTCTCAATGTACATTAGTGGAGTTTTCCTGAGGCTACAGTGGGTAAGCTTTGCACACAAGAATGCTGGAGAGGGGTAGTTGGATATGATGTAATGAAAAAGCATGCACTTAGCTCCTTTCAAAGCCACTCTCTTGTGAATCCAGTTGATCCAGATTTAATTCACTCATCTTGTAAATTATAGGATTTGCAGAAATTATTGTCTGTTTTGATCACTCTGGAAAGACATGCACTTCCTTTACGACTAAACTCCTGCGGCTAATGCACATAGCTGTCAAACCCGTACATTTCCAAAAGCAAGTCTATAGACAATAGTCTTTTCATACTGCCAGTCAAAGGTGCGATATTTACATCCCAGTTACATCTCACTTCCAGTGTGAAATTCACAAAACGCATGATGGTTGGACCAAGTTATCCTGCCACAGTGCAAGGGTTGTGCACAAGGTGTTCTAGGGGTGAGACAGGGTCCTTGTGAGTCAGAGCAGTGCTCTGTGTTTGTGCATATCTGATTGTGTGATTGCTTCTGTTGCACTGCAAAACATTGTGAAATGACACATGGGAACAACAATATTATACCTTTGCAGAATTAACTGACACTTACACACTGCTATTTTAACACAGGATATTTGTGCTCCAATACATGTCATCTGCAATGTGTCATACAGGGAAGCATAATAGTGGGGCTAAGTCATTTTGGCTCTCATCTTGGAGGCAGTAACAGAGGTAAAATGAGGGGATGAACATGGAGATGTGTGGCGACAGAGCTGGCAGGGCAGAGCAGCTCTGTGTATATGGTGCTCCCATTTTGTGGTAACAAGCATTTACAACACAGCACCATAGTACGAATGACAGAGTAAGAGGGGAAATTCAACTTAAAGTGAAGAGGGCGCTCCACTAAAAAGCAGCAAAACCACAAAACCTTAGTTACACTCTAAAAAAACCTATAAATATGTCCACAACGTTGCACAAACATGCAGGATTTTGTTTATTTGCAAGTCAAGTTATAGATCTTCCTGCTTCCTGCGTTTTGCTGTCCTCTGTGACAGCCACTACTTTAGTCTGCTCTTTCACAGGTCAGCAAACACTGTTAAGTCCTTTTAGCTTCTTATTAACAATGCTGCAGATAAGGAAATAAGCACAGCAGTTTTGCCTGGTCTCTATGTTTCCTATTAGTCCTGCCCTAAAGACTGTTGACAGGGAGCTTCATTGCTGTACAATGACTGGTGCTATAAGATGACAAAATGAGTAAGAATTTTGACAGTAGAGATGGGAGCATTCTACTTCTTATACACACACACCTTCTGTGGATCCTGAATAATTCAGTTAAAATGTATTTTTGCCAAATGTATTGAGGAAAAATATATATGCTGCCTTTAATTAGTATTAATGGTAAGTCAAATGGCAGTCTATGTACAGTGAAATAACTGACTGGCTCCACATGCAGGTTGAAAATGAAAATAAACAAAACTGGGCATTTAGGGTGCCCAGTAGTTTGATTTTTCTTCCCATGGTACTAAAACTGGTGGTATCTAATATACTTTGCACTTGTATCATGATTACTCTGGTTTACACATGTATTTTGAGACTGAGCAGTCTTGAGGAGTTGCTGTTCACGGCAGTTATACCTTGGCAAACAGTTCCTGTTGTTGTCTAAGTAGCTCTTCCTCTGGGATGCCCAGGTTCTCCAGCCGTGAGCTCGCCTTCCTCCTCTTCAAGGCTACAGTTTTACACTCCTGCAGGACGTCTTTCACCTCAGTGATGTATGATGCGAAACCGAGACTCTCGAGGGCTGTGGTGTGCAAATAAGAGACAACAGCAAGCGGATTACGATCTGTGGTTAACACGACATAACGGGGAGGTGGACACACCCCCTGCTAGATACCTGGTTTTACAGTTACAGTTTGTTTGCAAAGAAAGAGTCAACGTGGACAAGGACTTGCCATTAATGACATGCTCAGGAGAGATGGTCTTCTTGTCTGACTTGTTGCATATTTCGTTTGCTTCGGATGATATAAGGTGTATGAACTCTGTGCAGCAGTTGACCACGAGCTCCCTAGCGTCGTTAGCCACTCTGACATTAGGGAGGGTTTCTTTGATCATCTTGTTGATCGCTGCTCTGGGGATGGTGAGGTCGTCGTCGTTTCCAGAAGAAGAAGCCATCGTGGCAGGAAATTTGGGTCACACCACGCAACAAAAACTCTCGGTTTTGGCTAAGATGTAAAATGTCCTAGCAGACTACCAAAGCCCTCTCGGATTTATGGAGCAGACTTTACCCGCATAGACAGAACCGCGACAAACCAATCATCATCAACAAAAAAGATGTTTCCTCAAAGTTAGCAGGCTAAACGGGCTGCTAACTGTGTGTAAAGCGGCGGGTTGTACGCGTCTAAGCAAATCAGGTGTACTTTATGTAGGTTTGCGGAATGCGTCAAGAAAAAAAAAATTAAAAAAGGACAAAAACTTTAAAGTCTAAGCCAGCTACCACGCTGGGTAGTAGCTGTGGTCTCTGTCGAAAGTAAAGCCACAGCCCGTCCAACAGCGGGGTCCGTGAGCATGGCTAATGCTAAGCTAACAATGAACGCTGAGCCTTATGTGGTTAAATAACCCACTGTTAGCTCTCGAAGAGCATATTACAGGCCCAACAACGCTGCAAATAACCTTTCTTTTAATCGGAAAGGTTGTTTCCAAACTATTTTTAGCTATAAGGACTTAAATTATGATTTGAAATATTGGGAAACATTAGCTTAGCTTAAGTTTAATTTATCCGGAATTAACGTCAAACGACCCACAGGAAACAGCGTCACCAAGAGGCGCCCCAGGTCGTCTTGCTCGTGCAGAGCGCCACCGTCAGTTTTCGGATGTTTCTCTTTTTTTCGTTTTTATTTATCTTTTTTAGCTTTAACTGTCTTTATTTATAGTGGTGGTCGTTTGCTGGTTTAGTTTAGCGTCGCGTTTTTTTATGTTTTGGAACTTATAGTTAAAATAGTTAAATTATTTTTTCCTTTTTTTTGGTAATGTGCTGCTACAGACCTGTATGTCAGGAGCGAGGACACAAAAGGGCCCAAGGAGGCTTTCCACCATAAAAATACAAAGGATCCTATCCTTCAAAAAATGATCCATCCAAGAAAGACAGCGCAAAAATGTGTATGAACAGTCCAGTTGTAGCATTATGTATTCAGTGATCAAATAGCCCACAAACTAAACACACTATGAATTAAAATGTTGGTGACCCAAAATGATGCTCTTGGGTAATTCAATATGTTACTCCGCCTTCTTGTCTTAGTTACACTAGGGGGCACTAAGCACTTGAGCAGTATTTTCTCCAGCATGAATCTCATGGTGGTAGTTATGGGTGTCATTCAATCCTGAAGGAGGGAAAAACAGGTTAGGTTGTCTTAGTAAGATTTGGAGTAAAAATATGTTTCTTTGTTAGATAACAAGTAAACTACAGTGATTTGCAGCCCACTGGATTGTGAACTTGCATTTTATGATGTGAGAGAAACAGGGCATCTGTTAAAAACAAATGCTTTGTCATTTTTTTCTCTCTTTTTTTCATATTTGACAAACAATTCCATTAACATTTTTCTTGTGTCTCATGTTACACCACTTCTTATGTCTTTGAACTGCTGTGATCAATTTAATTGCATATAGAGCATTGCACTGCTAAGCCCTTGCCAAGAGCTGTTAATGGCATCTGACCCTGCAGGCGAGGCTCTAATGTTATCTGATCAGGGTTTTGTTTTTTGTATCAGAACTGTTACCTCCTGCACTGGAATTTGTGGACTCTGTGGGCCTTTTTAAAAAGCAAGTAACCTTTTTGTTTGAACTTGCCTTTGTTTAATTTCTCAATTTTTGCTTGATATCTTACCGGTATCTCTCGGTGCTACCTTTTGATATATTTTTTTATTGCAAAGCACCTGCCTCTTACTAACTTCTTACTTTTATGAGAAAGATAATTTAAAACTAATCTTCAAGCCACTACAGGGCCAATTGTTACAAGGCACATGTGTCCTTGTGTGAACAGCCCACATAATCCATTATCCCAATGAATAGGCCCTCACTGAGAAAACAGGTTTGCAAAGGATTAACATGGATTTATTAGATAAATATCTCTTAAAGCTCCTGTAGGGAGTTTCTAGTTGGTTATGTAACAGACTCAATAATAACTTAACCTAATACTGAGACTGTAATTTAATCTGTAAATAAAAACAAGACAATCAGAGACAAATTTCCAGATTTTTTGAATTTTTTATGCCTTTAACCTGGCACCAGGGAGATGTCAGACAAAGTAAGCTGCAGCATATCATGGAAACAGCCAGCATTTTCAGCAAGGGTTCACAGTGGGTGACATGTTTGATCATTAATAAAAGCAGCATGAAGCAAAATAGCAACCTCTGGTCTAGAAAAAAGGAAGCTGATACAGAGGTGCTAAAAGCTGCTGTTCCTGAAGAGCCTGGAACGGGCACTTCAAGAACACCTATGTTATAGGCACCATGAACAACACAAAAACACACTGATTCAACAATGCCCATTTTTAGAGCAAAGATAAACCCATTTAAAGCCTGCTTAAAAATGGATTGGGTCTGAATGTTTCAGGGTTCTCACAGCACCCACTGAACAGGCCATGAATTTTTTTGTTACACGTTAATTTCCAAGATACAAAGGTTGTAAGATTGCCAATTTAGAGGTAAGCTGCAGCTGTTTGCAAGGAGGCTAAAGTTTCAGTTATTAGGTTAAGCAAGCTTTTCCAATATGGCGACCATCGCCAATAGGTTGCGAAACTTCAGAGACTTTGACCTGTCTATAGAAGAGACATTAACTTGAAGCACTTCTTATACATGTGTAATACTAGATCAACAAAGAAACAGGACACAAGGAGATCCAAACTGGGCTCAAAACATTTTCCTTAACAGGTGTTTTAATAGATAGCTTGTGATTCTTATTTTGTCTTAAAAGTAGAGATAACCTGAGTAATCAGTTAGGCCCAAAATTTTGAAGGAAACAGCTTCGACTGATGCATGGGCTAACTTGGCAGATAAAAATTAAAAATTAAAAAAAAGAAGGAACGTCTGCAGATAATTGCAGGCGGGCAGGCTTGTCAGTGTGTTTCTTGATGACTAATGTTTACTTCCCCCTGAATAATACGTTTTTTGTTTTTTTTTTGTTTTTTTTATTAAACTGCTGTAACCCCCCGCCCCCCCCCCCAAAACAACATGATATCAGCATTGTATATCAGTCACTGGCCCACACGCTCTCTCATTACAGACATTAGTATTTGCCACTGAAAAATCAAGATTGATTAACCACTACTTAAAATAAGTCAAGATTTAATAAGTCAAGATTTATGCTATCTTATTGTCAGTGTCTGCCATGTGTGAGAACATTAACAGGACTTTGCTTATAGCTCATATTTGAGGATTTAACAACACCACACAGTCACAGTGATTTATAGCTTTCATATTTTTATTGCACCTCATTAGCTCTTACATTTCAACTTCTAAAAATCATAAAGTAAACAACAATAAATCTACATGAATGAATCCCACAACAATTAAACTAAAACATGCTGTCTTTTAGCTGCTCTTGTCCTTTTCCAGCGTAAAACTCTTCCGACTCCTCCAGCGCAGAAGCTTGATGAAGTTCAGACTGGCGGTGAATACCTTGTCATGCTCAAACACCATTTTGTAAAATGTGTCTATTGGGAGGTCACCGTTGGGGTCTGCATATTTGAGTGTGGTCATAGGAGTGTAAACTGTGTTTGTCTGGTGACGGAAAGGAGGATTCTCCATGGTGATGATCTTGAGAGTGTGCTGCATGGAAAAAAAAGAGAGCATAGAAACCAACATAGAAACTATACCAGATACTGTTCACAAGGATGTTTGCCAATAAATAATACTCTACCTCTGCTACGTCCTCAGCAGTCTGTCCGAGAGTCTCAAAGATTTGTTTGTAGTTCTTCAGATAGATATTTGTGAACATGTCGGCAGTCACTTTGTCGGCTTTACTAAGATCAGTTTTCAAACCCTCATCATAGACTTTCCGCTCAAACTCTGTTATCACTGGACCTGGCTCTATTAGGGTGATACTGGAAACAGAAAGGAAGAAATGTGTCATTATTTAACATTAAAGACACTGTGGTGACACATCTAATGAAGAGAACCTGCTCCTGTTTGACCCTTACCTGCAGAGCTATTCATTTGAACACATGAATACTGTGTGGCTGTGTTAGGACTTGCCCTCAGATCTGGTATGTTGAGTTTGTTTTTGCCAAGATATACTCTGGCTTGTATATTTGATTGCTTTGGTTGTGCAATATGTGTGTGCAGAGGAGTGTTAGATAAGTGAGGATTTGCAGGCATTTTCATGTTAGCTCTGAGGTGGAATGCTGTTTCCCTTAATAATCCCAACTTTGTCAACGCAGACTGGATCTCAGTAAACAACCACTGACCACTACAGACAGGATTCCAGAGGAAGCATGAAATTATTGTATCTTACCTGAGGTTAAACCTCAAAGCTTGTACTGCCAAGCTCTCACAGAAGCCTTCCACTGCAAACTTGGATGCTGCGTAGACATCATTGAACAATATTCCTAAAAATCAGAGCAGTGAAAGGAACTTTATTACTACATCAGAAACAAATTCTAACCACAAAAACTTAAAATCAAGTGTTTTTGTCTTTTTTTTTTTTTAATTTCATTGGTAGATTTTTTTTTTTCAAAAGAGAAAATTATGTCTCATTCATTTATTGCTCATGATATCTTAAAAAAAGACATTTACCAGGACTTTTCAGGTAAATGTTGCCTGTTTTGATTCTATTAAAGCATTTATAGTATATAGTATAGTATATTAATCATAAAATGTATGATTAGACTTAATGCAAGCCATTTTCACTTGACAAGTCCTGATGTATATCTGAGATATTAGACAACATGAAAAAGATCTAAACTGCCTGTAAACACTAGCAAATAGGAGAAATAACCATTTAAACATCATTTTGAATTTAATAATAGACAAGAAAAAGTGTTTCCACCTTATTGCTTGATATTATAACAAAGCCTAGTACAAGCTGTTTGTTCTCACACTTTGTTTCTGTTTATTGCAGTGCTGTGATGTTGTTTCTGTCCTCACCCTGAATCCCCATCACACTGCTAATCACAACAATATGGCCTTTTTTCCTCCTCTTCATGTCAGGTAGGATCTCCTTCAGCAGCCGCACAAGCCCAAAGAAATTGGTGTCCATGACTGTCTTCATCTCCTCCACAGACTGACACTCGATTGGTCCAATCAGACCCATCCCCGCATTACTGACTGTGAAAGGATGTCACTTATTTCACTTAATGATGAGAATTGCACAGTACAGTTTTTTTAGATTATGTATCACTGCAGGAACAATCAACATCATCAGCAGAACCTGAACAATCATGGGACATTTTTTAGAGTGCATTGGACCGAGGGGTGATGGCTTACTGAGAATGTCCACCCTACGCTCAGGCAGGCTGTCCACACAGGCTTTGATGGAGTCCTCATCACACACGTCCAGCTGTTTGATCTCCAAAGTCCTGCCCAGAGCTCGACCTGCCGCCTGGATCAGCTCCTCAGCCTTACTAAGGTTTCTCATGGTTGCGTACACTGGAAAGAAGTGGAAAAAGACAGATTCTTAACCAAATTGCAACAGCCATCACAACCCTAGTTAACCCAGAGGTGACAGCTTCAAATTTGGAAGCAGACCAAAATGTTAAAAATTTGGAAAAAAAAAATTGTATATTTTGATCCTTTAACACACCCGTGACAAAACTCTATGATGGAAAGTGTTAACTGATCATATTTTCAAAGCACATAGAATTCTTCTGCAGAACAGTACCAGCTATTAGCAGAAATGGCTTCAGCTACGGTGCTCATAAGAACATTTAAATCATTGTATAATCGCCTGATGATAAAAACCTGCTCTATTTTGTTCATTTAAATTGAGCTTTTATACATAAGTAGGAGCAGGTACCCTTACACAGAGGATGCCATCTTGCATTGCCGTCAATACAGATGTACAGAACAGACAAAATAGTGGCATGTTAGTTTTTGTGTAGAGGTGCTGTTAGCACTGAAATAGGTTCAGTAGAACTGTTTTTGAGTTTTGGCAGCTCCAAATGCACATTTTTGAAATGGCTCAAGGGTGAAATCTGCTGCAAAAGCACGTCCTGTGAAAATAGTGAATTCATGCAGGTGGGTGGTCTTCTTTAGTGGTACTTTGATAGACAGATATACCACCAACTACAGTCCTTGCATGCAAACTCCAGTGTTGTTGTATATCATTATCAAAGCATTGTCATCTGGGTGCCCTTTTTAATACAAAAAACAGGCTTTTGTATTTTTAATAGAACTGTCCTTACTTAAACAAGGCCTTGATCGTCACTACCCAAAGTGCATGAGTCTGTAGACACACGCAAGAGGACAAGAGTGGTAATTGTTGTTGTGCACAAAAATAAATTCTCATGATAAACATTTTTGAAGGTAAAGGTCATCAGATGGAGTATCATTTGAGCTGTATGAGCCTTTTTGTCCTTAAAGGTTTCACCTACAGGAGGATGGAAGCATTTCAGTCAAGTATCCCAAAATACTCCTGTTTTTACACACTGTACTTTCAAATGAAGGTGCGGCCTCTGCACAAGCTCAGAGAAACCACAGATCTAAGTTGTTCAATACTCAACAGAAGCCAGCCCTCCTTTTTTGAAAAATTCAGGGTATCTCCCAGCAAAGACAAGAACTTAAAATGTTCCGTGTCCATCAGCATACCCGTGACACTGGCTGAAAATAAAGCTGATAGTAATGGCTAATTTAGTCTATGATTTATCAGATTTACCCATGAACCTTTTCTTCTCATCCTTTGCGATGCGAGCCGCCAAGGCCAGACCAATCCCAGAGGAGCAGCCTGTGATGAGTACCACCTTTTGGTTCATTATGCCCGATTGGTGTTTGTCTTGCAGCTCCAGCAGCAGAGAATGGAAAAGAACAAATGAGGAGAGGTAGCAGATAATGACGGTGAGGTTTAAAGCTCATTCCTTAATCCACAGGTCTGCAACTCAGCAGTAACCTTGTGCACATAGGCTGAAGATTACCATCCAGCCTCTGCATGGTGCTGATGCAGATTCAGGCTAATAATAAGTTCATTGTTGCATTTTATCCCATACACACTATTGAAGGGTTGATAGAATAGGACACAAAGTTAGATTAAAAAAAAAAAACATCTGGGAAAGTTTGTTTTAAAATGGGTTTTTATTTAAATTCTGAATTTTCTTTGCAGCCGGCAAGTTTGGAGATTGAGTTCAAAATATACATTCTTTCTTAAGCAAACAAGTTTATTTTTCATGTTACCACAGCAAATATCCCTTTGATAATTTTTAATTACACTAAAAGTTAAATTCATCATTGTTTCATCAGGCTGTAAACATTTGTCAGTACAGCACTTAACTGCATATCCAAATTTTAATACATTGCACAAAAAATACATGAGCTTTCTCAACAAACTTCTGATCTGATTTATTTTAGAAAATGTGCACACAGTAGATTATACCATTATTTTGTTGCATTACAGAGACAATCTCTGAAAAATGTAATCTTTAATTCTTTATGCATCTCTAAGCTGCTCTCCAAGTATCACATGACATCTTGCAGCTTAATTCAATATGAAAGATGAATCTTGCAGGTTTATGGAGTTGTACTTTTGTCCCACATCTTGGGGTCCCAGGCAAGGAACCAGCCAGTGAAGGTGGGCGGCTCCATGCCCTGCTTGACGAGGCTGATAGGAATTCCATGACGCCCAGAGGGGTCCGAGTTTATATAGTCTTGGGCTGAGAGTAAAACAAAGATACATTTATGGAAAAGGCCTCAAAGGTAATGTCTCCAAATTTACCTAGTGCCTTTTTTTTTTTTTTTTTTACCTATTTTGGGTGATCCAGTTTTCTCTGTCTCGTTGGCTTCCTTTCCAATCCAAACAAATATCTGGTAGGAAAAATAACCAGGAGTTAAGGGTAAGGCAGCAAGAGCAAAGGTATTCACAAAAGCTAAGACTGACTTGTCCCATTATGGGGGAACTCTGCTACTATTAACAAACTACTGCTGTCTTAATGGCTTATCAGTGTGGAAGAAAATTTGAAATGGCAGCCACAAATGAAAGGGGGAAAACAAGTCATCGAGGGGGCTTACTAAAGAGGCTAACAACTCTCACCGATTGTTGATATATGCAAAGCTCATGTTTTGAGGGCTGGTGCTAGCTTTGCAAACTGTTACACAACCAATTAAAACGGTGATCTCAAACATCATCAAGTCAAAGTTATACACCAAGTTTAACCAGAAAAAAAAAACACACAAGCCAAATCAAAGCCAGTGACTTTGTCAGTTAAAAAGACACAGGAAACTTCCCAGTGTAACTATAAAATTACTAGAGAGAAGTCTTGGATTAATCACTCCGGAGACTTACAAAGATGTTGTCTGTCAAGATCAGTCCAACTTGATTTCCACTGCCATCAAGAAAACGCCTACCCAGCAGCATTACACAATGACCACTTCTAAATGGAAATGTAATACCTGACTCATCCTTAGCTGCATTCAGAAGTTAACTATTGAGCTGCCATTTCTGAGAGATAGAAGGAGTTTTTGACATCGCTGAAATAGACTGAAGTTCATACTGATGCTATTTTATGGTGTAAAGCTAAAAAGACCATCAGGGACATGACAAATGGTTCATTATAAATGATACATTTAGTTGTGAAGAAGTAAGCAAAATGAGACTTTTGCCAGAAGACACTACAAACTGCATGTTGAGGACGTGGATAGCCAAAACTGATACAAATCCAAAGATCCTCATAGGAGCTTTACAAGACCGCTCCATGTATATTCATTTTTGTTGATGATCATTCAGTTAATTGTCAGTCTTATGCTCACATTGAGGATACACATGCACTACTCTCACATTTATATAAGTATGAGACTGGATTGGGTCAGAGCAGCATAAGTATCAGTATTGTCCCGTACCACAGCCAATGTACAGCTCTGTGAATCTCTGATTAAAAGCAACTTGATATCAGTCTTTTGTCAGACGTCATGGTAAAAAAAAAAAAAACATTTCACCTAAAAAACAAAAGAACTTGCTGATCTTACTCTGCTTCTTACAGTTTGTCTTATGTTGTAACTTTAGTGTTTTAAAGATTAGTTACAATGAGCCTGCCAGCCAGCTAGGGCAGGGAGAAATCAGCAGCCCCTGATATCCACCAGTTCAATCACTTTTTTGTTTTTTGTTTCAGTTAAAGCATCTTGTACATAGTCTAGCTCTGCTGTTTTTTTTTTCAATTATTTTGTCACACACATTTAATGATGTAATCTGATCAGCTTTTATTTAACCCCAGGGATTTAATTGTAACATATACAGTCCATTTTGGGGTTGATGACTTGAGAAACCTTCTGGAGCATGCCAAAACTTTTGTACCACTTTAAAAGTGTTTACAACATCTGCCATTCATAAGTACTGTGAACTTATCACCTCTTTGTGTACAAAAATTTAATAAACAAAACTGTTTTAAAAAAATTGTATGCAATGTACCTGCTCCCAGATGTCGAGGATCATGACATCATCAGGTGCCAGATCCATCTGTGTAAACTCACCAGGCACCTCGTCTGCCTAGATATCGTACAACACATGTTTACATTAAAGCTTTCCAAATTCAGTAGGATGATAAGGTAAATGAATTCATTAAAATGCAACAATAACCTTTCTTCTCCTGATGAAATAGATATATATCAGTTTATATACATACAATCAGACTGCCAGTCTTGTTTGAACAACCAAACAGCCTTGGTTGCTTGATAGTCATCTGCAGAAGAGGAGAGGTCTGGTAGTCCTTCTTTCCACCCAGTGCACTCCAGAACATTTCTGACAACAAGCAGAAAACCATAGGTTTCCACAGGAGGTACTCTACACATGTATCCTGCAGACATTAAAAGCATTTTTTAGCACCCACCTGGCTCCTTTGTCTCCTCCACCTCTGTGACAGTTCCTCCAAGCAAGTCAGAAATATACTTGGCTGCATCCATTTCCTGAGGATTTGCTCCCTTTCCGCACCACACATACACGAAAGCCTGAGTCTTCAGCACAAATATGTCATTTGTGTTCAGGGAGGGGGCAACAGGCTCCACCTGGGTCAGTCAGATAGGGAAAAAAGGCAGGAAGAAATGAGTGAGTCATTCATATCAAGGCATTTCTAAGCTTTCATGCACTTTTATTGAGACAAACAAGGCTGACCTCAACAATCCGGTGGGCTGCGGTGGAGGTGTGGCGGATATGGAAGAGCCGTTTGTTTGCAGGCTGGCTCTCACCATGCTTACGGCTTGTCCCACCTGCGTGGATGATCAGTGGTTTTCCCTTAAACAAGCTCATAAGATGAGCAGGTTCTTGACCCTGGGTGACACGTACCTGTAGGGAAATTATAGTATCTTAACTTACATGTATTTTAGATACAGATGACATGTATCCTTCATCCAATGCACTAATGGCAAGAGTGTGCCGTCAAACCCAGCTCAGCTTATTTATACAGGAACTTTGACAGCAACATGCAACAAAGAGAGCTGTGTACAAAAAAGAGGGAAAAAAAATGATTTTAAGGTAATTCTCAAGGGTTGATTTTTGGTCCACGACTGTTCTTGAGTTAAAACACCAGTGAACATTATATATAACAACACCAGTGTTATATTGAAACTCATTTCGTAACTCCTGTTAATTTATCCTAAATAAGTTGGCCATCATCTTTTACAGTCTTTATGCCAAGTTTACTGGGAGAAGTTATACAAAAGTGTGAAAGTGTTGTTGGACTGTCAGGAGTCGTGTTCATCGATGCAGGTATTTGTGCTGGTTTCGCCGGCTTCTATTGACCCAAAACCATCTCATTTGTGTGGCTCTCATGCATCCTCAGTACAGCATCCTTAACGTCCGCTGGCGTTTAGTCTCTGCACTCTTGGTGCTCTTAATTTAAAATACTGTAACTTCCAAAACACAGCTGCATTTGACAATGTCAACAGAAGGTAGGACTTTGGAAACACTTACTACATAGGCCACTACTGAGGAGAAACTCATCATTACATTTCCAGGTTTAGAGCAGATGCTGATACCAGGGCATGAATTCCATCAATCATTTTCTAGGGTCTTTTCATTTTATAATTTCATTGAAAGAAGGCCAATGCAAAGCATTCAAAGCAATTCGAAATAGATTTGATGATCATCACTGTGGGATGCGGAAGTACTGAAAGACCACTTTCATAACCTAGCAACAGAAATCAAGGTTGTAGGCAGAGCAAAATCAGTGTAAGGAAGAACACACAGCCTCTTCGACAGAAAATGAACCTGAGAAATATGTTAGTTGTAGTGGTGAATTTCTTACCTGGGTTGCTACTCCTCCCATAGAATCATCAAGGTTGACGGTGAGAAAGGCTGAGGCTCCCAATTCGTCCTTTGAGCACTTCAGACCTTGCCTAAACACAGCAAAGCACTAGCATCATACCTCATTCGAGAACTGAGCCAAATCTGTCAGAATAAATTTAATATCTAGTCTCTAAAGCAACTCTTGTTTACAATCAGGGTTTGACCTGGTTGTACTTTATTCAACTGGAAGCCTGTCTTGTAATGTGGACTTATAATAACTCTCTGAGCCTTGCAATGGGGAAATAAAACACTTGAGGTGGACACAGTTTGATGTTGCACAATTATCAGGTCAAACTACATTTTAGCTCACTTCAATACTGGACCAATTTCAGAAATTGCTGTCCATATCAGTCGAGTAGGGGAGACCGGGGCTTGTTGTCACATGGGTAAGTTGTCACATTGCATTTATCTTTGCCACCAGAGGGCACAACTAAAAAGTGGAACACTAGTTTTTTTTTTTCCTTTATATGACCAGGGGTCATGTCCTGTCTGAGAAGAGAAGAGCACATTGTGAGCTGAGATGAGGGCCAATCTATGGCTGTGTCTCATTTCAGAGACCGCATCAGGATAAGCGTGCTTAAGCGTGCTTAGCTGAGCATACTGCCGTTATGTGGACTTAAGTACCCTGGGTGGGATGGTCCGGTTTTTGTGAAATGGGACCGACTACCCTTCGGAGGACTTCCTGGTTGAGTCGCCAAATGTCCCCGCCCTCAGGCCTGCGATACGACTGACTTGAAGAAAAGCTGCGGAGCGCAGCAGTTATTTTTTAATTGTATGACCTTGCACAGACACAAAATAGTAGATACATACAAGCACAGATCATTTCCACAAAATTCATCCAATGAGTGCATGTTTTGTACGAAGGAGTATGAGGGCCATATTGAGAATTTTTTTAAAGGCAAGATTAAAGTCATGAATTCATAAGAATAAAGTCATTCATTTATGAGAATAAAGTCATAAGATTACCTGTTATTTCAAAGGAGAGTTGTTCAAATTAAGGCCATGAAGCATTTAAAGGAACTGTGCTGCAGTATAGGTTTCACAAACAAGGAGATACTTCATCCTTTGGAACATCAGCATTACATTGTCATAAGTATAAAGACTTAAGAAAGAATATATGAGAAATACGTCTTTTCCACGGGAAAAAAAACTGGTGTACTTGAAGGAAATCATTGCTATTGTGGAGGCAGAAATGGATATGCTGAGGATATAATATATCTGTCAATGCAGCTGTAAATAGCAGTGAATGACATTGGGCTTTAGTTTATGATATGAATCCATATGCCAAAATAAGTTGCAGGTGTAGGTTACCGCCGGTGTCAGAGACAGAGCCCGTCAGAGCTTGACTCCCTCTGGATCACAAATGTTGATCATCAGTTTGATTGTTTCTTAAAAACCACAAAATCTCTCTGAATGACCCGCTGATACATCCACAGATAACCCTGCAGATGACCAGCTTCAGTCATTTCCCCCTCCACAAAAGCAGCTTTATGACTTTATTTACTTTATGACTTTATTCTCCCAGGTTTATAACTTCAATCTCTAAATCTTCAATCTCTAAAAAAAACTACGAGTCAATGATACTCTGCTGTAGTTTTGTTAGGTTTCTTATTTCTACTGTTTTTGATTGTTGTAGCAGAGCAGTTGTCTCTAAATCTCTAATGTTTGGTTTACAGATTTTAGTGAGTTCAGAGATCATGCTCTCATACAGCCTGAACTGACTGTCTGCTGTTTTTGGATTTCTTGTATTTTCTTTGAAGACGCGCTGCATCTCCAAGTGAGTCCAGCCTCTCACCCGAAATGCGCAGATGTGCAGCACAGTGCATTTTGGGTAGAGAAAGCATTGCGTCGTTTGTTGCTATGGCAACAAGTCACCGCTGACATTAGCAGTTGCTGGCTAGCGTAGCTCAATTGTCTGAACAAGAATCACCCATAAATTCACAATTTGGCATATTTAAACAAAGTCAAATCATAACTACCAACAGTCACAGTCCTTAAACTCTGAGCTCATATGTTGTCACATGTTAGATCATCAAAGTTAGAAAAATAATACAATACAAGATGGCTAGTCCACCCCTGTTTGTAATCCATGAGGTTACATACCCCTCCAACTTTGTCCAATTGACAAGCGCCCTTTTGAACCACGTGATGCTGCTCGGAAAGTTCAGTGCGCTTTAGAAATCACAGTGTGAAAGCAGAACTGAAGCAAGTGATAAATGCAACAATGTTGCAATTTTCAGCTCTCCAATCAAACTGAGTCCGCTTGGTCAGGTGTGAAAGCTACCTCAAAGGGACTGAAATTAACATAGAGTCTGCTTATCAGCAGTTGTCATATTGAAATTTTGACTTCATTTTTACAGAGAAAAGAGTGGTTTAAGGGAGAGGAGAAAGCGAGAAGACACGGTCAGTGTTACATGCCCTGGGTGTTTGTGTGCTGTTTTCTCTGTCTCTCTCTCCCTGCAGGTTTTCTCCACTGCAGTAGAGGTGTGGCAGGTGTGGCTGTGGTCTCTCTCTCTCTCTCTCTCTCTCTCTCTCTCTCTCTCTCTGTGTGTGTGTGTGTAAATCTTATTGTACATTGGCTTAGTGCATTTACATGACAACGCAAAATCCACTCAAAATCCTGTAGTACATACGCCTGGCCTAAAGGTGACACTTTGAAATTGCCACAAAGCACCAAGAACTGAGAATGCGCATGTTCAAACATACATGCTGTGTGTGTGACAACGTAGGTTGGGGGGCAGGGAGGAGGAGGGGTGCTATGAGGTCACCGCCTTTTCTGGACTTATCTATTTGCACCAACTATGGCATGAAGACGAATACCCAAATATCCACCTGCAGACCCGTTTTCAAAAAAGATGCAGAGTCATGGACAAATACACGCATCTGTGTGTCAATATCACCAGATCAATAGTTTATTTTACCGGTGCCTTACAAATTCATACTCGTGTAAAGACCACCTGATGTGGTTCAGTAGTGGCTGGACTGAGCAGGCCTACAGTGGCATTGGAGCCTGCAGTGCATTTGCGGTTTTCCTCCGTTACCTTAGCCTACCATTTATGTTGTATTGGTGTTTTTTCTCGGCCTAGTGCTTGTTTTAAGTTGGTTGTTTAACCTCAAAGAAAAAACTTTTCTGTTTGATTAAATACCCTGGACGCCGTTACTTAACCTTGGTTCTTTTTTTAACCATTGTTACTACCTTCATCCCCTTTTACATATTTTGGTATGTAACAGTAAGGAGTTTCAAAAGAAAAACAGCACATGGCAGTGCAGTGCCTGACGTGATGTTGAGGGCAGTCAGACAGGTGACCTGAGCTAATAAATCAATCTGGAGGCTGATACAGTACTCTGACGTCAACTACCTTACCTTTGCTTGGTACTGCAAAACATTCACCCCAGCCGAAACACAGAGTCAGACAGCTCTCCAAACTCCAGAACGTGTTGCATGATATTTTATATTAACGTTTGTTCAATGGCTTATTGCACTAACAAGATATGAAAATGACATGAATACGAAATATATACCTCAGACTTTGGTCTTTCATATGGTACACATTCTGTTTACATATGATGTATTGTTTCCAAGAAATATACAAGAGTATAAAAAGTGTGACAACAAGGCCTAGTCTTCCCCACAAACACGAACATGAGGAAATAGGGCCCAGTTAGAAAATAAGGTTCAGGGTTTTGTTAAATGGATATCACACAGAGACACTCTTACTGTGTGGGTCTGATTGAAGAGAAACAGTACCCATATATGCAGACAAAGACCTCTCTGCACTCCTTCAGGTCTCTACATGCATCTCTGATGGGAGGGACGAAGACACAAGGAAAAGATGCCAGAGGGGAATGTTCCCCAGCTCTGTTGTGTTTTCTTCCTGTGTTTTTTTTAATTAACTTTAGACTTATTTTACTGATAACAAGAGAGACAACAGCACTCTCCTGTGTTTTTAAATTTTTACACTTTGTTTCTTCATGAAACTGTATGTTGTGTGTACCTGAGCCTGCCTCATCACTTTGAGTCTGTAATAATTCCTTTTCCATTTCTTGGTCCTCGAACACAACTGAATTTCATACCATGTTATGTTAGATGATGGAGATGTTTAATTTTGGAGATTTCTTTGTCGTAATTTGTGTTTTTTTGTCTTTCACTTCTCTGTCTTTTCCTATATGACCACAATTAATGCAAACAAGTCTGAGGTTTGAGCTGCATCCAGCAACTATCTGTTCTTCATAACAAAAACATTGTGCTATCAAAAAAATAGTAAGTCATTGCAAGAAAATGTAAGAAACAAGTATTTCGCACAGCCTTTTAATTATATATAACCACGGGGTCAGCACTGTTCTCAAAACAATATTTTACCTTTCACTCTGTCAATGGTAACTCCACACACACACACACACACACACACACACACACACACACACACACACAAAAAGGTTACACTGACCAGGTGTAGATGATGTGCTTCTCTCTGCCTCCTGTGTTGTAGGAGTACAGCACCAGGTAACAGTCTCCTCCAAAGAACTGGCCATAGGTGGACGGGTCCACGGGTACTTTATCACCTCCCTCTACACGCCAGATCTAGAGAAACCCAACATAGTAATTTCTTCATGTTGATAACTTACACAAAATATAAAGCACCAATGGCACAGAAAGTTCTAGCAGCCCCACCTGGACTTTCCCCGAGCCATCATCCACCATGCCATGAAAGGCTGCCATTGCACTGTTGTTGTAGAGTGCAGTGGCATCAAAGGGAATCTGCGCCACCTTGGCAATCTTACTATTGATGAAGGCCTGACATGGGCCTGTGGTCTCATCCTTATCCAGCCAGTTAGAGAAGAACTGCTTAAAAGCCATGGTCTCAGCCCCATCTGGCAGAACAATGACCTGTTCATTTAAAATGGACAGAAGACAAGCACATTCGCATGTGAGGAAACATGAAAGGATGGATACAGGATTCTAAACTTCTACTATTTAGCTACAATACCTGAGTGTTTGAGGGATAACCTTCATCTGAGATGACTTTGTTTGCAATTTCTTTTGCTGCCTTACGCTCTTCTTTGTTTGCCATCTTCCCTGCAGTGGTAAAGTTGTTACAGATCACAGACTTGCAGAGCACTTTTATCACTCAAAAGGCTGTATAATACATAGATGTCATGAACTACTACCTTTCCAGATAAAAACCCTGCGATCTACCCCATTGTCCAGAAGGAAGATTTCATCCTGGTGAAGCATGTCTTGTTTAAAGGGGTTTATTTCCGCAATCAAGGTTTTTTTCATGGTCCCAGTAGCATCCGAAATCTGCAAAGGAGAGAAGTTATTCCAATAGTTTAACTTGTCATTTATACAAGTTAGTTTCTCTTTCTTATGAGAAAGAATACATTAAACTAGATGAATATTTGTGGGGTTGTTTTTACTCGATAGAGCGAAGCTTTCTTCGTGTTCTTTAAATCAGCTGCATCATCATCCTGAACAGGATCTGGGAGGTCGGGCTTGGGTCCAAGCAGCTATAAATGTACACATGCACACAAAATCCACTAGCATCACGTCTTTGTAGTAACCAAGGACACAATTTACCAGATGTTTTTAGAATATGCCAAAAAAGAAAAAAATGTAGCTCACTTTGATGATTTCTTCTGGCTCAGAGCCTTCTTCAACATGTTCCAAGGCAGCCTGGCCCTGACGCTCACTATCGCGGATTTCAATAGCCAGTCCAGTGGTCTTCAGGCGTTCAAACCTATTGGCGTTTTTCCCCACCCAGAGATAAAACACCTGGCATATGTGAGCAGGGTAAATAAAGAAGATGGACAGCATTGGTGAAAAACTGCATAGTTCCTACAGCGTTGACTACATCATTCTCAAATGTTTTTATGCATCAATCTTTAATCTTTATCACCTTTCCCAAGTCAATAATGAAACAGTCTCCGTTGTTAAAGCTTGACCAATTCATGTCGACTTCCATGGCTGTGATATTCCGTCGACCTTTAACATGCAGTACGGTTGGTCTGATTGAATTCTGGACCACTTGCTTGAAGCCTGAGGCAATTCCACCTTTCTTTGAAAGGAGAAAAGTTGCATTTAGTTACAGAGTAAGGAACTAAGAGCAGTAATTACATACTGAGCTTTACTTAAGATGGTTAGCATTGCTTGGACTCAAAAGAGGAAAACAGCTTGACTGGTGTTCAAAACCAATACAAACCCCTTCTCTAAAGCTCACAACTAAAAAATTCCTAAAATTACACTCAGTTGTTTCATGGATTTTGGAACTATTTGCTGGCCAGCTGCTATTGACATAAAGTAGAAGGCAAGTCTTAATCCTACCAAAATAAAAAAAAAATAATAATAATAAAAAAAAAAACAATGGCTAACAGTTCTGTTTACTGCAATCATATTTCAATTCTGTGTTATTCTCCATAACACTAACAAATAACTAGCTTCATTTAACTATTTGAGAAAGCAAGGCCTTCCGAGCTCTTTTCAAAGTTCAAGGAATCATTTCATTAACTTTTAGCTACAGTGACTAAAATGTCAACTTAGGGTTCCTTTTAGGGTTCCCGTTCTTAGCTCTGATCATGTGGCTGGGAAAGCCGGATGCACTGTGCCTGTGCACTGCCGAGTGGTGTCTTAACCAGTGCTATGTGACACTGCCACAAAAGCCATGCTTCCTCTCATGACAAAATCAATTTGCCAAGACAGAGCAGCAATACATTTGAGAAAACAATGGCAGCAAAGAACTAAGTACTACAGTTCGCCAGTATTCAGCCTGTGTTTGACTGCCTTTCATAGTTTTAATACCGCACCTTACCACACCCTACTCATTATCGAGCCCTCACAACAATGCCCAACGTATGGAGCAAGAGTTGAATCACAACATTTAAATCATTGCATTTTGGTAGCTTGCACGTCAACTTGGGACTGAACCAAACATGCTAAATTTTTCAACCTTTTAGAATAAGACAAGAAAAAAAGCTAAGTTCATCTTGAAAAACTTATGAGGCTGACAGAGAGCTTAGAGACTGGAGATCATTTTCTCGGACAAGTAGCTTTTTCAGTTATTTTCCATGTGTCTTCAATGACTGGTACTGTGGTCTACTGTTTTATAGATTTTCCAAGAAACATTGCAGTTCTCTAACATTCAGACACCACAGAGCACATCATGTACATCTTGTATACAACTTTTTTCAATTTTGCACCTGGGTTACTATGCACCAGAAGTTGGTTGGAAGCTTGTATCAAGACTTGACTGCTGCAAAGTGAACAAGTATGTTTGCTCAGCACCGTGAAATAAAATTTGAAATACCACAAAAAAAAATCTTAAATGTTCCTATTCCTAAGAATTGTTGGTAATTGACAATGCTAACAATTTTTTTTTTCTTAATTTTATTTTATTGTTTTGGTGGGACATTGAGTGGATAGAGGTGAAATGTCAGTCAAGCCGCCTAGAGACTATGCAAGAGAGGGAAGGGAACAAACAGTAAAGGAGATTTACTGAAAGGATGGATTTAATTTGACATAAGATGATTCTCGTGGCTTTGAGAAAGTTAAGTGTGTTAAGCTAGAGCCAGTACTGGCCATGATTTGTTTTCCGAAGGCCTAATTATGCCATGACATCTGCAGCCCTGTTGTTTCAGAGGGCACACCCCTGCCTGGCTTGTTTGCCTTGAGACTCTCTATGGAAACCTTCATTAGAAAACTTAAAGGAGTCACCAACCACCAATCCAAACAGTTCCCAAAATATTCCTCCCATATGGACATACAACCTATCAACAAGGTTTTTTACAGGGGCGTATAAGACTATTTTGACAAGGGTGGCCAAGCTGTGTCACTGACTAATGCACAGAGGGCATCAAGTATGCGTGCACACAGAGCACAGCCAAAATATTTGAATTTAACTTAAGTCTCATCTCTGCCAATTATAGTTTTAGACTTTGAGTTATCACCTGAGGTGTCTAATAACATTTCAAAGGGACCCAGGCCACCCCAGCCAACCTCATGGACACACTCCTGTCTGTTTAGGCACATGTCCGTTTATCAGTAGTTACTTCTTCTAAAATAATGAAGATACCCTGTGATATTAGAACATTGCTTTGTTTCTAGTTAACAATGTTTAAATCTGAGATTATGATATTTCACCATGTAACGGATGCCCTTCTTGAAGTAGCTTTGAAAGGTGGAGGACTCATTCCCCTGAAACTCAGAGTACTGCGTCGGGGATTGACCCAGGTGGTCATCCAGCTGTACCATAAAGATGGCTGCACAGCCTCTCTCATCTGGAGAAGCTTCCTGCCCTGCAGCAGAACACAGTTAAAAATGAATGAAAAATACATGGTTAAATAGGAACTTTCATCTAAAGTAAGCAAGCTTGAGAGTTCTGTTACCATGCCATATATGAATGCTGTGAAAAGTAGGGGTGGATTTGCTGGTGTGGAGCAGTAGGTAAGAGTCTCCAGTGAAGAACTTTCCATAGAGTTCTTTGGGGACAGGTGCCAATTCCATTTTCTCCACCCGCCATATCTCCAGTCCGGGCTTTTTCCCTGCATCCAGAAGCTCTTTGTGCACCATCTTGCTCAGGGCCTGAGAGGAGACACATCTCAACTGACTAAAGGACAATAATAAACTTTATAAATGTAAGAGACAGGCAGAAAATGAAGCTCATGTTGATGTCTGTAATCAACTATGGGCTCCTGTAGATCCAACTTCTTTGCAACAGTTGTTGCTTAATGTCACATTCAGGTACTTTGTAATTAGAGGTGTGATGCTGAGACTATGTGGAAAAATCACCTGATGTGCCAGTAAGCATCTTGTCATCTAATTGAGGAAGTACATTTATTGTTGATTTGATGATTAGAGAAAGACACTCCCAAAGAAAACAGCGCTTTGATTCTGCAATTACTGCTCCAGGAACTCCCTCACAAAAGCAACCAACAAAGGTTATACGCCTTTCCACTTCCAGTCTCACTCAGTTAATGCCAAAGCCATCACAAATGCAATAACACAAGATCACATCCACCCACTACACCAGTACCTCAAATTACTACCTATAGAACCTGATTGTCTTTATTCACCTCACTGCTGGAAATGAATGTTATATGTTTTTTATGAACAGTTTTCCTTTCCCCCTTCATACCTGTATGTACAGAATCTGTGAAAATGAATTTCCACAGAAGGGACAATAAACTAACTAACTAACTAACTAACTAACTAACTAACTAACTAACTAACTAACTAACTAACTAACTAACTAACTAACTAACTAACTAACTAACTAACTAACTAACTGACTAACTAACTAACTAACCAACAGAACAACTTATAAACTAACTAACTAACTAACTTACTGCTGTACTAATTTTTTAGTGTGACAGCGTTTCCTGGAGTATGAATTAAATCATATAATCATATATATTATGTCTTAAATTTTCAAATTATGTACCTGCTATTGACCCAACATATAAGCAGAGTCACAGCTCATGCATAACAAGTCATGCAGACACTTTTTTACTTGTGCTAATTTATGACTCAAAACTTTCTCATGCTGTGGAATATGAAGTTTAGTGTTATTCTATCATTGCTATCTGAAAAGCAGTGACAAAAGTATTTTTACAGCATTAAAAACCATGCAATATAAAGATTATTTCATTACCAGGTGAGAAATGACAGCAGTTGCTGGATGTAGACTGTTTTTTTTCCTGCTGCACAGCTGCTCCTCTAGGTTTCCACACAGACTGTCAGAGCTCAGCTCCGTTTTTAAGACTGCGGAAACTTCCGTGGTTTGACAGAGAGGCGTTTTCAGACGCATTCCAGCCCCACCAAATGTGCTCAGGCGCTGTATTATATCACCCTTCATGCGTATTCATGGGCGTGATAACAAGGAGTGTAACAATACAGAACTACAGAGACAATCTATGCTACCTTTTTGCAGAAGAAAATGTTGTAAAAACCTAAGCCTAATCCTAAAAACTATTTTCTAAGAAACTCCAAATCAATCCCATCACATTATGATACACTGACACAAATTTGTATATTATAAACATTTAGGATAATAATTGAAAATAAGAAAAGGAAAATAAATTAAAAGCTGCAACTGCCAACTTACATAGGTGCTGTTTATGGATTTATAATCAAAAATGTTAATGTACAGTTTCTTGGATATGCACATCAAGATCAACATGCAGCCTAAGGTTGGCCATAAACCAGAGGAGGTCAGGACTGACTTATCTTCCACTGACAATGACAGGGGATGTGGCCCCATTGAAGGCTCCTGGTTATTGAATTTTTTTGTCCGTATAATGCTCAAGTATGAAGTGTCAGTACGACTCTTTAACTGTCCCTGAACTTGTTGGAATCTCACTGAACATGGATTGACGATATCAAACATGTCTGCTATTCATAATTCTTAGTTGGATTGTTTATAATGTTATACCCACAATTACCAATGAGAGCAGCGGACTGAGATTTTGTCAACCAGATGATAATGACTTTATTCTTGAAACATAATGATATCCAAGTCTTGTTTTGTTCCCGTAATATGGCCCCAATGCTCTGTTATAGCAAGGCAAAGCACATACTATAAGACACACCTGCACCATTTTCTCAGCCAGGATGTCATGCTCTTTTCTCCATTTCTTGTTTTCCACTGCAATACAGAACACACAACAAGACAGCCAGTGAACAATATCAAATGCCCTCCATGTTTGATTGTCTTCTGAGATCCCATTCATCATGCAAGTTTCTGTGAGACACTTTGAAGTAGTCAGGGAAAGTGCCATTTGGAAGTGAACTGGAAATAAATAGTTTAGCTTTTCTTGTAACATAATCCCTAAACCCAGGGATAAATTAGCAGATTTGTGGGCTACCACTCTCAGGCTAGTAAGGTAAATGCCAACCTGCAACTTTATACCTCAGCACAGTGCAATGACCGACAACAATGGGCAATTTAACAGTTCTGCCAAAAGAAAAAAGGAAGTTTAACCAGTACAAGAGGCTTGATTAACAATGGCATGTGGTGGGCTTCTTTGGCTTAAGTCCCACATCCCATGTCAAGACATTCAAACCGCCATTACAGATTTTGATTCCAACCTGTGGCCCCCTTCCTGCATGTCTCTCTCCTCTCTCTTTTCTACTATATCCACTCTCTGGTTCACACGTTTAATAATAAAATAAAAAAGTACATTTATTGTTGATTGAGATTGAGTATAAAAATCCAATTATTTACTATAAGCCTACTTTTTGAAATAGCTAGTTGTGAGTGAAAGTCAGGGCACCCCTTTAAAAAAAGCATAGTTTATTTATTGAAAAAATAACCTTGATATTTATAGTCTCTCTGGTAAATAGAAAAAAAGACAACATTATCAGAATTCATTAATGCACAGTTACTTTTTATTTTATAAAAAGTACAAAATTACAAAAATAAAAATCATCTTTTCGGCATGTGCAAATGTCAGGGCACCCTTCAGCATCAGTACCTTCAGTACTTAGTAAGACCCCCTCTGGAAGATATCACAGCTTGTAAACGCTTTTTATGGCCAACTACAAGTCTCTGGATTCTATCCTTTGGGATTTTCCCTCATTCTTCCTTGCAAAAGGATTCCAGTTCTGCAATATTCTTGGGTCGTCTTGCATGCACAGCTCTTTTAAGAACAACCCACAGATTTTCAATGATGTTTAAGTCTGGAGACTGTGAAGGCCATTCCAAAACCTTCAGCTTGTGTTTCTTGAGGTAGTCCATGGTGGATTTAGAGGTATGTTTAGGATCATTATCCTGCTGTAGAAACCATCCTCTTTTCAGCTTCAGCTTTTTTACAGATACTGTGATATTTGCCTCCAGAATTTTCTGGTATTTAACGGAATCCATTCTTCCCTCCACTCGAGCAGTGTTTCATGTCCCATTGGCTGCAACACAACCCCAAAGCATGATGGATCCACCCCCATATTTCACAGTTGACAAGGTGTTCTTTTCATGAAAAGCTGATGCTTTTTTACTCCAAACATACCTTTGCTTATTGTGGCCAAAGAGTTCTATTTTAACTTCATCAGTCCACAGCACTTGTTTCCAGAAGTCATCAGGCTTCTCTAGATGCTCTGTTGCATATTTTTGCCATTGTATTTTATGATGAGGACACAGGAATGGTTTTCTTCTGCAGGAACCCACGGTTGCTGGATGAATGCACAAGGTTTGTGGAGTTGAAACCCCTTAAATTGGCACCAGCTGGCGCTCCCTGATGAGAATTGTTGACACCAGTTCAGGACTAATGAGCTGGTGAAAGTCTGAGCTTCTGAAAAGAATCTTTAAAGACCAGACACTTTAAAGCTCTCAGGGTGCCCTGACATTTGCACATGCCAAAAAGATGATTTTTATTTTTGTAATTTTGTACTTTTTATAAAATAAAAAGTAACTGTGCATTAATAATTTCTGATAATATTGTATTTTTTCCTATTTACCAGTTAGACTATAAATATCAAAGTTGTTTTTTTAGTAAATAGACTATGCTTTTTTAAAGGGGTGCCCTGACTTTCACTCACAACTTTATGTGCCTGACCACCTTTTCCCGCTGGTTGCCAGCTCAGTAACTTCTCATGTCCTCTGGTCTTACTAAACAAATGGAAAACATATGTCTAACTTGGAGAGGCTACAGGAAAAGTCAGATAGATTCACCCTTTGGTAAACATTCACTGGCTGAAGGGGTACTTTGGTCTTTTGGTCTGTGAGCAGTTTGACTGAACAACTGGTCAATACTTCCATTTGTAAAGCCAAGGAAATCCAAGCATACATATTTCTTTAGACTTTTTCTGTCTGTACATAATCATAAGTATGTGAAGTGGGCTGAGATGTTGATAGGAAAGTATAGCTGCAGGTCAAAAACGGTCATTTTTCTCTCTATGATATTTCTTTTTCATGTGATGTGATCTAAAATGGAACAGAAATATTGTCAATAGTGGTCTATTTTACTCAGGATGACCTAGAATTTACAATTAATACTGTAACCACAATGATCATCATTTTTTCTTTAAGTTTGAACACTGAATGGGACACAGGCTTACCAAAAGATGAATCAGAAAGATGCATCACCTGTTTGCTTTAGGTTTGCCACCAAACAGGATAAGAACAGACGCAAATGGACCCCAGATTTTTTTTTTAACTTCTTCCCCCAGGGAGACATTGCAGGGCACTTTGCATTTATTTTTCTCATGATATGTTCTGTAGTATCAGAAAAATGCCATATGAAAATGAAGGCAACAAGAAAAACAAGAGATTCATCAGAGTGGGTCTTTAAATAACACCAAACATACAATTATTTTTCTACCCTTTGAGTCAAAGTGTGTAGTGATATCATATCATGCCTTCCTGTGCTTGAATCAAAGGAATCAGAGGTGTGCTTGTGTTAGTCTGTCAGTAGCTTGCATTTGTGATCTCTGGCTTCGATGTGGCAGTTTGACAGGGCGGGAAGGGACAAATTTTTCCTCTGAGCTCCAGCACTCATCTCAGGTTAGGGCTGGGTTCATCACTTCTACAGTTAGAGCTGCATCAGCACATTCTGGGTCATTGTGTACTGAACACACTTCTCACACAGTCCCTGGTTGGAGCATACCACCACACCTCCACAAGACAGCACACCGTGATTTGCACACACAGAACCACACCCGAGAGGCTGAGCACAGAGGGTGCCAACTTTTGGCTTCTTGTTCTAACATGAGACACTCATTTTATCACATTACATAACAGATGAGCATAATTAACAGGGCAACATTTTATCACAAAAGGCCGCTGTCAGAAAAAATTATTCTTCATCTGACTTGCAGCCAGCTGAGAAGAACGACAAAGATAGCAGACTTCTTTTTCTTCAATATTTTTTACTTGCAAGGAGTCAGCAGCTTACAACAAAGGCAGCTTGCTCTGACTGAGGAATTCAGATTTTTACACATCCTTTATGCAGTCAAGAAACAGGCACCCCTGCCCACTAACACCATCTCACAAGTGGCATGACATTACAACAGTATCCAAATAGGGTACTGATTGGCAGCTGTGGTCTGTACTGGGAAGACAGAGACAGCTTAGTTCATCACCAGGTTCCTGCATATCAGTTCAATGTCACACTGCTGGGAAAACAACCTGTGAGTGAAATTGTAGCATTCATCTAGTTGCATGGCTTCAGCGGAAAAGTATCAGTCCCAACTCCAAGGCCATACTTCTCCTTTCCCATGCTCATTAAAAAGAAACAGATATGACTCTGCAAGCATTCACACTAAGTGATTTTCAGTGAATGATGATTAACATACAGTATACAATGATAAAATACATATGTGATAGCATTCACATACAATTTTTCTTTCAGCCACCCTTAGCTATGTTCTTCTGGAACACTGTAAGGAAACATGGCACCATCACAGCTCCGATAAAGGGCTTCTGCCTGTTTGAACAAAGGATTCTTGTATTTGATAAAATGAGTCACGATTGCCTGCAGATACGTCTCGTGTTTGACTTTTCTGCGGCAGTTATTCTTTTAGCTGTGAAAGAACCAGACCAATTATTTTTCTCTCTCATTCATTCAACTGTTCCTCCCAAATTATTTCACCTGTGTACACCTAAAAAAGCCAAACCTCTGTATATTTTGCATGCAATCATGTTTGCACGTGTTTTGTACATGAAAAACTTTCGTAGATCAGGCCCTAGGTGTAGTTAAAAAAAAAAAATACCGCTCCACCAGCCCGTCCATCTGGGGTAGTAAGGGGTAGTCTTAATGCCCTTAAATCCTATGAACTGATAAACCTGCTGCAACAGCTTGGACAAAAAAATTTGTCCCACAGTCTGTCAAGAGTTCACTGAGTTTATAATGCTTGTGGTGGCATGATGATGTTGGCAGAGATTCGTAAAAGCAATTCTTCACATATAGTTTAATGAACATGTTGATGGCAGCTGGATCAGCTGGTTTTCTCACCGCCACCTCTTCCTCAACCTCCTACTCTGTCAGACTCACAGGCGTTTAAATATTAACCCCATCTGCAAAAGCTGGATGTAAGAGGCTGCTGTAAAGCTCCTGTAAGTATTTTATTTGACACTAAAACACTGAAATCAAGCGCATGAGAATTTATTCCATAGTATTGAATTCTCAGCCTGTGACCACTGCCAGCGGCCAGTACCAAAATAGTATTATGTACTGATTTTCCACAGTGGATAAAACATAAGTGCCTCCTGAGTGCCCTTCTTGTGTATAACATAACATAAAATGCCTCTTACAGATGTCTTTTTCATGTCCTTTTCCTTCCATCTACATGTCTCGTAGATGACTTTTTGAGACTTGACAAATGAGACTACAGACGATTGAATTTCCCCAAGGTGATAAAGTTCTTCCTATCCTATCTTTAAGTGAATAAAATGTGGTGGAGTCTCGTAATGTATCCTTATATACACACTTGCACTTAAATACATTGAGTGTTTTCAGACCAAGTTGGCGTCCCATCCTAAATACATAACCTGCTCCATTGATCACAAAAGCATTTTTTTAGAGCAGTGGCTTCTAACTCTACATGCTCAGATATTATGAATGTCATTTTTATGGTATAAAAAGAAATGTGATCGAATCAATGCCACAAGAACTTGCAGATGTCTTGTTGGTCATAATATGAGACATTGCTTTAGCTATATTTCTATTGCAAAAACACATCCAGGAACTGTTATAGTCAAGCAATGCATGATGAAGAGTCATTTGTATGAAGTCGTGTCCACCAGCACAGTACAGTAATGTCTCTAGTGCCCCCTGCAGGTTTGCATTCTCTGGCTCATTTAAAACCCCACAAAAAACAAATGTGCATTACTTGGCAGAGGCTCAGAGGATCATTATTTGGAGATTAGAAAGTGATAAGGTTTTTCAAGAGTCTGCAAGCATGTGATGATGGTATTTAGGGAATCTATTATCATCTACAACTAGAAAGAGTACTAAAATGTTCTTCCAAAATAAAAGTCAAGTTTTACTTACTTATCTGAAATTGGCTTGGTGCAGAGTTGGGGAAGGGAAGAATATATATGTCCCTAAGTTTATGTATATTGCATGTTGTAAATGGTCCCTGAATGCTGAAACTATGGCCAGCTGTGCAGAAGGGTTTATTATTATTATTGTTATTATTATTATTATTATTATTATTATTATTATTATTATTATTATTATTATTATTATTATTATTATTATTATTATTATTATAAGCTCAAAATTAAGACTACTGACTGTAATGAGTTTAAAAAGTTTCTAATGCAGCAAAGTAATAATAATAATAATAATAATAATAATAGTAATAATAATAAATTTAAGAGATGTAATTGTTGTTGAAAGGTTATTTAAACTCATCAAGAAATATTTTGCCTCAGATGGTCTTGAAACAGGACTGATATTTGGCCTGTTGGGTTACTGTAAATTACAGTCATGTATGTAAATGTCATTAGTTTTTTACCCCTGCTTGAATTTTAACATACGTCAAAAAAAACAACAAAAAAAAAACACTGATGTTATTAACATTAATCTACACAAGTGCGATTTTTCCCACATAATATTTATAATAAAAAAAATCGATCTTTAAACATGAGAAGAACTATAGAGTCAGCAAGAAGAATGCATGACTTTGAATCAAATGTGGAAAGTGCATCCAAGAAAGCTTGTTCACATAGAAGACAGTCTTTAGAAACATGACTCCTCTCAGATTTCATATAGTTTTATAATTGCAGTCAAAGTCTTCAGGGTCAGCCTCTCAGCATGTGATTGTGTGTGAAAAAATCTGTGATAAATGAAGTGTGATCATATCACAGCCACAGGGAGGGAGAGCACAGACCCAGCTCTCAGATGACTCACCACAGCAAACACACAACAGACTATTGATTCCAGAGAGAGGAGAAACACTGAAAGGCACTTCACCATCATCTGAAGAAAAAAAAAAAACATAACAGAGGAAAACATGCAACAGTGTTGTTCACAGCTCTTTGGATCTTCTCTGTAGAACACCGTTGAATGTTCTCTTCTTCTGGTGATGTATTTGTGCATTTCAGATGATAGATCATCTAGAGGCTCCTTTGGAAAACAAACAGGAACAATCTTCTTCATGTATACAAGTCCCTAAAAGATATGCAGGCTGGGTTTATCACTCAAATTTAGGTTGACACGTTGTACTAACACATTTTGCACAACCTCTGGCCTGTAACAGTAGAAATTTAACAATATTATGATGAAAAGTTTGTGAATGACATTACAGAATTAACAAGTTTATAATGACTGACCTGATTTTGGCTCTTCAATCATACAAATGTTGACTGCTAATAAATGGGGGAGTACACATCACACTGAGAACAAAAGTGATGTTAGCTGCTCCATTTGTTTCAGGAGTTAAATCGCTTGTTTTGTGTGTTTTTGTACTAAGTACAAAAACAGGGGGAATTTTTCTGTGGCCCATTAGGGCCATGTGATTATGGAGTTTAGTGAAGGTTTCTGCTTTCTTGTATTCTACATTGCAGCTTTGTTGAGGAGCTTTTAGCTGGTTATGAAACATGCTAAAGTTCTGATGCCTCCAGGTCATCTGTAAAAGTACACCAACAGTGAAAAGACTGATTATTTATGGTTGCAATTTTTTAATGCTTGGCCATTGCAACCAAGTAGATGTCAAAGACAGTAGTTAACAACATGCCGTAGGAACAGCCTCTTTGAGTATTTTCCACAGCAAACATTTACAAGAGCACTAAGTTTCAACATTGAAAGACAGCAGGACAGTGGACACCATCTAGACGTGTAAAGGACAAAATCAGTATTGAAAACAAAAGAGTCTTTGTTGTGTGCACTGGGTGCCATAATCAGAACAAACTAAAAGTGCCTAGAGCAGCTTAGCAGTATTTTCAGATCCTCTGAAGACTGTTTCCAATAGTGAAACACAAACAAAAAACAGAGAGCCACCAAATCTAATCAAGCCAACATTAAACATTTAAGTTGGGATTTATTTAGAGAAGGATGAAATTGGGGATCAGATGGAATACTTGTCTACATTAATAAGGCTGTTTGTTCAAGTCAATGTGATATACCATGAACAGGGTCTCTGAGATTCAGTCTATGGTTGCCAAAATGGTCGCCTTGTACAACAAGAGGACCTACACAGAGCTTCATTCTTTCCTTACCATATACCCAGTGAGTAAATGTGAACTTTATAGATGTAAACTCTGCAAAGCTTCATCAGTAGGATGTAGGATGATGGATCAGATATTCAGGTGGAGGATTTGAGCTTCAAACCAAATCAAAAGCAGCTTCAGAGCAGGTGGCTCACCGCAATCCTGCTGCCAGCTTCTCCATTGCGGCTTTACGCTCCTCTGCTTTCTGCTGTGAGCGGCGCAGGACATTCCTCAGCTCCTGAAGATGGTCTAGAGTGCCCACCAGCTCACCTTTCACTGTTTTCATCTGACTCTCCAGCATCTGTGTGTGGTGGAGAGAGTTTCTCCTGTACCGTCTGCTAGAGCGCACTTTCTCCTCCAGGTCCTCCACTGTATCACAGAAGCAAAAAACACAGTGAGAGAAAGCACAGTGGGTGAATTTGAAATACTGCACAGGTGGGTTTTTCATGATACTGACCCATGTTTTCCTGGTAGTCCATGCTCTCTGATCCAGGTTCTGTTTTCTTTTCCACCAGGCCCTGTGTCTGCTGCAGCATCTTTTCCATCTTGGCAAGTTCTGCAGCCTTTGTGTCGCTGTCCCTGCGGACTTTCAGCAGCTCCTGCTCCCTTTTAGACAGCTCACTGTGATACCTGCTCATGTTGAGTTTTTAAAGTCCTCACAGCCTTAACTACAACTTCAAACTGTAACAGTCTCCTGCTACCACCAACCTCAGTAAGCAGAAGACAAACCGATCCCAACATCCAATGATGTCGCTCTAATGAAACATAGACTCCTCTTTGTGCTGCATCAGGAGATGAAACAGCAGTCTGTTTGTAAATGAACTCTTCAGCCGGTCATCTTTGGCTTTTTATAAGCCCCCACCTCAGCACATGTCTGGAGGTCATCTAAAACAGTTAACTCTCAGTACACACTGTTATAATTGGTAAGTCATAAGACTGGCTTCACATAGCCTGCAGCAAAACTGATCATTTTTAAACTTAACAACTGGTGACAAAGTTCTGAGGGGAAGGATTTACAGTTTTCCTCTTTGAGGGGCTAAACATATATGAAGCAGCTATTATGATTCACACCTGAGGCAAGAGTTGGACCTGAAAAATGTGACCATGGATCCATAGCAGTGATGACTGTAGGATAGTCACCATGTATGAGGTAACCAAACTATTTAAGGATCTAAAATACCATATGTTCTTGCTAACATCAACCATGTTTTTTACACAATCAAAGTTTAACAGGAACATATTTAATGAGGCAGTCAAAAGCACGTTCATGCTTTCTCTGTTACTGCTCACATATTAAAACAAGTGTAAAAGTATCTTCATGTCAGTGAGCCTCCTCAAAAAGTAATCACTACCATGCTATGAGTAAGTACTCCTCACAATAGTCATGCTTTTTCCCTTGCGCAAATTTGGCTAAAGTTGCCAAACTACCAAGGTTTCCAAGGGAGTCAGGAAACAACACCATGAGTCAGAAAAAAAAAAATTACTATGATCGTGGATGATTAAGTTATAAATTCTGTCAGTGATGCACGCTGACAGCATGAACAATAGTAATAAAAGGGAGTTGGATCTCAGACTTGAAAGCAACAAGGTAGTTCAACACAAAAACAAGAACATGGAGACCTGTAGTGGTCACTTCAGGTAACAGGTTTTCGAGAGGACAGTGGGCTGATAGCTACTTATTACATTATTATTATTATACCCTATGTGCAGTGAAATATTACACGTCAAGCTATCTCACACCAACATAATATATATAATCTATCTATCTATCTATCTATCTATCTATCTATCTATCTATCTATCTATCTATCTATCTATCTATCTGGAGAAATCCAAAATCGGGCCTTGTTTTTCACACTTTTTGTTAATAAATACAAAAAGAAATTGGTCATGTTTTTTGGTTTGTTTGTTTTGTTTTGTTTTTTAAATTGGGGGGTCAAAGTGACACAGCGAGACCTTTTTAATATTTAATTCAAAATGGTAAAAGGAGAAAAGAAAAGATGAGAAAATGATAAATGAGCAATAAATGCTTTGATTTGAGTTTCATCATTTAGGGAGGAAACACTTTACCTGGTGACAGTCGAATTTTCATTTATTCAGAACCAATCATGTGATCTATTTTTGGAATAAAACATTTCTCCCTTCAGGATAATTTATTTGATAAACAACCAATTAAAGGCCCCAGTGTTAAAATGAATCTGATACAAAGAACTCTTTGCTGTCATCCCCAAGGACACACACACACACTTCATCAGCAGAACTGTGTTGATCCGAGCTGAAGCTAATGGTGTATGTCGATGTTCACAGACCTGAGCGTGTGGCTGCTGCTGCTGCTGCTGTCTGTAGACCTGTGGCGTTGGGGTTATTTCGCCCTGACTGAAGTTTTCTTGACTCTGCCAGCTGCTCATCCATCTGGCCACATGGTGAAGAGATGTGTACCAACATCTCAGCAAACAAATGAGTCAGCCCTCTTACATTTGTTATCAAGATTTCACAATTGTGTTTTGAACATGCACATTTAAAATTGACATGTTCCTACTGGAGAACAGCATGGCTCCACAAATTTTGTTTCTGGAAATGAATCTGACTTTTTCGTGTGAATCATTAAAGCTTCTATAAGGAGTTTAAAGACAAGACAAAGACAAGAGACGACTCTAACAAAGCAGCATGGACACAGATGCCAAAACTATTCCTTCGACCAGCAATGTTTGACCTCTGAGAAAAACAAAACAAAAAAGGCTGTAAAAATACAGGGAGGAATGGGAAAAAGAAAACACCTGGGTGGGAAAAGTGTGCAATAACATACAGTGCATCTGGAAAGTATTCATACCACTTAACTTTTTCCACATTTTGTCATGTTACAGCCTTATTCCAAAATGGATTAAATTCCCTTTTTTCCCTCAAAAATTCTACACAAAATACCCCATAATGACAAAGCAAAAAAACTTTTTTTAGAACATTTTGCAAATTTATTAAAAATAAGAAACTCAAATGTTGCATATACATAAGTATTCACACTCTTTGCTATAAAACTCAAAATTGAGCTCAGGTGCATCCTGTTTCCACTGATCAGCCTTGAAATGTTCCTCCGATTTGATTGGAGTCCACCTGTGGCAAATTCAGCTGATTGGACATGATTTGGAAAGCGACACCTGTCTATACACTGTGTGCACAATTATTAGCCAATTGAGTATTTTGATCAAATCATCATTTTTATGCATATTTTCCAACTCCAAGCTGTATAAACTTGAAGGCTTATTGGATATAAGCATATCAGGTAATGTGTATTAGTGTAATGAGGGAGGCTGGGGCCTAAGGAGATCAAAACCCTAAATCAAGGTGTGCATAATTATTAGGCAGCTTCTTCTCCTCAGGTAAAATGGGCCAAAAAAGAGATTTAAGTGACTCTGCAAAGTCAAAAAATGTAAAAAGTCTTTTGCCAAGATATTTGGGTGTGATCACAGAACCAGCAAACATTTTGATGCAAATAGTCAACAGGGTCGCAAGAAATGTGTTAAGAAAAAAAGACGCAAATTAACTGCCAAAGATTTGAGAAGACTCAAACGTAAAGCTACCAGGAACCGCTTATCCTCCGGTGCTGTCATATACCAGAACTGCAACCTACCTGGAGTGCCCAGAAGTACAAGGTGTTCAGTGCTCAGAGACATGGCCAAGGTAACGAAGGCTGAAACCTGACCACCACTGAACAAGACAACAAGTCGAAACGTCAAGACTGGGCCAAGAAATATCTGAAGAGAGATTTTTCAAAGGTTTTATGGACTGATGGGATGAGAGTGACTCTTGACGGACCAGATGGATGGACCCGTGGCTGGATCAGTAATGGGCACAGAGCTCCACTTCAAATCAGACACCAGCAAGGTGGAGGCGGGGTACTCGTATGGGCTGGTATTATTAAAGATGAGCTAGCTGGACCTTTTCGAGTTGAAGATGGACTTAAAATTAACTCCCAAATCCAATGCCAGTTTTGAGAAGACACTTTCTTCAAGCAGTGGTAGAGGCAAAAGTCTGCATCTTTCAAGAAAACCATGATTTTTATGCAGGACAATGCTCCATTGCATGCAACAAAGTACTCCACTATGTGGCTCGCCAGTAAAGGCCTTAAAAACGAAAGAATAATGACATGGCCTCCTTCTTTACCTGACCTAAACCCTGTTGAGAACTTGTGAGCCCTTCTTAAACAGGAAATTTACAGTGAAGGAAGACAGTACACCTCTCTGAACAGTGTCTGGAACAGTGTCCGGGAGGCTTTGGTTGCTGCAACACAAAAAGTTGATCGTCAACAGATCAAGAAACTGAAAGACTCCATGAATGGAAGGCTTATGACTGTTAATGAAAAGAAGGGTGGCTATATTGGTCACTGATTTTTTTTTTTTAATTTCAACAATTTTTATTTGTAAATTGAGTTGTTTGTTTATCATTCTCACTTTAACAAGTGAAAATAAACAAGTGAGATGGAAGATTTTTCATTTTTAATTTAGTTGCATAATAATTCTGCACACTAATAGCTGCCCCCAATAATTGTGTACACCTAGATATTCTCCTAAGGAAGCCAAAATCTCACTTTTACTCCCTTAAATATTAAGGTTTGAGGTTTAGTAACATTTTGGATTGACCAAGAGCACTGTAGTTGTTCAAAAATAAAATTTATCCTCAAAAATACAACTTGCCTAATAATTGTGCACACGGTGTATAAGATCCCACAGCTGACAGAGCACATCAGAGCACAAACCAAGCCATGAAGTCGAAAGAATTGTCCGTAGACTTCTGAAACAGGGTTGTATCAGCACACAGATTTGGGAAAGGTTACAGAAAAATATCTGCTGCATTGAAGATCCCAAAAAGCACAGTGGTCTCCATCCAAGAAATGGAGGACATTTGGAACCACCAGGACTCTTCCTAGAGCTGGCTGCCCAGCCAAAATGAGCAAGCGGGGGAGAAGGGCTTTGGTCAGGGAGGTGACCAAGAACCCGATGGTCACTCTGACAGAGCTCCAGCGTTCTTCTGAGGAGATGGGAGAACCCTACAGAAGGACAACAATCTCTGCAGCACTCCACCAGTCAGACATTTATGGTAGAGTGGCCAGACGTGACTCCTCAGTAAAAAGCAAATGACAGCCTGCTTGTACTTTGCTAGAAGGCACCTGAAGGACTCACAGACCAGGAGAAACAAAATTCTCTGGTCTGATGAAACAAAGATCCAACTCTTTGGCCTGAATGCCAAGCATCATATCTGGAGGAAACCAGGCACCGCTCACCACCTCGCCAATACCATCCCTACAGTGAAGCATGGTGGTGGCAGCATCATGCTGTGGGGATGTTTTTCAGCGGCAGGAACTGGGAGACTTGTTAGGATGGAGGGAAAAATGAATGCAGCTAAGTACATTGAAATCCTTGATGAAAACCTGCTCTAGAGCACTCGAGACCTTTGATTGGGGTGACGTGTCATCCTCCAGTATGACAATGACCCTAAGCACACAGCCAAGAAGACAAAGGAGTGGCTTCAGGACAAGTCTCTGAATGTCCTTGAGTGGCCCAGTCAGAGCCCAGACTTGAACCCGATTGAACATCTTTGGAAAGACCTGAAAGTAGCTGTGCACCAGCGCTGCCCATCCAACCTCACTGAGCTTGAGAGGATGTGCAAGGAAGAATGGGGGGGGGGGGGGACTCCCCAAATCCAGTTGTGCCAAGCTTGTTGCATCATACACAAGAAGACTGGAGGCTGTAATCGCTGCCAAAGGTGCTTCGACCAAGTATTGAGTAAAGGGTGTGAATACTTATGTATATGCAACATTTGAGTGTTCTTATTTTTAATAAATTTGCAAAATGTTCTAAAATAAGGTTTTCGCTTTGTCATTATGGGGTATTTTGTGTAGAATTTTTAAGGGAAAAAAGGAATTTAATCCATTTTGGAATAAGGCTGTAGCATAACAAAATGTGGAAAAAGTGAAGTGGTATGAATACTTTCCGGATGCACTGTAATATAAGGAGACCCAGGGTTACATGTAACAGAGTCTGTCTAGTAGATCCTGGTAGAAACACTGCTGGATCCTCCTACAAACACTGGACACACATGAAGATACATGCAGAGTCCAGTTCTTTCTGGCTCAGATCCTGTTTACTGCTGTTGGATTCTGATAATAAAAAAAAAAAAACCCTGAAAAATCTTCACCTTCACAGAAAAAACACTGACTACAGTTAGGATGAGAAGTTTCACACACAGCAAAAGAAAGTTCAGTTTGAAAGGCTCACCTTTGCTCATCACATATGTCTCCTTCTTTGAAATTAAGATGGTCAGGCATAGACGGATCACTGGGTCGAGGTCCAGGTCCAGGAGAGTCTGGTCTCTCACGTTTGACTCTGACAGAAACACAAACGCGGATGAAGAAACGAGAACACTGAAAATCATCCAGGTTTGAGTGCTGCTGTTATAGATGATTACTTTTGACGACAGACAAAAGACAGACGGACAGATAGACAGAGGTCTGAGTGTGAATAATAGTGATGGTGGAGTGATGTGAGTGCTGAGCTCTGACATGGAGAGGAGTCATGGACAGTTGGAGATCCTCATCTCACCTTTGAACTTTGGTCTGGCTCCTGTGTTCCCCCCACAGAGTGGTTTTCGATGGAGGGGCTTCCTCCTCTCTGTCCTCACACTGATTCATAGCAGAGCCCCAACCTTCACACAAACATAACAACATGCTCAGTCAGTAAAACCTGAGCCACATCCTGTCCTCTACCACAGTGTCATTCCAGATTCTACCACCAGATAGAGCCACAGCTATTCCTGTTTACTACAGTAGAGAGCTCATCTGGATCCATTTAGAGTCCAGTCCTGTTCCAAATGAAGATATGTGAAAACTTTTAGTTTGATGTTTGACAGAATGAAGAAAATACTCACCAGGTGAATCTAGATCCACTTCCTATTTCACCTGTAGCAGAAATACAAAGAGAGACACTGCAGCTGATCATCCTTCATCAGTTCATCATCATCATTAATCCGAGGATGCTGTCACACTCTCATCACCGAACAGTCAAAGTCTACAAATATGAACAGACATTAAATCAGTGACAAAAATCCAAGAACAATAATAATAATAATAATAATAATAATAATAATAATAATAACATATTCATGCACATTATCAGCACAAGGACCCCACAGTTGGAGAACCCACAGAATCAGGAATACTCGAGCAACATCTGGACCTGACATCATAAGAACTGAAGCAACACAAGTAACAAACAACATGACTGAGACCAAAATAATTCAATACCAGTGGCGATTGCTCTAAGACTGCAAGGGAAGCTCGACTTCCCTTAAAATGTCACCCCCCCAAAAAAAAGAAAAAGTGGTGAAATACGTACTGCTGTGTGTACATTTCATTAACTAAATACGCACTAGAAAGCCTTCATCTTTTGTTCAGACACTGTGATAAGAAGCTGATAATTATAGGTAACCGGCATAACTTCGTTCTCATTCATCCTCGCAGCGCCTCAGCGCTTTAAACAGCCGGACGCTGGGCTTCTGCTGACTTCAATGTGGAAGCTAAAAGTGGGTTGTTCCAGCAGCGAAACTAGACGCTCATTGGATAAATGCTGGGCTTTGTCCCGCCCAATGGAAGCTAAGCTTCACTGGAGTTCTATGGCGAGAGGGCGGTCCCGACTTTCTCCCGGACTGCAAGCTTCTGCATCCATGATTGGATGAGCTGTCTGAGGCGAAATCCTTTTTTGATTGACAGCTAAACAAGCGAATCAGCGATCTTGAAGAATAAAACATCTACCAGAGCATTTTCCAAGTTATTCATTCCGTTGTTCTTAACTGCTCCGGAGACTTTACCGATCCTCAGCGACTTCTGTCTTTATTAAAAACGACTGCCGTTGTGTTTGGCGACTCTGTTCTGTTACATACTAATAAACAAATACAATTATGATGTAGGCCAGAAAAATGAGCTTCCCCTCATTGAAAGACCAGCAGCCGCCACTGTTCAATACAATGAAATATGTTCAGGTCAGAAAGTCTAATAAAGGTGAGTGAAACACAGTACAGAGGTTCAAGCTCTATGAATAACAACTGCATAAATAAAGAGACAAAACCATCAAAGAAATGAGTGCAATGAAATTCAATAATACAAGCCAAGAAGTCATCAAAGAAAAGCAGAGCAACAAGAAAGAAGTTGGTGACGAAGTACATGTCGAAACTGAGAAACATCAAACCTTTAGATTTAGAATAAAGAGAAACAAGAGAGGACAAAAAGTCTGAGGGAAAAAGGCCATTAAAGGAGGATTTCACCTGAAAAAAAACAAGTCAATCCTCAAACAAAGGAAGCTGGGATTGAAGTGATGGGATGTTGTCTTTTCAAACCAGTGAGATCCCAGCTGCTGCTTTTTCAACAACTCAGACAGGGGAAAGAGTTTTATGGTTGATGTCGGCAAAGAGTGAGTCCGGTCTGGAGAGGATGAGTGTGTGGATTCATTTTTCTATATCTGAGTGAGGAATTATTGGTTTCATCTCAGAGATGGTGAGTAATTGGAGGAATTAGAACTATCAAAGGTTTTTGATCCATATTTCAAAGGACTGACAACAATCAAATGTAACTCCTCAGCTTCCTGCTGGTGGTTGGATATTTCAACAAGTCCTCCAATCCAAAACAACTTGTTGGGATATCAGCAGATTAGGCACCAAAGCTGCTCTCACTGAGATGGTCGGGCTCTAAAAACTGAACATGATTTCTAATTTTGAGGTTTTGAGTTGAAGGAAATTCTGTGTAGATATATTCAGGGCTGTGTTTATGAAGGAAACCATGAAAACCAAAATAGATTAAACTACAGAGAGTTTGAGAAATGTTGAGAGAGCTTTTCTCTGAGCTATTTTACCACCTTCTTCCAAAGCGGCTCCTCAATAACCATTGTACCTGTGAATGGGTTTAAACTGTTGTTGCTGTACAGTGGACACTGACTGAAGTTCATCACACTGGTTGTTGTCTGTGCTCAGCTAAGAGAGCCAATGACTTACCTTTTACTGTCATAAACTTATCAAATCATCAAAGTGCTCAGCACACATAGACTTCTACGAACACTAAAACAAAGTGTTTGAAAAGTTTGAGTCAAGTGTTGTGCAGTCTGACTTTAACCTGTTTCTGTTTCTTTTGCCTTCACTCAGCAAACGCACAGACTATGACAAAAAGACATATCAGCACTCCTGTACTCAATCTGATCTCTATGACTGTGTTTGTTAGTTGAAGTCTGAGGTTCATAGTCTTGACTTATTTCTGCTCCTACATGTACATCTGTGAAATAAGGAGACTAAAGATCAGACTTTAAACAGTTCCACCAATGCAGTCACAAAACAATAGGTCAGATCTGCAGCAGCTTCATGTGTGCTGTCCTCAGATCAGTCAACAGATGCATACTCAAACAAAATGACAAGAGTGTGTTAGGTTACTGTGGCATATGGTGTATTTTGAGGACCCAGATGCAGACACAGAGGCAGATAGCAAATTAAGATGTAATTTTAATGTCCAAACTCAGGGGAAAAAGACACGAGGAAAGTCTGGTTTGCTGGCTGGCTGTTGTGTGGGCTGGAGACACTGTGGAGAAACAGAGGAGATGGAAGTGAGAAGACATACAAAAATTCACATGGAGCAAAAAGTCACAAGTACTTATCCGAGAAGAAGGCCAGGAGATGCGTCTGTACCACTCAGGAGTGAAGACAATACTTAAGCACTGAGACTGAGGGCTGCTGGCTTCTTATAGGGCCTTGATTGTAGATGCAGTGCAGGTGTGTAGTCTCACTCAGCCTCAGTGTCCGGGGAGGGGGAGGGTGCTCTGGAACAGAGTCAAGCCAGACCAGGAAAACAAAGAAAAACAGGAAGTCCAACCAAAATAAAACAAGAGGGGGCGGCGTCTCACTACAGTTACCTTCTGATGGGGAAAATGATCTGCATGAAGACCATGAGTGACGGTGAAATGAATCAGCAGCTTCAAACAGGAAACCAAACAGAGACAGAAAAAAGATGGAAGTAACAGCAGGAGGTTTTCAAAGGTCACACCATTCAGATCCAGTTCAGACTCTCTGAGTTCATCTTCACACTGAAGTCTTCTGGAAGGAAATGTGATCACAGAGCAGCTCTGAACTTTGGGCTCAACCACCTGAACACCTGCAGTTAAACATTGACAGACACGCTAAAATTTTCTCAGAGGGACAAGAAAGGTCTCATGATCCACTTTACTATCACTGAATACAAGAAATAACACAGAGAGATATATATATTCATCAGTAAAACAGTGACACCTAGTGGACAAAGACACACGGACCTGAACAAGTGAAGACAAACACAAATTCTTCTCTATTTTTGACAGAGATGACCTGCTGAAGACAGTTAAACTCATGAATTACCTTTTGCTCTCTGGTTTCTGCTCCTTTACATAAACAGCAACAGATCTGACTCCGGTGGCAGAGCCGGTATGTGGCTAATAGGTAGGCCTTGAAAAATCCAGATGGGCCTGATATGAGATTGATACAGCACAGCTATTGAAATGAAATGTCAGACAAATCCAATAAGTTTAAGTTCAAAACTTCCTTACACAACCACAATCATAACATGCCACGGCGGGCCAGAATATCAAATAAAGCCACTGTTTTACCAGTAGATTCACAAGGCGGAGTCCTCTTGGCTTGGAGCATGGAGTATGCCATCATAATCCAAACTGTCAATCTTTTTTTTTTTTTTAATGACAAAAGTGTCAAGAGACTCTCAGAGATCTCTGCAGCGCCACCTTAATCATGTGATACACAGCGTTGTACTGCCCAACACATTACATTAAAACTAAAGAACAAAATTAACAGTCAATGAAAATAATTCACTGAGAAAAAAAAACACAAAAGTCAGTTACAGGGTTATATAAAGACTAAAACCCTCAAATGTTTTTGTCAAGCAGAGTTTTGGGTGAAGTGAATTTTGAAGTCTGTTACATCTGCCATCCCTCACACTGATACAGTCAGTGGGGTTTCCTGTAGTGAGTATCAGGACGACTGTGTGTTTATGTATGGTCTGAAGGATATTTGACTAAAGAGAGAGTGTGTGTGACTGTAGAAAGCACAGCTATAGTCTCAGTCAGTTTGTTTACAATAGGTTCAAAAATATCTATTTATTGAGTTAGTAAACATGCATGTTATCACGTTAGTCCGACCCAAGCCTTCTCATAGCTAGACCAACATACGTTGATGATGGTCTGAGGACTGATTTTCTCCTCCATGTTTTGGTATCTGGACTGAACTGGATCTGAATATCTTGGTCATACTTTTCCTGAGGTGAAACTTGAGGCTAGTTATCAGAGCCAACCCACACCTATATGACCAAAATAACAAAATACTTCATTAGTGACATACACAGAGGTGTCAATATATTGTGTGGCCAACAATATTTGATGATCGGCTCATCAGGGCTCCCCCCACAAACAAGCGGTTGCTGGAGGAAAGTGGGTGAGTATCTTTGCTACAGAAACCAGGCAAAGCTAAAAAAGATATTTGGTGGCTCGTGCTATGGCTGGGACCCTATATGTACTGTTGATGAAGGTGCTGTTCTGAGCGTTATTTGTGGTTATTATAGAGTGGCTTTTTGCTTGAGGTTTGTGTGTGTAGACATAGACCACTGTGTATTGCTGCCATGCGGTCGTTAAAGTTGGTGTAACTAGAAAAGCAAGCAGTCGGCAACATTCATCTCTTGGGGTGGGGGGGTGTCTAACTTAGTGTTATGGTGTGTTTGACCCTAAGTTAATTAATGTGGAGACGACTGTACTCTCTCCAGTCAGCAGGTTTCTGGTTACATTAATCTCCATGGCAAACAGAGCTGAGACATACAGACATGTTAGGGCCAATATACTTTAACACGGATCTACCACTCTGTCTTGGTTTGGATGTTAAATTGAGTCTGCTGGATCATGTTCAGAGTTTGCAGCAGCTTCTGTCTTCTGAGTGTTTAAAGTTTAAATTCTGGACCTGTTTAACTAGAGCTCAGCTTAGTGTCTTAGTAGCCTATGTGTAGACACAAACACACAACATGAGTGAACAACTGACAGACTCTAGCTTTTCACTGCTGAACTATGAAATCCTCTTCCTCCAATGAGAGACGCTGAAAGACGGGACCACCGCAGATCTGCAGCCTGTGAGTAAAGAGACCAGCTCCTTAACATCCAGAAAAGACCTCTTCAGAAATGTAGGCTAAATAAGTGACCTTTGACCGAGCAAATGAACACAAAAACATAAAACACTTAAAACAGATCAGTATGACTTAAACACCAAATATTCAAATATTAACAGAATTTAAAAAAAAAAGAAAAACATAAACAAATGTCGTAACCATCCCGTTCAGGAACAGCCAACAAAAAGTTGTTACCGGCTAAGCTCTGATTGACATAGGTGTGGAGTCCATGTTGATAAAAAAACATGTTGAAATAGTCACACTTGTCACTTCAACATAGTTATTTTCATGCCTTTTACTGTTGTCAGAGTTTATCATGTAGGGATGCGCAAGCAAGACAGATCAGCAAAGAGACATGAGGTACCACTTGGTCCACAGGGCCACTGTGTCTAACTCAAAAAGAAAGCCAACAAATGTGTAACCACGCATCCACAAACAGAGACACAACACCATTTTTCTATGCTTCCACACCATGATCTCTTTACTGCTCTGCCCCCTGCTGGTGTATGACTGCTATAGCATCAATGCAGCAAAAAACAGAGGAGAAACTTAATTCAGAGGAAATTTTTGCCTTTTCTTCAAGTTTCTGGCTTCAGAGCGTCAGAGTGTAAGGAGATTATAAAACACCATTACAGAGGCAGGGAGATGTTCAGCCTTTTGTAAGAGGGGATGTCCCAACAAAGGCACTGATTTATGCAGGAGTGGCATTAAACAGATGCGCACAGACGACTGAAAAACAATTATTGGCCATTTTTATCTTACAGTGTTATGGTGTCATTTAGCAAACACTTTTGTCTAAAGCTTTCAAGAGCAAATGTATCTCCACTTTTCAAATCTACCTAACATTGAATCATCTTGCAGATGTTTTATTGCTATGTATAACTTTTTGATCAACAATTGTTGAGTAACGACAGAGAAATAACTTCTTTGAGGACTCAAAAGGAGGAAATATGTTATAATTTAAGGTACTTTGAAAAAATCCTATAAGCTGTCCAAGAAAGCTCTTGTTGCCAGTAAATGGTGTGAGGCCTGCTGGCTAGCTCAGACAACTCGAGCTGCACTGATTTCTGGGCACTGGGCTTTCTTGGCCAGTGATGAGGTGTTGTTGGTCCAGGTGAGGTCCTCAGTGACTGCTTTGTCCACATTCAGGGAGAGATTGTTGTCTGTGCTCCTGTAGTCTGTCTCATCTCGGTTGCTGTTTAGACCCACCACAGTCGTGCCATCCGCAAACTTGATGAAGAGGTTGAAGCTGTGCATCAGTGTAGTCGTAAGTCAGCAGGATGAAGAGGAGGGGGCTCAAACACACATCCTTGGGGGGGCACTGTGTTAAGGGTGATTGTGATGGATGGGGAGTGGGGAGGAAGGACTTAAGGTGATGCATTAGTAGCCGCTTGAAGCAGTTTATCAGAATGGGAGTGAGCACGACAGTAGTCATTGAAGCAGAAGGGAGACGACCTCTCCAGGACCAGGATGATGGCAGTGGCTTTGGAGCATGTGAGACAAACAGCCTGACTTAATAAGGTGTTAAAGATGTCCATTAAGACATCCGTGAGTTCAGTTGAACAGTCTCTCAGTACACAACCTGGTATATTGTCTGGGCCTGGGGCTTTGCATGCACTGTTGCTGCCAAAGGATCTCCTCCCACTGTCTGGAGTCAGCGTCATATCATATGAAAGGTTCCATACTGCTAACACAATTGATGAGTTAAAATAATTTAAAGTGGGGGTATTATGGATTTTTTTGTGACTTTATACTTACTCTCTGATACCTCTTTATAAGCTTTACATGATTTTCAGATAAAAAAAAACAACCTCCTGCTTCTCTCTCTGGTGTATCAAAATAGTGTTATTTCAGCCTCCATGTAAAACGCTTCGTTTTTAGCTGCTGTCTCTTTAAAGCGCCACCCCCCCCACTCCTCCACCCCTGCACAAATTTTTTTTTTCAACATAAAATTACAACAATGGCTTAACAACATAGTTACCCACAAATTGAAATGTGCAACATTCAAATGAAGACAAAGAAAAACCCTGAGAAACCTGCAGCCTGTGTGAACTCCAAATAGCAGATTTTGACATAAGGCCTGCCGTCCTGCGGGGGGTAATACCACCTCAGGCTACCCAACTGGATGTGCCCCTAAGGAGCCTTTAAGTCCAGGACAGGGTACATTTTAGCTTTGGATAACAGAACAACGACAACATAAGCGCTAAGTTCATTCCAACGGAGGGTCTGAAAGATATTATTTTTGGTCAAGTAATTTTCAGTATCACTGTTCTCATATTCTTTGTACCATTTTCAAGAGGAAATTGTTGAGTCTCAAAAAAGCTGATTACTGCAGCTAAACTGTAATCCAGGAATCTCACCATGAGGGGGCAGGCTAATAACAGTTAAAAATAAAAGAGTCTGTACACTGTCCCCCAATAATACAGATTTAGGAAGGTAAGACCTCTCTTTTGTGAATTTGCTTTTAAGCTTCAGAATAACAATCACCCTTAAACATCACCTGTTACTAACACCTGCTTCAGGGTTGTCCTCACAATCTGTGCGGAGGATAAGAAACAGCACAGGACAGGCACAGATTGTTCCAGATAAGGAAGGTAAGATTATTTTTAGAGCTGTATGACAGACACATCCTGTCATTTGTTGCCTTGGTTACTCATTTGATTCTGATGGATGTTGATGGAAAGACAAGGTAATGAGCAGGTGTGGGCTGCGGGGCTGTACAGGGATCATTCTTGTTGATTAAAGGTAAACTAGATTCAAACATGGATAATAAAAAATCTCTGCTGATGTTCCAGTGGTAATTAATACTGAGGGTTAAGTTTGTGGAGGAGGCCATCATTATATTAGACATTATGCTTAATTACATGTTGTGTCTCTAATCAGGCCCTTAAAGAGAGCAATAAATCTGCACAAAAGAACCATCCATCTCTGCCAAGATCTCTGTGAACTCCAGTTGTGCCTCTGCTTGCATCTCTGCATCAGCATGTTGGTTTGTTTGTTTGTTCTCATATGGAAACAGAATTTTTTTATCAACCCACTCAGAGTGCCTCTAGGTAATAAACATTACATAATCTCAGGAAATACCTTATCTGCATCCAGCTTCTCTTCTCTGGGTTTCCACAACCCGTCAAATACTAAACCTTTTACTGAGAAAATCCAATACCACAGCTTTGTTTCTGTCTTTTCTAATGTGCTGCCCTGAAAGAATTGATGGCTGCAGCTATCAGCGTTCTGTTGTGCTGCATGAATTCTTTATTCCTGTGCAATTAAATCTGTCATTTCTCATTTTGATGACAAATTGCATTTAGGTCTTCACACATTGAAATACAATTTCATGAAATGCAGCCAAACAAAAGTGCTGTCTGCCCTGATGGATGATAATGCACATGATGCGCATGCTAATGTGCTGTATGACTGAGTGCCCATTACCTTTTGTTGGTGCATCCCCATAAGGTGCAATCTTACTGTCTTGGGCGATATGAGATTCCAGCAAGAAGCCTCATACCCCACAGAGCCGAAAGAGGAGCAGAAGAATCTAAAATAATAGACTTCACTTTGCTTTATTCTCATTGTTTGGAAGCAGTAGTGATTGACATTTGTGCTTTTCATGTCTAACCAATATGCAAATCTGTGTCATCTGAACGCTCCAACATGCTCTATGCTTGATCTCTTTGCTTTGCAGCTATGAAAATGGAGAAACATGCATTTATTACAGATGTACTCAGTGAATTAGTTAAATAAATAATAAAAAGTGATTCAAAACAAGAATGTGGTGATTCATCATCATTCTCACCCTCCTCCTCCTCCTCTGCTGACACAAGCGTCCCTCTGAGCTGTGAGACTTGTCACTGTTATGTGTTATTTTTCCAAACCCTACAAGGAGATGCAAATCTCGCCTGAAGACAGCCTTGAACAGAGGTATCATATGCTGGTCAATTTTCATACAATATTCCAGCTTCTTTTGCGTGAGGAAGCAATATTATTAGGTTGATATTGTTTTTCCAAATCTGTCTGAAATAGGCTGACCTCCAGTTATACACCACACTAAAACATTTTAAATTTTACAAGGTAATATATGATTTACCACTCTGCTGTTTTACATGACTGCTGCATGTATGATTATGTAAAAATCAAGCATTAATGAATGCTAATAACCACCTGTAAAACTGTCCAGCACACAAAGAGCTGCAATAACATCAATTTGGATGCTAAATCTGATCACTAGATGCATGCAAATCCAATATGGATTACACAGCAGATCTCTGTTTCAGATTCTAGTGAGGAATATCCAACTGTAACTTTGTCAGCCTGTTTAGAGGTGCAGTAAATGTGCTGCTGCTTCAAGCTCTGAGACTCAACTATAGCAGTAGTAGTGCAAGGGTTAGAGAGCTTGCTAAAATATGCTGATATGCTCAGAAACGTAAAAGTAGAAGGGGAACTGAAGCCTGTAATACATTTTTTCACAGTTTAATATCTAAATAAAAATGCAATAAATATAAATGCAAAATATATTTATAACAGGAAGAGTGATACTAAGAGTACATTTGGTGTTTTGCTACAATATTGGTAGTTTACCCAAAAACAGGCGTTGAAGGGTTAGATCAGGTTCCACTGTTCACATTCCAAATGGTTTTTGGGCAGGACTCTCAAGACATGCATCCGGTCTCACACTGTTGCAAAAAGATGTATGTATAGTCAGCTGGTGGCAAGGGGCAATAGTGGGGTCAGCCCACTTAAACAGTAATAAGAGGGAAATAATGTTTGTTCAGCCAATCAAGTAATGCATTGGCTGGACGCTGGTTTGGTTTCTAACTTATGATTAGACATGCAGTGCACACTAAGATTTGCAGGGAACCCACCTCTTCTTAAAATCGGTGTAAATATATAGACCCAGTGCTCTAATGCAGACCACAGTCCAATCAGATGGTCACATCCTCCAGACAGAGCAAATCTACTGCATTACAGGCTGCCCATACTAAGAAGGGAGAAGAAGTCCTGCAGAAAAGTGCCTCTTCACAACACCTTGAACTTGTTCAAAATGTTCTACTTTAAAAATTAATTAAAAAAGAAAATTATGACAAATTGGTGCTTAAAAACACAGCAGGATAAAAGAAATTACTCTTTTCATGGTCAAAATTACCTTCAAGATTTCCACTCAGATCCGACAGTTAGTATTAAAACATGAACTTAACAAGAATGTGGGAGCTCACGACTCTTGTATAGCAAACACAAAAGGCTGTACAATCCCCACAAGTGCCTAAACAAAACTACAGTTGAACAGAGGCTTAAGTTGGTGGAGCTAAAACTGAAGCACTTACTTAGTTAAGAAAATTCTATTCTAAATTTAAGAAAATTTAGCATGGAAGCTGTGGGTCTATTTTGTGTCAACCACAGATGGTTAAAAACTGTCAATGATCCCAATTGGTCAAAACGCCCCAGAAGCCATCATGGCCAATGCGAGCCTGACTTCGCTGCAGTCTCCAGCGCAGCTCAGTCCACCGCCTCTAGCATCGAAACGCACAGTGACGGGGCTGCGGACAGAATTCATAATGTTTTATATTTGGACAATCTCCAGCCCGATAGGCGTTGCCTGATAGTCTACTATAAGAAGAGTAGATACGCGGATTGTCCCCCCTTCAGCAGCTGTTGTGAGATGTTCTGCGTTTGCCATGGCACGAGGTCTGTTTCCATGGGGGTTCTTCAGAAAGCCTCTGTACGTCCAGGTAAGCTTCTGGGAAATCCCTCTACTCTCTGATGTAAGGTCCAACTGGGAATTTACGCCGGCTCGTGTGTGTAGCCTATATCTACCAGTAACATCCAAGCGTGTGCAGATATGCATTATTAACCACGGACGATGCAGCTGGTATCACAGCCTATAGTCGATTATCTGAGCTCAGTATTGCATATGGGATTGTTGTGAATTTGCAGGTATTACTCTATGTGTTTTTTACTCTGAATCATAGTCACTTGATGCTCGACAGCTCAACCGTCCTCCTGATCCCCGTTGCTGTGGCAACCACGTCCATGATAGGCTACATCTGAGGGTTACAGCTGATAAATTCTAAGAGGCTGTTTCTCAGGCTGCAAAAGTTTATCATCGCCTTGCACTACACAAGGCATTTACTGTTAACATAGCTCGTGTATTGCAGTTATTATTATTAATAATCACCATATTATATTTCACTTACATGCACCCCACTTAAAGAAATACCTCGTCCACTTGCAGCTTCATCTTTCTTCACAGTATAAGATTACTAAACGTCCAGTTTCATGTAAGTTTCTCAGAAATAAAAAATCTGTCTTTGGTAATTCAGACATTCAATATATTTCTGTATCTGATGTGATGCTGCCCTGGTCATGCTCATGTGGGAAGCTGTTGAAGAACATTATGTAACAGTTGGCTGTGACTGAAATTAGGTGAAGTCCACAGTGGCCTTCCTCATAAGTAAAATTAAACTCTGCAAGGGAAGCCCTTCAAGGACACACTGAAGTCTCAGGAAGCCAAATGGAGGATTCACAATGTCAAATCCCCTCTTGGAGAGTGAGGGACACGAGATCTGGCCCTACATTGCTCTAATCTTACCAAATGTTTTGGTAATTGTTCCCTGGCATTCAGCCACCACAGAGTTTGCTTCACTAATTGTGGTTGAACATATTCTCATCTCTGCTGCTCTGAGCGTCCTGTGTGTGTGTGTGTGTGTGTGTGTGTGTGTGTGTGTGTGTGTGTGTCCTTCCATGTCAGAGAGAAAAAAAACTGTCAAGTTCAGTGACTGGAGGGAGAAACGGCCTGTCTCAGGGGACAGCCACCAGCATCGCTCTGTTTTTCTAGGCCACCTCAGCCTCCCAGTGACAGCTTAAGAAGTGTCATTCAGTGATCCTTGGAGAGAAGCTATTTCCACCCCAACAAAAAACTGACAGGTCCTGAGAGGTGCAAACTTCAGTCCTGCCTTAACACAAAGTCTTTTTTTTAATCTGCAGACTTTGAAATGTGCAGATAAATTCAAATACAGTTAGGTTTGATTGTGTTGTATTTCCACCCATTCTTTTTTAATTTCATACATATCATGTTGGATTGAGTGGCGGCGTTTCCATAAGCAGCCGCCCTTCTTCATGCAGGGAAGATGCGCTCCATAATAGACTTGCTGTTCCCCCTTTTTTCACAGATTTATTGATCTCACTCATACAGTTTCCACAATAACTTAAACTTGTGCACATAGCCAAGAAAATTAACAAAAAGGAGAGAGAGTGGTCTAAAAAAAGTATGGCGCCCCCCTTCTAATTAGCAATAACCTACACCTGCCCCTCGCTCCTTTTTCTGGGAGTGGGGGCACTTGTTCAAAGTTAGACTTGACTTTGATTTCATTCATCTTTTTTTGGGATATAGCACACTATGATGAATAATAACAGTAATCAAACAAAATAAGTGAAATAGCTACAATAGATGTTTTTTTTTTTTTCCTGTTCAAAGGTGACGCTGCAATGAGAAATTTTGCATTTAGAGGTTATGCCTCTAACCCCTGCTTCATCCACTGCCTGTTATCTCAAAATCAAGTCAATAAAAGTGTAAAAATATCAATTGACATAGAGGTGAATAAAATATATAAAATCACACCTGCATTTAACTGTCAACTTCCAGTTTTTCTCACTGTGATGACCTGACAAAGGCTTTGTGTAGCCAGAAACAGGTCAGTGTGATTTTATCTGAACGAGCTTGCAATTAAGGACTAATACTTTACAGAAAAGTGCCACAAATGTAGCCTGGCTGGGTCATCCTGTTGCGTGAATCACTTGCCGTTCCTTCCCACAACGGCAAGTGATTCACGCAACAGGATGACCCAACCAGGCTACCGCAAATGTGCCACTGAACTGTTATTCTCTGTGGTTAAAACAAAATGGTTTATACGCTGCATAAACGTAATGATTATATAAAGAAAGAGTAGTCAGAAGGAATGATTGAAATGTGTTTGAGCATAATGATGGACACATTTCCAGGTCAGGACAACTATGAAGTATGATAATATGCTGCACTGTACACTCACCGGCCACTTTATTAGGTACACCATGCTAGTAACGGGTTGGACCCCCTTTTGCCTTCAGAACTGCCTCAATTCTTCGTGGCATAGATTCAACAAGGTGCTGGAAGCATTCCTCAGAGAGCTTGGTCCATATCGACATGATGGCATCACACAGTTGCCGCAGATTTGTCGGCTGCACATCCATGATGCGAATCTCCCGTTCCACCACATCCCAAAGATGCTCTATTGGATTGAGATCTGGTGACTGTGGAGGCCATTTGAGTACAGTGAACTCATTGTCATGTTCAAGAAACCAGTCTGAGATGATTCCAGCTTTATGACATGGCGCATTATCCTGCTGAAAGTAGCCATCAGAAGTTGGGTACATTGTGGTCATAAAGGGATGGACATGGTCAGCAACAATACTCAGGTAGGCTGCGGCGTTGCAACGATGCTCAATTGGTACCAAGGGGCCCAAAGAGTGCCAAGAAAATATTCCCCACACCATGACACCACCACCACCAGCCTGAACCGTTGATACAAGGCAGGATGGATCCATGCTTTCATGTTGTTGACGCCAAATTCTGACCCTACCATCCGAATGTCGCAGCAGAAATCGAGACTCATCAGACCAGGCAACGTTTTTCCAATCTTCTATTGTCCAATTTCGATGAGCTTGTGCAAATTGTAGCCTCAGTTTCCTGTTCTTAGCTGAAAGGAGTGGCACCCGGTGTGGTCTTCTGCTGCTGTAGCCCATCTGCCTCAAAGTTCGACGTACTGTGCGTTCAGAGATGCTCTTCTGCCTACCTTGGTTGTAACGGGTGGTTATTTGAGTCACTGTTGCCTTTCTATCAGCTCGAACCAGTCTGGCCATTCTCCTCTGACCTCTGGCATCAACAAGGCATTTCCGCCCACAGAACTGCCGCTCACTGGATATTTTTTCTTTTTCGGACCATTCTCTGTAAACCCTAGAGATGGTTGTGCGTGAAAATCCCAGTAGATCAGCAGTTTCTGAAATACTCAGACCAGCCCTTCTGGCACCAACAACCATGCCACGTTCAAAGTCACTCAAATCACCTTTCTTCCCCATACTGATGCTCGGTTTGAACTGCAGGAGATTGTCTTGACCATGTCTACATGCCTAAATGCACTAAGTTGCCGCCATGTGATTGGCTGATTAGAAATTAAGTGTTAACGAGCAGTTGGACAGGTGTACCTAATAAAGTGGCCGGTGAGTGTATATCTAAATGCATAGCATCTTTGCCTTGAACCTGTCATGAGATGAAAGTACTGCACACAAGTTGACTAAATAGAACTTTTATTACATATCAGTGGATTCAAAACTCTGTTTCACAAACTAAGAGAGGAAAGGAGCTTCTGTATTCAGCTGTAGCATGAAGTAAGAAAAAGTACAAGCCTGCAAGAGAACTAATTTGTCTTGCATATATCCAATTTGAATGATTTGAGTGATGATATTATGAGGTTAATATACAAAATACATGAAGAACACGATGTTGCTTAAAGCTGCTGTTGAACCAGCAGGCTGGCTTTTTGTTAGCGATAAGTCCTTGGGATATGTTGCTCATTACAGCTGTGATTGGCTGATGGGAATGTGGGAGGGGGGTTCCCCTGACAGGAAGCTGCAGTCCTCACAGGAATAAGATGTGGCAGCTGTAATTGTGTGTGTCTTCTGTACTTCAAAAGCACATACATGATGTGATATTGTAAGATGACAGATCTACAGTTCTTCTGCTGATAAAAGCTGTTCACATGTGGTATTGTCGCAGGATTGAGTCAGCACGAAAGTGCATGCTTTGTATGCATGTTGGGGGTTGAAGAGGAGGGGTGTGAGTGTGTGTATGTGGGTGTGTGTGTGTGGGGAGGGGGGTTGCCTGCTGTCTGGACTGTGATGAGTCAGATCTTTGTCGTGTCTGTGCAGAGGGTAAAGCTTCCTTTTTTTCAGCACAGTCTGTGACAAGCAGAGAGGCATGCAGAGCCTCTGCTGGGGCAGAGCTCCTTAACGCGGTCCTTTCCTGTTTCACTGGATCACTCCTATTGCAGTGTAAACAGCAGATGGTGGATTTAAAAATGACCAGTTTCAGACGTTAGAAACCAATGGGTAGCATCACTGAGACAATGAGTGAGCAAAAAATGCCAAGATCAGGTTTGATATAGTCTATGGTTGCACATAGAAGCATCACAGCAAAGTAATAGCAGCTTTTCCTTTTTTAATGTGAATGATTCAGGGTACAGTGTAATATGGCCCCCTCAGTGTCATTATCATATTAATGAACTCATGTATGGATTTGTCATTTCTAGTTTAATCTAAGGGGAAATTGTATCACCAAAGGTTCTGTGTGATGATGAATACTCCACAGTTTGTACAAATGTCACTCTAACGGTTTGTGGATTTGTTTTTACAATAAGGCTGATTGACACACACACACACACACACACAGAGGTGTAATTAGCTCTAAATATAAGGAACCATTTAAATTGATGCGAACATCCCTGGTACACAGCAGCATTGAACCCTTTATGCTCTGTGAATAATGCTTTGTCTTTTGGCTGGAGTGACTGAATAAGACCCTCACTTTGTGTCCAGCATGAGCAGTGACAATTCTCAGGGACTGGGAGGATCTGATTGAAGACTTGGACTTAGACTTTAACTTTATTGACTCCATGAAGAAATTGTTTCCACAGCACTGTCTCCACTTTACGAAGTCCACCACCGTATAACACAGAACAGGACACACAGTGAAACATATGAGAGACACACATCTTGACAACAGCATTAAAAAAATTGTGCTCTAATAAAAGCCTGCTTTATACCTGGTACCTGGTACTTTTTACCTGGTACCTGAGGCAGTAAAAACTGATAAAAGGCTCAGCCCAGTGTTTCCCACACAGGACGGTAATCTATCTGTGTTGGTGTGTAATTTGGGGAAACATACTGAGTCTGAGGTAGCACCATTTTAAAACCCTCATTTTTAAGGTGTGGCAGCTTTTATTTAGTGGTGTGTCACAGCCAATTACATGTAGGGGAAACCCTGACCTAGCCTATATCTGATGTTTTGTGGTTAATGTCAGTCTCACCTTTATTATCATGATTAGAAACATTAACATCAGTCTTGGGTTAACTTGACCTTGGCTGCCATCATCAATGTTATATATATATACATGTATATTTTTTTCTTTTGTCTTTATCCATCACTTACAACTTCACATGTTAACTTCTTGTCAATGTAGTGTAAAATCGGAACATTAAAATGTACAATGGAGAATTTTAAACCAACTTAGGCATAGATACCAATATATTTTTACAGAAATCCCAGAATTGTAATTTGTCCCATTGTTTCTTGTCACTTTTGTGGACTAATCTTGTGTGCATTCAGCACTGATTCCAAACTGAAAGGTGCATCAAGATTTTATGAAAGACTTGTTTCACAGCCAATATTTGCGTATGATATAACACAGATCTCTTGCCATTCACTCCCTCAACCCCCTCCATCTTTTGTTTCTGTTTTCACGTCTTTCTAGGCTCTGCACAGCAGCCCATTAACCAGCATTCTCTGAGGAATAGCTTCATAACCATACATAATGGATGAACAGTTTGCAACCTGCAAAAACCAGTGTCAGTAGAGGATTGTGCGTCTCTTGATCATCTTTTGTAAGCTTTTTGCCTCAATAGTTCAACATCAGATGTTATGCTGTTACCTGTAGTTGCATATCTCTTTGATCGAGTAAATAAATCAAAATGGTTTGTGCTTGAACAGAGCTTTCTCTCTTTGTGTGTGTGTGTGTGTGTGCGTGTGTGCGTGCGTGCGTGCGTGCGTGCGTGCGTGTGTGTGTGTGGGCTGAGACGAAGGAGCTCAACCAGATGTGGACGGACCATTTCTTTCCGCCCACCTCAGCATATGGCCACAGTTCCCAGTCAGTCTCTAATTAATAGCTGTCACAGCAGCCACAATCAATATGGCCTCATTAGCCATGTTTGTGTAACTCTCCCCATCACGTAAGGTCAATACACAATCCCAGAGTTAGAAATGAAACGGCCTGAGTGGAAATGAAAGCCACAAAGTATCGATTACAAAAAAGCTAACCATACATTTGTTTCCCTGCAGAGTGTTATTTCCGTAATGCTTTGCTCTTGATGCATTTCACCTATGGAAAAATCAATGAAAACTATATGCAGTACTTACTTGTGTGGTCACTGCTGTTAAAGTTGTTGTGGGTCTACTATTGTCAGATTTGTAAGTAAATCCATCAATTAACAGGGCAGCAGAAGTCATATTTAAACAGCATGGCTTAAACAGATTGTATTTCAGGTTTGAACATGGTGCAGTGATTTGTATGTACATTAAATAGACATCGGTCTTGTTATTGGCAGCAAAATCAGCAGGCAGATAGTAATCTAAAAAGTATTAACCAGGCTTTGAGACAAGGTGTTCAATTTTTGTCGACTTTAAAGACTGTGAAGCAGAAAGGATAAGGGAGAAATGAGCAGAATGGAAGTGAAGCTGTTATCACAAGGAAAGAAATTGGGATTTTTTTTCTTTACAAACTGTGGTTTATTTATCAAAATAAATAAATAGAAAATAAACATTTTCTCTCATTTATCCCAAAGATTTTTTACCTTTAAATCTGATTCATTTTATTAAAAATAAGAATACACTTCATTTGTACTGGCCTTTACATCCAAGGATCTCAAAGGGCTACACGTTGAAAAGAAAGAAAATCACAACTAAGGGATATAAAACAGGATATTGGTTATAACAAGATAAACAACTCATTTAAGGACAAATAAAAACATGATAATTAGTTTTAAGAGAAGATAAAAGGTTTAGGAAAAGAATCTAAGTGGGGGAACTAAAAGTCCTGCTAAAAAGAAATGTCCTAAGTCCTTTAAAAAAAAAAAAAAAACAGTCCATGGATTGTGGTGCCCTCAAGGTGTCAGAGAGGGCGATGAAGGCCCTAATTCCCATGGTCCTAAGTCTAGTTCTGGGGGTGGAGAGGAGGTTTGAGTGAGTGGAGCGGAGGGATCGTGTTGTTTTTTTCGGGTTCAGAGGTTCTATGAGGTGGATGGAGGCATGTCCATGGATGCACTGGTGTGTGAGGAGGGAAACCTTGTACTCAACCCTGGTGGAAATGGTAAGTCAGTGGAGTGTGACTGCTGATGAGAGAGGAATATTATTTGTTTCCTGCCTTTATTTCTTTAACATAAAAATTACTCTGGAGTGCGTCTCATGCTGACGGGCAGCAAACCTGAGCACTCTTTTTCCATCTCAGCGTGAACACGGGGAACAGACAGATGGCAAACATCACAAGAACTCAAGGCTTAGTTGCTCTTTATTCTACTTAACAGTAACTTAAATAACTTAAAACAAACATCAGATTTAAAAAATGAATGGATCAACTTGCAGAGACCCGTGGATGCCTTTGTTTTCACAGTGCAAACAAAGTCAATGTAGTTAGAGTAGAAATAGGTATTAGCTGTGCTTAATACAAGCGTCTTACATTTAAGTAAGAGGTAATGTGAAATGCTACCCAGACCTGATGATCCAACCACCCAGTCCCCACTTTGTCCCACCTGTTACCAACTATGCTATCAAGTCCAGCCTGTGTGAATGAAGAGTGAAGTAAAAAATGAATTTGTTCTTCTATTTTGGCAGCTGGTTGTTTTTCCAAAGCAGTGAAATTCTTATTAGCTTATTTGTGCATCTGTGAGCAACTTTTGATTTGGGTTGATTTTGGCACCCCCTGTGGACATAGTTATACCTTTCATTTTATGTTTGATTTTTATGTTTGAAAGTGGCGTTTTCACTCAAAAATCTCATCCTGCTGTCTTTAAAGTGTAAAATTTATACGTTATGGAGAGTTGTTAGGAGGGATGTGGGAGAATACTTGAGTGATGGAGTACTTATTGTTACTGTCATTACTTGGTACTCACACATGTGTTGTTCTCCGCTAAAGCATCACAACTCAGTTAGCTTACAGGTACATGAACCATCACTAGTATTTACTTCGTGAATAGTTTTAGAGAACTGTTTGTTTGGCCCGATGTCAATCATGTGATCAGACACGTATGTCCTCACAGCAGTTTTGTAATAAAGATTTACAACAGGGAATTCATCAGCCTTGTTGCCGATGGTCTATTTTGCTTTTGAAGGTCAGAAAGAGGGAACAGTTTCAGTTTCAGCCTGTTAATCAACCAGTAAAAAAAAACTTTTTACCATGACTTGAACGTTTTCATTTATGGCCATGTTTTAACGTAAGCTTGGCTTGACTGTAAAAAAATCACATTGCACTGAACATCTTCATCAAAGTAAAAACCTCAATGATTTTTTGTTGGCATCTTGACAGATGCAGAAAGTATAGTATAGGCTCCTCTACCCCTCAGTTTTCTCTCTGAATTTTCTGTTTACTCATTATACATTACCACAAACTGTGTGGTAGCTTCATTTGTTGTCTTCAATTTGATTGACGTCTATTTCATTTAATTACTTGGGTATTTAAACATCTGCTGTCATCTGACTTTCTGTGCTGCTTTCCTTGTTGTCTTCTTTTTACGGTGTTAAATGGTCAAAAATGTGTCCTATGTTGTTCACTGCTGCTGTTGAACATCTTTGCCACAGCGTCAACAGGCAAATAAGAAATCTGTCAGACTCATTTTCACTGATTGATTTGATATGATGTTTCTGATAAGGCTGTCCCTGGCTGGTTATCATGGGATCTAACAACCAAAAAAAATAAAAAATAAAATAAAAATCAAGAGTTGGAGCAGAAAGATTACAACTGTTCAATTCATATTACCAGGTGATCAGAAACTGCAGATGTGTTATGAGGTAACTGCCTATTTATTTACCTCATCTTTGAATGAGGACAATTTGTCCCATAGTGTCTTTATTGGCCCAAACTATTGAGTTATGTAAGCTCATCAGCGGTTAAATTCTCAAAAATAGTACCGAGGATATTTCTGGGAGGAGACATTCTCTGAAATAATAAAGAAAATATGACTCTGGTGTCCACACTTAGCAGCTACAGTTCTGGTGACGACAACAGAGAAATAAACTTCAGGGTTTTTTTTCTCCCTATAATATTAAGGGCTGCCTCATGAAAAGAAATCAGATTACAGAATGACACAAAGAGGCCTTCTGAAAGCTTGGTTTTTGCATCATCTCTGGTGTCCATGGCAGAAAATGGAGAGATGATCCATTTAGAGACAGATAAGAGCAGCAAAAAACACATAATCTCTGAAAATAAACTTCACATCTTCTGCTTTCAAGTTAGTTTTTCATGAGGCTGAGTGTGTGATCAAAGAGCTGAGTGACTGTCCTGCTACTTTCTGTGTCACTATAAAGTTGGGTCAGAAAAATCCCAGAGGACAGCAGAGCGCTGAGTGCAAAGAGAATAAAAAAGTAGGGGAGGGATAGAGAGACTTATGCCAATAATGAGGATTGGAACTGAGAGGGGCAGAGAGTGTAAGCAAGAGGAGTCCATCACTGTCAAAGCTGAGTGCAGAAATCATTAATAGCTGCAAAGTAGGGCCGCCTAAAAGTCTGTTATTCTTCACTAATGTCCTCCAATTGGACAAATGCCATTTTTGATCCAGGCAGGCTGTATTTATCAGCTGGGAAATTAGAGAGAAAATCTGTAGAAAGTGTGGACTTTTTCTAAATGCTCACTGTTGCTGTTCTTGACTACAAAAATCCTTTACTGTTAATTACTGTGCACCCATTAAGAAGCAATTTGATTAATGATGAACACTCTGAGCTCACTGTGTATTTTTGAGCTCATTTGTCAGGATCTACTTTATAAACGAACTGAAGACTAACCCATTCCCTCACTTTCCTATTATCCCTTTACTTCAGTGAGCTTACACTGAAAGACAATTATATTAACTGTTGTCGTATCATATCTCTTGATTTCTAAGGTTAATAAACTGAGCACTTGATATGAATGGTACTTGTAAATAATCCCTGTTACGGAATTCTATGATAGCTTTTGAGTTACTTGGTTTCAACCATAGACTGTATATTGAATGGACAGAGTCTGCCTCCTCGCTGGGTGAAGCCACTCTGAGAACAGCACCCTCTGTTGATGGGCTGCAGTATAGGTCATAATTCCCGCCTCCCCCAGCAAAGCTTATGGGGCTGTGGACAAACTTTAGAAATTTATTACACAGAACATGAATTTTTCTCCCCCCTGCTTGTGATGTTGACATGTAGTTACTGTCAGACTGGTTTGTGCTCAAGTCCTCTTTTTTTCTGTGAAGCTCCGTTTTTAAAAAGTTATTAGGGGGTTCATGTTTTCGATGATTGACACCTGATACTGCCTATAGGCGTTGAGGGATTGCGTAGCTCTCCCGGGGGATACGCTGTTTGAGCCGAGCGTCATAACAGCGACTCTCGGCAATCGCTACTGTGCAGCGCTGGTTTCAGGAAATGAAGAAAAATCCTGGAAATACTGAGAGCTATTTGGCTTCAAATCCATATACAGGCGTTAGGCGGAACCAAGTTGTCCATAGTATATACAGTCTATGGTTTCAACATAGGAGACTGATTTGAATGGGAGTTGCTTGTGCTGCCATTTTGGCGCAGGACTCCACAGCAAAGGTACTCTTGTACCCTGTGTAGATTTCTGGACAAACTAAGCATATTAAAACAATGAGACTGACACATTTTGTACATGCTTCATAAAATCATGATCAAATTACTTTCAGTCTAATTCCTCTAATAGTTTTCTGCCATCTCCCTCTTCATCGTAATCTTGTGTTGCTAGACCCATCAGCTGGCTCATATTCATTTTAGCTAGCATGTAGGTCTGGAACTGCTGTCCTTCTAGATGCTTTCCCATCATGGCAGATGTACTGACCCAATCATGGTTTTTAATTTAAGATTACAACACAGGAACATCGTTCTTGCATAATTCTTAACAACCAAGATGACAGTATCTGGAGCCACTGGAGGGTCTGCTGGATCCCTATGGTGGTGGTTTCAAATTAACTGAATGATGCATTTTCATTAAAACAATGTCAAACATCTGCAAACACACAGTGTTTATTGATGAGAAAAGTACCTTTCTTTACTCTGCATGCTGCTGTCTGTTTATATGTCTATCACCATACCCTGTGTGAGATGCTACGATAATTTAATTGGTTCTGTCTCGTTCTGTATAATCACCTCTGAGGGCATTTTTGTTCAAGACACTAGCTTCCTTAGTGTGTGCTGTACAAAGTCGCACCTCTGCTTGGACTTAAAGAGTTTCATATTTGAACTTGCAGTTAGGAATCAATTTGGATCATTTGAATCACGTAGCACTACACATGCATGGTTCGACCCCTGTTAGTATACACTCAGTTGAATGTTTACCTCTGGGGTCCCAGCTTTTACCAAGCAATCCTATATATAGTGTCTATGGGCTCACAGGCATGAAATATATTCTTTGTGCCCTTTTCGCAAACTTTAACAGTCAGAAAAATCATTTTTATATTTTAAACTGCTCAGTTTAGGATTAATCCACCTCCATTGGTGCATGCTTAGTCAAAAGTTCGCTTTGCTTGAAACAATAATATCCAATACAAAAAGTCTTCTTGATAAAGTTTGTGAACAAGACATGACAATGACAACTTTTGCTGGTGAGATCGCTCAATTCTGAGAACAGCTGTGATCTACACTCGCTGGCAACTTGATTAGGTACATCTGTTCAGTTGCTGGAATTTAATGCATTCAGGCATGTAGATGTGGTCAAGACGACTTGCTAAAGTTCAAGCTGAGCATCAGAACGGGGAAGAACATGGCATGGTTGTTGGTGCCAGATGAGTTGGTCTGAGTATTTCAGAAACCGCTAATCTACTGGGTTTTTCACTCACAACCATCTCTGGGGTTAACAGAGAAAAGTCTGAAAAAAGAGGAAATATCCATTGTGCGGCAGTTGTGTGGATGAAAATGACTTGTTAACGTTGGAGGTCAGAGGAAAATGGGCAGACTAGTTTGAAATAATAGAGAGAAAACAATAAGTCAAGTAACGACAGGTAACACAGTAACTCAAGTAACACCTTGTTGAAAGTATGACATCAAGAATTAAGGCAGTTCTAAAGGCAAAAGCTGGTCCAACCCAGTACTAGTAAGATGTACCTAATAAAGTGGCCGGTGAGTGTAAGTGAGGTCTAACTGTGCTTACAGAGCTCAGCTGTGTCTGCAGCCAGGTCTTTCTCCTTTTGTACGGCACTGTTGCAAATACACCCCAGAAAAATCTGTCACCAGAGACCACAAGGGGGGTGACAACACAATGAACTGAGACCGAAAGGCTGAGACAAGGAGAGTAAATACATCAGGAAACGAGCAACAGGTGTGAACACAAGACACATGCAAAACTAATGGGAGGCACAGAACATGCAGGGAGCAAGACCTATAAAACAAAACAGTACTAAGTACTATGACTAAACACAAGTGAAAACACACTCAAGAATTACATAACATGAGTACTGACCCAAAAAGAACCCAGGGAATTATCAGTGAAAAACAAGGAAAACTAAAATCCAAAGTAAAACACAAGCACTATGACAAAACGTGAAATACAAGGTAAGTAAACAACACAACAAAACAGGAAGCACTGCAACTAAACTGACAGCAGAGACATACTGTACACACAAGTAGTTCAGGGGCACAAATATGCAGAAAAAAAAACTTAAATTTAAAAACAAAAAAAAACAAAAAAAACTGCTCATGACAGCTAGAGACCAGAGCTGACTGTAATTGTCGTTGTTGTGTGTTATACTCTGATAACATCATTGTCTAAGACAGACATCAAAACCATCACTAAGTTATATTTTAAAGTTGGTCAAATGAGTGTGCAAAACATGAGAGGAAAACAGATGGACTCTGTATTGTCCTAAATATGGACCAGTGGTGTACTTACTATGGGGGCTGCTGCCCACTCTTTTTTTCATGTGTAACAATATGCAGCTGAATTGCCCTCTTGGAAGCCCCTGTAGCAGAGAAAACCTGACAAAAGACCCTCTGTGGTTGCTCTTGCAGAGGATGAAATCTAATAAAAGACCCGCTCAGCTGCCAGCCCAATGGATGAAATGTGTACAAGTGTCCTATTGAGGTTTTCAAGTTAAGTTCAGTACTTAGTAGTTTTATGTGTTTGATCAGTAAGCAGAATTCGACATTTGATAATGTGTGCAAATTACACAGAAAATAATATTTTCCAAAGATCATATGAAATGCAGATCAGGTCTTGGTCAAGATTGAGCTTCATGCAAGAAGTTGCATTAATTGCTGAGACAATAATGCAATAATAACTACATGTGTTTTCCTCTCATGTTATCAAATTAATCCTTAAACTGCTGCATAAATCATCACCAGAATGCAGAAAAAATCTGTGTGAGGTGTTTCAAAGGTCCTTGATAAACCTTTCAGATTAGGTTAAGAGACTCAGTACTGAAGAGATTCAGTGCTCTTCAAAATTCCTCTAAAGACAAATCTCTACTGATAACTTTCTGTGCACTGGTGCCCTGCCATATACAGCTGGTCCTGTTTCGATTTTGCCTCCAACTGTTTTCACTGTTTGGCCCACAGTGATAACTTAACTTTCACATTGAACAAAAAGGAGATAAACCTTGTGCAGGTTAATGAATTTGTTATCATCACCACGAGATGATCATGCATCCAAACACTATGCTTGACTGCTGATGACGAATAATTTCTTCTGTTTTTTCATACCGTGCATCCTCAGTCAGCAAACAAACTAATAACATGAAGAGAATCTCATGTTATAGTTTGTATGACTTTCTGGATGCTCTCCAGGTAGCCATCAGGATACATAAATTAAAACAATTTAATAAAGCAAAGGGAGAATTATTTTGGATTCATGAGATGTGGCTTGTTTGAGGACTGTTGAGTAAAACATGCAGAAAACCACAAACCCAGAAAAACTATCACTAATGTGCACTCCTAAATATCTTGACATCAATTCTGAGTCATCAAAAAAGAGCAGTCAAGAGAGGGAATATCTCCTGATGAAGAATATTCATGACAAGCATCAGGTTTGAAAACAGTGATTGTATTGAAAATATCTGGCATATCAGATTTAGAGGGTGAATGAGTTTGTGTCCTGTAACAGACATGACTCTCTGACACCGTGTTGTGTCATCTGAGAACTTTCTCATTTTCAGCTGGTCTGGAATCAGCTGGGCGCTTTGATGCACGGTAACAATCACCGATAACAAATGCTTTTCAAATCATTTATTGATGAAGAACTTCTGTTCTGTGGATAACCAGGTTGATGCCTCTAAATCTGTATAAATTAACAGATTAAACCCTCAGCACTGTTCTCTTGTTCTTGACTGAAAGTGAATCTGTGTCCAACAGGCCAGATTTTCCTACCTACACATGAAGTACCTGTTCTTCTCCTGGCTGGCAGTGTTTGTGGGGAGTTGGATAGTCTATGTGGAGTACTCAGCCTACACAGAGCTGTGTCGTGGACATGACTGCAAAAATTCAATAGTGAGTATGGTCTCCCTGTCTTACATCCCTGTATGCCTGTTGCCTTTGTAAAATCTGTAAATATTTGAATTGATTTTTCAGTGCAACAAATACAAAAAAGGTGTCATTGATGGCTCCGCCTGCAGCAGCCTGTGTGAGAAAGACACGCTTTACTTAGGGAAGTGTTACACTGCCAAGGCCAACAGCCAGGTCAGTCTTTAAGTCCAACACCCCCCTTCACTCTACTGCTTGTTAATCCAACTGCCCCTCAGGCTCATCCTGTTTATTTTAGGTGTACTCAGGGATCTGGGGAGACCTGGAGGGAGTCATTAAGTGCCAGATGGAGGAAGCTCCTCAGTATGATTTGGGGAGTGAGATGGAGCCCAGGAAGGAGGCTACAGCCTTCAACAAGCCCACGGAGGGGACATCTGTGGAGAAGTTCAGGGAGATGATCCTCAACCACTTAAAGGTCAGGAAGCACTCAAACAGCAGGTACACTCAGGGATGGACTGAATTAGATTCGGCTGATTATTTCTGGCCCATTTTGCCCATAATAATCCCTAAATACCAAAGCAAATACTTTCAAGTCCCAGCTGTGCTGGGATTATCACACTATTATTATGTAAAGACCCTAAAGCAAATGCAGACTTAATACAGTACTTTCAATTATTTACACAAGCACAGCTAGAAAACTTTCATGATTAGTTACATATGTAATATTCAGTTTTTACATGCACACACTGCCCCCTGCTGTATTTGGTTGTGTAGTGAATGGCATAAGATTAGACTGTATTCACTGCACTGTAGTTGTTCAAAATCAAATATATTCCAATATTATACTGGTGTGTGATCCACTTTAAGTTCTTCAGTGGATATAACTCTTGAATATACAGTACTGTCTATACATATTGTTCAAATTTCTGAGCAGGAATGGGATACCTTTAGTTTTAAAAATGCAAGAAGTTGCAAGTTAGTTTTTTGGACTGTGATCAATTAAGGGTACAGAAGATTCTAAAGCTCCTATGAGGAGTTTTGTTATATATTGATGAAATAGACTGAAATTCGTACTGATGTCTTTTAATGACATCTAAAAGCAAACAAGATCATCATCAGTCAAACTGACCATGTTTACATCCTTATTTGTAACGCCTGAAACACTAATGGAAAGTTCCTTACAGGAGCTTTAGGTTAACATTCCAACTTTCATATCATGTAGTATCACTGCATACAATATATACAACCTGTATGTTCATGTACTGTAATTTTTGGACTGAAGTGGACTGACAGTAGGTTTGATGTCTATGAGGTTTTTCTCTTGAGTGTGCAGCTGTATTTAAATGGGGTATGATACAGTTTCTGAAAGTATTGTCTGAAGAGTGTCTACTCCTCCTGCTTCTAGACTTATGTTGAGCTTTCATTTTGTGACAGTACTTTGGAGAGGCTTTAATTTCAATGTTTGGTGGAGTCCCTAGAGTTCTATTTGATTTCAACTGAGCAATTTGTATGCAGAAGTCTTTTCTGTCTTGGTGAAATCTTTTTTTTCTTGCACCAATAAAGACTAAAGACTGTGAACCTATTGCACACCTGAGGTTTGCAAAAGGTTTGTATGATTCCAAACTTGGGCTTCGATAATATTTTAAGTGACAGCCTTGTTTTAACATTAAATTTTCTCTCTCTCTTTTACAGGCTAAAGTGGGAGATCAGGCAAACCTCGCAGACTTGGCAACACAAGTCTTGTCTATAACAGACGCCAACAAGGACGGTCACATCTCACTGCCTGAGGCTCGCTCCACGTGGGCTCTGCTGCAGCTGAATGAGTTCCTACTAGCTTTAGTTTTACAAGACAGAGAGCACACACCCAAGCTACTGGGCTTCTGTGGAGACCTGTATGTGATGGAAAAGGTGCCATATTCTCCTCTGTATGGGATCAGCCTTCCCTGGATTATGGAGGTCTGGATTCCAGCTGGTCTGCGCCGCAGCATGGACCAGTGGTTCACCCCCTCCTGGCCGCACAAGGCCAAGATCTCCATCGGACTGCTGGAGCTGGTGGAGGACATTTTCCACGGCACATTTGGCAGTTTCCTCATGTGTGATGTGAGTGCCAACAGCTTTGGTTACAATGATCGGCATGACCTGAAGGTGATGGACGCACGCTATATTGTTCCTGAAGCTACCTTCCAAGAAATCATCCGGCAGCAGCGCTGTGATGTGGATGAGAACTGTCTCTATGGAGCAGACTGCCTCACTTCTTGTGACCTCACCAAGCACCGGTGTACACCTGAGGTCACAAGGCCGAACTTAGCCAAAGCCTGTGAAGCCCTCAAGGACTATATTCTGAGAGGAGCCCCGTATGATGTGAGGGAGGAGCTGGAGAAGCAGCTGTATGCTTGCATTGCACTGAAAGGCTCAACAGAGCAGATGGAAATCGAGCACTCGCTAATTCTGAACAATCTCAAGACCCTGCTGTGGAAGAAAATCTCTCACACTAAAGACTCATAGTAATTAAGCAAGTATTGCACAAAGGCACAAGACCGATTCCTGTCTCTGGAAGGTTTTTAACTTAAAATGATTCTTTTTACTGTGGAAGCAGAAGAATAGTTTTCATCGTAGTTATCTCCTCATGTACGACTGAAGCTTTTTAACCTGCAGGAATGTCACTTTTATTTCATCATTATTCTTCTGTTTGTTTACATACTGAAACTGAAGGAAAAGGAGCAAGTGCAATTTTTGAGACCATGACCAAGATAAAACAGTATTGGACTTGAAAACTACAACAGCTAACTTTTTACGTTAAAAGTGTTTAAATCCTTTGCATTGCACTATCTTCTCAATCACAACCTCAGCTCCTTTAGAGTCAGTATACTGTGTAAAACAATTGGTTTGCAAAACATTTAAAGCCTGAATTTGATTGAAATAGTGCAAATGCAGCAGACCAAGTGTTTTTAAAATTGAAACATGCTATTGTTTTATGAAAACATATGCTCAAATTAAATGTGATGCCTGCAACTCATTTAAAGAAAAGCTGTGACAGGAGTATGCATCACCTCTTCTCCTAAAAACCCTTTACTGTTTGGATGCTGCAACCAGTTTCTAGAGTGAAATATCCCATTCTTCCCTGATAAAAGGTATTAAGGGGTCTTTTCTGTCATGCTATTCATTCCGTTATGCACCAGTGCACGTTAGTTAGTGCATGTTATCTCAGGTGGGTGACTTTTTTTTTTTTTGCTGGCATCACATACTAGTTTCATTGTCATTGTACCAGCTATCCTGTAGTTTTTTTGTTTTCAGTTTAGACATTTGATCAATTTCATTTGCAGAATTTTAAATAGATTGAATTATTTGCAAACATCCAAATCTGTCAACGTTTTACACAGCATCCCAACCCTTGTGATCTCTGAAATATATGTACAAGGTACTTTATGGATGTCAAATTTCTTATATTGCACAAACAGATATTAACTCTGATGTGGTTGTGCCATTATACTGGAAAATTCAGCCGTTTTGAACTGCATAGCATGTGACCATTACTTCTTTTATAGCATTACATGTTAAAAGTTGCTCGACTTGCACTAAAAAGACAAGTTCGTTTTTTTCTGTGCAAGAGTTTGCTGAAAACTCGGGTTGATTGAAATGCTGACTTTCTTGGCAAGTCTAAATAAAGCAACAAAGTCACAAAACTACTAAAAGTAACACCCCAAAAGATCAGAAGGGCCTTTACAGGAGGACATGAGACTTTTTAAGTGCAGCGTAACAAAGCACACAGGAGCAATGAATTCTTTTTGATAGATTTATTAGAACAAAGTATTTTGCACTTGGAACGGAGTCGATCAACACCTCAATCTGAAGCCTCCTGTTCCTGAGCCCGGAGGAAGCTGGCCTTCTTCTGAGCGACACGGTCTTTCCTCTGGGCAAGAGAGAGTTTAGCGCGGTTCCACCTGAGCCACAAAATAAAGCATGGTTACCATTTGAAACTAACAAGGACAGGTGCTTCCACATCAGTAGAATAAAGTCTGATTTCTGGCCCTAAAACAAACATTTCTGTGGTTTTGATAAAAAAAAAAAATCCTCCTTACCTCTTCTTCTTGACTTCTTTGGGAGGCTTCTTTTCATGGACAGGGTTCTCACGAATGGAAGCATGAGCCTTCAGATACATTCCCTCAATCTGGAAATAAAAGAGCATATCCAATTATGTGTGTTCCCTCTTGGTGCTATTCATTTCTCACTCACACACGCTGTGTTAAATACTACTCATACAAATGAATTTAGATCATTTTCATTTTTAAGTTTTATAACAAAGAAATTCAGTGAAAAGTAAAGATGACTACATTTCTGATGTGGCCTAAAGATTAACGTAATCTCGTCTTCTTTGTGCCCCTTTTTTCTTTAAAGCTGACGTATTAAAATGTGCATCATCTGATGTTTTGCTAATGTCCAAGATCATTAAAAGAGGCAGGCTGTGGGTGTGACTGCTGGTCAGAGAAGTAGCCATTAACACCAACTCCTCACTGTTGTTGACATGCTGCCAATTGTGGCCCTGCTAAAGCTTAGGAAACCCTGCTCAGAAAAAGGGCAAAGCCAGTGTCAAAAAGGCCCTGATGTGGAGTATTAGACGAGAGGAACAGATGATCCATCTGTGGAAGCATCAGGAGCTGAGAACCCTCTCTCATACCAGACCAAACATCTACAGGGTTGAATCATTTGTCCAGGTTTGCACCCAACAACTTCTCAACTTTGTGTTGATAGAACATTATTACTCTGATTTTCTCAAGAGAAAGCAAGCTTGTGCAAAACTATTGAGATCACATAGAAAAGGTAGTACATCATGTCTAAAATTCAGTATAACGATCCTGACCTCAGTTCTATTCATTTTCCCAGGTTGCACTGGAGTTCATTAGAGATGGGCACTTGGAGGCTGAATACTCTTTTAATCTCTGGCATCTATTTAACAATTACTCATCCACACATGCACAGACCACGGCTGAACAATCTTATGAGACTTGTGTTGCAATATTATCTATTCTGCTTAATCAATTTACTGCAACACCTAATACAGCAGTAGGTTCAGGGTATATCAGCTGGTCCATTTTTGTTCTGTCTGACCCCTTTACAGCAGCTTGGACAGGATGAGTAGAGACATCAGCAGCTCATCTAACATTTGACAGCATACTGTAAACCCATTACAATAAAAATTTGTATTTAACGGACAAGATAATATCCATGTCAACTAAACTCAGAGGCAAATCCCAAAACATTACAAATTATAAACTCTTCAGACATGTAAAAAGCAACTCCTAACTGTTTTTGGTGCAGGAAAATACAAAGAAAGGACTTGCCGCATCAGGGGTCACTCCATTCTTGATGAAACGGGAGAACTGCTTCTTGTACGCCTCCTCATCCTCCTCCATCAAGTAGCTCATGTACTCGGACACGTTGATGCCCATGATGTGCTTGCGGTGGACCTCAGCGTTGAACTCCTTGCTCTCTGGATCATACCCAGGGAAGCGTTTGGTGCTGCAGAAACAAAAACAGCATCACTGAGGTAAGTTCACAGCAGGTTCAGTGAAACACTGGAGGAAACAAACCTGAGCAAAACCTCCAAATTACAGCCAGGGAAAAAAATCGAGCCATGCCACACTCTGGAATGCTGCTATACTTAAGATTCCTCTTTCGAGTAATTAAAACATCTTTTTCCTCTTTTGTTCACTGGATGTTTGTTGTTCCTGTCATCTGAAATCTTCACTCTGATGACAAACCAACCAAGCAGACATGACGTCAGCCATTAGCTCCTTCGACTTTCTCTGATTTGTTTTCTTATGAATGCAATGAGCAAACCTCTGTGATCCAATGATCGAGTCATTTATCCTCTATTTGTGTAGCGGTGTGTGTATAACTTCTACAACTTGACTTGCACATCTAGTCTTCATCAGGACAATCTGACAGAGAAAATCCTAAACGTGACTTTTTCCACTCTTTCAGAAGAGTTTTTGGGTCCAGCTTGGACAGGGCAGCTGCGATCACTACACTACAGCTAGGAAATCACATGTTCACAAGATTGCAGCTGATTTTACACGTCCTTTACCTTCGGTGTGCATGGAATATTTTAACTGCTGTAATATTCTGTGGATTCTTATGTTTTTTCTGTCTTGTCAGAGGTGCTGCACTACATAGGTATCCCATAGGAACAATTAACATGACTAGATATTTAGTCTGAAGCACCGATAGCTACAAACTAAGGTTATCAAAATTTGATACTTGAATACTCCTGCTCTGAATGATGCAATATCTACCCATCCACCCAAAGTGAATGAAAGAAAGGGGTCTGTTATTTTTGATTTAATACAAGAAAACAAATCAAGAATTCTGATGTTATTTTCTGACTGCTCTGCAGCCGTCACACTCTGAAGACCTTAAAAACAGCCACAGCTCTTTGCGCATGGTAAGGTGCCAATTGTTTGCGTTTGAAGCCCTGCAGACTGTGCACCTCTCTGCCTCTGGTGTCTCAAATACATGCATCTATAAGTTTACATCTGTTGCAGATGGAGAGCAAAGGAGATATATGGCAATGTCATCTGATCCCTACACATTTTCTTTAAGTCAACCTGCATCTTGACAGGAAGAATCATGCTACTACACAATGACGAACCAAAGGGCTCCATATGTAAGAAAAGGAGAAAACACTGACAGAGCATCTGTCCATCAAGTAGAACAAGATTTAGCCTTTCAATACTAACTAAAATTCACTAAATGTCTCTGATCAGGAGCTTTGCAGGGCAGAAATTAAAAATAGGAATATTAATTATCCAGTTTGGTTGCCAAGTTTTTGGTGGAAAGGGATCACACATGCAAACATCTTAACTCCTATGTAACCTCCCCTTTCAAACAAGTCTGACACCTGAGAGTAGAAAACAACTACCATGGTTCAAACTCAGGACATTGAAGTTCCCAACTGAATCTGTGTAATCTGACGTTTCATTTCTGTCCCATTTCCCTGTTTGCATGACGTATTGCTCAGGGTTTGCTGAAAAATGGCCACTTGCCAAGGTGGCCATTTCAGATTAAAGGTGTTTCAAAGGAAAAACAATTAAGGACTTTTGTTGTCAAGGGTTAGTCTGAAATACAGCGTGTAGGATTTGTTGGAGATTTAACTGAACTTTTGTGAGACTGATTTAGGGGAGACTGTCTGAAGTTAGTAACTACTTTGATTCAAAGTGTAAACCATTCCTTTTCACCTGAAATACACTTGAAAGGAGGTTTTTAGTGGATATACAAACCACAGCAGCACCATAGCGCTACCCCCCTCAATTCCAGACAAACAAACAGATGTTATAAAACTGTTACCTGTACAAAATCTCTCCTGTTTAGGCCTGTCGCGATAATCAATAAATCGCCTAATCGCTCGGTAAATAAAAACGAGGTCGGTAATTTTGCCAGCCTCGATAATTAACGTGCATTTGTTTTCCTCCTCTCTCACTATCACACACGCTGGATGAGAGAAGAGGTCTCACTCTGCGCATTTTTCTCGACACCTGGGTGCGTTGGCTCTATAGCGAATGAACGCAGTGAGTGAACCCTCCTGTCAGTCATTACTGACACAGTGCGGAGCAAACGCTATAAATGATGAAACGACAGCTTTGGTCTCTAATTCAAACGCAACAGCCCCAGTGTGGGAACATTTCGGTTTCAAATAGAATGAAAGAGGTGAGCCCACGAACACGGACGATATGTCGCATTCGTTCGAAAGTTTCGGTGACAAAGAATAGGGGAATACGACGAACATGCATGCGCACCTCAAGCACAATCATCCGCGGGGATGATTGTGCTTGAGGTGCGCATGCATGTTCTTTGTTGACCTGTTGAGGAATAGCACCCAAAGCTAATTATTTAGTGCAATTTTGTTAACAGACTCGAGACTCCACTTTATTTATTGTTGTAATAGTTATGTGTGGAGTGAAGTTTTTGTTCCGTACCAGAGACAAGGTCTATTTTTTTATTGTTTGTAGTTGTGATTGTGGTTTTCATTTGAATGCAGTTTTTGATAAAAACAGAATTTGGGTCCATTTTATTTTCATTGTTTTTTGGTTGTCTTGTTTGTTTATATATTTGTTCATCCTAGTTCAAAGTTCTTAATCTTGAGCAATTAAAGGTTATTGCTTTTGACATGGTGTACTCGCATTATTATGCCATATATTATCATTATCTATAATTCAAAAAACGGTGTCAATAATATCATTTATCGGCAATAATTTGTAGCACAATTATTGTCCAGCAAAATTTGTTATCGTGACAGGCCTACTCCTGTTAATCACTGAAATTTATCAGAGCCAACATTACCTGTGTGGGATGGACAGGCCTCCATCCACTGCTCCCTTCAGAGCACCGAACACCTTGTTGCCTGTGGTGGTTCTTGCAAGTCCAGCATCCAGGTAGCAGGTGAAAGCGCCGGGCTGACCATCAATGCTCTCCACGTTGAACTCATCACCTGTGACCTCCACCTGGCCTTCGTAAACCTTATCCAGGCCAAACTTGTTCAGCAGCTGATGACGAATAAATTACAGCAGATAAGATAAATGATCAAACACAAACATATCCATATGCGTTATGTAAACAGACCAAATTTTTTTTTTTTAATAGTAAAACAATGAAAACTCAGAACATCAAAACATTTGACCAGGTGGAGACTTACTCTGCGGGCCACCAGCAGACCAGTGCAGTAGGCTGCTGCGTAGTTTGTCAGGCCCACGGTCACCCCATATTTTGGCAGCTCGTGTGAGTAGGCAGCACACACGATCATGTCACCCTCAATCTTGGCATAAGCGATCTGCAACACAATCAAGAGTTATCATGGTTTTATAGTCAGCCTGCATTCACTGTTTACGTGTAGAATTGACTAACAAACAATAGTTCTAAACCCTGTTCACTTATGCAGACATATGAAGAATGTTTTTAAAATTCCATTCAGACTTTTGCAAGCCAGCTTCTTGTAAAATTTTGCTCCAAGTCTAGATGTGCTGATGTGATCATGCAGCAGGTAGAGATGGTGAAAAATTTCCTGTTAGTAGGCAGGAAAATGCTTTAATCTACAGCGGTTTTGTGACTGGTTAGATAATGTGCATAAAAAAAAAAAAAACTGCTTTATACTCTTCTCTGCTGGCCAACGTCTCATTATCCACTTTTACGTATGAACTTGACCAATCACACAGGGCTCTGGAGACAGATTAAAAAAAACTACCATAACGGCTTTACTCTGTTATTTTGCCACGTTATCTTGAGTACAACAATAATCCAGTGCTACTTCTGTAGGGACTATTTTACAGAACATTTTGCCCCCTGAAAGCCCCCTCCTCCCACCAATCAAGTAAGATCTCACATGTGAAAGGGAAGATCAGAGAGGTTTGAAGTTATAACTTTATTGGTGCAAAGCTGAAAGGGGTTTACTCTTACATGCAAGGCAAAGCAGCTCTTTGACCAATTAGATTTTTTAAAAACAAACAGCCCTTCATTTAGATTTTTCAATAGTGTTTACGGTACAGTTGTCCAATTTTAATACTTTTAAACCCACATGCTTTCAATAGATGCCACATCCAGGTCTGCTGCATCCAGAGCAAAGGGGAATGGTAACCATGTCACTCTGTCTCCTTTTGTTTTCTATTCATTTTGGTCTGATGGCTATTGACAGGGACTTTCATGACACTGTACAATGACCTACGCTCAACACCCCTCCTCTGGTTTGCGAGTAGATTCAGAGGAAGTATTCTCTTTTGTTTAAAAATTTTAAAAGACAAATGTCAACATGACCATTATCTTTTCCTATTGTAATTTTCTATTAACAGTACATCAGATTTTTGCCTGATCAGGGATGATTCCCATATAAGCACATTGTACAAGATGGACATCCAACATACAAATAACCACTGTGAGAGCTTAGAAGCTTCTTGCTTAGGACATCACCTCATATTGAAAATAATTGAATTATGACAGCACTGGCTCCCAGAAGTAACCTTCAACTGACCAGTTTCCGTGAAGTACACATGATTCTTCAGATGTAAGGCCTCTAACAACACTGCTCTGTTTTACAGCACAAACAGATTCAGACTTCACTTTTTGGTCAGATCAACAGAAAGCTCTTGATGCAGACTCACCTGGCAGACGATGTCCCTGTTGGAGAAACGGACAATCATCCGGTACTTGGGTGTGTTGTACTTGTTCTTATCTTGAACAACCAGGCGCTTGCGAGCATAGTAGTCAGTCTTTCCCTCTGAAAAGCAACAAATAATTTGATTGCTTAACAAATGATGCACAACATAACTGAATCCCAGATTGAAAATGACTTTCAATCTTCAAACAACTTACCTCTCCTCCTCCTGAATTTGACCTGATACCTCTTGAAGTAGGCCTTGTTTTTCACCACTTTAACAAAACCCTGCAAGAAGACATGCACTGGTTTAGCATAAATGTTGTAACATTTGGTCAAACTTTAATTGCTTCGCTGTGTTGTGCGTCCATGCCAGCTGAGCTGTCACTGTCATGGGGTACAGGGCTAACATTTACAAGCTAGTCTAATGGAAGTAAACCACAGAAGTTAGCAATCTGCTACAGACGCTAACAGGCGAGAGATATAACAAAATAGAAGGAAATATCGGGAATGTAATCACAGAGACACAGTCGTAACACAGTAATGTCAAATCAGGTTAAAGCAGCATGAAAACAGAAGGAAGCAGAGGGTTTGTGAAGGAAGCCATTAGGCCACGTTTGAGCAGAGCCGGCTAAATGTTAGCAGAGGTGAATCTAACTTCATCTGAACATCTGCACCATGATTTTAAACATCTGACACCACGTAGCACATAATGTATGTCTTAGGCATACATGGTGGCACATATTGGGATGAATTACAAACCATTTTGCAGTCTTTTTGTCTCCTTATGAAGGAGCCCGGAGCCAAAGACTGGGGCTTGACTCCGCTGCACTGGAAAAAGGAAGATTGCCGTGCGCATGCTCCGTAAATAGCGAAACACAGGATGAACCCAGAGACGCCATTCTGCAGAGGATTCACCACTCTGCCCCCTATTGAGCTGGGGCGGACTTAAACGACAGCAAAATAAGTCTTCTGCCTGTTTTAGCCATAAAAAAACATCTGACTGAGGGTCATGATTGCCCCCTGTAGTATAAATGCTAGTTTATCACGAGATCAGTATTAGCTTTTCTTCATACCTGACACCACAAATCACCGATGGCTGTAACCTGTTTAATGGCTGTTAATAAATTCAAAACCAGAATCTGCTTAATTAAGTATGTGGACAAATACAAGGAAACTGATACTTGTGAACTTTGCTCTTGGTGTACAAACAGGAAATCTTACAAAATCTTACAAAAACATGTAAAAACTTAGACATTTAACTCATTTTTACAAGAGTGTTTTAGGCAGTACACTATGGTGAGGAGTGCAAAAGAATGTTGAGCAATAGAAAAATACAAGCATACGCCATTATACTGTATAACAGGAGAGTTATACACATGAGAAAGATATATTTTGTTTTAAATACATTTTTCATATTACATATTGAATAATGGTATGCAGAGGTAGATGTCAAATAAAAGGGTGGTGTCTATATGTGGGAGAGTTATAAATGACGGTAGTAATAAAAATGAACATTTATTTACTGTCACTGTGAATGTTTACAGGTTATTGCACAGTGGTCTTTCACTGACTCTGTGAACATTAGGAGTTCAACAGCCCGGGGGAAGAAACTGTCTTTGTGTCAGCTGGTTTTGGTTTACAGTGATCTGTAACAACTACCTGAGGAGAGGAGTTTAAACAGTTTGTGTCCTGGGTGTGAGAGTTCTGTAGTGATGTTACCTGCCCACTTCCTGACCCTGGACTGGTACAAATCCTGGATGGAGGGCATCTTGGCCCTTATGATTATTTCTGCAGTCCTGATTGTCCATTGCAGTCTGTTTCTGTCCTGCTTGGTGGCAGACCCAAACCAAACTGATGGATGGATATGCAGGGGACAGACTGGATGATGGCGGAGAAGAAGTGGATCGGCAGCCCCTGACATAGGTTGAACTTTCTGAGTTGTTGCAGGAGGTACAACCTCTGCTGGGCCTTATCCTGTTGGAGTCTACGTGGACAGTCCTCTTCAGGTCCCTGGAGATAGTAGATCCCAGAAACTGGAATGAGTCCTCAGTACACACTGTGCAGCTGAGGATTGTGAGGAGGGCAAGTATAAAAGGGGCCCTTCTCTAAAGTCCCCTGTCACTTTCACAGTTTTGAGCGGGTTCAGCTCCAGATGGTTCTGGCTGCACCAGAGGATCAATTGATCCACCTCCCGTCTGCATACGGACTCATCAACATCTCCAATGAGTCCAATGACTGTGGTGTCATCCACAAATTTTAGAAGTGTGACAGATGGGTCACCTGAGGTGCAGTCGTTGGTGTTCCCTGGCACTCCTATGAAAGCTTCTTCACAAAAAGGGTGGTTCTTTTCATAATTTGGATACAATGCCAGAATTTCATTATGCAGCTCTGCATCAGATGAAGAGTATTCTGCAGCTAATTGCATGGTAATGTTTCAGATGGGAGGGTGTGACAGTCAGCAATGCCAGCATAGTCACAGTGAACGCAATAATTCAGACACTCGGTGCAACTGCTATACCATGATGTTGGACTGTGGTAGATCAGCCAACAGACATCTGCAGAAACATAGACCAGCAAAGTGAAATTATTCCGACAATGCTGACTTATTTCTTTAGAGATAACAGTTACAATTCAGTGGCTTCTATACAGGCATGAGTTTTCTTCCTGTACAGTCTCTTTGCATATATTAACTGTTATATTGTTTGTTAATACCAATCCTGTCATTTCCATCTGACAGCCAAGGGTGTGACAAGACGACAGGATATCACACTGAGCAGCTTATAGTCTCTGAGGTGCTGCTACATTGAGCTTAACGCGTCATCTGCTTTTCAGCTACTTCCATGAGCACAGGAGTGTCAGACTAACAACAAAAGACATGCGTCACTGCTCTCATGTGAAACCTGAAAAGTAGGTTTCATTAGAGTTTGGTATGTGGATGAAGGCAGTCTGCTTAGTCATATTTTCACCAAGGCTTTTTGCGATGATGTGGTTACTTCATGTTGGTTTCTACTTACTTTTATCACTCGGTGTAAGCTAGTTGTGTAAACCAAGTGTAGCCTTGCCATTTCTTGTCACTTTTTTGTATGCTATTGATATCTGACTCTGTTTTGTCCCAGTTTTATCGAATTTATTCTGTTTGATTTGGACTAATTATACAGTGAGGACATTTTTTCCATCCATGGATTTAAAGTATTTTTCTGCTATACAGACATCATGGATTACAAGTAAATGAAAGACCACCAATAGGATACATTTTGAATTTCCAAGCTGCTAATACAGAAGAATTTTATCTCCATACAGAAGAATTTTATCTCTCAGCAATGAACTTCACGTAAGTTTTTTGTTACAGATAAGATAAGCACTACACATGTGAAGTCACAGGAAGTTTTTTGCACTGTTTCAGGCCTTCATACTTCATACAAAATCAGTCCATTTGAAGATGAATGATGTCCCTGACTGAGTTGTGTAAAAGTTTAAAGTTCAGATTATATTTAATCAAACACATGGTAAATTATTCTTAATTTAAAAAAATTTAGTAATGTAAAGCTTTAATGTTCAACCACCTTTTCTGGAGCTGTAATACTTTCAAGTAGCGCACTGCCATGACCCCTTGATAACCCCAATTCAAACTGTGCCCTCCAGGAATGTCAACTGACTGTAATATGCGGAAGTGTTTGGTTTTCGTGTATTTTTGAAGTGTGTTTTTCAAGTTTAATACCTGGACCTTAGTAATAGTTTTTAAAATTTGCACCATTGATCTTGCTTGATTGTTTTATGTTAGAACATTGTACTTTGCTACATCTAATATAGCAATTGTTAATGTGTAAAAGAAATGACAAAAAACAAACAAACAAAAAAACATATTCCAACGTATAACGTATTCCATTAACTGCAGCTGGCTGATTGGATGATGTCTGTACTGAAAAAAAAAGTCAGTCTAAGTAAATTTGCCTAATTTTTAGTCAAAATGTGCCATGACAGCTGCCCTGACTTGGCAGGTAAAAATGTTAATATTATTTCAATATTTTTTATGCCAACATTTTCTTGATAAGTTGTGAATAAGTATCACACCTTGTCTCAAGTAACTTAGTTATGAAATGTTGTTTGTGATATTTGTAGCCGTTTTTACCCATAGTTACATGAACTCGATGTTTGACTCCAACCATTGGCCCCCCACAATTATTATAATAATTTTTAATTCAGAAACAAATTTTCTCTTTGGCAGACTGATGAGAAACTGTTTGACCTGCAGTCTCATTACTTAACCACTAGATGTCGCTTTTGTGCTATGGTTGAATTGGATGCGCATGCTCTGTGCGATGTAAACATTTGGTAGGCCGCCGCCGTCTGTCTGAGCTCTGCAGACTTTTGTGTACACGTATTAAACGGCTGCATGGGCTGGACCGTGGAGTCAATGGGAACTAGCTAACTCAACACTGGCTAGCTTTCAAGTACAAACTTAGCTATGCTAACTCGAAAATTATAGCTAATGTATCCGGATAAAGTGACGGAAAATACGTATTTTTCTTCTAAAAGCAGGACTATACGTTCGTGCATGGGAATCAGACGACGTTTGCTGCGGCTGGTTAAAAACGCTTCAAGGTAAATGAGCTTGTTTTTTCGGGCTCTGTCTAATAACTGGGAAGAGCGCTTACTCATAAAGTCAAGGACTAATATCTTTCTATCTGTATAAGCGAATGGTATGACGTTACATCTGAATTGTCAGCCTCGCAGCACTTCACTTTTTCGTTTATTTAGCGGCAGTGTTCGCTTTTATCACCGTTCACATCTGCTGCCAATGACTGGTGTTGATGAACTACTTCACTGGCTTGCCAAGTACTCAGCTTAGCCATAGCCTAAAACAAAATACAATACCAAGACGAACTGAATGCTCGCTGCTTGGAAATATCGAGTTTACGCATTTATACGGCATTGTAACTGTATACTGTCCTCGTTGAGCTCGATAAAAGCAGCGCACTGTGAGAGACAAACTGCTGAATACTGTTGCATTTGATGCTACATCTCCATTTCAGCTCACAACACCAGCGAGCCATAAAAGGAGTAGAGACTTCTCCCATGTCGGTTTGCTGCATCTGCTCTCTGCTTTATACCTGCAAACTTCAGTGTTTTTGATATGTGAGAACATGACTTGCTGCCTCTCTGACGTGCACAGGCATTTGCTGTGCCCATGCCAGGATATCTTTAACTCAGGCTGCAGAGAAGTGACTTGCAAGTTGCAACATCACAGCTTTGTGACCAGAGATATAGTGGGCGATACACCCATGCACCAAAGTTTTTTACCCCTGTTTTAACAATAGGCAAATCACTTCCTAAAGCCTTCATGTCCATCTGGCAACATATGCAAAAGGATATGTTTTTTTGAGAGAAAGGGGAAGCAAAACGTTGTCTAGTGCCTCTGTGGAAATCATTATTGGGTTTCTGTTGAACTCAGGGTGGTGATCCAGCAGCCTTGGCAGTGTTTGTTGTGGATTATTTATAGCCAGAGGTAAACCACAAGCAACCCAAATTGAGTATTTCTGAGTTAAATACATCCGTTAATTATTGGGGGTATCTTGACCTTTTTGGAGTCACACTGTTTGGCATCTGTTGAAGGAATGGAGTATTCCAGCTCATCTGTAACCTTGTTTTTGATGCCTTTAAACCCAGAGACAAAAAAATATATCAAAGTTTAAATCCACAAACACACAATATGTCCCACTGTGGCACAATCAAAGTGATTTTCCCTTTAGAAGCACTGAAAACACAACAGTTTCATACAATCAAACAACAAAAAAAACTGTAGAAACAGTAATGTTTGAAAGGTGTAACCATAACAGCCCGACAAACATAAGAATGAAACAGGTAAAACTTAAACCTGCTGGCTGAAAATGGTAGATTGTGTGTTAACACTGTCATTTTTAGCATTATCTAGCAGCCTGATTCTGGATTGAAGCACTCCTTTGCTCACACCTCCCACCAGTGAATGGATGGTGGCCCTTGAGGACAAGGAACTCCTGTAATGCATGACAAGTATGATCCTCTATCTGACAAGTTCTAGCATAAAAAAAGCTCATCAAATGCACTTAGCACACCTTATTCCTTCCCAGTCTGTTTTCTGGTTAAGGCAGCAAAATATACAAACTGTACCTTTAATGTGAACTCGCATAACAATAGTGGTGTTAAATAAAACTAGTATGATTTATAAAAGAACATCAGGATGACTACATTCTCAACAAGAGTAACAATGAAAACAAGACAAAAGTGCATATGATTGATAGATGTGACTGAAAAACAACCCAACATTGAGGCATTTAAAATAAACATAAGAATTGGATGTAAAAGATGAGACTAAAAAAGCTTTTAAGGTAAAATTAAGTTGTAAGCCTGTAAACAAGTGTCCTTTAAAGAGGGATTAAGAAGGGTGTCCTTTTTCTGTGGCAGGCTGAAGAATTTTCTGCTTTTGTATTACTGAATGAGAGTACTTAAATGAAGAACTAGTAAGCTCAAAAACTCAGTATTTGAACAAATATGTACAGTTTTGTGACACCTTTTTTTGGTATTTCCCTCATAAATCTGGGTAATGGTAGAGCTCTTATAAGAATTCATTCCTTGTGTATAAGCTTGCAGGTTTAATGACTCTTCTAAGAATGTGACATACAGAAATTTATCAAGTGTGAAACTAGTTTCCTGGGTGGCCATGGCTCGAAACGTCTGAAACTAACACTCAACAAGTCTTTCTTTTTGTATGTGAAAATGTAGTATCTGTGAGTGGAGGGTGGCCATGTCAAAGCATACACATGTCAGTACTTGTTGCATTTACGACCAAAAGCTTCCATAGCTTCACTCAGACCCCTGGTGTTAGTGAAGACACTAAAAGAACAGGCACTGCTTCAGGGAATAAATACTTTTTTTTTTTTTAAATGAGAAGAGCTCAGAAAATACGCATGTATTTTTAAGTCTGTGAACATGCATGCATTTAAAGTTGCAGTGAGGTGGAAGAGAAACAGTAACTTTAAATCTGCCAGTCACAGATATAGATACTGCATATTACACACAATTGAGTAGAGTACTTTGCAGCTTTAGTTTTTCACCAGCCATTGCTTTCACTTCCCTAGAGTAAGCTTGCCAAGACTGTAATTTATGTGTAGGCGTTATTGATTGAAACATTTTATTTCCCACACTACTGTAGGTCTACTTTTTGCGATGCTGTTTTTGCAGCCTAAGTGCAAAACATAAGCTTGTGCTTTTGGCGCTTTGAATCCTCATTATGTGGCTGTATCGTAAAGAATAGCCTCCAGCAAGACCATTGAAATGCTGATTGTACACTGGGAAAATCTGAGCTTCTCTCTGTGGGTGAAGTGAAAGGCCTCTCTACCTCAGTGTGAGTGTGTTATTGTAAGTCAGGCCTGTGCTTTAATTCCCCCTCACAGCACATGAACTGCATTTTCCCTGAGGATAGCCCTGCTCTCTCCTGCTGGGCCAGACTCTTCAGCCTTTACAAATAGCATGCGGTTAAAGACAAGAGGAAAAACAGTAGTAGTCTCATTTTATCTTGGAAGAGAGCTGCTATAACTTCAGATGTGAACTACTTTTGAGGATGGGACAGGTTTTCTTTTTTCTTTTCTTTTTTTTACATTAGTGAATTTTATGTCTGCTTCTGTGAAATCAATTTAGAATTTCAAATTAGGGGAGAGGAAGTGTTTCTCTGTTCTTCCCTTGGCCTTTTTGAGTTCCCCCAATAGTCTTTCTTTGCAGAGGCTTTCTCTTTTTCTCTTGCTGTGGGTTTCATTAACTATGCGCATTGCATCTCAGGGCCTCTTTGAGGTCTTTGGCAAACAAAAGTAGAAACAATCTCTGTATCCAGGATTTATAGGAAGGCCTTGCTTCACTTGGCTGGGCTTACCAGAAGGAATGTCTCTCAAGGCCACCTGGACGTTGGTATCTCTCAAAGCATGGCCGTTGCATACCCTGACAAAATTGATTCATTTTGATCATTTTTTTTCTTCTTAAATGTAGTACCTGAGTCTGTGTAAGCTTTCTTGAAAACTGCATGATGTACTGGATTCGTCATGAATCAGATATATCTTCAGTGGGATACTATAAAAGGGCACACTAACAAGGTAGCTTCCATGTCTCATTTCACCCTTGTCCTCATGGTACTCTGTCTGCATGGTCACCCTTTCTCTCCCCAGTTAGTTCTGCATGGGATCCTACTGTGGGTTGATCTACATAGAAACGCCATGCCCTTGAATTCCTTTTACTCCTTCAGTTGACCAGTGCAGATAATGGCGTGTGGTGTGAGAAGGAGTTGGATAATGTAGAAAAAGAATAGTTTTGAAGTCAATGTTAGGGACAGACTGATTAATCGGTCAGCAGATTAATTAGGCTGATTATTCACATTTTGACATGTTCTGTATTCCATTGGCCCTGACAAGGACAGTATCACCATCATCTTTTTATTATTGATAACACATCTTTCCCATTTCAAGCATATCGGGTTGAAAAATAGTCATTGACCAGTGTTTTGATCCTCTATTATTTCATAGTATTTAGTATTAACAGCAATATCTGTCATGTTCACATGCCAATATAGCATAACCCAATATTTGTGGAAATCAACATGTCCATTCATGATTCATCAAAAACTAAATTTATTTTGAATTGAGATAATAATGTTTATCAGATTTAATGATTAAATGAACTTTGTAAAAAATCATTTAAAGACAGGTCAGCAGGTGGCCGAATGTCATCATTCATGTCAGTACTCTGCCAGGGAATCAGTTTCACTGAAAGAACAATGAGATGTGAATTTGAAGTGCTGTTATGAAGAATTCAGTCATACTAAACCTCTTTTTTTTCCTCACACAAACTCATTCATTGCTGTTCATCATGTGACCTCATTCTTGTACCATTCTGCTCTTGATGAGACATTTGTATGTTTTATGTGCTCCTAGCTATTGAATCATCCTCTTGGGTGATGTTCATGATATGTCTGTCATCTGTGTGGAGGCTGTTATTCTTGTTAAAAGCACGAGCTCAAATGCAACCTGTAATTTAAAAGACACATTACTGTTATAGTGGGCAGTGTGATGAACATCTCTGGTGTTTGATGTGCAGCCAGTGACAGTGAAGTTAAACCCTTCTCCTCTGAAAGTTTTTTGTTTGACTTCTTCAAAGTTTCTCTCCTGCACAAACACCTTTAATTTCCCTTGAATCCAATGTATTTCCAAACAGATCTTTTTCCTGTTTTGTCTGAGTGTTACCTCTTTTTGGTTCAGTGTCACCCGTGTTGACTTAAAGCAGCTAGTCTGTACAGTGTTCAGGATGAGGAACTGTTAGTTTAGCTCTAATGTCAATTTTGATGAAGGTCAGTAAATATGCTGCTCATTGTGACAGCTCAGGAGCAGGGTTTTGTTATAAAAACAGAAACAGTTTGGTGTACCAAAACTCTGTTGTCTCTGTTTCAGTGAAGACTTGGCTCAGAAAAACTCAGAGTTCTGTATTTCTATGAAAAAAAAAAAAACTGCTAGAAATTTTTTTTGCTATGCTTGAAATGACATTTTTCAACAAAATGTAGTGTGTGAACCTAATGTTTGGTTTGTTGTAGGTAAGCTAACCCTTAGCTCAGTGTCACACATCTTTCACTGAATTTTAGTCATCAGAAAATAAAACTGGAAAAAATCATCAGCAACCAAAAAAAAGTCTCCTGGCTTTCTGCTTCAAGCACCTGAGCAGACATGCAATTTGTCTGCCAAACTATCAACTGTCACTTTGTTTCAATGAGAAAAACGAGAAAACAGGTCTTGAGTCTCCAAAATGGACCTGTTGCAAAGAAAGCGTTCTTTGCTTTTAGTTAGAGATCGGTATTATACACAAATTTTACAATACATAACGCCAATATAAAACAGACATCTATCTCTGTGTGGTGTTTCTCTCTGTCTGCACGTGGGTTAGAAAAGCTTAGCAAGCATGTCATTTTTCTGCTGCACATTCCTACTTATAACACCACACTTACCACAATCTTTTCCCCCACCGACTCTGTTTTCTCTGTTCTCCCTTTGTTGTCTCTCTGTCTCCTTAGACCTGAGTGTCAAAAAGAAAAATGACTCATCATTTTACTCAGAGTGAAATAGTACAGTACAGTCGATTTGTTTCCTGCCTGGTGGCAGTATCCAGACTTCCTGCGGAGGTGAAACTGAATGCTGGGCTTATTCCTTTTTTGTCTCTCAGCTGTGAGATGAGGTGAATGTCAGATTTATTTATGCTGAGTGCAGGGTTTTGCTCCTTATCCAACTCCGACTGCAGCGGGAGATCTTAAGAAGTCCTATCTGTCATGGTGTACTTTGAGCCCTCCTGACAGTGTGATCAGCATATGACTGCAGGGCCAGTGGGTCATTAAAGTGGTTGAAGGTTCAGGAGAGTGGATTACCTTAAGGAAAGACTGGGTTTCTTCCATTTGAAATGAGTGGATTTGTATTTTGTGGCTTTCATCAGCTGGATTTATGATGGATTTCTTCATGGGGTATGTTTGTTGCAGAATGCTGTTAAGTGTAGCTGGGATGGATGTTTGGAAAATGTACAGGGTTGAGCTTTAATGCTAAACCTAGTATCGTGGGTAAGGCTGATTATGATAAACATAAGGTCATTGTAACTCTGTCCAGAGTGCACCCTGGTGTGGTTAGTAGGAGTGTCTAACACACAAAAAAACTTTGCTTCTAAAAATCAAAAGTTCATTTAACATAAAGACTCGGATGTATCAATGCTCTGAACTGGTTCAAGTTTGCTCCTAACTGTTTCCTTCAATGCTACCTTAAACCAAAGGTTATTGATCATTGATAATCAGTCAATCAATTATTACTGACCAAAAATCTCATCCTGTTGAATTTTGACAGTCAAATGTCTCTCATTTATTGTGAATACTTCTTGTTGAAATTTTAAAAATGGCTCTTACTTCAGTTGCTGAGCTGACACCTCCCCACTTAATGCATTAAAAATGACTACTTTGAAATTGTTGGTCTTAAAATAATGTGTTGTTGGTCACTGATGGTCTTGTTTGCTCTTGGATATCATAAAGAAACACCTATATGACTCCCCATTTATTTCATGAATGTCAGAAAACTCCTCACAGGGCCTTTGAGGGGTGCGTTTGTTTTTGAGAGGAGTCCTCTGTAAAAACAACCATATTCCTAAAGAGCTGGCAAACCGTGTAAAATGTAGAGACAGAACATTTAGTGGTTTGCAAACCACTGAGGGTCTAAATTACAGTCTATATTTTATTTAAAATAGTACAAACACAACAAATCATATGTTAAAAATGAAAAATGACATTGTTTTATGAAAACTCCTCTGTTTGCTGATGATACATTTGACGCCTGCTATACTTCTTAAAACAGGGAAATGCCCTCTTCTTGTGAGTGCACAGCTTAAAAACCACAACAAGTCAAAATACTACAACCAGTAATATTACTGAAGATGATAATAATAATGATAATAACAAGAACGAAATATTTATTAATATTAATAGATTATATTGTAAGACAAAACAAAAGTTTAAAAGTGACAAAATACGAATTATAACAGCAGAGGAGAAAAAAAAACCTAGTAAATCAAAGTAAAAAAAAAAATTAAAATAAAGGTGTTGAAGGATGATACATATTCCAGGGGGAGGAAAATAAAGTGAAAAAAAGGACCAAAGAGAAAAGACACCGTCACATCAGAATAAAAATAGATAAAAGGGTGTGGTGCAGTTAGATTGAAAGAAACAAACCCTTACAAAAAAAAAAGAATAAATAAATAAATAAATCAAAGCGATCTGTTAAGGAGGAGTCAGTTTACATAGCTGGAATGTGTAAGGCACCATTAATACTGAGCGATGTGCAGTATACTGGTTCTGAGGCAACATTTGCTGCCGGTAAGATAATGTATTTTTTTTAGGGAGGACTTTGCATAAGAAAAAAAAAAAGATGTCAAACTATGTTTTGCATGTAGTCCAGCAACATGGCTCCATAGTGGAAGAGTCCAGGTGCTTAAGTGGTCAGCAATCCTCACTTGTTATCCAGTGGTAACATTTCATGACACAAAAAAGACCCTGAACAGCTGAAATCCTCTATCAGGCAAGAATGAGCCAGCTGTTCACTTTCTAAACTCCAGAAACGGTATTTGCAGTTTAGTTGATTTGCAAACTCATCAGATTCTGTTTTTATCAACAGTTGACACAGCTTCTTGACTCTTCTGGAGTCGGGGTTGTATCTTAGCCATGTTGTGCACTGAAGGGACATTATTTAAGACTTGCTTTGGAAAACTGCTCCTGCGTTATCCTTTGTATATTAATTTTTTTTTCTTTATTGTAGCAGTCTTGAAGTTAATGTGAAGCCGTCTCCTCAATGATCATATACTGTGGTGTGCTGTAAAACATGAATGTAGACTCAGTGGAAGTTTTACTAATGGAAAGTTCTAACTTGTGAATTAATTATTATCGTTGCTCTGCAGGTGGCGACAGACAAGGTTGCTGGTAAGCTGAGTTCTACTCTCTCATGGGTGAAGAACTCGGTGTCCCACACGGTCAGTCAGATGGCTAGCCAGGTGGCCACGCCCACTTCCCTGCAGACCACTGCTACCTCCTCCTCCACTTCTCTGTCCTCACCTGGCCTCTCACCTTCCTCACCAGCACAGCTCAGTCCTGACGATGTGGAGCTGCTCGCCAAGCTGGAGGAGCAGAACAGGTAAACATCACCTGTCTGTCAACTTAATACTCTGTGATCATGAAGGGTGGAGAAAGAGGGATTCCCTTTAATGAATGTAGTCACAGAGGTAAACAGAGCACCGGTGGACTGTCTGTAAGAGCTTGTTTAACATTTGTTAACATACATTACACACATACAGTCGGCTCCTCGGTATTATGATATATCTGAATTTGTGATGGGTCATTTAAGACCCACTGAACCACAGCGATGTGACAGTGCCCACCGTCAATTCTGCTTTCAACATAAAGTTGAAGTTCAGGGCAGGATGATTACATTTGAACTCCAGTGCTGTTGGAGAGAAATATTTCATTTAGCTGATTTATTTTGACGTCACTGACGTCATGTGGGCATCAGCCCACAAGGATGACATCACTATCATCTTGACAAACCAGAAATGCATTTTTTACAATCCCTAATGACAGCGTATCAAACCTTAAACAGTCACTAGTTAATGTTGAATATGAACTCTGTTATGATGCAGTCTAGTAGTGATATTCCAATTACCTACCTAGGCAGCCTTCACGCTTCTTCCCTAACCCCTTCTGATTTAGACACATAGACATGGAGTGACTTTGAGCAGGTTATGACATGTCAGCTCCCTCACAGTCGATGAAGTCACAGGGTGATAAAAGTTGAAGATTTCTTGTTTGACAACTTTGAGCAAATTCGATCTTTTTGAACCTTTTTTCAGCTGACTTCCCAATGTTTCCTGCTTCTGAGCTGTCAGGGTTGATCTGTCTTTTTGTTATTGTGACTCTTCAGACAAAGGCAAAGTCATTCAATTTTGATCTTATCATTGCAAGGCTAGCTTGTTCACTTGGGTGTCAGGGTGTTGACTTTTTCTGATGTGGTCCTTGATAACAGCTTTGAAAGGAAAGTCTTATAAATGAAATAGACTAAAACTGTCTGGATTCAACATGTTTTTTTTGTGAGTGATGGTTGGCTAACTTAGCTTAAGCCTTGTTTTGGAAGGTCTCATTCACTAAATGTAAATAAGTGAAAAATACGAGTGAGGGTGATGGCAAACAGGGAGAGGTAGATATAAAATTCAAGAAAAAAGTATTCAGTTACCCAAAAATGACCAGAGTTTGAACCTTCTGTTTACATCTCCGTGTATTATTGACTGGGATGTTGAGCTCCTTAACACATCTGCATGTGTTTTCTGGGCCTGTTAGAAGATATTCTGCCTTCACAGAGCTTCATCCTCTCAAAGGAAGAAAATGTCAAATCTTTGTGTCTCACCTACTGATCCATTGAGCTGATAAAAACACAGTACACTTTCACAGTAGCAGTCTTTTCTTTGGTAAGATGTATCCTGTGCTCTGTCCCTGAGGTGCTCATTGTTCACGAGAGAATAAAGTCATGGTGGAGGATGACGCGACACCCCATCTGTAGCCAACTTTGTGAATTCTTCCTCCGTTGTTTCTTTCACCCATGGCTAGTGCAGTCAGTGTCAGCATGGAAACCGAGCGTGTAGTGCAGAGTTCAGGATTGTGTCACAGCTAACTCCAGAGAAGAAGAAGACAGCCCAGCTCTGTTGAATTCAGAGGTCGGTGACTCATGGTTACGCCCACAGAGGCGACTGCTCCAGAATGCAGAGTGACACTTGTTGCAAAGGTTTCCTTCATCAGGGAAAACCACCACCTTCACAAAAGGGTTTGAATTTTCCTTTAATGTCCTTCATTTTTAACTTACTTGCATCAGCTCATCAGAAAACGTATTGTCATGGGGCTCATTGGTTACCTGCCATCGACCCAATTTCCTCTGAAATCACAGTGAGAATCTTTCACAAAACACGTTTGGTGTTCCTTACTGACCGCGCTGTCTTTTCTTTACCAGCAAACCAGCAGCAAAAGTCCGAGGAAGCACATAACTGGTATCATCAAAGTTTTTTTTTAACAAAGAATCAGGGCATAAAATTTGGCAGGGACCCCAGGGGCTTTCCCTTAGGCATGTCAAGCTAATACTGGACAGTCCCTGGCAATAGTTATGTAAGAGAAAAATCTATGGTATGAGATTTGAGATAGCAGTTTACTGTATATGTCCAAACACTTGACTGAGAGAGAGTGAACTAGCAGCATTCATCCGTCTGTTCAGCAATGCAACAAAATGGACTTTATGATCATGACTTTCAGATATATCACACAAGAAAATGCGCACTTCTACACTGATGGGATCTGAGATAGTGAATTAGAATATAGGAGACAGCTGCAAAGTGCTGATTCTGTGAAATAATGTGTTTTTTTGTGTATTTCTTAAGGAGAACGCTGTCACAAACTAAGACATATGCAGGGGTGCATGTATGAAATGTTCAGTCAGAGTCAGTATGGTGTGCTGTTATTCAAAGATATGTTTTTTTTACTCAGTAGCGTTCAATAATTCCGTGTTAATGGACGGTGTTTGCACTAAAGCTCCTGTGAGCAACCTTTGGTTTGTGCCAGTTTTAGTGCCCCCATGTGGACAAAGAGTCCCTGCTTATCTCGTGTGCTACATGTTTGAGTATTGGTTTATGACAACAAATCTCATTCTGACATTTGACAGTAAAATTGATCATCAATTGTGGGAAAAATTAGGCTGTTTCTTAAGCTGCAAGACCTGGACCTACCCCCTGCGCACTGGGCATCAACATGAATTTTAGTCTGTTTCATGAATGTCAAAAAACACCTTGTAGGAGCTTTAAGTTTCTTTCTTGGTTTCATACCTGGTCCTGTTTTTTAGTAAGGCAGATGGCTTGCTTACCTGAGGAGGTCTCGAAGAAAGAGGCTTCTGTGATGTAGACTGGCATGCACTAGATTCAGCTGCCACCCATGTAGTGAGAACTGTGGTTAACTCCCTTGATTTAGTGCCAACCACACTTGTGGGGTTTGGAGAGCTCCCGTCTTTCTGACACGATTGCCGGCTGATACCAGTCTGATTCGCTGCACCTGTTTGCTTAGTTTGTAAATTGGAGCTCAAACTTGAAGAACTTTGTTAACTTTTATTGTTTGACAGAAAGTGCATTAAGGGTGTTCTGACACAACTTTTCTACTTCTGATATGATACCAATATTGTAGCCTTCAGTACTGGCCAATACCAATATTGATCGGATATTGGCACAAAATTGTGCACGACAAGTTTTGCACTCAGCTGCAACGTCTTTTTTGGACCTAAAGGGATATTCCAACGTAAAATTAACAAAGGGTCAAACACACCATAACACCAAGTTAGACACCCCATTGAGAGATGAATGCTGCCAACCGGTTGCTTCTCTAGTTATACCAACTTTTATAATGACCGCAGATAGCAATACACAGCAGTCTGAGGGGCCATAAACAAACCTCAACCAAAACGCCACTCTATAGCCACAAATAATTTACAAACAAGCGGCTGCTGGAAGAGAGGGTGAGTAGTGTTTGTTAAAGAAACCAGGCAAAGTTAAAAAAGGTGTTTGGTGGCTAGTACTATGGCTGGGACCCTATATGTACTGTTGATAAAGTTAGGTGCTGTTCTTAGCATTATGAGCTTATAATAATTAGCTTATCTTAGCATTTGAGCGCATGGCTCTGTGTATTGCTATCTGCCGTCGTTATGAAAGTTGGTATAACTAGAGAAGCAAGCGGCCGGCAACATTCATCTCTCGAGGGGGGTGTTGGTGTTACTGTGTGTTTGACCCTAACTTAATTTTACACTGAATATCCCTTTTAATGAAATATACTGCCATAAGGCCGATATCACTCCTACTCCTTGCTCCTTTGTTAGTACCCTAGTTCACACTGTTGTTGTGATCAGGTAAGCTCTGCATGCTGGATCCAGGTGCTGCCAGATAGAGGTGCTGGAGCATAGTCTGGAATGGACTGCTTGTATTCGAGTGCTGATATTGAAGATTTTAGATGCAGGCCGATATAATCTGATGTATATATATATATATATATATATTTTTCCGCTGCTATCAGATATTTGATATCAATATCATATAGGACATCTTTGGACATGCTACTTTGGACTCATCAGCTGAGTGATCTGGGAGTCTTTTCAAAGAAATGCGCCATCCAAAGCCCAGCATAGCTCCATCAGGGAGCAGGGAAATACCGTGCAGTTTAAAGAGACAGAATAACACATAATTTAAAAAAGAAGGTGTTTATTATGGACTTGAGCTTGAATGGGTTTTGACGTACCTGTGGACAAAGCTACAGACTAAAACCCCTTATCCTACTGTGCTCACTTTAAGTGTTTGCAGTGGAAAATGTTAAGACAGGAAGTTTCTAATACATGTTGTCAGTCACCTGGTCTGACACCTCCCCCCCTCATAGCAGTTTCAGGCTTTGAAAAGTGTGTTAGAATTATGAAAAGAGCTTGTTGGTGATGGTCCCATTTGTTTTTGAAAATCTCAGAGAGGCATCAGTATCAGTTTTAGCCTGTTTCTCAACCAGGTAAAAACTCCTCACCGCCCTCAAATGCAATGTTCGATTTGGAGCCCTGATATGTTTGCTTTTTTCATCTTCAAACACTACAGCAGGTAAAATACAGATTTTAAGGCTCTAGGTTGCCACAGGATGCAAAACTTTTTCTTTGTTATTTAGGAATGGGATATATTGATTTTTAACCTATGAAAAAGTTCTGATGTTCCCACACTACCAGAGGCAGAGAGAAGCAGAGGGAGGCTTAGAGCCAGATAAGAGTGAGAGCTCCCATCGAGATAGAAACAGACATAATAATAAAGAGTTTTTTTCTGGCCCTGGGGAGGATATGGAAAAAAAAACACAGAGGTATGGGATGCATTAATGTAATTAGATTTGACAGTAAGCACTGTGATGCAGCAACTGTAAACCCAATGTTAGTGATCTAATATATGTAAGATAATTCATTGTTTCTTGAGGGGTCAGGGAGAGTGCAGTCAAGCAGTAAACAGTGTTTTTCTTGCTCCATTTGACTCTTACATAGCTTATTTTTAATGGAAGACAGATCAAATGGTAGTGTGAATTAAAGGTTGTTGGAATTTTACTAAAAGGCACTGCCAGTCATTGATAACTTTAAAAAAATGGCTGTTTTCTGTAAGCAAAAAGACACATCCACCACAAACAAGTGCATACAGTACCCAGACCAGGAGGAAAAATGATTAATGCTCAAACTGTCCTGGTGAAAAAATCTCTGCTCTCTGCAGGTGCAGAGAGATAGAGCTCTTTGATGTTCATGTTGATCTTCCAGATACTGCGATGGATTCAGTGCTCATTCACCAAGTGTGTGTTTGTTTGGTGAGGCCTTTGTACCCTACAGAGCAGATAAAGACAGCAGCATTCACCTAGTACCTTCACAGTAACAAGGAAGTTTAACACCAACCCCTGCTCTTCTGTCGGTCAGACATGTCATTGCTTCAGAAATTCTAGGGACCAGAGACATGAGGAGTGCGCCATGAATTTTTCTTGGTAAGGCGTCTTGTGTCTTCCTCTTGTTACCCAGCTGTGATCAATCTAAATCATGATATCAATATAGTTTTTCAGTTTGAAGAGAATTGGCCTCTTAATTGTTGGCTTTGTGTCCTAGCTCGACATTTGAATCCAAGTTTTTCTTTGAAAAGCTGCAAAAATAACTTGATAAAGAGACTTTTTAGTAGTTTTTTATGTTTTGTGTTTGTTAGGCTGCAGACTTGTGTTTGGATACTGGTGAATTATTAGCAGGGGTGTGTGTTTGTCCAGGTGCATGAATAACATGGCCTCAGTTTGCAGTGTACATGACTTGATGTGAAGGAAAACGTCAGGTTTTTGGTCAGTCACGGTTACTTTTCTGAACGCCTTGGCTCTGCATCAGAACTGGATACAAGTAAAGACACTCTGTTGCATGCTGGTCTTTCTGGTTGTCCATTTCACTCCCTGCCACCTGACCCAAATTTGGCTGTAACCCTAGCCAATCTGGGAGCACCCTCAGTGACATCACAGGCTCTGGAGCAGAGGCCTCGGCTTTTTCCGAGATCAGGTGTCTCAGTTTTTGTGTGTGCCTGTCAGGAGCTCTTCTGTGCCGTACAGGTTGGGCTTCACAGCTCTTTCCTCTGCATGCTGATCCTTGATCAGGTCACTCTTTTACTGGCTCCAGTTACAAACTGATAAGAGTGTAAGAGAGCAAGACTGTCCAGCTGAAGAACTTTTTATCCTTAAAAAAGGCTCTAGTTATCAATCTAAAACAGAAGAAATGACAAATGAAAATGACCCTCTGTGGGTTTTGTCTTGTTTGCAGACACTTAGTGGTCACCAGCAGCATTTGAATGCATCAGCCCTCTCCTATACAATACTTGACATCCCTCTAGCATGATAATCAAGGTGCTGTCTGTTTTTCACAGTAATCTGATGTTTAAGATGATAGTTTGAAAGCAGGGATTATTAAACAGCAGCGTACCCCAGCTCCTCTTCTGTAGTCAGAAGTTGTATTTCCACCATGTTTTACAGATGACTGAAATTTGAACAGAAATTATTCCTCTAAATATATGAAAATGCATCTGTGTGTATTCTATGTTTTTGTTTAACAAAATGACAATAACAACGTATTTTTAGACACTGTGTTTTTGCAGTGAGGTGATCCCAGTTCCTGTTTCTTGTTGGCCTCAATATATTTCGTAGAGTTTGGACTTTGTGCTTGGTCCATCTCATGCTTTTATCAGTGACATCACCGTTGTGCTGTGGTTTCGATAAACTAAGAGAAATGCTGGTTTTAGCGTTAAGCTAACATGTAGAGGGGAAAGCCTGCCTCAAAAGTTACTTTACATACGGAAAGCACCTTCAAAGCATACTCAAGAGCAGGGACTTTTAGGGGGAGAAGTTATGTCCCTAGTTAAGACCTCCATTTGTCTGTTATGACTAATGCTACTTTCAGTGATAATGAAAATGATAAACCAACAGAAAGTACCAGGGAAAGTAGGTTCATAGCTATGAAATTGATAAGCTCCTTTACTGTCAGGGCAGTGCCTGAATCAAACCTAATGTGAATAAGGGGATCAGTTCTACCTCCTGCTTGTGATGAGGCTGTGACTGTCTGTGCTTTACAGAAGTGTTAAATGGCTTTTTGAATGAGCTGTCCATTTTTAGCTCTGCCCTCGAATGTTGGCAGCTTTGATTTCAACACTAGATGTGGCTTGACCGTCTGCCTCAGTCACAGCCTGCAAATTGTCTGGTACTGATTCTGCATTTGGCAAGACCTGTAGTCCTTTGCACAGGTGTGTATTGCAGGTGTATGTTAAAGGAAAAGACATGATTTTCTAGTCCTACCCTAATCATATTTTTTTGTATTACTTGTACAAAGTAATACAAAAAATATGTTGTGATGGTCTTTAATTAAATTAAATTATTATCATTAAGTTTTTATCCAAAAACACGTTACCTGTGTCATTTTCAAGGGTTTCTTCTGCAGAGCTCCAGTAGCTCATTAGCAATTCACCTCTGAGTCATGGGCGGAGACAGTGCTGCATTGCACACTCCTCTTCACACTAGCTTGCAGTCTAACATTGCTGGTGTCGTAGAAGAAACAGGTAACATAAGAGCTATTCAGCTTTCGGACACTAAAGTCTTTAGGGACATGATGAAAGCTAATATCGTAATTAGCTTTCTTACGAGCATTTCAATCCGCTAACGCACATGCGTATTTCACAATTGTTCTCTCTACTTTTCTAAGTCTGGCCTGCATAGTGGGGCTCCGGGGGCGGAGCTTGGAATTGTGATGTAGAAAATTTCACTGTCTCTGAGCCTACCGTTTGGGTCTGCCAGAGATTCACAGCAATTTAAATGTAGAAATACTCAGAAATGCAATTTTGCTCTTAGTTTGCTTATGATATGTCCTGTAGCATCAGAAAAATGCCATCTGAAACATGATTTTCATTGGCATGGATCTTTAAGTCAACACATTGCTTTCTCTCGGATTTTGAGGTTTAGATATGTGGTCATTTTCAACATTTTTAACCAAACACACTATATGTTGTTGAGACTCTATAGGGAAAAACAACCTTTTATCTAAAATAAAGATCCAGATCCACTCAAGCTGTGTTTAAAAAAATCTACACATCTTCAAATTTCAAGAAAGATCAAACAAATATTGTGGTGTCTGTCTGACCCTGCACACATTGTTAACAGTACACCCACCCTCTTGCTTTCACTACAGGCTGCTGGAGACAGACAGCAAGTCGCTGCGCTCTATGAATGGCTCCAGGCGAAACAGTGGCTCCTCCCTGGTGTCCAGCTCGTCCGCTTCATCTAACCTCTCCCACCTAGAGGAGGACACGTGGCTCCTGTGGGGACGAATTGTCAATGAGTGGGAGGAGGTGCGCAAGAAGAAAGAGAAGCAGCTTAAGGTGAGACGAGTGCACATGACAACCTGTAGAGTGACAGCCAAGTCCCATGCAGACCTGCTTAAGTGCTTACTGACACACAACTGCATTAAGAGCTTACTGAGACACATTTGACCCATCTGCTCATGGTTAATGCTGAAATGTTATATCTGCCCTTATGTATTACTTTCTCAATTTTGAACAATTTCAGTTTGAGCAGTACAACAGTGTTTCTGAATCTGGAAAAAAAAGGAGGCATAAGAAATAAAACAGCGTCTGGCTCTGAATAGCTCTCAAGTTGATAAGAAATTTAAGATCTAGGCTGCACTGATGCTCTGGTGATGTTTTTTGAGGCGTTTTATCGATCTGCTTTTGTCACAATGGCCCTGTTTGTGTGTTTGAATGTTTACCAAGTCAGGGGAGGCTATCTTTGTCCAGGGTGATCCTGAAGAGTTGTCCTTGAGCTGGTTATTTTAGTTTTTGACATTCACTGCTATGTTTAGATTGTTTGTTTCTTGCGTTACTCCCTGAAGTCTTGTGATAACCCTTAGGCCAGTTACTGTCACTGGAAAAACCTTGTTCAGTGCTTGGTTTGATAACAGTCTGATAACATTCAGGAGTCGTAACAGTGACTCAGGCTGGAGCCTGTTGTTAGCGGGTCACTCACAGCTTACTGCAGCTACATAAATGGACTGGTAACCTCAGTGTTGATCGTGCCAGTGTGTCAGTTTTCTGTCAACTCAAAAACAAAAACAAACTGAGCCTGTGTTTAGTGGTTCTTTCATAGGGCCTAGATCGAGAGTACCTGGTTCCGATGGTGTAGCTGTTGCTCAGTGTAGTCAAATGTGAATCCTCTGTATATCAGCCGGACCCACTCCAAGCTCTGACATGCAGGCAGCAGGAGCAGGAGAGTAAAAATGTCGCTACACAAAACTGCAGTGATCAGTCATTTTTCATAGGGTTACCATAGCTCCAAATCTTTATCTGCTGTGTGGTAAATAGACGTGTTAAATTTACCTGCTGATCAGAGACTCTCAACGAAGTGTGGGTCTCTATAAAATGTTTTACAAAATAAATCCTGTAGGCCGCTTTGAATTGATTTACTCATACTTACACTGAATGTGTGCTCCCATGATATCCCTGATTCAAGTGTATATTCTTGATTGACTCACACACTTAGTCAGATGGTATCATCTCACCACTACTTCAGTCCAACACCAGTTCAACCAATTTACTGATCTACTTTTTAATACAGCTACCTTATTATTATAAACACAGTCATAAACGAGCTCCCCCATCTAAACCAGTGCTTTCATGAATCTTAAGACAGAGCAGTAGCTTCTATCTAGATAAGTAACAATTAGCCCAGCGCTGTATTTGACTGTTTTTGCTCTTTTTAGATAAATACAGAGAAAACAAACCCCTCTTCATCCTTTATTATTACCTGTAACTCCTATGTCAAAGAAAATCTTTATCTGTGTTCCACATTTGTTCTGCTCTCTTATTATAGTGGATGTTATGAGGAAGATTCAGATTTTTTTTTAACAATTAGTCCTGTTCAAGTGCAAAGTGAACAATATTAGAAATACTTTGTTTGTCAAGCACTCTTCAGGACAGGCAACAAAAACACCCAGGAGAAAGGGAGGAGAAAAACGACAATACAAGCAACCAGGCAATAAAAGTAAACCAAAAAATCCACAGAGTGTAAGAGATATTGTGTCTTGAGCAGTGAAATAAAAGAAGTGTAACTATGATCTTCTCTAATGGGCTGATCAAGGGTCTGGGGGCTCTGACCACATATAATGCCATACACATGATTCAAAAAATCAGTCCCAGTGGTGGCATGCTTTCTTTGTGTCAGTGGTGCTTCAGTCCATGTTATACATGCTCAGTCAGTCCTCATGATTACCATCAGGCCGTAGTCATTGTCAGGCACACTTAAAGTCCTTTGTCTGTAACATGTTAACATGCTAAAACAAGTGTTGGCATGGAGCTGCTGTTGCACGGACTTGTTGTGGTGACCTGTATTCAAACAGAGCAGAGCCTCTGCATCAACTGGGGCAGGGCTTCTGTTTTTCTCAAAGCTGTGTGTGTGAAAAGGGAAGTGTTTTTAATGAGTGCTGAACGGCAGAGCGTTGTTGTGTAATTTAACAGAAGTAGGAATGACCAGATGGTGGTTGTTGCAGCTAACACCAGATATTAATCATAACTGCTGATCCATCCACAAAGCGGATGTTTCTTCCCCCTCAGCATCAACAGAAAAACACAGAGTCTGTTGCATGAAGGAAGGAAACTTGTCAGCAAATCCCCAAGAGTGTTTTCAAACCCTGATTATATTCCTCCAAGACTCACAGAGGCCGGGAGAAATCGGACAAGGTTAGGGGATGTGTGGTGGGGCTGTAACCATCTATCAGTGGTCAGTCTGATCAGATTTGGCTGTTCTAACAAAGCTTTAACATTACGCTGAACTCAGACACCAAACAACAGTAGTCCCATGTTACACCTTGAAGACGGTTGTTTCATAACCAGTCGTTGACACTGTTGAAGCTGACTGATTTCTTGATCATTTTAGGTGTGTCACTTTCTTTTTGAACTTTTTAATTAACTTGGCTCTGAAGTTTAGTCATGAAATAATCCAAAGTTAGCAGCAAGTAGTCTAATAGTGTTGAAAAATATATATAGATTTTCAACATAAAAGGTTTTAAAACTTATTACTTAAACCGGTATTTAGAGCACTGGGTCTGCTGGTTTGGTTAAAGGTCACCTCTTTGGGTAGTGAAGCCTCTGGTAGTGTCCAGTTTAGGGTTCGGAAATCAGTACCACATTCTACGTGGTATAATCTTAATATATTGATTTATGTAAATTTGAATGTGCAAAAGGGCATGATGGTCAAAATTAGGATAGATCAAATACTTGAAACATTTTAGTTGCTTGTAATGAGTCAAGAATATGTAAAATGGTCACTTAATGAAGTAACTGATAGAAACTAATGTGCACTATTCTCCTAAAATGTACTAGTATTTTAATAATCATAATAATAACTTTTATTGTTTATATATCACTTTTCATAGCAGAGTTACAAAGTGCTTCACAACATAAAAATGGAATAGAGACAGAGGAAGAACATACAGGAGCAGACACCAATACAGTTTCCAAAATAACACTCAGTCAATAGGGATGATTTAGATGTCAGTAAAAGATCAAACTAAAACCATATTAAAAGTTTTTTAAAATACGTATAGAAAAAATGATAATAAAATAAATTAGAAAAGAGTTTAAAACAAAATCAAATGACTTCATCAAAGTGAAGAGCAAAATTAAGAAAACATTTTAAGGTCTGATTTTGTTTTCATTTTGATGTCTTTGGCCTATAGCGCATGAAAATGAAAAATCCAGTATCTTGCTTGATTTTAAATACATCTCAGTAAATAAGAGTAATTCTGTCATTTATTGAAAGCTCCTGCAGTAATTTTGATAGATATTGAAACAGACTGAAATAAACAATGATGTGTCTGTAGGATGTACAGAACCAAGTGTGAACCAAGTCTTCATTATAATTTTAGTGCCTGTCACTGCTGTAAGAGGCAGAGGTGCTGAAGAAACAGGATTTATTACTTTTCTTACCTCAAATATACACAGTTAGTGATCAATACTACTGTAAGAAGGCAGCAGATGGAGATTGTTATGTCAGTAACACAACCTTACTCAGACTAAACAAAAACAGCAACAGTATAAGGATTACTATTTGTCCTTAGGGGGCGCCAAAATCACCACAGAAAAAAAGAATCCTGTCAGGAGCTTTAAGAGAGTGAACATTTGACATTTTCTAGACCCATAACATGGAAACTCAACAGTTTCAGGTATCTTTCTATCCTGACTTTGAAAGTCATGACACATGGTCTCTGTTAGATACTGGAGCATTTCATTTAGTTTGATATTTTTACGAGTGATGGGTCAAAGTCATTAAAGTTACAAATGTCAGAGGACTTGAAAATCTTCCCTTTGAATTTGATCATGAAAAAAATGGTGACTTGTAGCTTATTGAGATGCATCTGTATATGGTGTCTGTCTGTATATAAAGTCAACCTCCCATAAAGTGGTGTATATGGTGACACGTATCAATGAACTCTAAAAAAAACAGAGCTTTGACATCAGGGATGATGAACATGATTTCCATGTTTGATCCTGTCACCAAGCATTAGTGAGAGTCAACAGTGGGAGTTAAATCAGTGGCGCTCCTCTGACAGCAACTCTTACTCAGACACAGTCAAGTTATGAGGCCGTACATTGTTCCAGCACAAAGCTGGGTTTGTCTCGTCTAACCTCTGAGAGGCGAGAGGGATCCCCTGCTGAAAGCCTGTGTGGGACGACCTCTGCTCCAGATGCACCCTGCACTGACCAGATGCACTCACAAGCACACATAGATACACACATGATCCCAGCGCAGCAGGAAAGACCACTGTTCCCTGTCAGCACAGGAAATTGCTTCATCAAATAGTATCAGCAGTAATATATGGAAACAAATCACAGTGAAAAGCACCTCACTGACAAGATTATATTTGGCAGTGGAGATTGTGTTATTACAAGGTGCACACTGTGCTCCAATGGGAAAAAATAACAGGGTACAAAGCATGCCCACGGCTCCATCCTGGTTGATGAAATACAAGTGTCTTTTGTTGTTCTCACAGGACACAGATGTGTTTTTTTTAAACTCCAGCATGAGAGTCCTGAAAAGCCCATTCAGATTTTTCATCTAGTGTCAGTATAAAGGCGAGACTTTTAGTATCTGTTCTGTCATTTTCCCACAGGATCTTGTCAGAAAAGGGGTCCCACACCACTTTCGGGCCATTGTGTGGCAGCTGTTATGTAACGCCCAGAATATGCCCATCAAAGATCAATACTCCGAGCTCCTGAAGATGACCTCCCCCTGCGAGAAGCTGATTCGCAGAGACATCGCACGCACATACCCTGAACATGAATTCTTCAAGGAGAAAGACAGTCTGGGTCAGGAAGTACTCTTTAACGTCATGAAGGTAAGACTGAGGAGTTAGAGATAAACTGATCATCATCATCATGTTTACAGATAACCTAAAGAAGTAAAGGTAAATAAAGGTCATCCCTCTTTTCTCAGGCATATTCTCTGGTTGACCGCGAGGTCGGTTACTGTCAAGGGAGTGCTTTTATTGTGGGACTGCTACTCATGCAGGTAATAACCCCGTCTTCACCCCTTCAGTTGCACACAAACATTTATTCAGAGAGTGGTGTCACACGGTGAGGTGTTTGACTTCATCCTGTTACTTTTCTAGATGCCAGAGGAGGAGGCGTTCTGTGTGTTTGTGAAGTTGATGCAGGATTACAGATTACGGGAGCTCTTCAAACCCAGTATGGCTGAGCTGGGACTCTGCATGTATCAGTTTGAGTGCATGATTCAGGTAAACACCTCACACTTCAAATGAAGCGGGAATTATACTTAAACTGCACTGCAGCCTGATGAATATTTACACAGACACATAACAACCTGTTGCAGTGAAGCACATTACAGCAGTGACTGGTCTGTTCTGCACTGTCATACTGAAAATACTGAAAAAGTAGGACACAGTGCTTGAGGCCGGATTGTAGCAAGGTATTATGCATGTGCAGTAATTTGAGAAAGGGTAACTCTAGCATCTCGAATGTGACCCTAACCTAGTTGCGTGGAAATCTTACCAACTAACTCTTTGCCAGTGTGATTCCTGAGCAGTCCAAACACACTAAATATTAATGCTCATGGGTATAAATGAGACTCAGCACTGCTATAGGGACTGTTGACACAGAGTCAAAGTGTAGTCATGCAAAGCTGTCATGGTGTAAATCCATATGATCTCTAAACTTGCAGGAGCAGCTCCCAGATCTGCACATGCACTTCCAGGCTCAGAGCTTTCACACATCCATGTACGCCTCCTCATGGTTCCTCACCATCTTCCTCACCTCCTTCCCTCTGCCCGTTGCCACAAGGATCTTTGACATTTTCATGTGTGAGGTCAGTAAAAAGAAATTGTTTTCTTTTGGAGGATATTTTTCTTTTTCAATCACTGTCAGCCTGTCACCCAATTTACTTCTCTTGCAGTTTACTATGAAATCTCTGAGGCATTTTTAACGTTCAGTCTCTTTGACTCTCGAATGTTTGTTATCCAGCAGTTGAACATTATCTGCTGATAAACCTACTTCACAGTGACCACAGGCTTCAATAAAGTTGTGTCAAAAACAGATGTGAAACCCGAAAGAGGAACATCAAGCCCTGCGTTCATGCCAAGTGATTTCCCTCCCAAGATATATGGTTCACATTTGTTCTAGATTTACTGGTCATGGAAATGTGATCCATTAGCTCCACCTGCTGGAGAGTACACAAATGTCAGAGTTCAACCTTCGTTATTATAGAGTATCTCTCCTTGAGAACATTTGTAATAAATTCTGAACTCTCAAACGTTTTAAAAACGTTTTGTCTACTGTAAACCAAACTGTGATTTCAAGTTGATACAACCCCCCTCCTCCAGGGTCTGGAGATAGTTTTCCGTGTGGGACTTGCCATCCTCCAGATGAACCAGGCTGAACTCATCCAGCTGGACATGGAGGGAATGTTACAGGTACATCTTCACAACCGTTACATAACTTTAAAGAGCTCAGATTTCTGGTGCTAAATACACAGCACCCTCTTGGGAGGAACCTTCACCACACCCAGATAATTGATACCTGCCCTCCTTAAGTGAACCTGTGTAAATGCCGGCATGTGATGTGGTGCTTTTAGGTCAAAGAAACACCTGACTAAGACATGAGAGTTATTCAAGGGTGTGTGGCACTTATCCTGCCTCTCTTTTCTCCACCTCTAGCACTTTCAGAGGGTCATCCCACATCAGCTTGACAGTGGACCAGATAAGGTCATTCAGGCTGCTTATCAGGTTAAATACAACGCCAAGAAGATGAAAAAGTAAGAACTACTCTCCTCATTTGCTGCTCTTTTTACACTACACCCATCCCAATTCTGCTTGACCCTTCCTGCATTACAGTCAAAGCTCCCTGTTGCTTGTCTGTGACAGATTTCATGTGTGTACAAACCGGTCAACACCTGCACTGGGAGTTATTGTCCTGGCCATTTTAAGTGGATTACATTTCTCTTCAGTTAATTTGATCTTGCTTAATGGGCTCTCTCAGTAGGCGCTAAAGAAAGCAGGATACAGCTGCTGGGTGGAGTTGTTGAGAGAAGACAGATTTCAGCAGATTATGAGGTTTTAAAAACAAATCTAAATACAAAAGCAGAATTCTGATGGTTTGATGAGGTCAAAGCAGTCAGAGCGAGCACTGAGGTCTTAGATCTAGATACACTCTTTCTGTGTATCCTCATAAAAGCCACCAAAGTGAACAGAACTGTAAGCTAAAACTGGTACCTCTGATAGTCAAAGTTGATCAGAGAACATGTTTTTTTTTTCTCTTATGGTCATCTTAAATGTAGGAACACACATTTCATCATCCATCCACTCATCTGACATGAATTCACACCGTTTGATAATGTTAGTAATACAAAAAAAATACTGTAATAAATGTAAATTAACCCATTATCATCCTTTGCACTCCAAACCATAGCTATGCTCTCATACACAGACTTTAAAATCCAACATTTCTTCAATTAACGTAAAATATGAAACTGAGTATGAAAAGAATCAAATAATCCCTCCCAAGTCTCTGCCAGTATGGGGATCTCTCTTAATGACTGCTGTACATCAAACTAACAGTGTAGTATACTCGAGCTGCACACAGAGGACCTTACATTTATACAAACATTCAAGTAAGTGCTCCAAAGCTCTTTGAATTTCCCTTTTGATCTTTGAAGTAAGTGTCTGACTCTCTTAAGTTTAAAGCAGAACATACGGTTAAGGTCAGGACTTTGTGTCCTCTGGCAATCAACAATATTTTCTCTCTTACAAGGCCAAACTGAGCAACCGTGGGATCTGAGACGGTCTAACATATGTTATCTGTGATGGTGTTTGAAATCCATCTGTCCAACACTTGTAGAGGCTGGGGCAGAGTCCATACAAATGAAGTGTTTACCCGTTTTCTATGTTTTTCTCCAGGCTAGAGAAAGAATACACTACAATCAAAACTAAAGAGATGGAGGAGCAGGTGGAGATTAAGGTGGGTGCAGACTGCTGAGTGTTCAGAGACTTTGGTCCCAGAGACTCTGCTCTGCTTTGTTAGTTGAATGTGATTGTAATTGTCTGTCTTACAGAGGCTGCGCACAGAGAACCGGCTCCTGAAGCAGAGGATTGACACACTAGAGAAAGTGAGTGCATCAGTGTTTGTCAGGGGAGCTCCACCAAACAACAAACAAAGCTCCTCACTCATCAGCATTACATTAACCCATCCAGCCGTGTATGCTCATACATCATGCATCTCCTCATAATCACAATGATGGAGTCTTCTTGTCTTTCACTAACTGAGCTGGGATCACTGAAAGACCCCCATCTGCAGAGTAAACTGCCATGGCTTCACTGCTCTGTTTCGGGGAGTTTCTGACTTGATGTCTCAGTGACTCTCTGCGTGGCTTGAATAACTGAAGTGAATTTTCAGAATTCACCAGCAGGACACACTTAGTGAGGCAATGAGGATAACAAGCCTGTTTGGAGTGTGAAAGCGGCTTCTTAATGCTGTTCAAGCTGATACAAAGCACTGCATGCCCAGGTGTACCATTGTATCACTCTGCACCCTTTTAAGTGTCTTTTTGACATGACTGACTCCAGGTTAATACAACATGCATGAGGTCTGCCATGGAAAAGTTCAGGGTGTTTGGTACTCCTTGTTGCCTACAGGGAGGAACACTGTGGTCTAATCCAACTGTTACTGAAAACCTTGCGCTGAAATGCTGCTGCTCTGTCACCAAACCTGGAAGAACTTTTTAACTCTTTCTAACCTTCGTACAAAGCTTGTATGAACTGACTCAACTACTGTAGAGCCCTAAATTTCAACTTCACAGCACACAGCTCCTCACTTTTAGTGTGCATTTTTTGCTTCTTCCTTTCTGAAACCTGTCATTGTGCTCCTGCACCGCTTGATTTTTTTCACTTTGTCACAAGCTTATTTGCACCTTTTTCTCCCTTACCTGCATGCAATGTTCTTTTTCTACCTCTGAATATAAACAGCATTGTGCTATCTGTTAAAAAAGGGAAAACGAACATTGCATTTCTCTCTAAAAAACAATCAATTGTTCTTGTGTGTGCCTTAAACTGTCCTCTGGATTGTCTCTCTCTCTGCTGTCTCTTGTGGATATTTCTGTTTTGTAGGAAAGTGCTTCCTTGGCAGATAGATTGATCCAGGTATATCCCCTTTTTTTCTCTTCACCCTTGTTTTGTAATGTTACATCTTCTTTTTCCTTTCTCTTCTTTATAGCTTGCATGCTTATGATTAGAAGAAACAATAATAGTACAAAATCTATTGAACCCTGTTGATTCTCTGGATAAAACACCACACCAACACAATAAATGCTAACAGTATTTAATAAGTGCATGACGTACCACATTGTGCCAGAGGAAATCACAAATCAAAGTGAAAATGCTAAAGACTTGGAGAGTAAATCTAAGTTAACCAAGCATGTCCATAGACAACCCAATCCCCCCTTCTTCATCTCTGATTTGCTCCCATCTCGTCTTTGCGTTCCACTTCTTCTCGTGCTCACTTCACCCCTCGGTTGGTTATGTCCCAAGGGACAAGTGACTCGAGCTCAGGAGGCAGAGGAGAACTACCTGGTCAAACGGGAGCTGGCCACAGTCAAACAGCAGAGCGAGGAGGCCAATGCTCAGCTGGAGCAGGCCAAGAAAACCATCGAGCAGCTTCAGCAGCAACAACAACCGCAGCAGCAGCCAAACGCGGTAAGGAGGACCACAGAGTCTCCAGAGTATGGCAGGTTCACTGGCTCAGATCCTGCCTGGTCTTTGACAGGTACTGGGGCTCGGAGAATGCTTCCCAGGATATTGGACCTTTTCCAAATCATGCTGTGTGCATGGTCCTGTCAAAAACATAGATCCAGACATGTAGGTTTTTGCCTCTCAACAAAACCCAGACAGTGGGTTAGTTAGAGTGGCTTTTCTCACTTTGCACCTCAGCGCCTGGTAATGATCGATTTGGCATGCATGAATTCAAATTAGAACATGGAGTACTACACAGTTCAGACCCCATCTCCAGTCTTCCCTCTGCATACTGAGAAATGCATTCATGAATTTATGAGCAGTTGTCTTCCAGGCTGGTGGATTTCACACATTGCTCCCTGTTCACATGCTGCATATCTATTCACCGAACAAACTGAATTATTGATGCTTGGATTCCTGATGATGATGATGATGATGCATATGCATTTCCGTGTTTTACATAATTTGCTGTCTTGCTTCACAATGAGTAGTCATTCATTATTTACTGATGTGAAGGTGAACGGCAAAAGAGTTGATGTCAGCTGAAATGAAGGCTTGTTTTTTGAATGAGGAGTTTGTGGTGCTGACTTGATTTTGGATTCTTGAGACTGAATAGGGGTTATAACCAGGGAATAAAGCACATTTGAAGCTTAATAGAAAATGTTGCTTTAAGTAAATTTACAGTTATCTGACTATAACTTTTTCAAGTGTTCAAACATTTTTTTGAACATCATCTCAAGCAGTTAGAGTCAGACCACCTGCTCAGCTGTGAAGCTCTCCCTCTTTTGCACACACTTGTTCTGCTGGTCGAGCGGCTAATGACGGCATTTAAGTCACCATTTAGCTGCATCTCAACAATCAGAATAGCAGGGCTAGCAGGGCTCTTTATTTTCCTGCTACATAAGAAAGTGATCATTGGTAAAGGAGCCCCAACAAAAAGTGAAGTGTGTAAGTAAACAGATTTTTCAGAGGCTGAACATTTCTGGGTCTAAAATGTGTTTGTTTTGATTCCACATCTGCATAGTGTAGTGGTTAGCACTGTTACCTTGGAGCAAAAAGGTTCCCTCTTTTAATACCTTGCTTAAGATGTGCTCCTCAGAGCTCTAATATCCTCCCCATGCATGTGTGGGGTCTCTTTTTGGACTCTGGCTCCTTCCACAGGCCAAAAACCTGTTCAGTGGGTAAACTGATCAGTTTAAAGGTGCTTTTAGATGAAAAAAAAAAGCACCCAGGACTTTTTAGTTACTTGCAAATCTTTTGATTGGAGTTGCTGCTGATTTTTTTTTCTTTTTGTCAAAGTGGTTATAGATCACATCGGCAGCAGGTAAGCTGTACTGATTTTAAAGTGAGGTCAGGTGACTGAAAATATGAGCTCTTGTACTGTTGTCCTTTGGTGCCTTTTCTCCATCTCTGGGCTCAGCTGGACTCTCAGTGTAAATTGTACTCCAGCACACAGAAAATGATGGATTTGTAATAGACAAACCCAGCCTAGCTTTAGAGTTCTGGTTTACATTGCTGAAAATCCTTATTTGTTTTCCATGAAGACAGTATTGGAGACATGGGTACATGCAGACTACCCCACTCATTTACTTACTCAGACTTGTTTTTTCTGTAGAAGGGAGCCCCTCGATACTCTGAGGAGTCAGTCCTGCAGCTGGAGAGGGAGCTGGTGCAGGCCAGGCTGAAGGAGGCCGAGTCTCAGTGTGCCCTCAAAGAGATGCAGGACAAGATCCTGGATATGGAAAAGGTGTGCTATCACGAACATTATTTCTACTTTTATACCAGCACATTATCTCATGTTGAAATACTTTCTAAACAGTTAAATCCTTCACACTTTCTTTAGCGAAATACGTCTCTGCCGGATGACACCAATGTGGCTCGTCTCCAAGAAGAGCTGATAGGGGTGAAGCTGAGAGAGGCTGAGGCTCTCACCGGCCTCAAAGAGCTGAGACAGCAAGTCAGAGACCTGGAAGAGCACTGGCAGGTGTGTAGCAACATTGAACAATTGAATCAGTGCGTCTTTATTAGTGCTGGACAAGTCCAAACAGAAAAGGTGACTGACTTACAACTGTCCTCAGCGTCACTTGGCACGCACAGCAGGACGCTGGAAGGACAGTCCAAAGAAGAACACCCTGAGCGAGCTGCAGGATGAGCTGATGAGTGTGAGGCTACGAGAGGCGGAGGCCCAGGCGGAGCTGAGAGAGACACGGCAGAGGATGCTGGAGCTAGAAACACAGGTCAGAAGACCCCAAATGTTAGATCAACCAGAGCCGACGGATAAACTTCTCAGATTCTCATCCTTTTCCCTATCAATGGCATCAATCTTAAAAACCAACAGCATACTCTACTGTTGTCTCTTCAGTAGGTGAACTAGCTTTTGAATGCGTGTAGTCACTTACTAACAGAAAGCAAAACAAGTGAGTTCTCTACCTGTACTGTCACCTTATATCCTTCAGAGGGCAGCAGTTATCTGTACCAATCAACTAGAAACATGAGCGTGAAGCAGCTCAAGCACCACTTGTCATCTGGTTTTGACTCTGCTGTTTTTCAAGTGATTGATCTGAACATTCTTGAAAGAAAAAGCTTTGTGACTGATTTTTTTTGATTCCCCCCCCCCCTCAATTTGTCACCTGTGCTCAAACAGAACCAGATTCACAGTAACCAGCTACGACGGGCAGAACAGGAGAGTCGATGTCTGCAGGAGTGCGTGCAAACACTGACGCTGCAAAACAAAGACCTGCATGCGCAACTACAAGAGATCAAGCGAAGACAAGCTGAGATTGAATGCAAGGTACAACTCTGCTGCTCATAAGCTAAAACCTGCAACATGAAGCATTATGCACACAGGAAGAAACAGAGCCGGTCTAAATATGTTCAAAATTTTTAACCCCACCCCTACCTCGCCTTGTCTGCAAGACACTAAACACTAGCAAATCTAAAAAAAAAAAATGTTTACAACTCTTCTTTCTTCAAACTGGGCATCATTTGGTCCCTGGCTCATTTTTTCTTTGTCTAGAGTAAAGAAGAGGTGATGGCCGTGAGACTACGGGAGGCTGACAACATCGCTGCCATGGCTGAACTCCAGCAGCAGATCTCAGAGCTCGAAATTCAGGTAAAGTCCCGACACACACTCCTCACTATGTTTGTTAGTCACCCCACCCCCCACCCCCCCTGCTGCATCAAACTTGCCATTTCCACAACTCCTTCGCAAACCACATGAAACATATTGAAGCCTTCCTCAGACAGAGAGACTGTGCATTCATGAATGTGTGTCTCTGGTGTATTGCTAATTTAAAAAGCTGTGTAAGTCAGCTCTTGGCGTGTGAAGAGAAAAACAGACCAGCGTGAACCTAATCTACTAAAATTGTTCAAATGAAGATTTTATTTTCATTGTGTGGAAACAGAGAATTTCAAGGGTTGAAATTCAAAGATTTCAAATGAAGTGTGATCCAATATGAAGGGGGTCAGAGGTGGTGGGGGAAATAAATGGCATCACAGACTTGAGTTCACCAGTCTGAAAATCTTGACAGAAGACTGAATCTGAAAGTCACTGACATGTGGTTTGGTTATGTTGCCACAGAGACGCCAACGGCATTATCATCCAATCAAATCAAACCCACACTGCCTCAGAGACAGAGATTTGCTGAGTTAGTTCCTTTTTAGAAAAAAATACAATCTGTTGTTTATACAGACATTAATTCACGATTTCAGGTTTAAGGTGCTTTAAGGTGCAGACTGACAAATAGACAAAGAGCAGAGAAGAGGTTTAGAAAGTGTTGCAGAGTTGCAAAATCTTAACTGCAAAATCATTCAAGTTGTATATAAAACCCTAAATCTGCTGAATCGTACACGCCTGCTGCTTGTAACCATGTCACACCATTAGCGTAATTTTGGTATAGCCCTGCTTTATAGGACACTTTTACTGGGAAGTGTGGAACTTTGCAACCAAATCAGCTCCTCAGAACGGAGAACATTTATAGAAGATATCACATGCCATTTGCTTGATCTATGTAGCCAGGTCTCTTGAGCTTTTGCATCAGGCTACATAATGAATGGAAGCATATTTTATGGCCAGGCAGTTTGCTTTTGCATTAAGTACTGTTTATAATGTCATCAAGACAAATTTCCCGCAAATCTCTAATATGTATAAAATTTCAGTTCAATTATGCACAATGTTGTCTTATTCTTAACATTATCTTGCTCAGTAGCTACAATCGAAGGACGATTGTGAGGGGGAAAAAAAGAAGTTAGGTATGCTTTAATGAAACAGTGTATAAATCCAGCGCCACTGTAAACTAGTCTCAACAGGTAAGCAGAAAGAAACCTGTATTTATCCCCAAACAAATTTAACGCTACACAAAACAAGGGTGACCAAAACAAATACAGGCCTATTCTCTCTCTGCCAAAACTTAGCAGTTCTGATTGAAGAGAGATTATCTATGAACAGATCATTAGGCGAGTAAGGCCCATTCATTTGCTCAGCACTTGAAAACTTGCACTTTATACACAAGTTAAGTTGGCATCTGAAGTCTTACTGGCACAGTATCAGCTGATAATGTGACGTATTCAGAATGTGCATGTGATGACAGTTTCAATGCACCAACAACAAGCATCAACATGTAGGAGTATTTTTAGTATCAAAAACGGACAATAGTCTTTATGATAGAGTCGAATACTGGTGTCTGTGTTTAAAACAAAACGACTGTCACAAGCAGAGGAACAGCTAAAGTCTATACAGACAAGAAAAAAGAAAAATTGTGTTTTTGTATTGTTCTTGGATTTAAAAAAAGAAGATAAATAAACACCCGATAAATAAAGAGTTAGGCTGTACCATGTTACTGACAGTGAGTAAATAAATCTGTGAAACTCCGGATCCTGTCTGTCATGGTGCACTGCGGTTCCTAACAGGCTGTAAACTCCTCACACATCATTGACTTGGACATAGACTTTTGCCTTTGTACCATTTCATGAATAAATCAATGCTTGGACTGCTGCTCATGTATTCATTCCTGTACGTGTAAATCTAAAATACACGCAGCAGGCCTCTGTGTGTATCTTAGATTGAATCATTCCTCTTTGATTCAGTTCTGGTGAAGCAGCTCAGATTAACTCATATTTGAGTTACTCAACAGATCTAGTTTTCTCAATAATGAGTGAGTAAGTGTTTGAACCATTTTTGATCAAGAGTGAACTTACCAGAACTGCGCTTGAGTTTCAGAGAATATCACTTAAAAAGATCAAGTTTGATCAAGAGTGTCAAGGCAGTGATTGTATCATAATTCCCTCACTTCCTATCAGTGCTCTGCAGACCCATGATAAGTGTCACTTCCTCTTTTCAAGTTATACTGTAGTTTCATTACACGGATGAAGTTTTAGAGCTCTAAATTTTTTATAAACTGTATATGCCATTGTGTTTTTTCATATCCTTCTTATCTGTATCAGACTGATGACCACTGTTTTACTTGTGAGCTGTTTGGGTAATCTGCTAAAAAAAGAGAGAGAGCAAGGGAGAACAGCCAGCATTTTCTTCGTAGAGATAAACAATGTAGCCTTGTTTTTGTCAGCATGTAAGAGTCTGGGGTGAAACAGGTACAATATTGAATGCCATGGCAACAGTGCTCACAGAACAATAAACAATGGTATCATCTGCATAGAGATGTACAGAAACATCAACATTTACATATATGGTAAAGACTGGATCTGCAGACTGAACCTTGTGGCACACAAGGTACTGTATACAAAGGTGGTATACAAAAGTGGTTGTACAAGAATGCAACAAAGGAAACACCTTTTTTTTCTTCAAAATTTAAAACCTTCCTGAAAATTTTTTTCTGTTGTGTTGAAAATATGATAGATTTCCAAAGTGCATTAAAAAAGATCAAAGATTACATTATTAAAGATTAAGTTACTGCTGCAATGCACACGACCTCTGCATGGTCCTCACTCCAGCTTTGTTTTCATTGCATTACATTGCTGCAAATTTTACAGAACTTATCATTTTCAAGTGACTCAAACAGCCAAAAATGTGACCCTGATTAGTTATTGAACATGAATATGCTGGTGAGCAAAAGTAGCTCAAAATCAACCCTGCCAATTCTGAAGAAAGTCTCCAAAAGCTCTAAGTAACCCTAACCCAGCGCTATAGTAAGTCTGCAACATTATAAGGAACTCTTTCAACTAAAATATTGCATTGAAAGAAAAAATAGCACTTAAGTTGTAATAATAAACTGTAAAAGCGATTGTAAGTGAGCATGAATAGTTCATATTTTAGTGTTTATAGTCAGCATATATTAGCTGGAGATAAAGATTAAACTAGTGTTAAATGCCTGTGTGATATGAGTAAACATGGAAGCAAATAATCATGAGTATATGTATATGAGTAGATGACATCATTTGTAACTCTTCCAGTAAAGCAGGATGAGGTGTGACATTGATGATGAAGCACAACGAAGCCACATAAAGTCGTAGACTATTATTGTCATAAGTTATGAGAATACATATAAATATACACTCACCGGCCACTTTATTAGGTACACCATGCTAGTAACGGGTTGGACCCCCTTTTGCCTTCAGAACTGCCTCAATTCTTCGTGGCATAGATTCAACAAGGTGCTGGAAGCATTCCTCAGAGAGCTTGGTCCATATTGACATGATGGCATCACACAGTTGCTGCAGATTTGTCGGCTGCACATCCATGATGCGAATCTCCCGTTCCACCACATCCCAAAGATGCTCTATTGGATTGAGATCTGGTGACTGTGGAGGCCATTTGAGTACAGTGAACTCATTGTCATGTTCAAGAAACCAGTCTGAGATGATTCCAGCTTTATGACATGGCGCATTGTCCTGCTGAAAGTAGCCATCAGAAGTTGGGTACATTGTGGTCATAAAGGGATGGACATGGTCAGCAACAATACTCAGGTAGGCTGTGGCGTTGCAACGATGCTCAATTGGTACCAAGGGGCCCAAAGAGTGCCAAGAAAATATTCCCCACACCATGACACCACCGCCACCAGCCTGAACCGTTGATACAAGGCAGGATGGATCCATGCTTTCATGTTGTTGACGCCAAATTCTGACCCTACCATCCGAATGTCGCAGCAGAAATCGAGACTCATCAGACCAGGCAACGTTTTTCCAATCTTCTATTGTCCAATTTCGATGAGCTTGTGCAAATTGTAGCCTCAGTTTCCTGTTCTTAGCTGAAAGGAGTGGCACCCGGTGTGGTCTTCTGCTGCTGTAGCCCATCTGCCTCAAAGTTCGACGTACTGTGCGTTCAGAGATGCTCTTCTGCCTACCTTGGTTGTAACGGGTGGTTATTTGAGTCACTGTTGCCTTTCTATCAGCTCGAACCAGTCTGGCCATTCTCCTCTGACCTCTGGCATCAACAAGGCATTTCCGCCCACAGAACTGCCGCTCACTGGATATTTTTTCTTTTTCGGACCATTCTCTGTAAACCCTAGAGATGGTTGTGCGTGAAAATCCCAGTAGATCAGCAGTTTCTGAAATACTCAGACCAGCCCTTCTGGCACCAACAACCATGCCACGTTCAAAGTCACTCAAATCACCTTTCTTCCCCATACTGATGCTCGGTTTGAACTGCAGGAGATTGTCTTGACCATGTCTACATGCCTAAATGCACTAAGTTGCCGCCATGTGATTGGCTGATTAGAAATTAAGTGTTAACGAGCAGTTGGACAGGTGTACCTAATAAAGTGGCCGGTGAGTGTATATATATATACACACACACACACACACACACACACACACACACACATTAGTTGATGCCACATTTCAGTTCACATTTGCTGACAAATCCAGCACTTCAAAATGAATTGAAACTGTCCTCATGAGGCCAACAAAGAGCACACTAAATTTGCATAGAGTGCTTATAGATACTGAGGAGGGGTAGTTTAGCTTGAGATGTTTAAGCTGAGGCCTGGACTATTTATAAGAGTGACACCTACAGCTACACACACACACACACATACACATAAACACACAATCACACAGTGTGGTCTGAGGTTTTGTTACTAAGTGATAGAGCCAAAACATGCAACACCAGAAATTTACCACTACCGCCCCCGTACTCTTCAGAATCTGCACAGTGAAGTCGCAGTGAAGTGTATCAATAACAAGCAAAAGCCACATATGGTTACTTTCTCAACACTTTTTCATGACCTTATAATGGGTTTTTTAAAAATGTGTTGACAGAATATTTTCCGTCATGACCAGGTTAAAGAGTCAAACCTGTAAAATCACTGTGCTAGCTATGACTTTCTGGTCTGTGGTTTGGTTAGTTCTCCATGAGTTGTGGGTAAAATGGGCTCACTCACTTGCAAGAAAATTTTAAAAACCAGTTTCTTGCTCTGTTTTGGATCGCATTAAACACTTTGGTGTCAACAGTTTTCAGTTAGCTTTAGGATGTATGAGATAATTGTTTATCAGATAAGCTCCGACTCACTGTAGTTACTGAGAGTTAAAATCCATGCAGAGGTTCATGTAGATACATCAAATACTCAAACATAAAGGAAATGTGCACCTCTATGTGCTTCCAAAACTTGAGGTATGAAAAACTACAGATCTGAATTATTGCTAACAAACACTCAGTAACCATGGGAAACCTTTGTCAACTTTTTAAACTAAGCCTTTCAAACAGAAGCTTTGCATTCGTTCACTTTCACAGATATGACTCTCTTTTTAATGCCACAGCAGTCATGTCTCTGCGCTGGTAGGAAGTGGTTTCTCATTTTGAAGCTGACTCTACCAAAGGTGACATGCATGGTTTATTTTGAGGTTTCTCTCTCATGCTCAGAGATTTATACAAAATGTTGTAGCCTGTTAGTTTTTTCCCTCCAATTGCATGTTTAATAAGGGGGTTATGTATCTGCATCATTGATCATACACGGTGAATGCATACTTCTGCATACATTAGAACTAAAGGCAGACTTTTTTTGAGCCCAATATTTTCAGTCAAAAGTGTTTCCACCCGTGTCTTACAGCTAATCGATGAATTAAAAGTTGAAATATTGAAAAAGGGACAGTCCTCGTTTCAGCAAATTTTGCATTTATCTAACCACTGTAGTGGATACCTATCCACTGTGTCTGTGACTTGTGTGTCTTTGTGTAATAGAGCTGTGTGTCTAATCATGTGTATGTCTTTAGTTTTTTTATAAGTTATACATTACTGAAGAAGAAGTGTTTTCACGTGTGTAAGTAAACTAAATAAGCTGTTCTCACCTCAACAGTTAGTCTTTATTGGTAAGCCTCTGACAGTCTCAGTGTAGCGGGTGGATCTGTCCACTCTAGTGTAACATTTAGCCACAACTATGATCTGTTCTTAAGTCTTACCAAGAAGGTTTGGTGTCCTAACATCACTAACATGTAGGGATATTGTCACGTCAATAAGTCACATATAAAAATAAGATGATATCTAGGCCTACAGAGTAAAAGTCTGTAAATCTATTACACTGATATCAGGATATAGACTGGTCAGCCATAACAGTACAGACACTCTCCTGTCCACCAGAATTCGGTTATTCGGTTGATCCGGAAAAATTGATTCACATTTGCTTCAGCTTTTGAACTTTGAAGAGCAAAGATTCACTTCCTGCCCAACATTACTGGGATTTTTATTTCAAATGTTAGACAAACAGCTGCTCAGCTCACGCAGTCAGTACAGTTTACACAATGACCCGGGTGAACTCTTCTGATTGAACTGCCACTGTGTTTTATTCCTCTTCTGTTGAAGCTTAAAAAAGTTGCTGTATGTGTATATAAGACATGTTTGCAAAACAATTGACACCTGTTGATTCACACAGCTGAACACAAGGAAGTCTCACTAACTGCCTCTGGTCCATTTGTTGTTGAGCTGTTTTAAAGCTGCAAAACCTCAAAAACAACCGATTCTTGGAATAATCGCACATTTTAGGCTCCTCCTTTTAAAAAAGGTCTATAGAGAGCTGTCGTATTCAACTCCACCTTACCACAGAAATCAGAAACACTGTGGGTATTTTGGGGTGTAAGCCAGTCAGAAAAGCACTCAGTTATCACCTCTCAGTAACGCTTTGGTGCTGTTTACAACAGCTTCCCTTTTTTGACTCGGAGTTCCTCTGCCGCAGCCTGTGGTTTGAACCCATGTGTGTGCTCCTTGCTGGTTTTTATGTAGACCTGGCGGGTTATAGTTTTAAACACACATATGATTGTCTCCAGAGGGGTTTGCCAAGGCAAGTAAACATCAGTAGGCTGTTTAACTGTTAAAAGTACCTACCGGCCTCATCCCCAGGGCCCCAGGAGGAAATCAAGCACAAATGATACTGTTTTGTGTTCCTCCTTGACATCTGTCACTTGAGTCTCCTGCTGCACAAGAAGTGCACTTTGTACTGCTTCTCTTATGGCAGCAGGGCACTGATATCTGCTGCTGTTTTCTCTCTGCAGCAGCTCAGCTGTTCTGGGACTTATTTTTTTATGCATCCCCTTTGGAAATATTTTTCAGCCAAGTCCCCAACATTCACAAAAACAGTACTGCTTGGGAAACACCTCATATGCAGGGGCACAGAATAGAGAGTCTCTGGCTTCTTTTGATTAAATCTTGCAATAATTCATGTTTCTCAGTTGGCTTCATTTAACTACTGTTTAAGTTTTCTTTGCCATAAAGCACAAGGGAAGATTTTTATCATTTTTTTGGTCAGTCCTTGAAAATACATTAACACGGTTTTCATTGGCTCTGTTTTTGCTTCCTCTATCCTCCAAGTTTTTATTTGCCTTTGCCCTTACTGTTCAAAAATCCCTCTTTGATGTTATTACCTCTGTTGCTGTAGTTGAGAGTTGAAGTCTGTTTAAGCTCAGTTTAAGGTACAAAACAAGAGTCTACATTTTAAAATGTGTAGGTTTGATGAGACATATCTCAGCAACTCTCTTCTTTTATTGAACCTGTTCTGGTGTCACTATTTTAGTAAATGCATGGATCTTATTTAAGACAGTGTTGAACTCATCGACCATGTGCAAGTCTCCTCCTGTCCAAAAACACTGCGGCAGGGACAATCAGTTCAAATACCTGCGAAATTGCAGATGTTGTGGACATGCCCAACTTTTTTTTTTACCCATCTCAGTATTTCAAAGGTGTTGTTATCAGCTCTGATTTGTTTTTTTGCATGTCTCATCACATCAACAGAAAGAAGAAGGAAAGGTCCAAGGCCAGCTGAACCACACAGACTCCAGTCAGTACATCCGCGACCTCAAAGACCAGATAGCAGAGCTAAAGCATGAGGTGAGAGTTTCAAAACAAGCTGAAGGTCCATTTGTACTCACACTGCCGTGTTTTGCTGCAGGTTTTTCTCCTGGTACAGATTTAGATTTTGTTGTTGTCTTCGCTTTGATCTCACATTTCAAAACATTCGCTCAGATATGGTTTTGACTTTGAGCTTACAGATTGGTGCAAGTGTTAACTACACCCAGAGACTTCCTGTGCGGAGTTGAAACTGCACGTCTTGCAGACAACTTCATCTTTAGAAGACGAAAGAGGGTTTTTACAGAAGATAAATATTAAAGAAAGGGATATCTAGTATCTGCTAGAATATCATAACTGAAAAATGTGTATGAAGCTTGATAAACATCAAAGTAATCATACCTTTGAAAGCTTACTGGCTTTTGTTCACTGCTGCCTATCTCACAGCTTCTTAATGCACCAAAGAGCTGTGTTCTAGATGATGCCAGTGTGGCCATTTGCTTGACGGTCTCAGTGGATGTCAGTGAGAAGCAAACAAGTCCTTTTATTGCTGCCTTTTAAACAGAAAACCCTGGAGCTTTTCATTTTCCGCAATAAACAAAAAAACCTAACTATTTTTACATTAGAGTCTAATCCCTTTTTCAAAGAACCCAGAGAAATGTAGAGTCTGCATTTCACTTCTCTGCAAACATGCACGTCATGCAGTGGCTGCAACAAGTACAGTGTTGTGTACATAAGAGGTTTTTGAGTGCATGTGTTACCTGTTAGCAGCAGCACTTTGTCTTGGTCCTCTGTCAACAGAGTCCATGAATGTTTCCTCTTAGTGACTGCATCTGCAGCCGATCTACATCTGACCCTATGTCAATCTCAAATCTGATGCATGGTGTCAAACATCAGAGTTGATGAAATCCTTCGATCCTCTGCAACATTCTGGTCAGGGATGTCACTGTGAAATTACTGAACTATTTTCTCACATTTCTAAACTCTCAATTTTCAACATTTGATGAGTTTTTTCCTTTCTTTTCAAATAACATGGGATTTGAGTAGTTTTCAGTTTTTATTGACCTTTAGGGGTTTTAGATTACAAGTAAACAACACAGCTGCAGCAAAGAGAGCGATACTTGGTATTAACCTCCATGCACGTGTTGAAGTCGCTGGAAGAGAGCTGAACAAAGTGTTTCACAAGTAGGAGGGACAGACAAATGTCTGCTTTTATTGATCTGGTGAATCATTACCACTATTTAATTTTACAGTGAGGAACGCCTACTTCTACTTCTGTAACCTGTACATAATTAAAAAAGGAAACCTTAAAAACTCAGAAGGTTAAAGAAATGATGTTAGTTCAGGTAAAGACTCATTTCTCTTCTCTCTCTTTTCTCCCTCATGGTCAGCTTGATGTAAGCTGCAACCCTCTGACTCATACTACCTCTAGTATCGGCAGTGAGCAAGCTTGAAAGTCAAAAGTGGTTCATATGTTGCACCATCCTCCTCCATCACAGACTTACAATCTGCATCATATTGCTGGAAATGTTGACAGCAGCCTGTCAGGTGTTTTTAAACTTTCCTTTTAGCATTGAGACAACAGGAAGCCAGAGTGCCTCATTTAGACAGGTGCAGGTAAACGTAGGCTTTTTCTTGTCATTGTGTGTGTCGAGTTCTCCGCCTCGCCTCCTAATGCCTCTCTTCCTACATGTCTGTCTGTTGAATGGCAGGCTGACCCAGGTAAGCTGGTACAGATGTTGCCTTATGATCCAAATGGTTTCCCCCTGACCCCTGTGCAGCCTCCTCCCCACCTTAGTTTAATTAGCTGTGTGCAAAAGATAATACTGAAAGCATCTAGAGAAATAATGCACGTCTCCATGCCATTGGTCAAACTTGTTCATCTACCCTCTTGTTAAACTAAAATGTAAAAGACAATGAGTTTAAATCCGATCTTAAAATGGTTTGCCTGAATTTGTCCTCTTTTTCTGAGTGCAGAATTATTGTATTGCTTGTGGCTGATTACAAAAAACCTGCAGTGTTACTACAGCTGTAGTATATGTTATTTCCTCCCTTAGACATACAGAGACAGTGAGTTATGTACTCGAACCCCTATTTGGACAAACCACACCAAGGCCAGATTTCTGCTTTAATACCAGGGTTTTATTTTAACAAGAGAAAAGATCCTGTGCTCAACTTTCACTAGGACACCTAAGGGTCATCTCTCATGTCTAAATGATGAAGAATGACAAGATTTTGTCCCAACTCCAGTCTACATAAAGTTTTCAAAATGATGCTGATCATTTTGTTCTCATAAAATAGTTTAGATTGAGATGCTAACACAAGGCTGATCTGACTTGTATGTCGATAACTCTTCCAGCACTGTCTGTAGCACATGGAGCAGACCATTGCACATCCCACTATCTTTCCACTGTAAAAAAAAACACACTTGATTTTTGCTGCTAAATCTACAGTTTCTGTCCCCCCTTGAATCTGAAGATAGAGTTGGTTGTCTTGCTATAAGAGGGTTGGCTCTTTAATGCCGTTTGTGCATCACTGTGGTATGTGACAGCACTTTGAGCAATAAGGACTAGAAAATAGCTATATAAGTACAAGCCTTTCTACCATGACGAGGGTTGTGTAAATCAGTTTATACTCACTGGCTTTACGTAGTTTGGAATTGGGACACATTTTCTACGTTGTTCCTGTCTGAGTTTCTTTGAATTGATGACTGCAACTTTATTCCATGAAAATGATCTCATCCTGTCTTGTTGAAACATCAAACATGTGACCAAATTGTGTTGTTCATGTTATATCCTACAGTCTTTGTGTCCAACATTGATGTTACATGTTTGTGTTTGCATCATGGCGATGTAAAAAGATGGGCATCGAGTTTCAGCTCCACCAGTTCTGTAAAGGTGAAGCCAAAATGTCCCTGGGATAGGGGGTGACATATAGCACCACCGACAAAGACTGCACCGGTCTCTGCACATTAGGAGTAAAGTGAGGAGTCTTTTAATCAAAGCTGCACTACATGAGGTTTATGTCTTTTTTGTTTTGCTATTTTATTTTGGTGTGTTTATTTATTTTTTAATTCAGTCAGTCCATACCCTAAATTTCCCCATCGCTGGATGAATAAAGCTTCCTTTATTGGGATCAGCTGGTGGTCCCACTACATCAGCTGCGCTTACATGGGCACAAAAAATAAGAATAATGCTTGATCAGAATAAAAATGCGTCATATAAACATGTCAATCATAAGATTGTGATCCAATTCGGCTCAATAGGAAAGAAATTGTATACCGATAGAGAGAGGTGGTTTATGCTGCTCGTTATTCCGAAATGCGTCTATCTAAACTCTTATTCCAATCATGACTCTCTTACCTGACTCAGACCTCACCCTTTATTTATTGAGGCTAGTACAGGAGGTTCATTATTAACACTCTGGCATAAAACACAACCACAGGTGCTGTGTCTGCTCTTCAGATAATATAACAAGGCGTACGTACAGCGTGATGATGTCACATCTGAACGCACAGTGCAACCTTTGACAGAACAGTAAAATAAGTCAGCAAGTGCGCCATCTAGTAACAACGGTTAAAACAGAGGGAAAACTCCTGAATTGGATGAAGTGAGCCACAGCAGCATTTGTTGGTTTGTTGACAACACAGACGTCAATACAACTCTTCTTTTGTGGTTGGTTTAGCAAAATCAGACAACTCTGCGCATGTCTAAATGCTTCCAATCTGAATAAAGCCTGGTGTATGCACACGTTATGATCGGATTATTCAATTTTGTGCCCATATAAACAGGGGATTCAGATTTTCCAATCCCTAAAATTTTTAATCGGATCAAGAAATTTTGCACATATAAACATGGCTAATGATGTGCCATCACCAGCTGATCAGTAAAACACCAAAAATCACCACAGCAGAAAAGATTCTTGTTGGAAATCAACTCTCACAGTAGAAACAGTTTAATGAAGGTTCCTTTCACCAGTTGTTCCTCACTCTGTTAATCAGATGCTTTCAAAGCTGTTAATCAGGGTGTTCCACTTATTTTTAATTTCAGCATCAAATACCCATTTATGAGCTGGGTTATAATAAGGAAGAATACTTGGACATAAATGTGCCTTATAGGATCTAACTTTAGCTTCAGAAAACATGTAAAAGAAATGTGTGCTTTGGTTTTAAAATTTCCCCCCTGCCCCATTTGTTAACGACCTTTACCACATCCTGTCAGAAGGGTGAACTCCAGATGTTTTGGCTTCACCTTTCGAGAGCCATCATGATGTTCATCTTTCTAGTGTTTGCATACAGTCTTGAACACTGAATGAGCAGCTTCTAATGCTCCTCATTTTCCTATTACAGATTTGCTGCTTAAAAGGACAGAGGGGCTTGGACAAACCACCCACTTTTGACGGAATCCACATAGTCAATCACTATGTGGGGGATGACAGGTCTTACCAGTCTTCAGATGAAGACGGAGGTAAGGATGCCATCCTGCAGGACACCCAGCAGAGGAGTGGGAGTCGAATCAGACTGCGGCCCAACCTTCCAGACACTGACAGTGACGAGGAAGATGAGGATGAGGATGCCCTGCGCCTCTCTGTGCCTCCGAGCAGCAAGTCCACCACCGTGTAATGAGCAGATATGGGACAGATGCTGACAGCCCCCAGTGAGGAAGAGGAGATATTCTCAGCAGCCATTTCAGAGGAGAATTTCAGATCTTAGAGTTCTGAATTTGAGAAATCAGATACATCATTTCATATCATGAGAATCACAGTAACAGACTAAGTTTATCCTGCTTGAGGGCAGCAAATACCACTGACCGAGGCATATGATCAGCATGGACCTCAGCAGAGAAATCATTCACCTGGAGCATGTCAAACTCGACTGGGCCACAAAAACTGGAGAATAAGAATGAGGATGAGGAGGAGGAGCATCACACTCCTCTGACTCTCTTGACTTGTAGGTACAACAGAGAGAAAGAGAGACTGCGCAATAAACCTTTTGTGCTACATCACACACTTCATCTGACGTGTTTTTATACTTTTAAGAGCGTTTTATAAAAGAACATCTGACATTTATTGATGCCATTACTAAAAGTCCACCCTGCAGAGACACATTTATACAAGTACTGTGTGTGTATATATATACATATATAAATATATCTATTGTCTCGATGAGCATGTCCAGAGGCTGCCATCGAAGCTGCTTTTGTCCTCCAGCGATGACTTTTTGGCCTTATCACACGACACATGGCTTCATGCCAGAGCAGGTGAAGCATGAGGTCAATGTGACACCTGCATACCTGTAGATATGTAAATGTGTATTATCTTTTTTTTTTCCAATTCCTTTTGAACTTGAAAATATGTATCTATTGCATATCTGATGTTTAGATTATATTGTACAATTCAGACAGAAAAAAAGGGACATATGTTAGTTAAACACGCTAACACAAACGAAAAATCTTGTTTGTTGTAACATGGAGATTGATAAGAAAAGAAATTACTGACCTTTCTGCATTAGAAAACTTTGGCATGTGTTTGTTTTTCCAGATAAGGTAAAATGAATGATCCATGAAAGAGTATTTATAGCCAGGCTTCGGATAAAAACGTTGGGGGAAGAGTTTCCTTTTGTTCATTTTTTAAAAAACATTTGTAGTCTTAGAATAAAGGTAAATGTCCGGAAGGCAGTGATTGACAGCACTGGTGCCAGGTAAAAGAAATATTTATTCTATTAAGATGATTTTTTTCCACATTTTATTATGAAGATCTTCCAGTGCTGTCACCATCTACTAGTTTAACAATCATAATTAACAATAGGCATCTAGAAAATCTTGATCCTATGATAAAAATAAGCATTACCATGCCAGTCATCTGTTCATAGTCAAGTATTTTCCATAACTATCTTAACAATAATGATAATAATAATGTTACTATCAAAGGCAGCCATGATAATAGTGGGATGAAATGAGTCATTGTGACGGCCGTAATGACTCCCCTGTGTCTTGCACTTGGCCCTCCCACTGGTGTTAAGACTTTATTCTAAAAATGAATTCATCAAATGATCCTCCCAACGTTTTTCATCTGCATGGCCTTGAAGGTGTTCAGACCAATAGCCACAAGTTACCTGCATGAGTTTGACTGCAAACTTGTTTGTGTTTTTTTCTGTATGTTTTACAACATCCAACGATATTTGCCTTTCTGGGTGTGTCAGGAAACTAACCATCATTTCTAGAGACTGTCAGGATGAACAAGTGCAGATTCCAGCTGCATGGCCTGGTACAGTCTGGCTCTGCACGAGGAAGTCTCAGTCCCAGTCTGATTTGCTGCAGAAGCATGACTTCAGAACAAACCGACTTTTCTGTAATTTAATACAACTACATCATGATATGGCAAAAAATCCATGTTTGGTCCAAAAGATTATGAGCAAAAGACTTTGAAAATCAACATTTTGAGTAAGACGTTTGGTTTACAGTTTGAAGCCTTTTCAACGATAGAGGAGTGACTCATATTTGAATAATTCATGTGGCCTGGCCAGAATGTCCACTCTGTACCAGTAATTAGAGATGTGAAAAAATGAGCTTTTGGTCTAAACACATTTTAATACTCATCTTCTAAAAATCAATGCAGCAAAGGGAGCAGCTTTATTTCTTCATTATGTTCCTTTTACCTGAGTTCTCTGAATGTATCCCAGCTCAACTTTCAAAATAAGTCAGTTTTTCAGCCGAAAGTTCAGTCAGTGAGTCAGACATGAGTTGAGCCTATCATATGTTCTGTGAATCATAAATTTGCACATAAAATGGACGAGAGCCCAGGAGAAATTCAAACTGAGATCACTGTGAGATCAGAGCATCGTGTTTTTTTACTCTAAAAGCTTCATCTTAAGAGGAATTTAGAGTTATCAAAGGTTTACCAAAGTAAAAGCACTGTTTTAATAAATGGGGCTCATCCATCGGCCAGTTTCACTCCATTTCATTTGAAAAGACCCGGATGTGTAAGAATTTCTTTGTATGTCTGTATTGAACACTAACTCCTGTATTGGTGAAAGATGACAGTGAACGCAACAGTGTGGAGAGTCCAGGAAACTGAAATAACTATATGTCTACAACTATGTCCCGTTAATGAAAAGGAGGCTGTTTGTTCGTTTGATTAGAGAGGAAAACCCTATGGCACTTTGTTGAAGTCTGCAGTACAGTAAGGACACACATAGCAACACTATGGAGCAGTCAGCAGCACACTCTGGAGACTACATGAGATTTGTGTGTGTGCGCGTGTGTGAAGAGTTCACAATAAAACGTTTGATAAACTCCTTTACGCCTGTCTCTCTGTCTCGTTCTCTTTCTGTGTGTGTGTGTGTGTGTGTGTCGTTAATGTAACCTCTAACCTGATCCAGCCCAGCCGCAGTGTGAGCACATGTGATGCTGGGTGTCAGCTCTGCCTTCCTCTCTAAAAAGATACTTGTTAAGATTGAGAGCTTTCAGGAAGTGATTTCTCGCGGTTTTCGAAACTCAGCCTCAACTACTAATCATTTCAAGCAGAAAACCACATATTAGAGGAGCGTTTCTCTTCAGGCTCTCTTGAAGATTAAGAAGGTTTGTGCTTACTCTAAATGCTGATTTAGACATGAACATGTTCAAGACCGTGATATTAAATTGGTAAAGATACTGTGAACTCTATGTGGACGGATTTTGTATTTTATATGGCAGTGATTAATGATCTTTGCTGATTCTTTAACAATGACAATGAAGGTTGAGCAGCATCAAAGGGAAGTAACGGTGTTACATTAAAATTATGATTTAGGAAGCCTGGTCAACTTCTGGTAAGACCCGTGCGTAATTATAGCTACATGTTTATTACCGTCATTTAAATCACTTTGGCCTTCATAAGTGGATTTGGATTGATATTTGAGCTGGAATCCCTGTCCTCAAATCCCTCAAACAGCTCAGAATACAAAGAAGGCTACTGTCGCACCTTGAAACAAATTTGATTTCATTTGAAGAAATCTGAGATGAACCTTTTGAGTGTCGTCCGAACCTAAAGCGTAATCATTATAGTCAGATCACTGTTAAATCTGAGACTCTAGCAGGTGTGTGGGAGACAGAAATCACTCAGGGTTTGTTTTTTTTCCACTTGTTGAGGCGTTTTATTTTAAGTGTTTCTGTAGAGAGCAAGAAATTTTTGAATCAATTATACAGGGCAAATGATTCAACAATTGATGGCGTTTATTATGTACGTTTCGCAGAGCAAGTATTTATTATTATTATTATTATTATTATTATTATTATTATTAGTAGTAGTAGTAGTAGTAGTAGTAGTAGTATTAATGTTGTTGTTGTTATTGTTTTTGTCGTCGTTGTGCATGATAACGGTCGTATTTTCGGTATCTACCTACTTCAACATCAGTCGGTCGTCTTTTTGACGCAGCTTCCTCTCCACCGGCCGATCGGTCCTCTTCGGACAGCAGGGCCTGTCTGCTTCGTCTTTTATCGTCCCAGGTTTCATATCTTCACTGACACTGTGTCCGGATGCCTCGGCCCGGCCGTCATGTGTCTAATCGGGTCGGGGCATGTGGCGCTTTGATTTCCTGTCGTCATGGCCTGTCGGACCGTTGTTTCTTTTTTGGCTTTTTTTTTTAAACACGGCTAATTTTAGCGGACACAGATTTGCGTCCTCTCGCTTAGTTAGATCAAACTCGGCTGAAACACTCACTCAAGTAAATCCGAAGATGCACGTTGTTGTGTTTGAGCTGAGAAAAGATTTCACACATACGAATTTAATCAAAAGCAAATGTAAGTGTGGGGGCTAGCTTATGAAGACCTCTGCAATTGAATGAACATTATTTCTGTTTGACCTTCATTTTGATTGAAGTATCACTGAATAAATAAACGCTGCAAACATGTCGAAAATGTCAGATCCGTACCCATTTGCAATCATTTAAATTGTGAATTTAATGCTGAGGTGATTAAACCCTTTGATAATTGAAGACTCCATTACTCCGTCACGGCCACATTGTCCGGATTCACTGCGGTGGATGAGAGGAACCAGGACGCACGACTCCAGCCTTTGTTCTGTGCGTAATGACGCTTAACAGGCGCATCAATCTGCGTCCTGCGGGGCGACCAGAAACAAATTGTCTCTGTTTTGGGCTTCTCCCTTTTAGAGCATAATACTCAGGGTAATGTGAAACTGTCACCGCAGGCGTTAGGACGGTGAGTGTCTGTCGCATAATGACAGACTGAGGCCTGACAGAGCAGAAGATCATGGCGACTCTGGACTCCAGGAACCAGAGATTTTTTAAGCTCTCTTCATGTGGTATTTAATCTTTACCACAGCATGCGATGATATGTGTCAATCCAGTCAATCCATCAACCTTTTTAACACTAGAGAAAATCTTTGGGGGCAGCCCCCAGACTAAAAAAAAGGCCTTGCAGAATTACAGCCTGAATGCTGGCCCAACTCACGTGTGTGCTTCAAAGGTGAAATTGTCTGCATTTCTAAGTAAATGTGTTCTATTTTTAAGCACATGGGGCCACTGAGGGTTCAGAGTTTCCCCCACCCTTTTATTTTACCACTACATGTGCAGCCTCTAAGCAACTGACACCATGGGGTGCGCCTCCGCGTTTCCTCTCTTGTTAGATTAAGTATGGGGCTGATAAGGTCTATCACTTCTTCTGACTGCCACAGGCTCTTTTTGGAGACACGAGCCGCAGTCTGATCCGACAGGGACCAACAGCTCCAGGCAATGGGCTCTACGCTGCAAATAGAGCCCATAATCGCTCGATATGCGGACTTCAATTACAAAAAAAAATACTGATAGTCTGCGAATGTTTTTTTGACACGCAGTCAAAGCCCTCTGTGTTCTGAAGTGTGGCCTGAGATGAGTGGAGACATGATGACAAGAAGTCGCCCCAACGCAGACAATTTTCCTCTCACCTGTAACCACAATACGTGCTGACTAAAAACACCGATATTTTTTGCAGCGGAGGAGCCACCGCAGTGACACCTGTCCGTATAACACCTGGCAGACGGGGCTGGTCGTAGTGCGCATGCTCTGTGGTCAGGTTGAAATCTCTTAAAGCACTGAAAGCCGCATCTCCGCAGCAGCCCAGTCGAGATCAAATCTTTGCAGGATTCAGACAGAGCGCACAGCTCTCCTCCAGCAGCTGGATTCTCTTCCCGGATTTATCTCCTGTACCTGCAGAGATGCCTCGATCCTTTATGGTGAAGAGTAAGAAGGCGCACAGTTACCACCAGCCCCGGAGTTTGGAGGATGATTACAGCAGACTGGACTCTATTTTGGCCCACATATGCTCAGGTTTGTGAAGAATCATCCTTTTTCAAGAGTAATCTTCCTGCGCAAAATAGCAGTAATGTTTTGGCATTTTTAAATTGAATGGCACGGAGGGTCATTAATGTGACAAAAATCTTCAAGGTGCACGGAGCTAACAGTTTCTTATGATGCCTGGACACCATTCCTCCTAAGAGGCCTTCATTTTGTCTTATTGCGCCGAAACCGATAAAAAATAGTTTATAGGCAGACAAAATCAGATTTTTAGAACAAACTTAAAGTAGACATTTTCATTAGATGATATGAATTTGCCTATCCATTTTAATGTTTGACTTTTTGTTTCAAACGGCCTTTTCCTTTATGATAAATTTCACCTGTGACACTTTTCTAGGTTCACCATAAAATTAAATGTGCCGTCATACTGTTTGTTTATTTTTTTTTTTCTAGAGCCGGAATGAGCAGAGATGAAACTACATGAATGTCCATACTTTCTTTGGTTAACATGCTGTCCGCCCTGCTTTTTCATTCAGAGGTGGATAAACTCCCGGATGACACCGACTTGTCTGAGGACAAGTACGGCCTCTCTCCAGACTCCCAGCTGGCTGACGGTGCTGATTTCTCCCCGAAGTCTCCAATGAGCCCGGCAGGCAGTCTGTGCGGTCCTTCCTCGGACTATGGGGACTTCTGGAGGCCGCCGTCCCCCTCTGCATCACCGGGTACAGACACAAGACCACAGAGACACTCGATCAGCTAGAATCGTGCCCTTCAATGATTCAGACTCTAGGCTACGTTTCATGTCTGGGAAAAGGGGATTGCAGCAGTAGCAGCAGATAGGCTGATTGTCATATTAAATAATGTTATTTTGACAGTGTTGGACAGCTTTCTTCTCAAACTGTGATCTGAGACACGATTATAAAAATCTACAGACTAATATCAGAAATGAGCACAGCCTTTTTTAACTACCAAGGTTACTATTGAGACTTTTTTATTGACCTCATTTTTGTCCATCTTTTTGTAGAGTATTAAACATGTCTAACTGTGAACGTGTTTTTTTTCTTCAATATAAAAGCCTGCACTCCCTCTTTTTCCTCTAATAGTCAGATTTTCAAACAGTATCATCATCCAGGAATTCTCTGAAGCAGCATGACACTTTCTGCCCCGTTGGGCCCTGTAGGGCCCTAAAAACGTCTTGCTTTAACCATTTATCTGCTTTCATTAAAAATTCATTTGTTTTTCTCTCCAGTTGATTCGGAGAAATCTCTCTCGCCTCTGGTGGACGAGACTCAGCCCTTCACTGTTCCCTTCCGGCCTTATGCCTGGAACAGCTACCCAGGGCCCGGACTGAGGCCCCTGGTACAGCAGAGCCTCCACCCCAGCATGGAAATAGACAGGAGCCAGGGGTCCATGGCCTTCTATGGAGACAGGAGCACTCACCGGGCCCTGGACTCATACAGGACTCTTGGTGAGGAAGCGTACGGAGACTATAGGAGGCACGCTGCTGCTCTGCTGTTTTCTAACGGAGGCCTGCACGCTAAAGCCCACAGCATGAAGGCTCCACCTGAGCTACTGTGTTCCAGTCTGATCCTCAATGGTGCCTACAAGTGTGTCAAGTGCAGTAAGGTGAGGATGGGCACGGAAACACTGCTATCTATCTACTGCTTTGTGGGATGAAAAAAATGTATCAGCTTTTACAAAAAGAAAATCAAAAATATATAAACAGTATTTTTATTTATTTATTTATTTATTTTATTTATTTGTATTTGCCACATCCCAATGATCCATGTGACCTACACACTAAAGCCACCCCCTTTACTTTTGACCTTTGACCAACCAACAAATTTCCCCAACAACAAAACAAATTATTGCAAAAGCTGCGCTACAAATGTATTTTTCAGTATTTTTTTTTCTTGCATTTTAAAAACCTGAACAACCATTTTCCTTCTCCCATCAGGTGTTTTCCACCCCGCACGGTTTAGAAGTCCACGTCCGCAGATCGCACAGTGGCACCAGACCGTTTGCATGCGACATCTGCGGCAAAACCTTCGGACACGCTGTCAGTTTGGAGCAACACAAAGCTGTGCACTCACAGGTATGACCTCTTCGAAAGTTCAAACAGCCCGGAATTCACACCTCTTCGCAGGGGTCTGCATCTTCTTGTTCTCCAAGCCCGTGTTTCTGTCAATGTGCCACCTCTGAACTCGCATCTGCTCGCTTTATAGGAAAGAAGTTTTGACTGCAAAATATGCGGCAAAAGTTTCAAGAGGTCGTCAACTCTGTCGACGCATCTGCTCATCCACTCTGACACCCGGCCGTACCCGTGCCAGTACTGTGGGAAGAGGTTCCATCAGAAGTCCGATATGAAGAAACACACATTCATCCACACAGGTGAGTGAGGAACGAGAGACTGTTGTTTTATTGACAAGATCAACAGTTTGGGGAATCCCCTCATGCTCCCAGCGGAGGGTTAATGTTCTGTGAAAATCTCCCTGATTTTTTTTAATCAAGACTTCATGTGATAAAAAAAATTCGTTCTTTTTTTCCAGGTGAGAAGCCGCACAAATGTCAGGTGTGTGGGAAAGCGTTCAGCCAGAGCTCCAACCTGATCACACACAGCAGAAAACACACCGGATACAAACCTTTCGGCTGCGACCTGTGCGGGAAAGGCTTCCAGAGGAAAGTGGACCTGAGGAGACACAAAGAGACACAGCATGGACTCAAATGAATCTCTGCACAAATCATGTCTAAAAAAATGATCTGATTGCAAAGACTTGAGAGTAGTTTTACTGAAACGAACGCAGACATGTGAGTGACAGAGACATCCGGGGCTGAAGACATGTTTCCGACCTGCCAGGATCCGTCAGGACGTTTTTGGATCAAGATTCACTTTGTAAAATACCAAGTGTTAAAGTGCATTTCAGATATATATGTAAACTTATTTATTTATTTTCATATGGAAAACGTTTGAGTTTTGCAGTAAGGACTGTGAAAACACTAATTATTTCAACGACTGTTACCCAAACCAGAGATAAGCTGTGGAAAGAGGGGGATCAAACAGAAAACGATGGCACATGATTAAAGAGATTAGTCACGCCAGGTTTACGTGAACTTAAATCAGCTTCAGTGGATTTTCAACCCAAAATATTTGTACCCTCTCCTGAAACGCCCTGATGCCAGCAGAGCTGCAAATCTGCGCCTCTCTTAGGAGGAGCAGAGGTTTCTGTTTGCAGTTTGAAGACAACATGCTGGCAAAACAGCCTCCTCAGACTGTGTGATTTAATAAACAGAAGGCCTGAGATGTTATCTTCCACCTTTATATTTTGCACATTTTACTCTCATCGTTTTTTTTTTTTTTTTTTGTTTGTTTGTTTTTTCCATTATTTTTTCACAGTTTTTTGACAGGGGATGTTTTATTTAAATCTGGATTTGCAATAAAATTCTAACGAAAGTCAAGAAAACAAAGATGACTTCTTTTCCAAATGAAGACACAATAATTTCAGTTTAATCCAGATTTGAATCACTTGTACTTAAATCCTCTGCACTGAAATTTAGCATTAAAAAAAGTCCACATTTTTTTAACATTTGAAGTTCTGTATATAAGCTGTGAAAATACCATGGAGTTTACAAAAATGATATTACCATGTAATTACTTTATAAAACTATTCATCTACTGAACAAAAGAGTAAGCTTATGAGATCTTCACTGTCCAAAAGTGTTGCGGTGACTTAAACACAAACACTGAAGCAGGACATCTCAGCATCTTTCTGCTGTGATTGTGAATGTCCAGAGGCGACTGCAACCCCCTTTTGTTTTGGCCACTGCAGCCAAGTGTTTGAACCTTAAACAGTCTGTGCAGATTTAACCGTTAACCAAGTGTTTTTTACCCCCATGGCTGTTATTGAAAATAACAAAACAAAGCTAAGACTGGCCAGGAAGCCTGCACACACATGCAGCAGCTGTGATCTGCAGAGGGATGGGTCTGGAGTCTCACTGTTTGCACAGTTTGATGCCGGTGAGGAACCCAAACTGGTCTGACCTGGAGTAAATGTGTGGACTGCAGGACTTCTGGATTTACAGTTTAAAATGGAGTAACAATAAATCAGCGAGGAGGCAGAGGATGAGGTAATAAAAAAAAAAAAAAAAGGTTAGCGATAAATGTTATAAAATGATAGACAATAATTAGTTGCTAAAAAAAGCAGGCAGAATAATAAATTTGTCACTTAATCATCTTCAAAATATTACAAATGAAAAATCTTTTATTTCCATAAAGCCCACTGCATATTCAGCACAATATATCCTGGACCTGGTTAACTGTCTTTTTTATTGCCACTGATTTGATTCCCTCTCAATCCAACAGTGGCATAAAATAGAAAAGTAGAACAATCAGTTAGTCGTCTTCTTCCCTCAACATTGATTGAAATCACTGACTCACAAGGATTTTCTCTGCCTCACTTCCTTCAAAATCGTACAACATTCAGGCCTGCGAAAATACTGAATATTTCAAACCCCCAGACGAACAGACTGGAGGAGAACATAGGAAAAGGCGAGCTCATTTTAAAGCAGAACTTAATGGAGCTGTGCACCTTGGTGCCATGTTGCACAGAGGGAGTCATGTCGTTTCTTTTCTTTGAATAAAAATAAACCTCATGTTCATCACATTTCCCCCCTTTTCCATTTCTCCTAAAAATGACTGGCTTTACAGGAAATCTGCAGTTTATATAACCAGAATTGAGAGGCGTGACAGAGACCAAGCTGCCGTCCAAAAGAAAAAACACACTTTGTTCAGAACAAGTGAGTGACGTTGAATGTGCTCACAGGGCAGGTTTCTCCTGTTGGAATCAAGCTGAATTTACCATTAAGTGCCTTTAACACTGCGAGGCAGCCTCAAGGCCAACAGCCAGACCAGGGGCTCTGTGTATTGAACTGGGCAGGTTATTTCAGGTGTGAAGAGGGGCCTGTTCACTTTACCAATTTTCTCCTAAAGGTATTTGAATTGATGATCCATGATGTACAAAACTGTCCAGGGAAAGGAATTTTTTCCATTTACCCAAACCTAATTACTCAAACATCATTTGAAACAATGTGAACAAATAAGATATCAGCACTAATACAGAGTTCAATATTGCCCTTAGAGCTTACTGATATCCATGACTACTTTCTCACTACCCCACACTTTGTATAATCATCATACACCAGGTAGATCAAACAATCCTTTTCCTAATTCAGAAAATACAGGTTTTGAGGGAAAGACGGTACAATCCTTCACCGGATACAACAGCTAAGACTGAAAAAAATTGAGGCCAACATATTTGGTTTTTGGACTTTGCAAACTGAAGTCCAAAAGAATAACAAAACTGATGAAAAATCAATCAGTCAATCAAAGATTTGTCTCAAATAAGGCTTTCAGAAAAAGACTGACCTTCAAACTAAGCTGCCACACTCTGACCAATTGTGTTCAAATTAGCTGCACCTGTATGCTCACTTGTGGACTAAATGTGATCATTTGACTTTGTTTACCACTAAGTGCATTTCACTTTTGATCTTTCAACCAAGCAGTCTGTTTTTTTTTAAGTGAAATATGACTTTCAGAAGAAGGAGGAAGATGATTTGTTTGTTTAACTACTGAAAGGGACAAAATTGTGCTCGATCAAAAAGACTAAGATGACAATTTGGGGCTTTAATGACATTCTAATTAGTCCTACTAATATAGACAGTCCTATCAGAGAGCATTTCTGTTCCCTCTCACCTGGCACTTCATGATAGCCTCTGACAGACACACCTGGCTGAAGCACAATCTCAGAGAGAAGTTTTCAAGCAAAAATCTTCAAACCAGCCATTAGGGCTGACCAGATTTCCTCCAAGGGCATGGCTGGATTTTTTAAAGCATTACCCCACTGCCTGAAGGCTTATCAAATATGAATAGAAGATGGCTCAATCGATTTGAGTGGGCGAGTAATCAGAGCACTGCAGTCGAAGGGCTCAAATCCAGGCCTGCATCACTGACCATGAGTGAGCACACTCGAGAAACACATCTATGTGCACAATCACATATGCATGCACCCACAGGTCTGAGTGGATACATTTTTCCTGACTGACATCGTTGTGCAATTAGAAAATTTAGAGTCTGGGTCTTGTGGTTTTGGATGACTTAATAATTCATCTGAAATTAAACATGAATAATAAAGGAGAGTTTTTAAGACACTCTCTGGTGTCAAGATTTTGATTTTTTTTTTTCAGTCAGACTCTTCAGTGAAGCTGAATTCTCACCCTGACATGAGCATGAGCCTTTGAATAGGTCTTATTTAATTACAGCAAAGAAGCAAAATTCAGATAAATCTTAAAATACCGTTACCCAGATGTATATGGCTTTAAATTTATTTCACTGTAGCTCCATCTTTCAACTCTAACATGTAGTAAGCGGTTTTCTTCAGGCCACTGACCATTTTTATGAAATTATTTATAGAGAGATCCTCTCCCATTTGATTGGACCAATCAACCAGAAACACCAGATGAAAAGGGAAAATATGAATTTGTCTATTTTATCAAACGTGCAAAATAAATGAAGAAAAAAAAAGGTCAAATGATCTGACCTAAACTTCTTCACAACCCTTACAACCTTTGAAATGTCACAATCCTATGGTCGCTCCAGACCCATTTAAAGTTACTGCAGCATGTGTCAGGACATCACACTATCCACAGAGCCTTTCTCCAGGATGCTGCTGCTGCAGCATCGTCCAGAAAGTGCTAGAAACAGATGACATCACCCAGGCTTGTGAGGGCCACGTGTATTTACAGACATGTACATGTACATGCAATGGAAACATGAGCGTCAACTTGCTAATATGAATTTAACGTTATTCAACTTGGAATTACAGGCCAGAAAAGTGCAGAAGACAGAGGGGGGGTCCCCCATGTACCCTGCATCTGCTATGCCAATGACCATGACATTATCACATTTCTCCTCATACTGGCTCTAGTCAAAATAAAAGAGAAGATTTTGTGATTTTTAGATAAACACCTTAAATGAGAGAGAAGAAAAGGAGAGCTGCATGACGGGAGGACCAATGTGATCATCTCCCTGAGGACATGTAGACCTGTTGTGTATGTTGTAATAATAACGTGGTATTTGCTCTTCTGCTCTCATCAGCGGATTTCACACAGGTTTGACGAGTTACAAACAGAGATAAGCAGGGAGAGACAAAGGATTTCTACAGCGAGGCGCTGAGAAAAAGCACTGATTAATATGCTCTGATGGTGGGGATGAGTTTTATGCAGAAATGAATGCAAGTGTTTTAATTTATTCTACATCCACGTTTCATTTAGAAAACTTTAAGCATCAGGGAGACTTTCCTGCTCACCTGTCCCCCTCCCCTGTGGTTGACACGCAGAGCTAAGCTGGGACAGATGAAGTGAGGCAGGGCTCATATAGGACACAGCTCTTTTGTTGCGAGAGGCTTATTCATTATTCACCCGATCTGAAAAACAGACTGCAAACCAACTGCACAGCTGTCATCAAGCAACAAGGCGTAGACACAAATTATTCATGACTCAGCAAAGAAAAGGCAGCAGAATGAGAGGAAAATAATAACAAGAGACATCAGTGAGGCAGCTGACAGGCTGAACACGTGTGGGGAGAGACGGCCTGTTTTGGCTGACAGACTTACTGCTGGAGTGTCAGCCATGACTGCACCACTACGCCAAGCTTTCCTCGATCTATTATATACA